ACTTTCCAATCTGGATTAGCTGTCCAACCTGCCCCTTAGAATTCTGATGTGAATTCAACCCAATCTCCTTTCAATACACAACCAGATCCATTTCCATCTTCTGGGTCCAATAATACATAAGGAGAAACACAAGCTGTGCAATCTTCAACACTTGGTCCAGTACAAGTTGCACAATTGCTTGAACATTATGCAACATACAATTGGAATTATCTAATACCCCAAGATGCCTATTTAGATGACTTCTTGATTGTGGATGTCCATTTTACAAGGGCAGCACCATAATTATGTGGAGTTTCAAAGTTAACATTAATAACCTTTTCTGTTCCATCAACACCTCCTGGACTGATCTTATCACAGATGAAATATTCCTTATCTTCTACTTAAGCAACATTTTATTTCCATTTCTCTTGATTATCAATAGACAAAACTGCATTATCATTATCCCAATTATCAATCTTCCAAAATTATGCTATCACTTTTATTCTATAATGTGGCACAAGTTTATCAAAGATTTTTTAAATTGAAACATTATTACCAAAATTACCAGGACCACCAATAATTGGAATTCCTGCACAAGTACTTGATTTAATAGCTGTTTAAGATCCTTTTGCAATCCAACCATCAGCATCTACATTCTTTATCCAACTTGATGATACTGGTACCCACATTTAACAAACAATAGCATCTGGTCCAAGACATGTACCACATTCAGCTGGACATGGTAAATAGGATAATTTTAATTTTCTAATACCCCAAGACATCTAAAGATTAGTATTAACTATACTTTATCGGCAGTCTTATCAGCTGAAGATGCAAGAGCTATAAATAATGCTGCATGATTATGAGTTATTGTTTAATCAACTGAGAATGAATTCACATTGCCACCTGCTGGAGTTGCGCATCGCTTTGTTCCATCACTTCCAGTCCACATAGTTTCCCAAAGGTAATTATCCAAATAAAAGAACTATCTTTAAGTGTCCCATGCATCAAATCTAAAATTAATGAATTTTCATACTTCCAGACTTCAACTTATATTTTAATCTAAAAATGAGGAGGCAATTAAAATTGTTTGGTCACTATGGCTCCTTTACCAAATGCTTTAGGTCCTCCAAATACAATTGCATCTGAACAAGTAAAGAAATTATCTGTTTAAGCTTTTGATATTTATCCTTGTAATGTCCACCCGTCCAATTAACCTACATCTGCATTCTAAAAGGCAGAATAAAATTCAACGAATTCTTGTGATGTGGCAAGCATCACAAAAATTGCAATAACGATGAATCTCATTTATATAAAATTAATATTCAAAAACGCATAATTTTTTCATTTATTCACACACCATAAATATTGATCATTTTCATCCTAAATCCATTAGGCAAGTCATCACTACTAAACATGCTATCAAATTTTTGTTATCCAAAAGACTGTTACAATTCTTATAAAATATTCACAAAAAGAGGTTTTATAGAGGGGAACTCTGTAGAGGCAACAATACAATACACAAAATACTTGATGTCGTTTATCACCCTTCCTGGATACATCTTTACTATATTAATGAGGATCCTATACATTAATATTTGTTATACTTAAACGATTCCTCTTTGTATTCATCTAAAGATTGACTCTTTATTTAACTAAGGATTAAACATACTCGTTTAAAAAAACTGGGAATGAACTCTTCGATTTACTATATATGTGATCCAGCAATCCTGCATATTGCAATACATAAATTCTATGCAATGGATTTCGGAAATTTTGGTTCATTTATTATTTTTATCAATTTTTCCATAACTGCATTAAAGATAACTGTAACTTTTGCTGGGTCTTTCATAGCCAATTCCCCCAATGCCCAGGCAGCATTATTGGAAGTAGCTAGAAATAACTTAGAAGGATCAATGCTTATAGATTAAGCATAGATGTATTCATTTCTAAATTAAATATAACTTATTACAATGCAATAGCAATATTGACATTTTTGAAAATTGTATAGCAATCTTTAATTAATTCACCTATCAAAGAAAGTGCATATTGCTTAACATCAGTTTCTGAGTCTTATAAAGCGAGATCAACAATTTATAAGAATGACTGATCACATAATTCTAAGAAACTCTCTTTTGTGATGTTGATTATTTTAATGCACACATCAAAAGATCTCTTGAGAATTTCCTTTTATTAATACAAAAGTCTTGTCTTTCCATTCTATATTGATTGCACATAACCATTCATAGATTACACTAATGCTTAATAAATAACAGGAATATATTTTAATGCTCTTTATCCAAATTTTTCAACTGCTTCTGCCAAACATTCTACAAGTATAGAAAGTATTAAATACCATAAAGTGGACAAATGTTATAGTCATTTAAATCTACTAAATTGCTAATCAGTTTAGTCATTATTAAATCTATTAATTCCTAGTTCTCAATAGTTTCACATTCAGCCAGTATTGTGGTTATTGATTAATATATGTACAATAATACTCCTCCTTTTTGAGATAGGGCTTTTAAATAAACTTAGAATAAATCTAGTAAGTATGGTTATAATATAAAAAAAGCATCCTTTGATAATGAATTCAATGCAGAGCAAGCAGATTCCTTTACTATTCTAAGAGATACAATTAATTTTATACATTGATTAATTTTCAATAGAGATCAATAATAATTTTAGATAGGATTATATAAATTGAGTCTCATTGATAGCTACTGTTTTAATCCACTCATTATACTATGAGAAGGTCCATAATGTAGAAGCATAAATATATTCATTTTATTAATTTTTTTCTTGAAATAAGGACATTAATATATTTGGTACGAGATTAGCATGATTCTCCATTATTTTTTCTGCAAACAATCCAAGACAAATGACAGCAATTTCTTATTATTTCCAATCTTATTGTTATTGTAATTGATCAATAATTTATAACACAATAGGAACTATGGTTTTATCATAAAATTCTATTAACTTTTTAAGCAATAAATTTGAGACCGATCTTAGAGAATATTCTCCCAGAGTTTTCTCCTCGTCTTATTCTTCATCATCATTTTTTCCACTTTAATTGTAACTATTAGAAAATGTTGGTTAAATGGCTATTTGATCTGCCCTAGTGATTGCTAAATTCAGAATAGTAGGTTGCAAAATTTATTATAGATAGGGTTCAAGCAAGTGAGTTTATTCGTAATCTTCTGCATCATCAATTCTCAAAAAGTCAGTTAAACATAATTCAACAAATCGAACAACTTCTTTGTCTGGATCTTATAATGATTAAACACATGCCATAATAACTAAATTCATCTATTTTATTTTATCTCTTTTTGTTTCTATTAAAGCTTAAATACCTTAAAAACACTTTAATCTTATTTACTATTCCTATGATCGTGTGCCAGTAATCAAAATATTAATGTAACAATCAATATATTGGCTAAGTGAAGGGGGCATAAAGAAAATATTGTAATTTAAAAAATTTAAAGAATTTACGACCACTTAGGTATTAGTATGCTCAACTAAGGATATAAATTTAAAAATTAATTGATCTATCAATTACAATCCTGTATCTGTTCCATAGTAATTGATATTTTCAGAATTGAATTTTAAGTCTTCTATTATTTTGGATAAACAATCAGTTGCTATTACTGGATCAGCATCAATCAATTTGATTAAATATTCCATCATTATATTGCTATCTAAGATTAATTTGATGCTGCTTACTTTTTATTCCATTTCTTACTACAACTTCAGGTACTATGATAACAAATGCTTGCCGCATTATTTAAATACTTAAATCCACTTAAACAAGCATCTACTATAATGTTTCAGGCAAACTCGTGCAATTTTTAACGGCACTTTTCAATATCACTGCAGCCCTATATCTAATTTCTGCATCATAATTTCCAATTATAACAGAACACAAATGAATTAAAAATTAAGTGTCTTAACTCAATTCCTAAGCTCTTTTATAGACTTATTTTTAAATCTGATTATCTGGCTAGGCTGACCATTATATTAATTCAATTATTTAATCCATAATTAAATATATATTAATTATCAATATTTGTATTTGGTTGAATAATCCTTTGGAGCTACAACTAGACCTTTGCCTTTTCTGGCACCTCGATATATAATTTCAACGATATCTATGAATTCCTGCTTATCATTCATTGCCCAATTTATTTTGTTGTTATTTCCTGTTCCCAAATCGATCATCATATGTTTGTTTCTATAAAAAAACATCACAGTAACTGGATCATATAGTTCATACATTGTATTAAAATCAGGAACTTTAGTGATATCTACTAAATAAACAACTGCAAACTTTTTTATTTTTTCAGCAGATTTATAGAGGATTTCGTCCATTTACATACATTATGGATCCCTAAATTGATATCACTATTTAATTACCAATCATGCCCAAAACGAATGATAACTAGTTTCTCTTCTTCATCCAAGATCGCTTGATCAACTTCCCAACCGTTATTTAAATGAGGTAGAAGGTAAGACATTTTTAAATTGTTAGTTATAAATTATTAAAAATTAAGTCATTTTTTATTTACTTTTTTCTCTCTCTATTCTTAATTCTTAATAAAAGCAACAAAAATTTGTTATTCTCTTTATTTTTTCTCAGCTTCAGCCCTTTTAATAGCATTAAGTCCTTCATTTTCCTTCCTGATTGTAATTGGAGAATTATGTTCAACAGAAGTATTAAGAACAACTTTTGCTGATTATTTATTGGCTTTAATTTATTATGCTTTGTATGATTAACTATAAGATTGAGATTCCTATAATTGTCTGGCTCCAATGAAGTTTTTTTTTTTAGATAACAACAATGGAGTTTGATTGCTAGATTGATTAGTATTGATATTAGGAGATTAATCAGTTTACATAGTAGATTGTATTTATTAAGTCTATTATTAATGTAGTAATTATTTATATATTTTTTGTTAATTAACAGCTTATTATTAAGAGTAATCTTCTATAGTAATATTATTCTAGTTATGATTAGAGTATTTGTCCTCAACTTATTATTATTATTCTTGATTACTACTTTATAACCTCTATTATTAAGCTTTTAATAAAGCTTCTTCTTTTTTCCCTCTTTCTATAGTTGGTATTAGATACTCCTACAAATAATACTCATCTTCCTTATCTGATAAGTCCTACTCAAGTAATAATTCCTTTGGATCAAACCCTTTTGGAACATTTCCCAAATCTTCCCAGTTTATGAGATTATTGGATTTCTCTTTTTACTTTTATAAATTCTTAGCTGAGTTTTTTGGTTTCTCTTAAACAGATATGTTATTAACATTTGTTAGTGCTGGTTCTTACTTAAAACTTTCAGCTCTAGGTTTAGGTTTTGCTGGCAAGATCAATCTGCGAGAACAAAGCTTCTCTTATGTTAAGATTTCGCTTTGATCTTTGGTATTAAATGGTTTGCCTACAACTATCATCTTTTTTCTATAAATTTTAGGATCATGAACTCCAAGATAGTCATACAATGCTCTTAAAGAGTTATCAACTGGGAAAATTACATCTGCGATCTTCATTAAAGCAGATAAAAATTCTTAATAGGTCAATTCTTATATATTTGAACACTTTTTAAATATTTCTACCAAAATCACTTTTGTAACTATAAAATTCTCTTTCTCTTTATGTTTATATTTAATCTTATTAAGTGGTTTGGTTGCAGCTTAGCCTGTATGTTAATAAACAAAATCATTGTCTATTTCCAAATCTATTAATTCGAAATTTTTGCAAAAGTACATAAACTTTTACAAGGTCATTACTTATTAAATCTATTGAAGTTAATCAAAAGTATTTTATTTATTTGAAGTTTATGTTTATTTTGAATAAAATTTATAAATTTCCTTTAAATTCATTTCAATCATCTTCTCAGAATACTTTTCGTTGTCTTACTAAGACAATTATAAAGGCTTGATTATTGGTTTATTAAATTAATAAGGATCTTCGGATGACAATTAAGGAGATCTTGTTTTAGGAGATTTTATAACTTGTTTGAATTTCTCCATAACTTCTTAAGTTTTTAGCATTTTATCATTGTTTTAGATTTCTTCATCATTTTATCTTATATCTGTTACTTCAGTTGGTACTTGTTTTAATACAAAATTGGATTGATTTTCTTCCTTTGCAATTTAAGTTTGTCTATTACTCTGTTCTTCTGACTTTTTCATTTATTTATTTTCTCTTAACTCTTAAAAATCTTAATCCTCAGCATTCTCTACAATTTTGGATTAGTTTTAATGAAATGTCTATGCTGAATCATTATCTTAGTCTTAGGAATTAAATTAATCACCTTAATGATCTATTTAATTTAACGAATCTTAATTGTTCCAACTTTTACTTAATTCATTATTTTCATTTTATTCATCCTAATCATTGTTTTATGTAAAGGATTCATTTTTATTTTAAGTGGAACTTTTTCTTTTAAGTTATGAACCATTTAAGGCTTGAGATTGCTATGAAGAATGGTTTTATTTTTATGAGAGAATACTGTCTGGATATATTGCAGATCCAACTGAATCTTGTTATCTATGTTTTGATTATGATTAGTTGGAAGTTTACCCCTGAGATTAGTTTTCCATGATAATTTTAATTAATAATAATTTGTATCACTATAATATAAATTCAAAGTTTCTAAGCAACTTTATTGAGCTCTTCTTTTTTCTATTGTAATCTCTAATCTTCTTATTTTTTTTATTCTTAAAGTTTTTCAATTAACTAATCTCTTAGAATAAGCAAAAATTCTCTGACTGTCATGCGAATTTGAATTTCTAATTAATTTTATTATTAATTAATCATTTAAATAGATTAAGAACTTATAGTTCTTTAGGTATTTCTTTAACAAAGAGATAGAAATAATAAGAATGAAATATATATAATTTAACACCTTTTTTAGAATGAGAAACAGAATATATGACAGTTCCTGGTGAGGAATTGATAATGATAAGTTTTAAAGAAAGCAATATCTATTTATACGAGTCACAATAATATTTAAACAATTTTTCTTAAAAAAATTATTAATCTGGATCTGATATCAAAATGCTGCAATCTTGGTTGGTTTTTGTAAGTATTATGTTTTTGTGATTTTTAATTTAATATAACAGTTTATTTTAAAAATAGTCATTGTTACTTATTAATTGTATCAAATAACAACTATATTGATTAGGCCAACTAAGAGTTAGGGTTTTGCTCATTTATTAATTGAATGGCTTTTAACTTCTTGAAATATTCATTTCTCTCTCTCATCAATAGAATATATTGTTTTTTTAACTCACTCTCATCTCTATCAACACACTATTGATTAAATATTGAGGAGTACTTCTTTTAAATTTGTTAATTTGCCTAGTTTTTTTAAAACTGCCATAGAATTTTCATCATTCTATTCTTATAATTCTTATATGTATTATGGGATTAATTTCCATTTCTAACTCATTAATTTATTAAATATATATGTTTCAAAGACAAATAAAAAGACCATAATCAGTATGTATAAATTAAGATAATTAATGAAAATAGGCAATCAAATATGAACCTTAGGGATATAAATAAAAGTAATCAAATGAATGTTAAATTTTAATGCCAAGTGCAATACAGTATTTTTCTGATTTAGATTCGTTGCATCATGTTTCTAACAATTTTCTAAGACCACAATCGGCAGTCTCATTATATTAGAATAAAAAGATAAGTAGCTCAACTATGGTTGATAATAAATAAGTCAGTGACACAAGATTGACCGATCCAAGATTAACACCAAGATATATTAAGAAGGATAAAGAAGAATTGTACTCAGATTTGCTGCAATTATAATAAAAATATAATTAATGCTAAGATGAAAATACTAAATTAAAAACTTAAATTTCGTCATTAGAAAAATAAGTTATTCATTTGACAGATTTAGTGAGAAATGTTGAAATGTTCTGCAACAAGAAAACTGGTCATTTCAATGAGTATTAGTTAAAAAAACAAATCCAGGATCTCAAATCTAATCTCAAAACAAAAGTGTAAGAATTAGAATCATTAAAATAAAATGTTAAAACTACTAAAATTGATGAAATTAGAATTGAATTATAAGAATCTCATGTAGAATGTTTAAGATTAAGGACTATGCTTGATCAATAGATGAGATAATAAGTGTTATTTAATTATAATGATCATACATTGATTGAAGAAAAATTGTACATATAAAGTCAAATGATGAATTAATTAAAAACAGAAAATGATTAAATGACTGGATTACTGAAAATCCAAGAAGAAGAAACCTATTATTACAAGAATTTGTTAGCCGAAACCTTAAAAACAGTAAGAAGATACGAAGAAACAATTGAAGATTTACATAAGAATCTTAAAGGTAAAAATTAATTTATGGATAAATTGGCTTAAAAAATAGAAGCTTTGAAAAGCACTAATAATGGATTAGCTGATAAAGTAGTAAAAGTGGAAGATTTAAAAGAAGAAATTCGACTTTTAAAGTGTACTATAGAAGACTAAAATAAATAAATTAAAAGTGTCTTATCTGATAATGAGTATCTTAAAGGAATGGTTCATGAATTAAAAATTAAAAATAATGAGAAATCTGAAATACAAGCCAAAGAAAAAAAAGTATTACAAGATTAGATTGCTAAAATATCAAATTAATATGATCTCTTAGATGATAAATACAAAAATTTATTATTAATTTAAGTTTAAGCTAAAAATAAAGAGACTGCTTAATCTTCATTGATTCATAAGAAAGAGCAAACTGTAGGTTTAACACTTAAAAATAACAATGATAGCTTCTAATAACAGAAGATATATGTCCCTAAAAAATTAAGAGCCATAAAAACGAATGATGTTTTACATATTGGAGAAGAACTAAATTACAGATTTAGAGTAAAGAAAATAATATTAATTGATGTAATAGAATAATTTCTATTTGATGATGACAACAAAAAAGAAAAAAAAGTAAGCATTAAGCAATTACAAAAAAGTTTCGAAAAAGAACCATTTATGTTATTTGAATAAGATAAAGCATTAACGTTTGCTCGTTTCTTAATAGAAGACAACTCCTAAGAATTTGTAGAATTTAACATTGAACTTACAGAAAATTTGGATAGAGTTAAAAGCATATTTACAAAGATAGTTGGTAAATATAGAATCTTTACTCCCGATGAAGAAATGAAACATAAAGAAGATATCACTAAACTTATTATCAAATATAAAAATTCTCTAAAATAGCACTTTGATTCTCTTTAAAGTACTAACGGTGAATTAACTAAAAGATAAATATTAGAAACTTTTATTTTTATGGACATTGATATTAATAATTCTCAGCTTGAGTACTTTTTCTTAAAACTATTTGTTTTTTCAAACAAAATTGATAGATTTCCATATTAAAAGATTTTTGAGATATTCTAATAGATGTAAACTACCTCAAGTATCATTTCATAATATCATTTATAGCTCCCCATCTACAAAGGAAAGAAACTCAAAGAAAAAAGGCTACGACTGAATCAAACAAGCAACCTGTGTATGTAACAAAGAGTCTATTCAAATAAGTTGAAGGTACTAATTTATAATAAGCTTGATTCAATATATAAAATTATTAATTTTAATATTTATTCAGAATGTTTTTCAGCCATCGATGTTTAGAATGTGGTACATCTTATAATAATTAAGGACGCTATTCTGTGTGATCCGTGGGTTTGTATATTGAATGCAATTTATTTATGTGAGAATTGTGCCATGATTTTATCGACTGAAGCAGGAATTACAAACATCAAAAAATACTCTAGTTTGAATGCAGAGGAGAGAGACAAAATGCAAAAGGGAGGAAATGTAAAATTTAAGTTGAATGTTACTAATGTTAATGATAAATTTCATTCTCATAGAGCATTACAATATCGATTTGAAGTATCTATCGAACTATAATAGTTAGCCTTGGGGTTGAGTGAATATGATTCAGACATGAGTACAAACTACGCTAGTCCAAATAAATCATTAATCTATTATCCTGAGCAAAAAAAAAGATTAACTTAGGCCTTGGAATTAGAGGGAATACAATAGGATGTTGAGTGGTTACAAATCCAATATTAGATTTTGACAAGGGATTTAAAGAAAAAAATTGATAGGAACTTTTACTTGTCCAAATTGGAGGATATAGGTAAGAAGTTTGTAGAAAAACAGTAATAGAAATAAGTTCAACAGAAATAAATTCACAATCAAAATGATGTTTTTTAATCTTTTTCAGCATTAATGAAAAAATAGACTTGAAATATCATTTAAATATTATAAGCTTTGATAGTGTTTATAAAGATATATATTGTTATGTTTTTAAACTGAGATCCTATTTTATTGATATTCCTTTTTAAACATTTATGAATTTATATCACGTTTCAGACAAGCAGTAAATTAATTAATATTCAAATATTTTTTTATTTAAATAAATTAATTACTACACATCGTTATGAAAAAAATAAATCAATAGATGTAAAAAATAGCAGGACGCAATAGCTTTTAGGAATCTCCATAACAATTGGAAAAGAAAACATTAAAAAATTCCACAAAACCAATTAAAACAGAAAGACCTTAACAAAAAGGGAAAACTAAATTATACGATTATTTTAAGAAAGAAAGGAATTCATTAGCCTAGGTGGTCAATAACATTAGAGCTAAATTGAAGGGGAGCAAAAGTATTGATAATGTGTTCCTTTTAACATAAAAAAGCGAGAGAGCAAAAACATCATAACCAAATGTAATTCTTTTAAATAGCATAAAATAGCAAATTGAACAAAGAGTCTAAACAGATGAAGGGAATAGTTCTAAAAGAATTAATTTGAAAACAAAAAATTTGTCTTTAGCTACTGTCTCAGTTGAAGTATAAATTAAATTTATTTCTTAGAAAAAGGAATACACAAAGTAACCTTCAACTACTAAACAATCTTACAATTAGTCGCCTTCTAGTTAATCAAAACCAATTTTAAATAAGTCTAAATCCAAAGATCAATACTTATTTGAGATGGTATTTATTATTTTCATTGTTAATAGTTAAAAAATGCTCAAAAGATATCAAATCAATATTAACAATACTTTAATTTGAAGTAAAATAAGTAATCTATATAATCAGACACTTCAACTAATCATAGATAATCACTAGAAGATATGTTATTAAGTTAAAAATCCACAAAAGGATCTCCTCAACCCTACTGTTCAAAATTATCTAAAAAAACAGATGCCGACTCTAAATCGCTTAATTCAGGGTATTCTAAAACTGAGTAAACCCCTGTAATTAAATAACAACAGAAAACTAAAATTGAAGAATCTCTACAATATGATCCTAAAAAGAAACTTCAAGTGGTTCTCTTTTATAAATAAACAAAGTACAATTTATATTCAACAATTTTAGATATTACTATTTGTATGATTATGAAAATTAAAAAACTGATAACTTGTATAACTTTCTTATTTAATAAATTGCAAGTATTGAGTTGGCCTCATCAAAAGTAGAAGGAGGAGGCACTGGTTCTACTGAAGATTAACATATTTAAGAAGGTATATCAAAGATTAATGTAGAATTGAATAAGATTTGCCAATTCATTACAGTTTCTAAAAACATCCCTTATGACTATTACCTTTCATTGCCTGAAATGCCTCTAAATGTGTTTTAAGGCATAACCCTCTAGTTATAACCCTAGTATGCTTAGTATTCGGACACAAAGAGAGTTGGATTGAAGGATTTTAATTTAATAAAATGCATAGGAGTAGGAGGATTTTCAAGGGTATATTTAGTGAAAAAAAAAGATAATGGACAATTTTATGCCTTAAAATTAATAGATAAAAAGTTCATTTTTGATAATGCAAAGGAAGTAATTGTTTAAAATGAGAGAGACATTATGGTAAGGATGGAAAATTAGTATATCACAAAATTGCATTATGCCTTTGAAACAAAATTTTATATTGCTTTTGTATTAGAATATTGTGCAGGAGGAGAGTTATTCTATCACTTAAGAAAATTAAAGAGACTAAATGAACAAGAAGCAAAATATTACTTTGTTGAAATTTGTATAGGAATGGCATATTTACATTCATAAAATATTGTTTACAGAGACATTAAGCCTGAAAATATCTTATTGGATTTACAAGGTCATATGATGCTTAGTGATTTTGGATTATCTAAACCAAATATGGAAGATGGAGAGCTAGCTTATTCATTTTGTGGTTCTCCTGAATATATGGCTCCTGAGATGCTAATGAAAACTGGTCACAGTTATTTAGTGGATTGTTATTGTCTAGGTGCTTTACTTTATGAACTAGTTTCTGGATTACCACCGTTTTATTCTAATAATACTCAAGAAATATATAATGCAATATTGACAGAGAATGTCTAATTTCCAGATTATGTCTAAATTTCTGATTAATTGAAAGATCTAATAATTAGACTGCTTTAAAAGGATCCAGATCAGAGATTAGGATAAAATGGCGGGATTGTTGAAATTCTAACTCATGTTTGGTTTCACGATGTTGATTTCGAAGGAATAGTCAACTAAAAACTTCCAACTCCTTATAAACCAGAGCCTTTAAAATATAATTTTGATGAAGAAGAATTCAATAAAGGAGATGCAGAATTTAGAAAACAATATGCATTTAATCTTCAATATGAATTTCAAGTATTTACAAATAAATGATATTTGTTAGAATGTTGATAATGCAAATTATCAATTGCAAGATTTTTATTATGAAAGACCATAATTAGAATGTAAAAATAGAACAAATTTGGTAAATACAAGCAAATTAGTTTCAGAATTAGTTTAAAAAGAATCATTGTCTCCAAATAAATAAATGTTATCAAAAGTCAAAGTAAATGTAATAAAATATATTGCATAGCATTCTCCTTAAGAAAGTAAAAAAGTATTAAGACCTAATATTAAGAGTGAAGCTCTTGACTATTTCAAAAAACATAATCTTTTGACGAAATCTTCTTAGATTCTTCAATAGTCCTTAAAGTTGGGTCATGCTTATTCCAAAACCTTATAATAGCCTTCCATGTCGATATAAGATTTAAAAGTATTAGAATTTAATAATTAAGAAATTAAAATAGTTGTTTGATCAATCTAAATAATTATTAAGTTCTGATAGATTAACTACTGTTCCTGATTAGAATAATAAAAATGGTATAGAAAGAGTCAAAACTGAACAAATTGGTAACTTACCTTCTCCTAAAACTACAACCAATAGTGCTGCAAATAAATTAGCCAAATTTTCTAAATTATTTGGATCAGAAAAAAGAAAAAAATGAAGATGTATTTATAGTTAAAGTGGATGTATTACTCATTAGTATATAGTTTATTTAAATAATATTAATGTACTTTTTTGTGCAATGTAATGTATTAATAATGCAATCATTTCTTCTTTTATTCGACTTTCTTAATGTAAAATTCTAATTCCTTTCCTTCCAAAATGTAACCATCAGCTCTTCCTGATTATCCTGGTCTTGATGTAATTCTAACCAACAATCTTTAATTTGTAAATTATTCTTAAACCAATGCATCAATAGCATTTTCCTTTGCTCTTTCTTCTAATTTCTTAATCAGACTTCTTGATTTCTTAGTTGATTCAGGTTGTCCTTCCTAATTTAATAAATCATTATTACTTTCTTGTCCTTCTTCTTTGATCCCAATTCTACATTATATTTCTTTGCATACCATTATCTAAATGGAGTAGCATCAACTTAAACGATCACTCCTCTAGTAAGTGTCTTGGTTCTGACCAATTCATTATTTGATGGATGATAAACAACCTCAACAATTTTAGCTTTTTTAGCAACACCTTGGCTTCCCCAAGAGAAATTGCCTTCTGATAAACGGAGAGCTCTGAATTTGAAATTTCCTCCTCTGACTCTTAATCTTCTGACTCTCTTTTCTCCTGATACCAATTTGGTCATTGCTGCCTATCTTCCTTTTTCAAAGGCTCTCTTTTTCTTATGAATAGGCATACGACCTCCAGTAAGTCTTCTTTTGTGTCTACTATCTCTTGAAATTCCCATGAAATGCTTTCTTAAATAAAAAAAGATTTTATTTAATTTTAAAATGTGCTTATATATTAAACCAAATATTTTATTTATTTTCCATTATTAATTAGGTGTGTTATGCAAGGAGAAAGGAGTATTTAAGAAATTCTACAAAACATAAAATATGAACAAATGTAAAAATCAAATTTATTTATTTGTTGGACTTAAATTGAATCTATATTTTATGCAAAATATATTACTATCTATTGTTACTAAATTAAAATGAGTATTTCATGAGAGACTTCGGAATTCTATACTCAAAGCTTAAATCATCAACTTAATATATAGGGTTTCCTTTATTTTTTTTAATTGACTTATCAATTTGTCGTTATTAAGTTATTGATTTATTTAGATCTTAGCTCTATTAACTAAGCAATTATAGGTAAGGTTATTAGAGAATAGCCTGTTTAAGAATGTTCTAAGGACTTTTAGCAAGGCATTATCGATTGCTGTCAGAATTAGGAAAACTCGGTAATCTTAACTTGGGTAGTTGCTTAACTCTATTAGGACTAAATGAGCTCATATTTTAGAATTGGAATATGTTTCTACTCTTTAGTTGTTTTACAACTAAATAGCGATTTCGAATTTTAAAGTTTTTGAATTCTATTTCTCTTTTTGGTTCTATTATATTTTTTTTTAATTGATAGTATAATGACATTAAAATAATTATAATTAATATTTTTTCAAATTATAAGGCTATGCAACGATCATTTTCGAAATCCTTTTTTGAATGAGATTTTGAATAATATTTAATTAATTGATTATAAAATTAAGAGTAATGTGATCATTTATTTTAAGCATAAACAAATAATAATTCATGAGATTACGTCATCCATCCCAGGAATTAGTTGGCTTACGAACCCTGTGTTTAGATCTATTGATTAATGATTATAAAGTACAATAGACTCTAAAACAAATCCTTAAGTTCAGTGTTACTCATAGGTTAAAAGGGATGAGCAGGGAAATATTCATTCGGTCTTTCTAATTCCAATGGGAATGATCTTTATGGTTGCTTCTGAATTGTGCCGTCAGGTCTGAGGGATTTAGTTTTTTAAGTTTTCCTTACCTTAACAATATTAGATTCGGTGGTAAATCTAGTTTTAGATTGGTCATTATTTCTTTCTTAAATTCTGACTTTAGGAATATTGACGTCAACTTGAGAATACGAAATCTCATAGCTTAACACTGGAGGGAGTTTGATATCTTCCTTTGATCTATCAGTTGAAGAGCCAAAAGCATAACTTTTTTTTCTTTGCCGACTTTCTTCAATTTTGTACGCTGAAAGATTTGGTTTTTAAACTCTTGATTTATGCAGTACAAATTTCTGGTAATTAAGTTCTGCGTCTGTGCTCTCAGTATTTTGAGAGAAGAAATCATATAGATCTCTGACCATTTGATTATGAAAATTAATGATGTATTTATATATAATTTATCTGGATTTGTGTGATATAGAATGAAGGTAGAGAATTATAATGCAGAAATGAGAGATAGGAGTTAAGTAATGTTTGAAGCTAGAAGCAATTAAATACATATTAAATACAAATTAATTATAGTTAATTTAGAAATGCAAACTTTGCAATCCATAATCTAGCAAAAAGTTTTGTAGTAAATAAATAAGCAAAAAACAGAACCATTGCAATCCTTGAATATAACCTATGTAAATTGTATTATAACTGTAGTATTCAGCAAACAAGATAAAATTGACTTTGGACGAGGATGTTTAAATAAGCAAGGCCATGCAGGTAATTACAAATTTAAGTAGGGTATTCAAAGTGTTCATCTCCAGAAATAGTAATCCCAAGCATTGATTTCTAGCAACAAAGTGGCAGTTCTTAATGTTGATAACATTAATCCTATGGCATAACTCAAAAATGAAGAAATTAAATAGGGTCCATAGAAAACCAGATTTCTTATAAGAAATGAATATGACAGTAAGTTGTCCTCTGAAAATAAAATCACACATTCATCAGTTGTTCCCAATAAATACCATAAAACTTATTTATCCCATGTTGAAGAATGCATCAGGATAAGACAAGAGAATAATAGGCAGAGGAAAAAAGATTATGATTAGAAAGTTAGAATATTTAATTTACCAAAAATATAGGATTACACCAGTCTTCAAAATAGTCAATAAAAACAAATATCTGAATAAAATACTACAGAAATTCGAAACTCAGATAACAACAAAGATAATCTAGATAATAATCTATTGTTGGAATTCAATTAATAGCTATGGCAACAAAAATAAGCTATATATCATAAAAAATAACTCCTTCTTTGGAATAAAAAATAGAGATAACTTGATATGAATCACGATGATTTATTTGACTGATTTGTAATTTATATTAAATTATGACATTGATTGCTCAATACTAATATCAATAATTTTAAAATCTATACGTTAGCCTTGTATATTTTAACTTAATTGTAATATGAAAATTAATAAAATAATTTATTATATTAATATGTCATAAGTGAAAAAAAGCCTCTTAAAAGTAGAGAAACTTTAATTTGATATCTACATTAATAAATAGTTAATTTAAGTGGATTATGATGATTAAACTACTGTGGGGGAAATTCTCGATTTAATAACAAGGATACAAAATATTTCGAACTCAAATATCTCTTTGTATTTGGCTAAAAAAAGTGGCGAACCTAAACTATCTTTCCCAGCTTTGGAGAGAAATAGAAAACTAATAAAAACAAATGAAAAACGATTTGTTGTTGTTATGAAGTAATTAGAACCAAAAATTTAAAATGAATAAAATTTAGAGGCTGTAAAAATAACTGAGGGAAGACATCCAAAATAAAGTGTTTTCAAGAAATGGTTTGGAATCTCCATGACTTGTAAATGATTTATTAAGTATATATAAATTACTTTTTAATAAAATATCTTTTAATTATTGATTATAGGGATTATAATTTTTGTTATACATTCATATCTTTTACATAACAAATTAAATGCAGTTTTGATAATTATATTAAAAGTATTTAATAATGCAATACATATAGATACAGTAATATTGAAAATAAAATAAATAGTAATGTAATATCTATAATTAATATATAAAATCAAAGCAAAATCGGATGGATCCAAAATCAACTGCTTTTCACATTTATAAGTAAACCCTGATTAAAAAAAACAATTAACCTATTTCACAAGTGTATAGTTACGAATAAAAGGATGTGAGTTTATTATGATTATCTCTTTTAGAAAATTGGATAAGGAGCCTATGGCAGTGTTTATAGAGCAGTTCATAAAGTAAGTAAACAAGTGAGAGCAGTTAAAGTGATTAACAAATTGAATATTAAATACAAAGATAGATTATTGAGTGAAATCACAATTATGGAGTTGTTGGTACTCAATGTCTTTTATTTTAGGATCATCCTAGCATTTTAAGATTGTTTGAAACCTTTGAGGATGCAGAGTATTTGTATATGGTTTTGGAGTAAAAATATCAATTCAATTACTTGATAGAATCTGTTAAGGAGGGGATGTATTTGATAAAGTACTTGAAAAGGGTTGTCTCTCAGTGGAAGATGCATTTAAAGTGTATATATAATACATGAGAGCGGTTAATTATTACTAAGGATTCAAAATAGTTCATAGGTATTAATTTTATAATTTTTAGAGATTTGAAACCTGAAAACTTTTTGTTCCAAAAGAAGAATGATATGAATTCATTGATAGTTATTGATTTTGGAATTGCCAAAAGAGGGATAGACAAATTACAAACTAAAAGTGGAACAGTAAAATCACCAAATTTAACGAATAGGCTTATTATGTTGCCCCTGAAGTACTGGATGGATAATATGATCATAAATGTGATGTCTGGTCTGCAGGAGTTGTCCTATATGTCATTTTATGTGGTTATCCTCCATTTTATGGAGAGAATGAAAAGGAAATCTTAATAGAAATCAAATCAGGAACATTGCAATTTGAAGGTTATTAAATTGTTAATAAGTAGGCGATGAGTGGTTAGGAATCTCGTAAGAAATTAAAGATTTTATAAAACAACAAGTATGTCCAGCATCTAATAGAGCTATCCCCAAAGATTTGTTAAGTCATAAAATAATAACCTAATACAATTAAAAGTTTCTGAATGATTTTAAATTGATTTCAATGTAAAATCTCAATTAATGGATCAAATATCACCCATTAAGAAGATTGGCACTTTACTATCTATCAACATAGATTGATTCATGTGATTTAGTCAATTAAAAGAATACTTTCTTCTTCATCAATTAATCGTAAAGTGGATTGATAACGCAATAGGAATTGGCGACTTATTTGAAAGTTAATAAGTAGGATATTCAAAAATTATGGCCATATATCGATTGTAATAGCAATGGTTATTTGGATTATTTTGAATTTGTAGCATTGACTTTGACACCATAGGATTATCAAAAACAATTACAATTTATGTTTGATTTTCTAAGTTAATCTGAGAAGGTGATAACTCAAAAAAGTATTAAATTTATTTTTGATTAAAATGCTAATTTAAATAATAAGTGGGATAGTATTTCAAACACGAAAAACCAGTATGCTTAAGTCAATCAACATGAATAATAAATAAATGTTAAAAACATTATTGATAAAGATATCGATTTTAACGCATTCAAAACAATAATGGGATGATTCAATAGAATATATAAAATATATTAATTACAATTTTTGTAATCAAACAATGGAAGCTTATAGATTCCATGTCCTTTATTTTTTTTTTTAATTGCTTTCGTAATCTAAAATATTGCATGTTGTATTACTTGTTATATACTTTTTGACCTAGACAACAAAGTAGATGATGACTCCCAAGAAGATTGTTTCAATGATAGCTTAAACCATCATCAAAGTTCCTTGGTACAACTAGCCGCATACGATTTCTTGTTTTTAATCATCAGTAATTTCAGTTGTGGCTGGTTATTAGGTGGCACTTTCCTACAACAATCGAGTTTTTGATAAAATATTATATTGTTAAGCATAGCCTTGCATAAGAGCCCATACTAAAAAGTAAGTAATTAATCGTATTGCCAAGACAAATGATGTCAAACAGAGGTATTTCCCAATTTCAGATGAGGACCTAGAATTAATGCCAAGAAATCCATAGGTTGAACTAGCAATCCAGAATATGTTTCCACCTACTATAACTAAGCACAAAATTGCATATGTATAACATGTAGTTCGATAATGGATGAAGTAGTATAGAAATCTTATGCACTAATATATAAATGCACACTAAAGATATTGGATAGTTAACTTACGATTATGAATATATTTGAACTTTGCAGAAATCTAATGTTGTCCTCGATAGCTTCATTGAACTCTTCACAATCAGGAGGCAACAAAGAGTCGCCTTATCGCTTGGTAATAATGAAAGGCCTATTAATTTCCATCAGTGGATTTGAATCGTAAAAATTAATATATATATTAAGATGAATCAATTGAGAAATTAGAGAGGTACAGACACAGATGAAGTATACATTGATCCAGAGAGAGGAATTGCTATTAACGCTCGATAGATGACCACTGAATAGCATTTCAAATATTACAAATCCTCATTCAGCACTATGAGACCTGATTTGACTGAATATGAGTATGAAGCATTTGCCAAGAGATTACGAGTGGGTATTTGAGAATTTATAATAAAGGTGAGTCGTTCTTGAATCACATGAGAGTGTTTCTCAATCATGAATCAGGTAGGATTACAAATCTTTATCATGTAAGTGCTAGAATGGACAAAGCTCTGGTATATGATGCATTACTATAATCAAGAACTATTAACAATAATACTTCCATTTGCGTCCTCCTTTTATTTTGGGCCACAGATCAAATGCAAATAGAAATTGGGCTGATGCATCAAAAGTTGTGAATTATGTTGAGAAGCAATTATTAAAAATTACAAAATACGGTAACTATGTCCAATCTAAGGTCCTAGGCTTGGATTATCCTAATTATTATGCACCAGCAACGTCACAAGAATTGAAACAGAGAGAAGATGAGATTTATGAGAGATTCGTCAGGGAAATGAGAAAACCTCCTATCGTTGCAGCGTAATGAAAATTATACAATAAATAATAAATTATTATTAGAATCTTTTTTACTAATACATCTAGACTTAGTCTCCAAGTATTAATAAAAATCATACTCTCAATTCTGATTGTGTACGAGGTTGTTACATTCATTAATTTTTGCCAATAATATCTAATAAATAAGATATGGATTTATTAAAATTAATTTATAAAATGTCTGAAACTATATTATTTTTTATCTTTTAAGTTATTAATATGAATAAGTCAGACAAATACTTAATGTTTGAAGATGACATCTCTAGTACTCAAAGTTCTGAAGGAGAAGACTACATTCCTAAAAGAATAATTTCTAAATCCAATACAAGAAGGATCCATAAAATCCCCATAGAGCAACAACAATAACTATTTCGACAAGTGTTTCAGGAAGGCAAACCAATTAAAGAGGTATTCTTTTTCCTATTACAATTAGGTTGCCAAAGCTTTGAATCTAAATTACTCTAGTGCTAAATCTCTCATTCATTATTATAAAAATAATAAACGCTCAGCCCCCTTAGCAGTATTAGATGTTTTAAGTGGCAAAAAATCGCTGGTGTGTAGAGTTTCATAAAAAATTGATAAAAAAAAATACAATAATCTAAAAATAGAAGTCAGGCAAAAAAATCAAATTCTTCACTCCTACAACTATTATGAACAAAAGACAACTCATAAATGACTTATAAATTAAAATTATAATCTTCATTACGTTAGATCTTTTCTTTGTCTCAATTACGATTTCCAATTAAATAATTTTATACATTAAATCAATAACAAATATAATTTAAAAATACTCAATTTTTCATTAAGTGGACTTGCTTTCCTTAATACTACAATTATTTGCCAAATAGAACATAATAATCAATAATTGTATTCATTTCTAATTATAATCATTAAATTAGTATGTTTTTGCCTCCATATCTTTCTGGAATGGTTTCCTCATCTAAATCTTTCAGAAGTGCTTTCTTAATCTCATTGAAATCTTATCCAACAAAATTAATCTAAAAATATGAACAATTTAACCTTTTCAACAGTTCTGGATGGTAAAAATGGCTTTAACATAGTATAAAAGCTGCGAGTCAAGAAGTTTGTGTTTATTACATAAATTCTAAATTATCTTTCAGGATAATAGTTGAAGATTTCTATAAACGCATTTTTCAATACACTGAAAGAGAAGTTAGCAGGACTCAATTTATAACAATCAATAATTACAATAAATTGATCTACATATCCTCTCATACTTGTTTTATTAATATATTATAATACGATCTAATGCCTTCTTCCATCAGACTTTAATGGAATTACAAATAGCCCTATTCAGAAAATCCTTAGTTAGTTTCAAACTTTTCTGGATGAGAATTCATTCCATTAGTTACTAGAATTGGATGTCCCCATCTTGAAAATCCCAATTAAGTATGAACATTTTCATTAGCATACATTTAGTAGTCAGAGGTCTTTCTGGAATTAACTTTATTTTCCTTCCTCCATTGCTATTAAAAATAGTGAGTTTATATACTAAACATTTCAGTATCATTTTTTCAGTATCTTTAACTTTATAATTTCTTGCAATCAAATACCTGATCAAGGCCTAGTCATTCAAAAATAAATGACCTATCTTCTCTTTTAATTCTGCTAGAGCTTTTAATTATTCTTCATTTTAGTGTATAATTCTATTATGCATATTTTCATATTTCTTTGCAGACTCATTAGGTTTTAACTAATTATCTACATAACCTAAGCGATCTTAAGGGGGGAAATTAAAATTTTCTCCTTTAGAAAATTCATTTTCTTAACTATCATTATTTGAATGATTGGTTTCAAGCACAATTCTTGATTGTGCTATTGGTAGAGCTTCATTATTAATTTAAATTAAAAGCAAATCCAATTCTGTTGATATTATTGACAAATTAATTATTTACTCCTTCATTAGTTTTCTTATTATTTTTTCATTTTGGTCTTTTTTTACAACCTGCATGTATTAAATGTAACATTTTGAGTCTTCCTCCACTACATGAATAATTTCAAACATCTTAAAAATTGATATTGGTTTTTTCTTTGATTCGTTATCAGAATTCTTAGCAATGGGAAATTAGCCTTCATTGACTGATTCTCTTGTTAAGAAAAATGAATTATTCCTTTGGAAATCAAACTATATATATTTAGATTCTAAAATATACATCTTACCTTCATTATTAAAATGCCATGTATCTTTATGATATTATTACAAATCAATCTCATGGATTTCAGATGATTATTTAAATAAATCCAAAAGTTTTCCACCTTTCTATTTAATTTATTTACTAATTTACTTTAATTATTGTGGCCACCTTCTCTAAAGAAGTATTAAATACATATTCACCTTTCAGAACAATATTATTGGAAGAGTGGATTGTTGTTAACTTCATTTATTTTAATGATTTTTCAATAATCCACTTATCCTTACTTAATTCTTGGTAGAGTTATAATTATTTTTACACGTATTCTGGGATATTTCTAAAGTAGTTGGGCAATTAGATACTTAGTTATATTTGAAATGTCATTCTTTAAAGATTTATGTGAATCGATGGGGATCTGATAATTAGAAGAGTGAAGCAGAGCCTCATATTCTGATATGAGAATTGCTTATTTAATTTTACTAACCCATTCAGCTGCATCATCATAAGTCATTGATATAAATTGCATCATTATTTCTTATTATAAGTGTCTGAGAGTGAAAGTATAATAACCGTCCTCTTGCCAAGTGCCATCTACAATGAAACCTGATAGATCGACTCTTTCTTAGGGAATATGAGTCTGGTTATAAATATGAAATTACTTTATCGTCTTCAAATATTAGAAATTGAGTGCCTTCCAAATAGAAATATTTAGTAGTTTTAAGTCCAAATATATGTTTCTGTTATCTTAGCTTATTTTATTTAATTACAGATATCCATTTTTAATTGGCCTTTAATTCATTAATTTTATTAAATTGATGTATAATTTATTTTAAAAATGATGAAAGTGTTGTGTTTGATCTGCTTAATATATATGGGATAGAGCTTGTCTGTATAGATTAGCTAGAAACCTACATGCTTTTATGTTAAATCATATACAGGAGACACCTATGTTACAGTAAATTATTAGATATCTGGAGTTGATGAAAATAAAACAGAAATAACAATAGAATCAGAAAACGGAGATAAATTAGTAAAGAAATAAAATACAAAAGAAGGAGCGCTTAAGTAATTATTAAGAGAAAAGGGCACTTATTATATCTGTTTCAAAAGCTTATCCAAAGGCTACAAGACGGTAAGTTTTGACTTTGACATGGATGGTGTAGATAAAGAATATGCTTAATCAGAACAATTTAGTGAGATGTCAAAAGAATTGTCAAGGACTCATCGAAACTATTAGGCAATTTACAGAAATTAAAATTGGATTACTGACAGAGAGAATGCTCATTAAATGTGTAAGTATTATAATAAAAGTAGTGTTGGAGTAAACATAATAAAATGTTAAATTGTGTGCTTTAGCTAAAATAGGAATATTATTAACAATAGCTATAACTTAGATATGTGTTGTGTATTATTTTTTTAAAGGCAAAGATTTTAGTGCAAGTGTTTGATAATTATTGTATTGATAGATACATAATATATTCACTTTTTCTTTTAAACTAGTTTATTGTTTTATTACTATTATTATTAAATAGCCTTTTGTTATTACTAATTTGGTCTAGTATAAGCAGTAGTATATTGTTGTTATTTGTTAGTTCGTACTGAATATTTTGGAAATGGCTTATCGTTTTCTACTAATCCTTATTGTAATTTTTAAGGCATTTATTAGTATTTTAATTCCAAAAACAAATGCACTTAAATATCGGGTGTTGTTGACAGAGGAAGATAATCCTAACCAATTATTTTACCTAAAGCTTTTCCCTCTGACTCATCTTCAAAAAGAGTTTCATGCAATTCCCATCTTCTGTCACATGCTATACAAGCAAAATAAGAATCAAATCAGTTCTTGCATCTTAATGGATAATTTGGAAGATGATCTTCGCATCCATGATTACATTTACAGGGTGGTCTTCATGTAAAAATGTTAAAGTCTTTTCCTCGTGGTAACCAATACATTCCACATTCTTCTGGCCTAGATGGTACAAAATTAAATCTATTGCATTCGCAATTTTCACATCCTGTATTAAATTTTTTCCCCAATATTTGTTTATGTTAACTAAATAGATGATCACAAAAGCATTTGCTAGTGGAACCGATTCTACTACTTCTGATTTCTATTCTACACAGTAATCAGTAATTTTGCTATTCTGTATTATTATACATAAATTCCAGTATTAAGTTCCTAAAGTATGTTAATATTCTTAATTTTATAATCTTCCTAGCACCTACAGCTGGTCCATATTTTTGTACTACTTCGCATACTTAATATTCATTCATTGCCATACAACTGAACATTTTTTATTATTTGATTAATATTTATCATCATTGTTAATTTACTAATTTAACTTAAGATAAACTTAATGGATTTTATAAATATATGATAATACATTTCAAAAGAATCAGTTTGTTAAAAGCATATTGCTCCTCATTTAATCTCATCATTTTTCTTTATCGTTTAATAGTAAATAAAATCGTTTGATTCATAAATTTAGCTATATCTAGCAAGGATTTGAAGTCTAATTTTCTATAACATAGCCAATAAACAGAATGATTAACCAAAAAGATTCATGCCTTAGCTATCCAAAGGATCATTGGAATGGGCTGTGTATCATATTAAAGCTATTCTTTTGTGGATACTTTTTGCTTGTAATACATAAAGAATAAGGATTCTACTGATAATCCTTTTAGCTATTGGTGAATTTGATGTTCTATAGAGTTATATTAAAATAAGGCTAAAGTTTTTTTGTAAACTCAAATTATTGAGTGCACTACTAAGAAGTTTGTTCTTTAATCAGTCACATCACACACTATTATTTTTTGGAAATAAGCAGATTCTGCAATGCTTTCAAATTTTCACAAAAGTGAGCTAGTTATCAATTGACGCTAATAATTCCAGATCTTTTGAACCAGAACTCCCAAAGCTATTGTAATCCAAAATATGATTTGCATTTTATAACTTATTTATTTTTTGAGTATGCCTTGTTAATTATGAATCAATAACCCTTATTTGAGCTTTGGATATTCTTATCAATTGAAATAGATTATTAAAAAAAACAATGTAACTTGTTTAATTTTAAAAATTTGGATATTTAGAAAAATCTGATTAATTTAACAATTAGAAACTCATCAACTATATCCAATTAGTAACAAAAGAAACAGGAAGACTATAATTTCAATTTATCTGAATGAATATATAATATTATTTTAATTATTTTAACGAATTCTTGTATGATTGATTAAGAGAGTTTGCTAGCCGAACTAGGATTATTAGATGATAGGAAATTATTGCTGGAGTTGACTATTTAACTGGGATAAAATGAACATGACATCCTATTTCTATATGAAGGGGATGATATAGGTGTTAAGGCTAGTCAATTTTGTGAGAAGCATCATCTAAAGGATGAAATAAAGGATGTTATTGCTCAAAATATTAAGCTGCATCTGAATGAGAAGGAAAATTATTTTAGTTTCGTAAATTAATCCACTTAGATAAGCAACGTCAACACTAATAAACCACTACAGAATTAAGCAATCAAATAAATTAAAGATGTTAATTAGTAGAAGAAGGAAAATAAGAAAGACAACCTCAATAAATCATAGGCTGCTATCAAAAAAACTGATATCTATGACAAATAAGTCAAATAAATGAATAATAAGAACAATGCGATCTAAAAGCAAAGAATTCTTAAAGAAGAAGAAGCAATTAAAGAAGCAACATTCAAACCAAGGCTGAATTAAAATACATTAAAAATTGTCAGTACTACAAGATAAAACAGAAATAATACTCCAGAATATTATTTGTTGAAATATGGATAATAATTGTAAGAATAAAAAAAAAAGGCAGAATAATAAAATTTAAATGAAACCTCAAGAGAATGTTCCTTCAGACCTGAGATTAACAAAATGTAATTATTTTTATTGTATAATGAAGCTCTCAAAAAATTTGTGATGAAATCATCAAGAAAGATGTCAGCATGACTAAATTTGATTAATTATATAATTAGGCCAAAAAAAGGAAAGCTAATGACAAATCTTCGACTTCTATCATTTAAGAATCTCAAACTTAGCAGTCCAAAAGAAGTGTCACACCGAATAAGTCTTAAAATAAGCAATATCTACCTTTTTTAGAAAGAGTGGAAATTTAAAAAAAGATTAAAGAAGAAAGGCTAAAATAAGAAGTTGAAGAATCTGTAATGTATGATGATAAAAGTGGATAAAAACTATTTCAACCGTAGGTCCATAGTGCCAATAGAAATAGAGGTGGACTCAGTATCGGTGAGTATCTTTATTAATAGTAAAAATCCATAAATGAAGAATCTATAATACAACTTGAATGTGATGATTTAAGCAAATCAGTCTAAACTGATAGATCTAATTAAATAGTTACTTAAATGAGAAGAAAGAAACTCGAAGAATATTTTAAACTAATGGATTCAGACAATGATGGATTGATTAGTGCCCAAAATATTTATCTCGAAGAATTACCTACAGAAGCCTTAGAACTACTAAAACCAGTTATTCTATAATTAGAAAAATTGGATATATTTTTGAACATCGAAACATGGACAGCAAAGTGTCTCGATATCATTGAAAAAATGAGTATTTTTGATAAAAATCGCCTATTTTAAAAATAACCCAAATAGTAAAAGACATTACCTGATAGTTCCAGTACTTTTAAACCTTAGTTAAATCAAAAATCAGAGATTATTGCAAAATAGAGATAGACTTTTAAAGGCCCAGCAGCTTTATATCAAAAAGCGATGAAAGAAAATATAGTTAAAGAATAAAAAATCAAACAGATTAAAGAATAATAAGAATAAAAATAGGCTAAATAATGCACATTTTAACCAAAAATTAAATTATCCAATAGATCTAATACTAGTACAGGGTTTTATTGATTAATCATATATTTTACATACTTTTGTATTTAAATATTATAAATGATTATATAGCATTGTATGCGAATAAAAAATAGTTGTTTATTTGAGATTTCCAATTAGATCAATGCTAAATAAACTAATAAATATGAAATAAAAGAGTTAAAGTCCTCAAACAAAGATTTTACAAAAGGATATATATAATGAAAAATTTCAATATTTAACTTAAGTTTAATTGAGCCATTAATGGGAAATGAATATTACAGTAACCCTATAACGAAGGGATAATCCAGAATACTCAATAAAAATTTAATATTATTGCTAAATAATCAACATCAATTATATTAGTGATACATTACTGCCATCAACTCGTATCAACATTTTCTTTACAATTGATACATTAGTAATAAAAATCTATCATATTTTAATAGATTACTGAAGAGAAATTTATCATACATTATTCCATAATTTTTAATAGATTAATACAGAGAAAATTAATAAAAATTTAAATCAAACCATAATTACAACAATATGAATAGAGAGAGACGATGACAATAATTTTTTAATTAAACTCTATAGAAGAATAAGAATAAAGTAAAAATGAAGATTAAAAGAGAATATTATCTGAAGATACTTGATAATAACTATAGTAATTAGTCTGATTCGATTAAAAAAATCTACACTTCTCAAACAGGTCTATTAAAGTCTCAAAACCAAAAAAAATTGAAAATTTTTTAAATATTAATATTCTCATTTGAGCATTTCCTAAAATTCAAATGAATTATTGATAGGTTTGACTTAATTATAATTTAATTGATCCTAAAAAGATAATTAATATTATTCTATAATTATCTATTTTATAGAGATCTAATAAGAATTAAAAGTTTTATTAATTTAATATCAATAAAAGATTGATGTAATTTCAAAATATTTTGCAAACATCATTTGGGGATTAACCATTTTTCCATTTAATTTTTTCTTCAACTGTTATAAATTGATCTCCCATCTTTTTCACAATTTTACCTTCTCCATGTTTTTCATCTCTTTCAAATTGACCATCATAACTAAAATATAGAAATAGAATACTAAAGATCTGAAATCAAAAATTCTCTTCCATTTCCTTATTTCAATCCATTTTCAAAGTTTCCATTATATATTTCAATACCATTTTGCAAAATTATTCCTATTCCATCAAGTTGTCCATTCTTCCAATTCCCTTCTTTAATAATTCCATTTTCGATTAACTTTCCTTTACCAGAGTATTAAAAACTATTATTTATCTAACCTTCATATAAATTTTTTGAGTCAGAATACTTCACTATTATTATAGAGTTTTATTCAAATTTATTATTTCTTATTTCAACATTTTCAAATTTAATCTCATTATTTTAATTAGCATAAACATTAAATTTACACTTTCCATTATTTACCTTTTCAAGGGACCATTACATTTTATCATCAACATATTTTTCCTCTCCTGATTCTTTTCTTGTAAGTTAATAATCAAACCTATTCTAACTATCTGGAAAAAATTTTAATAAATTAAAATCAAAAAGAGATTAATTTTTGTAACTCTTATACGAATTACCTACTTGTTTTTCTTCACTTGATACTTAAATATGAGTTAATGCATCAGGTTGTTTAATTACAGCTTATCCATTTATCTAAATATATGATGATGTAATACGTTTCCCTTTTCATTTAAATTTGCTTAAAGATGAGTTGCATCAGGGTATTATCTAAGGATATTACTTTCCATAGGTTTTATACCTTACTAAAATCTAATTGGAAGAAGGTTGAGCATAAAATTAGTTTCAATTTAATTCAAGCTTACTTTAATATCATAAAATCCAAGATGACAAATCTCGCTTAAAGTTTCTCTGAATTCCTCTAAACAATTGTTCAATTTCTTATTTGCTAAATCAACTAATCCTAAATTTACAAAATCATTTTAAGTCATCATTTATATTTCAGTTTTGTTGATTTAAGCCTTTTAAATATTTTTTTCAATTTGATCATTATTCTCAATTACCCATTTTTGATATTTTTTAAACCTAGCAAGCATATTGTTCTATTAATTCTATAATTCACTTTCTATTTTTTAATATTGATCTTTTAAATCTTTCTCAATTTTTTTATTTTCCTTCTATATTCTTTGTAATTCTTAGTTCTATGATTCCATCCTTGGTTTAATATCCTCTTCAGTAATATATTAATATTTTAGATGATAATTTTATTCAAATGACAATAATAAATTATTGGTATCAAAATTCTTAAAAATAGTTTAAAGATCTGGAATTTAATATAATGATTAACCCAAAAGATGTTCTTCAAATATTTTATTCTCCATATTAAGAGCTATTTCAATAATCTTATTTTTTAATTCATTTAATTATTTTGACTTCTTTTTAATAGATTCATCTCTTAATTTATTTATTTCTTCTTATTACCTTTAGATAGTTGTCTTAGTCTCTTTTACACTTAAATTTGATAATTAAGGCACATAATTATCTATCTATTGTAATGAATCCATAAATGATTTTTTGATATTCTCCAAATGACTTTAAATCACAGCTTAAAATTCTCCCAATAATAATTACCTTTTTTAATCTAAATAATGATTCAATTATCCTTTTTCCTACGTTAATATTTGTTAAAATTATTATTATCGTTTTTAAAACTCTTAATCCTTTTATTAGACATTAGAATTATGATTCTATTTATAACATCTCTTACACATAAATCTACATTATTAACTCAAATAATCATAGCAAACACCTTCAATCATATAATCATTATGTTGTTGGCAAAATATTAAAGGAAGTTCAACTTGTTCCATAGTATAATATTTTTTATTTATATAATTAAAATTAAAGATGCTTTATAAAAGAATATCACAAATCTATCTGATTAATATTATCATTCTCTTTCCTGAACTTAAACTAAATAAAAAGTCTGATAAATTTATTGATTTATAGTTAAAGTATGTTTTCTTTTTGCTGTTTAAAAATATATTTCAAGTAAATCTTAATTCAGACTTCTTAATTGTAGTTCTCATTCAATAACATTAATATCTATTACTATTTTTATATTAAATGCTCTATTTCATTTCATAAGTACTAGAAATATATATTACAACTATCACTATTAATCAGTAGTATTAATATTTCAGAAATTCAAAATAATATATTAATCATTTTTTAATACTAAAATATTAATTATATTGAGATCAATTAACTAATTTTTAGAATTATTCTTTATTTCTATTTTTATGATGGAACGCTAATAATTCAATGAGATAGCTACCTTTACTGCATGCATGAATCATTAAATTCTAATAACAAGAGATATAAAAAATACATTCAAATAGCTATATCTCTTTGGATACCAAAATTGTGTCCATCTGATTAATGCTCCATATTCATAAATAATTTGGTAATTTTAATGAATAGTCTATCTGATTATTGAAAAAATCTTATATTATAAATTCCTATTTACATTCTTTCTGACAAAGTTTTTTTATAAAAGCTATATTAATTTGAGGATTGAATAGTAAGAGTTAAATTTTAATAAAGTGTGTTAAGGATAATATCTAAAAAGTTCAAAAAAAAAGACAGAAACTTAAACAAGCACTTACTTTTAGCAGTCTTTTAATGAATAGAATTATGATATTAAAGAATAAATTGAATTATAGATAATAAATTCAATGATATTTTTGCTTCATATTTAATTGATTTAAAAATATAATACTAATTTTTGGTATATAAATTTGTTGCTTAAAATTAATAAGACTTTTGTAACCAAATTATTTTACTTAACTAATGATTATGGTAAATAGAAATTCAAGTATAACCTAATATATATGTTGATCAAATAAATGTAATATTCTTATCATCTTTTAAATCCTCCTCTTCCAAAGCCTCCTCTTTATTAACCACCTCCTCTACTAAATCCGCCTCCTCTTGGTCCTCCTCTATTAAAACCACCACCTCTAGGGGCTCCTCCTCTTCCTCCTCTACCGGATCCTCCTCTAGGTCCTCCTCTTCCACCACCTCTTGAGCCTCCTCTGCTTATTCCTGGTGCACCTTTTGGCTTTGGTAAAAATCGATCCATAGGCATGCAATCATAGGCATCCATATAAATCAATTGATCTTATTTGAACTTTGATTAAATGTTTGAGTACTGATTTTGGAGTGATTCCTTCTTCTAATGTTACTGAGAATAAGTAATTTTCAATTGGACCAAATATTTCATCAACTTTACCAATAGGTTGCTTATTTTCGAAATACACACTTCTAAAGAATCTTGGAACCTTAATAATAAATAGCCTTTAATACAAGTTATTTTCCTAAGGCCTTAACAATTATTTGATTTCCACAAACATGTGAAAAAGTAGCGAATGGTTCAACTTTTGCTGGGGGGCCTTATGGTTATTGAGGTCTTCCTCCTCTTCCGCCTCCTCTTCCAAAACCGCCACCTCTGGGGGCACCTCTTCCACCACCTCTGCTATTGAAATCACCTCTGCCCATAATTTAATTTTAATATATATATTTTTTATTCATATTTCAATCTACTCATATAAGTTTTATGGTGGTTCGCTTATAGTTAGGAAGATTAGAAACACAAAAAAATATTCTGACAGAGGGAATATCAGTATAATAATTGGCAAAAGTAACGAAATGGTCACTAATTATATTTGAGAATAAAGGTACTTGAAAATTTTTAATCCATTATAACGGGTAGGACTTTTACAATCACAAAGCAAACAAGCAACCCTTGCAACACATTTTATATAAATGGGTAACCTTTGCTTAGATAAAAGTAAATGAGGAATAAGATAGCAAATGCTATATCAGGTACTCGATTACACAACATCTTAACAACTGGTAAACTAAGAACTAATGTAAACATAAATACAATACTCATAAATATCACTTGATTATCATAAAAATTACTATTGACCATATCCAAATTTTGCATTAATATAATACATGCTATTAATCTACTAGCATAAAATTTCATATTAATTTTGGGTTTGTGTTGTTTCTACTGCATAAGTGTTTTATTTAACATTATGATCAATAATACTAACACAAATTATACAAAGGCGAAACTTGCTTTCTAATAGGGTAATATTAGGTTTATTATCAAGGGTATTAAGTAAAGTAAACTATAAGTCTCTTAAATATATTAATTATGATACCATTTTCCCTTAACCCAGAATTTTGTAGAGCAAATAAATCATCGTAAATTGAAGTCTTAATTGGCAGGCCAAAAATTAAACCAATCCAACAATAAAAAGATTGATGTTCAAACTTTTAGTAATATCTCCAATAAAAGCCAAAGGAATCAAGCCCATTTCCCAAATTATTCCTTAAAATTCATTTGAGGTTTGACACGTAATGTAGGCATCATCTGTTTTAATAATAAGTAATCCAATCATAAATATTGATACATAAGCAACCTAATTGCAATTATTTTTGTTGTTACTTTTTCATACCTTGAAACACCTCTTAATTCTTCAGACAAAGAATTAGCCTCAATAATCATTATTGTTTGAAATAAAATTATATATATGACTTAATTAATTCTTTATATTATTACAATGGTTTAAAATAAGAAACCTAAAGATTATCTTCCTCTATTCAGGAGAAACGAAATTACTAAATTATAGCAAGATAATATAATAAATCACTTTTACTTTTACGATTTGGGACATCAGTGGTAAGCTTATGTTAGAATTGAAGTTTTTGTTTTGAATTGATCTGGATTAGTTTTTGACTGAGCATCTGATTGCTTAATATTTGGCTACATTTCCTCACATGAGCTCTCGTAATCGCTTAGATTTATTTCTTATAATTATTGTGATTTAGGGGCTATTTTTTCAAGAAATTGACTTAATTTATTGCGAAGCAATTATTTGAGTTTTTTATTATCAATTTTGAGAGACTTGTTATATTTCTTATTGCGGTATTGATTTTCAAATTCTTCAATTTCGGATAATACATTCTTTAGATTTGTTAAAGGTTCCCAAGTATTTTCGGCTTCACTATAACCTTCCCATTTAATGCAATATTAGAATTCTTTTGAAAGAGGGTCATATCGCTTGTCCACAATTTTTTCGACAATATATAAATTGGAGTTTTGTTTCTTTTTTTGACCGTGTTTCATTTATATTAAAATATATAGATATTTGTGATTTAAATCTCATTTATCTTGAATAGCAATCATTTCTTCTTTGATAGTAGGAAATTCCTTTGGAAGCCACTCTTCTAATTCAACACTCAAATCCCCTTGTAGTTCAAGAGCTCCTTTCTCATTGATTGAGGAACCGCAGCCAAATTTTTTACTAATTTTTTTCGAAGTTTCCTTGAGATCAATGCCTTGGATATGCTGACTAAATACCGTGTTTTTCTAGTCCTGACAAGGTGGTTATGAATTTGTTTCTGTTTCTTTCTTTAACTTTTATATAAATCATTTCGCTTTCTGGCACCTTGCCATTTTTTCTCCTCTTTTTTTAGGGAGGTTAAACCAATGATATTTTTTAAGATATATGCTATTGATATAATTAGAGAGTAGCTTCTTTTTCCAAATCTAATTTGAGATCTTCAGGGTATAAAATTGCATAAAGTTCTTTAAATGTGGTCTTTAACCATTCTTTGCATTCTCGAGGAGTTTTGGAAAAGGTACAAAATTCGACAGGGTATGTGCATATTCTGCAATAGATGACTAATTTAGGATGTTTTGGATTGTGCAATTATTATTCTGTTTGATTTAATTCTTGTTTGAGTTATTTTTATTGTTATAGTAATTCTTATTATTGTTGTTGCTTTTGTTATTGTTCTATTTTCTTTTTGCTTGGCTTCTTCTTTTTAAAAATATCATCATCTGAATCACTCATAGTTGTTCAATTATTTAAAAATAAATTAAAGATTTTAATTATTATTTGAAATGACCAAAAAAACAAAGAAGGTTGGAATTACAGGAAAATATGGTACCAGATATGGTGCATCTTTAAGAAAAATTATCAAGAAGTTCGAAATTTCACAACATCAAAGATATTTCAACACATTTACTGGAGCTGTAATATATATTATAACATTTTAGCATTCACTCAAGAGATAAGCTATTGGTATTTGGAGATGCACACAAACTGGATTACAAATTGCTGGTGGAGCTTGGGAAGTCAAGTAATACGTTTTTTCATCCATTAGTACTCCTGCTGGATTATCTGCAAAATAAGGCATGTTGAGAATCAAGAAATTGAAGGAAGACGCTGAAGTTGAAGTCAAGGATGAGAAGAAAGAATAAAAGAAGCAATAACCAAAAGAGTAAAAGGAATAAACCAAAGAACAACCCAAGGAACACACCAAAAAAACACAACCAAAAAAATAATAAGCAAAGAAACAATGAGTATATTAATCAAATATAATAATAATTAAAATATGAATAAATTAATATCTACTGTTGTGAAGAGTATGCAATCACAGGCTCCTCTCTATGCTTATCACTTCCCAAATGGTTCTGTCTATAACAATGTACTTGATATTCTATCCTCTAGCCAGCTGTAACTGCTAAGAGAATCATTAAGGTGGTGGGCGAAAGATTAAGAAAAATAGATCCAGAAAGAGTAAACTTTGATTCAATTATCTTTTATAGTGGGAGTCAACCCCAATCACATTTAACACTAATTGGAATGATGCAGCTGGATATGTTGATGTTGCTACTTGCATTCACATTCATGACGCTCTTGAAAAGGAATTCGGAATCGAAATCAAGGATAGAGCCTTCCTTGTTTCCAGTATCGAAACTGCATTTTACATCGTAAACATTCATCACGATAGTCATTGAGATATATCGAAAATATAAATATTTAAAACATTATTTTAATTTATGTCATAATAACTATTTAAGGTGTATTTGCAATCCATTTCACATACTTTTAAAGACTTACCTAAAGGAAACTTTTATTGGAGATTCCATAAAAGAGATATCAACAGGATTATAACTACTCCTTGTCCAGTAGATTCACCAGCCAAAGAAACAGATATATAATTATTTAAGGAATTAAGAGCATAAATTGGAGTCAGAGAAGACTTTGTTTGTCCTCAATGTCCACATCATGCAAAATGTCAGAAAGCATTTTAATAAACAGATGGAGGTAACATGTAAACCCTGTTATTACCACATCTTTCCAAATTTTTAGAAACCATCAGTACTCATGAAATGAACCTGTAATATTATTAATTTATTTATTTAGACAAAATGATTAAAAAAGCTTTTGGTTGTCAAGTACAAGAGTGTTAGACACATTTCATTCCATTCTAATAGATTTCTAACTTAATCAAAATAAACTTAATGAATAGTTTTTGAGTGATATTGCTTAAGTTTCTGAAAATGAATCTATTCATTAATAATAAGATCCGAGCAAAAAAACAGATAAATATACAAAAAAGGCTGACTTTTTAGATGATTAACACACTCAACCGAAAAAAGAAGGTAGAAGATAAGAAAATGAAGAATATGAAAATAATAATAAAAATTATGGTAGAAGATCATATGAAAATTCAGAAAATAAATATGATAAATACAATAAATATGAGAGAGGAGGAGATAAATATAATACCAAATTTGATAGATCAGAACAATACAATAGAAAGGATAGATTTGATAAATATGATAATTAATAGAAGTATGATCGTTAGTTTGATTCAGATAAATACAATGATTCAGGTAAATATGATAAATACGCAAATAAATATGACAGATATGATAACAAAGAGAGATATAATAGAAAAGAGAGACCTTAAAGATTTGATAGAGAAGCAAATGGAGATTAATAATATAGAGAAAATAGAAGTTTTGATAAATATGAAGACAGAAGTCAAAGATATGAAAAAAGAGATAAATTTGATAAATATGATAAGTATGATAAAGGTGATAAATTTGATAAATACGATAAATTTGATAAATACGATAAATTTGATAAATATGAGAAAGGCGATAAATCATTCAAAGCAGATAGATTTGATAGAAGAAATTCTGATTTTAGTGAAGAAACCAATGATGCGCCAAAAAATTATAAAGGTAGAAAGGATGATTTTTCAAAAAATTATGAGAAAAATGATAAATAACATTATGAAAATGACCGATTTTAAAAATAGAATAAATAAGCAAAAGTTAAGGATGAGGATGATTTCAATACATTTGTTAAATAAAGAGAACAATATTTGAAAGAAAAATAAGATAATTTTGAAGGGGAAAGAAAACCAAATTAGAAATAACAAGATACAAAGAGGGTATAATAAGAGGATTAATCAAATCTAAATGAAAATAATGAAGAGGAATAACCGTAAGGCAGAAAGGTTAAAAGGAGCACCAAGTTTAAAATGTAATGATTTGAAATATTGTATATTATTAAGAATAAATGTATCAAATATTTAAAATATTTAAAATAGAAAATTAATATTCTAGGTTAACATAACAGGTAAAGACTGACTTAAATCATTTATAAATTTATTTGGAATCTAAAATAATATATAGTTATTGTGTCTGTTTCGTTTTCTAAACTTAATAATCCATACTTTAAGATTATTCTATCAGAAATTCGAGTACTTTACAAAAAAAAAGTTGAATAAAGCAATAATATTTATGAAATAATAATTTTTACAAATATAACTCAAAGACTCACTACAAGAGGTATCTTGTGTAACACTAGAAAATATGGTAGACATGCTCAGGGATCCAGATTTTAGATGGAAGTGTGAATTATGCAAATAAGAGAATGAATTAATATAGATGTTTCCTTTGGTTGGCTTTGGGATAACCATTAAAAAAATTCAAAAAGGCTCCTCAATTTAAATAAAGGTAACTTAGTTTTCCAAAGTTGAAAAAATAATCGATCATACATTTTTTGATTAAAACTATTTCTTAGCTTAAGAAGAATATCCAAACTGTGTCTTACCATTATTGTCATCCAAAGAAGGGAATGATCAATTATTAAATTGTGAACTCTTTAAAAGAAAGATGTCTTACTTAGTGCATCAGAAATTTGATTATTACTAAGAAGACACATATTTGGAATTAATTTAAGCTAGCATTTATCACATAATTAAGAAAAATGGCAGCTAAACTTGGGGGAAGGAAATTTTAATGCTTTCATTTGAAACTTGTAAGTAAGTTTTTATTAATACCCCTTTATTTTGTAATTCACTTCAAAGTTTAGAATAGTAGAAATCTAAGTTTAAGTTACTTAATTTAATATGTTTATTTTATATGGGTTAGACAAAAACTGAACAAATTTTTGATTATTATATTCGACCAAATTATTCAAAAAATGATTAAAAACCAAATGAAGAATTTATTTAACCCTTCTTTAATACATTAAAATTTGATAATTTCGATTTAATTTATTAGAATATTTAGCAGTTTATTCATAATTATCTAGTAGAAAATAATTATTTCATTATAAATTTTAATTTCAACAAATTTTTTTAAAGACTTATAGAATTTTTGATTCCAAAGGATGAGTAATGGGCAAACATCTAAAGACTTGAATGTATTAATGATCAGGGATCAGATATCAAAAAATATAAAAATTATACCGTCTCAAGTATCTATCAAAATTTACTTACTAACCTAATTGAAGATTATAAGGAGGAAAAGAAATGTAAGTATTTTGAGTCCTTCTCTAAATACTTTGAAGAAGATGAATACTCATACTAATTTTTTCTTATATATCATGATAGATATCATGAAATCTATGAAATATATGAATTATACAATTAAGCATAAAATGGATTGTAAAATGATACAATTTTTTAGGAAATGTATAAAGTTACAACGATTCGTTTTATTGTTAATAAAATATCCATAGACACAATTAAAAGAAAAAGTCCTGCAAGTATTTTAGACCTATAATCTTATGAAGAATTTAATAAAATTCTTGGCTATTTGGATGTATTTAAAAAAATATGTAACCTAAACGAGCCATAAGCATAAGTACTCCATAGTTAAATAATTGAAGAAATCAAAAATTTGACTTGGTTGAATTTGCTATCTTCCGTAACAAATTTTAAATTGTAGGATCAGATTATGTTATTCTTGTAAAAATTTTTTTCCCATTTAAAAACTTGGAGATCAATCCAAATCTAAGAGGTATGTGCAGGAAATTTAAATGATATAAGTAGGTTTAGTTTTTTATTAATCCAAAGGACAAGAATGTTAAGGACTGTTAAGGGTTTTAAATAATCCTAATTATAAGATATTTTGAGATAAGCAAATAAATAAAATGAGTTCTTCTGTAAAAGAATATTTGAATTGAGTAAAATTCTTTGAATAATGATTTGTTAATAATTTTCGTCTCCATCATATTTTTTCTTATCCCTCAAAAGGATACATCATTGTCTTTTCTTCAAAATTAACATTAATTTGATTGAACAAAAATATTCAATGTTTTAAGTGTTATTCTGATTAGTTTCATATGAATTCTTACTTTAACTTAATTAGATGTGTTTTTTTGGATGGTGTCTCTTCATCATCAACCTATTTAATTAGAAACATAAACAACGCTTCTGATGATTAGTTGATAAAGTAAACTATTTAATAACAATTATAGAATGTAATATTTCAAACATATATCTAATAAAACTTGTTTAAATAGCTGTTTTATACTTTGAAGAATCCTAAAACCTATAATATAATTATAAAAGAATCAACAAGGAAAAATAAAACAAATCATAATATAATCATTTGATATCCAATTTCAATTTAAAATCCTAAAATATTTATTCAGCCTACTGATCTTATTCATTAATATGTGATAATATCTAAAAAATTTAATAAATAAACTACTCCTTTTGAAGCTTTTTTGAGTTATTCGAGCTTTTTCGTATTGGACATCAAAATTTAAATTTAATTTTATCTCTTTATAATTTCTAGTTAAAATTCTGGATCATTTTATTGAGATTCCTCAAATTCTCTTTATCTTTTTTATTATAACCTTACAAGATGTTTAACATTAAAAAGCATGTCAAAACTTCTAATGGATTACTTGGTTGTGTAGGCTTGAAAATTTGGTTATTTGTTGATTAATTTTGGAGCTTGAGAATCATTGATTGTAGTTATATCTATTTTATTTTGATTGATTTTATCTTAGATGATTTTGGTTTCACATTTTCCGATAGAATGCATTTATGGAAGGGTGAAATTACTCCTTATATGTTTTTACACTTGTCTAATTGACTTCCTATTTTCATTAAAATTATTAATTTTTATCTTAAAGTCTTTATGAGTTTGGTCTTAACTAAGTTTTCTTTTTTTGAGTTCATCATCTAAATATTTTTTATTACAAAAATCAATGAATTGAATTATTTTTGGAGCTGTTACGATTGTGTGAATTTAGGTTTTAACAATTTGAGATATCTCACTTTGTTCTGATTTGAATTTGGGATAACAAGCATTCTTAAGATTGATAGGCTCACTTTTATCACAAATTTAATAATCTATGGTTGATATTTGTTTCTTCTAATTAATTATTGAAAATACTGCATCCTAGACTGCTGTGGCACAACTTTTGTTCCTTAAGCTGGACAACTTTTGATTTCTGAATGAAGATGCTGTTGTCATAAAACTAGGAACTTGCACATTTGAAGGTCTTTAAGCGTTATAGAGAAGGAAATCCTTTTCCGGAGAGAACATATATATATATAAACTTATTATTTTTATTTTAAGAAATGAATATTTTGATCATAGAGAATATTTCACTAACTAAATAATAATTCAAAGAATTTGATAGGGACCTATGCCTACTTCTGCTTTACAGTGTGGACATTAATGAATTGCATCTTGACATTCATCTACACAGCATGGAATCCAAAAGCAAAATATTCTATATTAATCATAATTGCCTATACGTCGTTAGTAAAAAGAGCAAATAACCAACCATTATTGTCGCTGCTCCAACCTCACGAATAATAACAGTTGTTCCTTGTTGTTTGCATTAAGGGCAAACTACTGTTATTGGTACTCTTTTCATGTTAGCATGATAATTGACGCTAATTAGTGATCTAGAGAATAATAAGGAATAAAAATAACTATGATTATCTATCATCTGAATCTATAGTGATTTGGGCCTCATTGATGACAGGAGCAATTATTGTCGATGAATTATCTTAATCAGTTTACATAATTATTAAAAATTTAATTAATGAAAAAAAAAGTGATTGATGCACTGAAAGATGATAAATACATGTTTAACCCAGCTCCTACATATAAAAATGAAAAGGGTACAGAAGACAAGCTAAAGAAGAAGAAACTAAGAGAAAAAAAACAACTCTAAAGAAGAGCTTAATTAGCTGAGTATATATCTAGTGATGATGATGGACCTTAAAATAAATAACCGATCCTAGATCAAGATGATTATGGCGCATTAGGAGATTTAGATTAAGATATATTGGGTTATTTTTAAATGAAAAGCTAAAAAATTCTTAATATGACATAAAAAATACCTGATTAAGTATGATTGATTTTGCTTATATATTAGATTTTTGATGTAGGATCTTTGCATCTAGGGTGCATCTCATCCATTGGTCCCAATGGAGCTTATTTGATTATCAATTTCACAAGAAATAAGAAAGGATTTGTGGATTAGCATAATCTCAGAGATAGAAAGGGTGTGAACGGAGGAGATTATAAGGTGGGAGAATATGTAATCACTAAAGTAATAGAAGAACAGAAGAGCAACAAAGTATAATTGAGTTTGCATCCAAATGTCATAAACGATCAATTAAGTGTAAATTAATTAGTAGTTGGTATGTAAATACCTGGAATAGCCTAAACTTGGAATGAGTTTGGAACCACAATTAATTTTGGATCTTAATAATTTAGTGGGTTTATTAATGAGAAGAAACTCAAGTGTGGAAGGGTTTATCTCTTTAACATTAAAGAAGTAGATTAAAAGGAGAAAATTGCAATTTGTGATTTTGAATAGAGAGATGTTTAACTCTAAAATAAAAAGCAGATTTCAAAACATCTGCTCACTCCTGGTAATCTATGGAAATGCAATAATGCAAAATCAATTACAGGCGGATAAATTGTTAAGCTTAATAAATTTGGTGTCTTGGGATATATATTTTAAGATTATTAGGTTGAACAAGAAAAGAACATATTATGCAGAATAATTGGATTTGATGAACCTTCAAGATAAATCTACCTATCAAGTAAATAAGAGCATATTGATAATACTACTTACATTCCCCCTTATGAAGTTGGTTAATAATATTAAGGTGTTGTAATTAATCAATAATTATATTCTGGGGCTTATCTTGTGAATGCCATCCTGAATGACGATTAAGCATAAACTAAAAAAAGCAAGAAAGCTGTTAAGGCTAAATAGCCTAATTTGGGACCGATTTGCATGTTAAACAAAACTTAGATTCCTGCTGATTAGGAAATGATTGATCACATTTAAAGAACTTGCATTATAAAAGAGATAAATTATTTTGATCATGTCGGCTTTGTATCATTTGAAGTAAATTCAAAACCTAAATTAAGTGATTTGAATGTTGGTGCTATTGTTAAAGGAGTCGTTAAGTAAGTTCTACTTAAAGAAGATTCATACAGTGTTTTATTGAACATTAATGACACTTTTCATGCTATATTACCATCGCTCTAGATGTCAGATTATCCATTGACAAACCCACCAAAATTTAGAGTAGGCAGCAAATTAAGAGTCAGAATTTTATAAATTGACGAATAACATAACAATATCATAGTAACTATGAAACCTACTTTATTAACAGATATTAAAGTATTTAAAACACTAGATGAAGTTAATGTGGGTGACACATTATATGGATTTACAATTAAAAAGTTAGAAAATGGAATCCTAGTCAAATTCTTTTAGAATATTGTTGGGTTTCTGTCTAATCTGAGTCTTGATGGATAAAATCCTGATGATATTAAGGACGGTCAAATAATTAAAGTATATGTTAAGTATGTAAATTAAAGTGAAAATAAATTGCTACTGACATTAAAAAAGGTAGACCCAAAATAAAAGCAAGTTAATGAAGGATAAACTCAAAATGTTGTTATGACAAAGCATATTAAGACTAAATTAAATTTAGGTGAAAAAGTGCAATGTGTTGTGAGTTCAATAAAGAATAATGTAGTTTATGTGAATCTCAAGGATGGAAAATTTGGTAGAATTCATAAAGCCTTGTTTGAGTGTTACAGGAATGAGGATAGATTGTTCAAATTACAAAGTGAATTTGAAAATCTGAATGTAGGTTCTCAATTAAATGCTTAAATCATAGGAGAAAACAAAGAAAATAACAAATAAATTTTTGATTTGACATGCTTATCCGATCATGTTGAATTAGAAAAAGATGTACAAAAAGATAACAATAAAATCGTTTATGGTATAATAAAGCATATCAAGAGTGACTCAAAATCACCTTTGGTTGTCCAAATCTATTACAATTATAATGTGTTTATTGATGGTTGGGATGTAAATATTGAACAACCTGAAATTCTAAATAATTTAGAATAGTATATCTAATAAGGACATCCAGTAAAGGTTAAATTATATGAATTTGATAAACAGTTGAAAGGAATTATCATTACTGATGAGGAACAACTACAATAATAATAATAGAATATCAATGAAATTCTATACACTAAGTAAACCTATAGAATTCTAAGTCATCATGATTCATATCTAAGAGTGCAATTAAAAAATAGATAGTTTGCATCAATTGACATAACAGAATTATAAGAATTATGGGAATTGAATTTGTTTGAATAGTTTCCAGTAGGAAGATGGGGAGTGTGTAGAATAATAGCAAAGGATAAGGTTTATTGGGCTAGTGCCAGAGAAACATTTCTAAATGATAAGTTATGGAATAAATGTTTGCATCCTGTAAAGAGTAACACCATTTCTTATTAAAAAATGATACTCTCTCTGAAATACGATGTTAGAACATAGTTATACAAAAAGACTCCTTTGTCTGTAGGTTAAGTGACTATGGGGTACGTTACAGGAAGTACATACAGTGGCACTTTTGTCAAGTTAAATTATGAAACAACCTGTTTAATAAGAGGGTTCAAAACTGATATTAAGTATAGACCTATCGTTTTAATGATTACTCAATTAAATAAATTATAAGGAACTGTAGACTTGAACTTGCTTAAATATAAATTAGATGATAAATAGATAAGAATTGGAGATGTAGTATAAGGTTTGATCGTGAACATCAGAAATGAAAAGGCAGCAGTGAAGATTTTGGGTACTCTTTAATAGGGAGAATTGGATAAGAAAGATGCAGAGGGATTGGAAGGTGAAGATGGTTGGTGGGCTAATAAGTTGTTTAAGATCGGATAGTAAATAGAATGTCTGGTGATTGGACAAAGATAAAATAAAAATAATTAGACAGTTCTTAGATTAAGCAATATTTAAGAGTTGATTAATACTGAAGGAAAGAGAAAAATTGAGTTAGGAGATATTCAATAGGATGTTATAGATTTGCATTAGAGTTTTGAAGAAATGGTCAAATAACACTAAATTAAAAACAATGTAATAGTAGAATAGCAGACTTAAAATAGAGAAATAGAAGAGGAAATCGAATAAGAAGTTAATGAAGGAGAAGAAGAGGAGGAAGATGAAGAAGAGTAAGAAGATCATAAGGACTAAGAGATTGAAGAAGAAAATGATTAAGAAGAAATTAGAGAGGAAGTATAAAATTTAGAATCAAGAGCTGAATATGAGAAGTAATAATAATATATTTATTTATTTAGGAAAATATTAACAAATCCCAATTCATCTGTTATTTGGATTGAATTTGTGGCTTATGCAGCTGAAAATGAAGGTATTGAGAGTGCTAGAAATGTCATTGAAAGAGCGCTAAGAGTTATCAATTTCAGTAATGAATTAGAAAGATTGAATTTATGGACAGCTTACTTAAATTTGGAGTTCAATTTTGGATCTGAGGATAATTTAATTAGTGTCTTTAAGAGAGGATGCTAAAATTGTGATGGAAAGAAACTACATATAAAGTTGATAAATATCTATAGAAAGGCTGAAAAAGTTGATCTAACAGTTGAATTATCAAGAGTATTTTTGCATATTTACCTCTATAGTCTTTTGTCCAAAAGTACAAATAAAGTTGCAAGAGTTGGATGGAATTTCTATAGAGCCTGATGGAATGGTAAAAAGTACACGATGATGAAAACCCTTAATATTCCTTTAAGGATACGTTAAATAGAGCTATGTAGTGTTTGAAAAAATCAAAATAAGTAAAACTCTTGTCATTTTATGGCCGATTGTAATTTTAAAATAATTAAATTGAAGAAGGAAAAACTACATATGAAACTATTTTGGATAAAAATTCTACAAGGTATTAAATAGAAAAATATTTAGAACTGACTTATGGTCATAATATTTGGATTTAGTGATTAAATATTGCTAACCTGATGTGGTTCGATCAATATTTTAAAAGGCTATTCACAATAATAAGAAACCAAGAAAAATCAAATTTTTATTTAAGAAATAATTAGAATATGAAAATTAATATGGCGATAGTGCAACAATATAGAAAGTAAAAGAATAAGCAGAATAATGGGTTTCATAATTCATGTAAAAGGATGTATAATAGGAAGAAGATGAGGATTCAGATTGATTTAGTAATGTATGTGTATAATTCATATTATATAAAATTTAAAAACCTTTTGAAATAACATTTATGTGTTATGTTCTTTTTATCAAATTAATGATTTTTTTATAAAAAGAGGCTGGTCGTTTAGAATTGAATATGGCAACTGCTTTTTAAAATCAAAATGATATATATATTTATTCTTTTAGATTTGATAAAAACCATTACCATGAGTATCTGAAGTATAATAAAACTTAACTCAATTTGAGTATTTGGTTATAAAAATTAAATCTTAGAATGATAACAAAATATTCCTTCAATTTTTATTATATTTATTTTTGTCGTGTACTAAAATTAGGTAAGTATTAAATGAAATATTTATAGACTTGACTAAATTATAATTTGATTGATTCTATTAGAACAACACTTATATCATTTGAAAAATAATATTAAGAACCTTTAATTATTTCTTTTACAGAGATCTAATAAGAATTAAAAGTTTTATTAATTTAATATCAATAAAAGATTGATGTAATTTCAAAATATTTTGCAAACATCATTTGGGGATTAACCATTTTTCCATTTAATTTTTTCTTCAACTGTTATAAATTGATCTCCCATCTTTTTCACAATTTTACCTTCTCCATGTTTTTCATCTTTTTCAAATTGACCATCATAACTAAAATATAGAAATAGAATACTAAAGATCTGAAATCAGAAATTCTCTTCCATTTCCTTATTTCAATCCATTTTCAAAGTTTCCATTATATATTTCAATACCATTTTGCAAAATTATTCCTATTCCATCAAGTTGTCCATTCTTCCAATTCCCTTCTTTAATAATTCCATTTTCGATTAACTTTCCTTTACCAGAGTATTAAAAACTATTATTTATCTAACCTTCATATAAATTTTTTGATTCAGAATACTTCACTATTATTATAGAGTTTTATTCAAATTTATTATTTCTTATTTCAACATTTTCAAATTTAATCTCATTATTTTAATTAGCATAAACGTTAAATTTATACTTTCCATTATTTACCTTTTCAAGGGACCATTACGTTTTATCATCAACATATTTTTCCTCTCCTGACTCTTTTCTTGTAAGTTAATAATCAAACCTATTCTAACTATCTGGAAAAAAATTTAATAAATTAAAATCAAAAAGAGATTAATTTTTGTAACTCTTATACGAATTACCTACTTGTTTTTCTTCGCTTGATACTTAAATATGAGTTATTGCATCAGGTTGTTTAATTACAGCTTATCCATTTATCTAAATATATGATAATGTAATACGTTTCCCTTTTCATTTAATTTTGCTTAAAGATGAGTTGCATCAGGGTATTATCTAAGGATATTACTTTCCATAGGTTTTATACCTTACTAAAATCTAATTGGAAGAAGGTTGAGCATAAAATTAGTTTCAATTTAATTCAAGCTTACTTTAATATCATAAAATCCAAGATGACAAATCTCGCTTAAAGTTTCTCTGAATTCCTCTAAACAATTGTTCAATTTCTTATTTGCTAAATCAACTAATCCTAAATTTACAAAATCATTTTAAGTCATCATTTATATTTCAGTTTTGTTGATTTAAGCCTTTTAAATATTTTTTTCAATTTGATCATTATTCTCAATTACCCATTTTTGATATTTTTTAAACCTAGCAAGCATATTGTTCTATAGATTATATAATTCACTTTCTATTTTTTAATATTGATCTTTTAAATCTTTCTCAATTTCTTTATTTTTATCCTATATTGTTTTTAATACTTTTTTCTATGATTCCATCATTGGTTCAATATCCTTTTCAGTAATATATTAATATTTTAGATGATAATTTTATTCAAATGACAATAATAAATTATTGGTATCAAAATTCTTAAAAATAGTTTAAAGATCTGGAATTTAATATAATGATTAACCCAAAAGATGTTCTTCAAATATTTTATTCTCCATATTAAGAGCTATTTCAATAATCTTATTTTTTAATTCATTTAATTATTTTGACTTCTTTTTAATAGATTCATCTCTTAATTTATTTATTTCTTCTTATTACCTTTAGATAGTTGTCTTAGTCTCTTCTACACTTAAATTTGATAATTAAGAAACATAATTATCTATCTATTATAATGAATCCCTAAATGATTTTTTGATATTCTCCAAATGACTTTAAATCACAGCTTAAAATTCTCCCAATAATAATTAAATTTTTTAATCTAAATAATGATTCAATTATCCTTTTTCCTACCTTAATATTTGTTAAAATTATTATTATCGTTTTTAAAACTCTTAATCCTTTTATTAGACATTAGAATTATTATTCTATCTAGAACATCTCTTACACATAAATCTACATTATTAACTCAAATAATCATAGCAAACACCTTCAATCATATAATCATTATGTTGTTGGCAAAATATTAAAGGAAGTTCAACTTGTTCCATCGTATAATATTTTTTATTTATATATTTAAAATTAAAGATGCTTTATAAAAGAATATCACAAATCTATCTGATTAATATTATCATTCTCTTTCCTGAACTTAAACTAAATAAAAAGTCTGATAAATTTATTGATTTATAGTTAAAGTATGTTTTCTTTTTGCTGTTTAATAATATATTTCAAGTAAATCTTAATTTCAGACTTCTTAATTGTAGTTCTCATTCAATAACATTAATATCTATTACTATTTTTATATTAAATGCTCTATTTCATTTCATAAGTACTAGAAATATATATTACAACTATCACTATTAATCAGTAGTATTAATATTTCAGAAATTCAAAATAATATATTAATCATTTTTATTTCTTAAATAATAATTATATAGAGATCTATTTTATAGTTATTATGGTTTGTTATAAGTTCTTCCAATCAACTTTCTTACAGGGTATTGAAAATTTATACAAACTTTTTGATTATTATCCTTAAAAATAGTATAGAATGTTTTGGGTTTACTTGACTTCTTCCTTCATGCTATGATTGTGTTTCTTCTATTATCATGAACTGTTGAAAGACTTTAAATCAACTCTTTTATAAGATTAAAAAGATGAAACTATTACTCCATTAAGATATGATGCTAATTAAAAGATAAGAAATTGTTCTAAATAAATATACATTTTATGACAAATTTTTTTCATAGAATATCAAAAATAAGGATGTGGTCAATTTTTTGAATATTATTTATTGCGTATCTAAACATCCAATTAAAACCTAATTTTGCAGGAGATCATATAGGTCATCTCTGAAAACTCTCAAATAAATTAGGTTAACAACAAAATTCATTTTAAAAGTCTGCTCCATAATTGAAATTTCTTTTATTTCCTGAGTAGAGATCTTCTTCCTAAGTGATCTCATAATTGATGTATAATGTAGATTCATTTTTTTGTTTGAGTTTGATCAAATTTTATAAAATAACAGTCTGAGATCATGTTCAAAGCCAGATAGATATAGTTGTTCCTGATACTTTGTGATTACGGAATGAACATCCCTCAGTGAATTTAGTGTCATCCATAAAATAATCATTTTAAGTTCATTAAAAATTTAACAGAATAATAGAACAATATTAGATGAAGTTTGAACATAAGAAGAAATTCTCAGTGCATTTAGATATTTCATAACTTAAATCTAATTCTTATTTAAACTATCCTCTATCTACTAAAAGAAAGATTGATAATCCCTAATCAACTAGAAAATTGGACACTTCACCCAAGAGTGTAAGTCCAAACAATTCATTTTTGTCTTCTGAACGAAAACTATAACAAAAATACCCAATTAGCAACAGCAAAACTAATTCACTCAAAAGCATGCTCTAACCCTATAAAATTAGGTCGCCATCAGACAAAGAAAATCATCACAGTTTTTTAAGCAACAGAAGCCAATTAAATAAGCTTCCTCTCTTAACTGAATAATTTCTTAAGTTATACAATTTAACAAGAAATGAACAAAGCGAATTGAATGGAATAAAATAAGTATAAATTTTATCATTATTTCTCAGGTTTATTATTATAAATAACCGAAATGTCTTGTTGACTAACCAAATGGAGATTATTCCTATAACATTAAGGATCACATAAGATATTAATATGAAATTGTGAGTCTTTTAGGTCAAGGCAGTTTTGGTTAAGTATTTTAAGTATTGGATCATAAAACTTAATAATTGTATGCTCTAAAAGTAATCAAGAATCAAGAAAAATTGAGAAAGCAAGCAATCATTGAGGCCAACATACTTTAATATATCAAAGATCATGATACGGATCAACTTTCAAATATAGTTAAAAATATAGAGTAGTTTACATTCAGAGGACATCAATGCATAGTATTTGAGAAATTAGAGTAGAATTTGTTTGAATTGATATAGAAATAGAAATTCAAAGGAATTGATCATGAATTAGCAAGAAAAATTGGTATTCAACTGTTGAATTCACTTAATTTCTTAAATAAGCATAAGATTATCCATTGCGACATCAAACCTGAGAATGTTATGTTGTTAGATAATTCAAAAAGTGGAATCAAGCTTGTTGATTTTGGTTCAGGTTGTTTCGTTGGTTAATAGATATACACATACATACAAAGTAGATACTATAGAGCACCAGAAGTAATATTTGGATTGAAATATGGTATTGAAATTGATATGTGGAGTTTTGCTTGTTTAATCTCGGAATTGTACATCGGAACTCCGATATTCCCAGGAGAAGACGAGATTGAATAGATTAATTTGATTATTGAAATTATTGGAGCACCTTCTGTAGATTTTGCACTAAGATGTCCAAGAAGGAAGTATTTCTTTGATGAAGATGGACATCCAAAGAAAAACATTAAATCCTACAGAAAACCAAATTCTGTTAGTCTCTATGATAAATTAAGAACTGAGGATTCTGATTTAGTCGATTTTCTTCTGAGATGCTTTGCCTGGGAACCACAAAATCGGTTGTAACCCTTAGATGCACTTAAACATCCCTGGATAATCGCTGGTTTACCTAAAGAGATACAAAAATAGCATAAAAAATATATAGAACTTGAAAAATTGCTTCAAACGTAGAAGACTCCATTAGTTTAACAATTATGTTTCTAAGGATAAAAGTAAAATAAATCCAAGGAGCATTATTAAGAGGATTCCCAATTCAAAACTAAGAAGTAAATAAAATCCATCCTAAATATCAATACAAATCTCAGTAATATATCTGACCAAAAAGCTAGTATTAAATCAATTTTAATATAGTATTGAGTTGTCGCTATCACGACAAGCCTTTACAATCTGAAAGGTAAAGACAGAATATTGCCTCATCTATCTACAAGCTGCTATCTGATAAACCCAAAAGTAGGAAGCCATCTTGTAATTGAAAACTACTCAATCCACTACTTCAGTTAAATGATATATATCATATATATATTCCATAGATTTAGTTCTTTTTGATCTTGTATATCTACTTAATTTCAATAATCTTCATTCTATTCTAACTTTTATAATTGAGAATGATGGGAGTAATTAGAGTAACAATGAGGTTAAATTTTATTCAAATAGAATTACTGTTTTAACTAGGTTGGATTTAACTCATAAAACCATTTAATAAAAAGAAACAGGCCAAAGATAAAAATATAATGATTCTATCATTTAGGCAATGCCATGAACTTAATTTGTTTTCTAATTAGGTGATATTTTTAGTCTGCCTTGGTTGATATTTGAACTAGTAATCCAAAATAAGTTCCAAATTGAAATCCTCACTATCTAGCTCTGCTTGGTAGAAGGTTTTAATTGAATTGTTAGATAGTTTTACTTTAGGATAACAAAATATTCTTAAATAGTGATTTTATATAGAAATTAATAAGTAAATTCCTCAAAATTAATGATTGAAATAATTTGATTAGAGATGTAGTGCTATGAATTATATTTAAAATATCATAATATATAATTAAATTGGGTTTTAGTAAGAACACTTAATATTGATGAATAACTACTAATTTTTGGTAACCCAAAGTTTATATTTAGGTAAAATAAGAATTTAGATGATGTATAAACTCAATTTTATAATTAATACGTTTTTATTGATAAATGCACTACGTTCCAGTTTCACAAACAGAGAGGCCTATTTCAAAATTGAAGCACAAAAATAAACAGAAGACCATGTTTATTATAGTGGGAGCATTATTATTTTGCTTAATAGCAATGTTGGTGCTTATTGTACTAGATGTTAATAGTATTGTTTCATTATATAAGATTATGTTAAGATTAACAGTATTTTTTAAATATGGTAACCACAAACAACAGTGGCCATGGTTTAGACTCAAAGAGATGTAATATCTTCAAAACATAAGCAAATCGATGAATAATTATTTCATCTAAAATCGATATTTCAAGAGAAAGCATACAGGGAAGCCACAAATCTAAAATTGCCTATAATAGATAAGAATGAGTATTAGTATTTCACTTTGTCGAATGGGCTGAAAGTATTGGTGATTCAAGATCCAGAAGCAAAAATTGCATAGGCAGCATTGTGTGTGAATGTGGGTTCATGGTCAGAACCAGATGAATACCCAGGTTTAGCTCACTTTTTAGAACACATGCTATTTCAAGGATCTAAGAGTTATCCTTAGGAGGGTTATTTCTAAAAATTAGTTGCAGAAGGAGGTGGTTCAACAAATGCTTATACGAGGGGAGAAGAAACCAATTATTATATGAAAATAAACAATGAGAGAGTAGTGGAAGCTTTGCAAGTGTTTGCTCATTTTTTCATTGATCCTTTATTGGATTCAAGTATGGTGGAGAGAGAAGTCAATGCAGTAAATAGTGAGTATGAGATTGCAGTCTCAGGTGATTTATGGAAGATCTCTCATCTATTTTAGATTTTATCAAATAAACCAATAGGTAGATTCACAATAGGTTCATTGAAAACTTTGAAAGACCCAATGAAAGAATTAGTAAAATTTCATTCACAATTCTATAGTGCAAATATAATGAGTTTAGTGGTCAAATCAAATTATCCTGATATGGCCAAATGGATTAGAGAATAGAGTGATTTTTCATAAATACCAAATTTGAACTTGAAAAAAAGATCAAAGTTACATTTACCCTTAAAGAAAACTGGTCTCATGGTCAAGTATAAGACAAATGGAGACAAGAACTAATTGATCTTAGCTTATCAATTAGACTCTCCTAGAAGTGCTAAAAAAAGCAAAACCTTACCTATGATAGCATCATTAATTAAATCGAAACATAAAGAAGGATTACTAGATTATTTAGTGAGACAAAAGATGGCTTTGAATGTTGATGCAGGCACATTCTTAGAAGGAAATGGGGATTTCACTTTCTTTCTTATTGAAATTGAATTGATTGAAGGAGTAGATGAACTCAAAGTAGCTGAAACTGTGACTGGATACTTTAACAATATGTTAGACTAGTTCTTTCAAGAAGTGGATAAGAATGAAATCAATTATACACCATATTTAGAAGAAATCTGGTAACAATACAAACAATTGCAATTATCATAATACAACTATCTAGATAACAACCATTATCCAACTGTACAACAAATAGCTCACAATTTAAATTACTTTGATTACACTGATGCAATGAGCATTGAATTTTTGTATGAGGAATTCTAACCTGAGATTATCTATAACTATTTAACAGAAATGCTCAATCCTTCAAACATTGTGATATTCCATGGGTCACCAAAATTCACTAATCTTAAATAATCGTCAGAATTATACAGATTAGAATATGAAATCATGAGTCTCTCTAGAGAACAGATCAAAAAATTGTCTAGCGCTGTAACCACTAAAGTTGTACTCTTTGATTGGGTAAAAAGCAAATAATTGCCATTGCTATTACCCAAGATTAACACCTTCATTCCTAAAGATTTTAGTATCAAATCTCTGTGCAGAGAACAAACCTCATTCATACAAGCTCCACTTGTGTTTAAAAGCAAAGAAGACTGTATACAACATGAAAAGGAGTATGAAACCATTAATCATTATCCTCTTATGATTAAAAGAACTGTTGAAACTAAGGCTTGGTGGAAATTACAAAGATAATTCTAAGTTCCACAAATATTTACAGGAGTCATGTTTAATACGCCTAAATCTATCAATTCATTAAAGGATAAACTCTTGATTCAGGTGTTTAATACTCTTGTTACTGACAATTTGAATCAAGAGATCCAAGAAGCTATTGATGCTGGATATTAGTTTCAGTTTACTCCAAGTATCAAAGGGGTTTCACTTGAATTATATGGATGGTCTGACAACTATCAATCATTCTTTGAAAAAGTCCTGTAATCGATTAATAATTTAAAATATGATTCATTCTCTTAAGTGAAATAGAAATTGATGATCTATTACAACAATATATATTAAGACAAATTATTCAGAGTTGCTATGTCCGAATATTTGAATTAGGTTGTCTAAGCTCAATATTACACATCTGAGCTCTTTTTGGAAGAATTAAACATCTTAGATTTGGAAAGTCTACAATAGTTCCATTCCAACTATTTCTCCAACTTTAGAGTGTCATCATTTGTAAGTGGAAACATACTTAGATCTGAAGTAGAGGATCTACTACATTCCATTAGGAAAGTCTTTCATAAATCAAGCAGTCACACATCAGAAGAACCTCATGTATTTAATATAAGAGACTTAACTAACAAAAATGTGGTTGTTCCTTTAATTCACAAGGGTGGTGATAGTAATGATGTTAATGGAGTCACAATTAATTATTATTAAATTGGTCATAGAAACAAAAAGAATTTTGCCATAATGAATCTTATTCAACAATTCTTCCATAACCATGCTTTCTAATATCTCAGAACTGAGAGACAATTAGGTTATGTTGCTCTTATGAGGTTCATTCCAATAGGATGCATAGATGGTGCTGCAATTATAGTTTAAGGAACAGCTTAAATGCCATATGTTGTCAATTAACATATTGAAGACTTTCTGAAACAATTCCATAATGTGCTATTATCATTGGCTGATGATTAATTGGATAATATCAAAAATGGAGCTGTATTAATTGTATCTTATTTAGAAATCTGCGCTTTAAGAGAAGGACAAATCATTGTATGATGAGAGTGCTTACATTTGGAGTTAGATCAGGGGTAACAACCTTCAATTAGAAGAAAAGGAAATTGCGATAGCTATGATAGATGAAATAGTGTAGAAGGTATTGATTATTGTTTAATAATAATAAGGATATAATAGAGTTTTATGAAAAATATTTTATTAAATAGTAGAATAAGTTGAGTTTGTAAATTTATGGCAAAGGATTGAGTGAACAATTTGATTAAGTGAAAGACAATTTATTGGAGAAGGAGTAGATTATTGAATTGAAGACTCTAAATGAATTTAAATGTGCTTATACCCTAAATAATTTATGAAGAAATAATATTAAATAAGATTAATAAATAAAAACTGTTTTATAAAATTTAGCTATTTTATTAAATCATGATAGTATAGATTCATTATATTTTCTCCAAAAGACTTTTCTAAAATTGTTTAATAGCCATTTCTGTTTAGGGCTTTAATTCGAGATCGAATAGTCTTCTATAAAATGAATAGGTGTTTAAATTACTTTTCATAATTCTTCTTATGATACATATTCCAAACTTATTATTCATTCTTACTTTGTTTAGCTATTATTCCTCTCACTTAATCATTTTCTCTCATAATAAGTGTTATTATAAATACAATTTTTAAAATAATTCTTTTGACCATTATTGTGTTTTATTTGGTCTTGGACTAGGAACCTCAACTTTGATGTTTTTCTTCTTTCCCAAATAGCCAGTTTGATGAATTGAATTTTGTCTGATCAATTTAGGCGATCTCGGTAAGACACTTTCTTTTTTCACTCTGAAATTGATGGCACTTTTATTTTGATCTACCTTCCCAAACTTTCTCTATTTCCTTTATTGCTTTATATTTTAAACATATAAAGTGAACTCCTTTAATGATTCTACATTTTTTGTTGTATCTGGAAGTACAAGATCTGGTTTGTTTTATAAGTTTTATTTAGGTTATTATTTAACAGCTGACAAGTATTCCACCTCATGATCAATAAATGGCTAAGGAATGGGAAACTTTTTGAATCTTTAGAAGTTTAGTTTGGCTAAAGCTATATGATTGCTCTAATAAGTATTATTCTCCAAATATGCAAAGAGATTATTTAATCTCTATAAAGTTTGACAAGGGCTTTCAATCATTTTCATTTATAAATAAAAATATTCATTATTTTTATTACAAAAACTCAATTATTTCACTATGATTGTATAATTTTGCCCAATCCAGTACCATCATGTCCAATCCATCTTTGACATCTAGTATAGTTTAATAGAGTTCAAATCAAATACCATCTAAACTTCCTTAAACAAGATGCCTAAAGAACAATCTCATGCCTTCATAAGTTGATTAATACTCATATTCTAGATGCAAAACAAATTTATACTTTAAAATATTAAACACAATAAGAATAATTCATATCTATCAATTACTATGCTCTAAGTTAGCAGAGTTTATTCTAGTTTTAAATACTCTGAGAATCAACAGTAATGCTCCAACTTTAAAGATCATCTGTTATCCATTTTATTCAACTCTATCTGAGATCACTCTATGAGACACTTACTCTCATTATAATGATTCACCCTTTCTTGTTAATCTCCAATTCTAAATTATAGAAGTTAACAGATATAAGGAATCTATTTATATAAGCCTATAACATTAAATTTAATTTTGTGGTTATATGTTTTCATCCTATAGAAAGAAATTGTTTGATTAGAAGCTTGCCGAATAGCAATAAAATATCCATTAATAGAAGGAACTGAAAATAAGATAGAGTCGCGGTTAAATTGATCAAAGAGCGCTTGCTACCTATTTAGGAGCATACATTCAAATGAAATGTATAAGATTTTATGGATTTTTAAGAAATCGAGGATTTCTTTTATGAATAATGTACCAATTAATGTATTGAAATCTAAAACGAATGGATGAATGATAAAGAAAGATAGTGTTTGACTGATTGCAATAGTAAAATAACAAAATTTATCAAAATCGCAAAAGACAATTATGCAAACATAGACGATGAAACCAAAAAGATTGTTTCTTCTGTTTCTTCATTGCTAAGTAGGAGATGATTTATAAATTTAATAAATTATATACCATATTTATATCATTTCGTTAATATAAGAATTTCATAATATTTGATGTTCATATTCATCTTCAATTTCAATTAGATCATCCAAGAATGATGAGTTTACAAGTAATCACATAAAAATTATACTTATAATTTTGTTAAATTTATTGCAATTAAGAAATATATTTTTAAAATATTTCAGCAAAGAAATGATTAATATAAATAATGAGTAATCATTCTAAGAGATCAACTCTCATGAAATGTAATACTATGAAGGCACCGAAATAATTGAGAAAAGCCAAATCTTTTTATTCTCAGGCTGAAACCTTCCAACTTAGTAACCAAGTTGATGGAACTGATGAAAAACTGAAGTAATTTTGACAATAATAAATAGGAAATTAGAGTAATCATTCCATAACCAATCGGATTATAAGATTATGCAATCTTAAACTAGATTTAATAAGACTTTGTCAGTTCATAAGAAAAACAATATTGTTGCAGAGACTATTATCCCAGAATGGTTGAAATCTAGGAAGGATTTTCAATAAATTTGTTATACAGAGACTATAAATGATTTATTGTCTGTTCCCAAGATAATTTTGAAATAGCAAAGAAACACAATTGAAGATTAAAAGATAAAAGATTGGATTCAAAATAAAGTTTATGGATTACCTGATGAACTTTATAAGGATATCACCTAAATTATGACTACCAGAGTTTTTGCATTTGAAGAGATCTTTGATGTCGATCACAACATCACTGTCTTGTACGAGGGCAAAGTCTAGAGGGTCAATAAAGATCTAGGCTTCCCTATTAATGGTCCTCCCATTAAAGTGGGCGAATTCTTGAGTGATGAATATCTCTACATGGTTAAGACTGATGTTATAATTGTAGAAATACCAAAGATTGAATTGATGCAACTCATGGATGGATTCAAAATTTCAAAATTAGAATAATTTGTATAACAAATGAAGCAATTTCCTGCTTTCAAATCTATCAAGAAAAATAGCTTACACAAAATCATTACGAGAGGGCAATTGCAACTAATCATCAAGAATTACTAAAGGTTTTAAAGGGCTTCGAATCAGGAGTACTTAAACATTCTCTTCTATGGCAAATTACAATTGAATCTACGAAAACTCATCAGCAAAATGAATAAATGGCCCATTGCTTAAAATTAGTGGGAAACCAAAACCTATTATTAATATCAGGATAGGATTTTAGAACTAGAATCTCTCAATTGCTTTGGACTCACAGATGACTAATACACTATATCGACAAAGGAGAGTTGTGTACTATTGTAAATTAGAAGAAATATTTTAGAAACAAGTATTAATGCAAGAGATTAACATAGTTCTGACAACAGAATAGATAAATGATTTGAAATAATCAATTGATATATTCAAGAAGGAATCTAAAAGTCAATGGAGAGAACGAATGAGAAGAAAGTTTGATTTGGAAATCATTCAACAGAAACTACGCATGGAAAAAGTAATGATTGCTTTGCTAAATAATTGATTATATAATTTTAATGTCTTTTTAAATATAACATTATGTTATAGGTAACAATTATAATTTTGAATAAGATTAGTTAATGGGAAATGGTAAATATGGCAAAATTGTGATGGCTAAACATTAACTAGTTCATGAAAAAGTCTGCATCAAAATATTGGAGAAAAAGAATCTCAAATTTAATCAAGATTTCGAAAATCTTGAAAACGAAATTCACATACTCAGACAAATTAATCATCAGAATGTAATCCATTTATATGAAGTAATCTTAATCCAGTTAAATAGATCTTGGAATCCACTTAAAATATTTACATGATATTTGAATATGGCGAAGGAAATGACTTGAAACATAGATTAAACTAATGTCAAAAGTATCATAAATATCATATATTGATTTTCAGAAGCCGAATCATTAATATATTTGTAGCAAATAGCCAAAGGAGTTTCCTATCTCCATGAAAATAACATAGTTCATTGTAAACTGAGATTAGGGAATATCGTACTCTAAAATGGAAGGCCTAAGATCATTGATTTTAGCGATTCCATAAAGATCGACAAACAAAGGGATAAAGATTATTCTATAATTAAATTACCATATTAATCTCCAGAAATGTTAAACTCGCTCTATTATGAATTTGATGGTGAACAATATGATATCTGGTGTTTGGGGCTAATTCTTTATTAAATGTTATAAGGGCAACTACCATTTGATAACACAACTAATAATAATGATTTAAAGAGTAAAATTAAGAAATCAAAATTTTAAATTAATTATCCTATTTCTTAATAGGTTTGTTAATTGTTAGAAGCAATGCTTAATGCTGATCCTAATAAAAGAATTAAACTTAATGACTTAAATAGTTACCTAGGCACTTAAAATCTACAATTTGAGGATGATTATTTGAAAGTTCCCATTGATATACCGATGCATGTGATAATTTAAGAATTGGAAAATTACCAAATAGAAACAGTTAATTTATTTCAATTATTGGAATAGAATAAACATTGTACATTGACTACATGTTATTATTTAATAAAAAATAAATTAATGAAATTGGCTAAACTGAAAAAAGTTAAATTAAATCTAATGAATTTCGAAAATAGTAAATTTAATTTTATGACAACCTTAAGAAACAGTCTATAATTCGCAACAAACAAGTGTAGAATTTATTAGAATGCCACAAGAGTCCATACTGAAAATAATAAAAATAAATCTGAAAGCTTCTCTTAAAATTTATATCAATATAAATCGTTGAGTAGAACAAATAATAGGAAGGTTTCAATAGTGAAATAGCCTGAACAGAGTCCAAAATAATTATAAACTTAAAATTCGTTCTTTCCTTCCTAAAATTCTCCTCATATTGATTAATATAATAACAATATTCACAAAGGTAGTTACAATCAAAATTTAAATAGATAAGAAATAATTAGTGATAATTATTCTATATAGTAAGATAAATAGCAACAAAGAATAAGGAATGCGTTGTTTCCTAATAAAAACTTCATAATATAGGACAAAAATAAAAAAAGGAGATCAACCTCATAAAAAATTTGATATTATTTTTATGAATGTTTAACATTTTAACTAGAAATGAATTAATTCATTCATTCATTTTTATTACTTTATCTGCCTTTCCACTCTAATGCGTGATACTTCTTAGTATTTAGGCTAAGCAAACTTTTTTCTGACAGCCTATAGATTTGATTTATCTTATGATTGCAATACAAGACACATTTCTTTGGCACAATACCTAAGTTCTTATTCATTATAGCCAGTCATTTTCTGCATTTCTTCATTCCAAGATTGAGGAGTCTTCCTATGAAAATACATTTCTATTACCTTATTTTATGGACCAAATAAATTGCAGCAGCGGAAAGAAACGATGGTTTGTAATTCATGAATTTGATGTCAATCATTGAAAGCTCCAAAAGATATTAAGCTAAAAATAAATTCTTGGCATCTAATCCTGCAATTCTACCAAATCTCTGGAGAAAACAATAACTTGATGGTTAGGTTATGGAAAAGTCTAAGGTTTACAATATTTATCCTTCCATTTCAAGTACATCCTATTTAGTGTAGGCATTGTCAGTGATGTACACGAAATCTTTCAAATCAGGTGGATATATTTCCTCATATTTACAAGCTATAAATAAGGAAGCCACTCCAACTAGTTAAAGTTATTATCTGGTCGTAGTCTTAAGATTTAGATATCTGTCTATTAAATATGTTGTAACATATAATGTCTCATCCCTTAATTTAAATTTGAGATGAACATCAATCAGCCAATCCAGTAGGATTGCTCTCATTCTAGTATTTAAGTCAGGTTGTTATTGTTCATTCATATAATTATTACTAACTAAATATTTCTATTCTTAAGTCAACAAATAAGTAAAGATCTCTTAACTATATAGTGAAGTATATTGAGGGTCTTTAAGCATTTATTAATCAAAAGAACATAATTATTGAGTGCAATTTTCAACTTCCATTTTGTTTTCTCTCTCTTCCTGCCATAAATTTAGTTTGAGATATCTAGGTAATACAGTAAGATGCTTTGGTTTATTTCTGTCTGTGTTTTCCTTTTGGAATTCACCTGAAGAATTAACCAATTCTTTGCCGAAGAATCTATACTGTTCGTGGATCATTTTATTATCGTTAAAAATTATAATATTCGGTTAAAATTTATTATTATTCAATTATGATTGCACAATTATATTAATGATTATGCTTGGCGATTCTATCTACATATTGGACATTATTGTTTCAAATTGATTTATTGCATAAAGCAATGCCAACAAAACAAATGTCCAAATTGAGTAAATTTCAAATTTGTTGCATTATCATAAAAAATTAAAGAGTAGGTAAATTTATCATGATTCTCATCTGTTGCTATACTTCTTTCCTTGTTCAATTTATCTTTAAAACTTTCATTCTTAAGCTTCAAAACAAAGATATTAAAGTGTTTAATAGATTGCAAAATAAGTAATATTAAATAGGATTAATCAATTGTTTTGTACATAATATTGTGATTTAAAAGTATCTATTAAAATGATTGGATCTAAGTTAATCGTTTGCCTATTCCAAAGTATGCAACTTGAATCAAAAAAACTGCTAAATGACAATCTTAATTCCCTTCAACCATATCATTTAAATCTGGTAGTTTCTTAAATACTTTATTAATTTTTTTAATGATGTTTTTAATACATTATGCATTCTAGATATTATATGGAATAGAAAATGAGAATAATTAAGGGTATAATCAAATAACACTATTTGAACATTAACAAAATAGTTATCATAGATTAGTAACTTATATTTTTTGTATATTCCTCCCTGATAGTTTTAACTTTTAGAAAGCAAGTCAATAAATAATATATGAGGTTACTAAAAATTTGATCGTATTGAGTTTATAGTATATTTATCTAGTTGAAAAAATGATCCAACATATCGCATATTTTTTGATATATCTATTGGATCATTTCGGAATTCTTTTATGATGCTCTAATCAATTCTGATTAATTGGAATAAGCAATTGACACTTATGTATATGAATTAAATTATACTTTTTTCTAATCCACTGAATTCATTAACATTTTACACATCATTTGAAGAGATGGGAATTAGAGTCTTGGTCATCTGGTTCAGATTAAATTAGAGTAGATAGAAGGGATATGCAATAATTATGGTAATATTTTCATATTGGCTTTAACTTATTGAATTAAATAATTAATATCTTAAATAAAAAATGAACGCCAAAGGTGCAGGGTTGACTTATGTTAGCGAATACAAATCTGATGAATTCAGAACATTCAGAGGTGGTTTGAGACATTTGCCTGAGAGAGCAGAGTATATGGCACATAACAGCAAGAACAATTTGTCTAATTATCATGACAAATTCAATTATGAAAGAGTAAATTATATATTTAAATTAAAAGGGTTTCATTTAACACTCAAGATCATTATCTAACCAACACCACAATTTCCATTATATGTTTGGAGGACCTAAGGAATACTTATTCAAAAGACTTTTCTATGGTGCATGGTATAGAAAGAATATCAGAAACTTCTGGTTCCCTGTTGTGTTTAGCTATGGACGTAAGCATTTTACTATGAAATAGTTGGTTGTTTCTGCATGAGATTATATGATAATGCAGCCCATGACTTCTTTTATTTCACCGATTGAGATAATTACATAATAATACATAAATAGTATAAAACCAGAATTCATAGCAATCTTTCTAATAACATTTTTTCAAGCAATAAATTATTTCTCAAAATGCTTTCTTCACTAAACCCTAATTACTTTCTGAACTTTTGATTTTGAGGCAGTATTTTCTCAATGAATGAAAATTACTCTGTGATGAATGGAGCGCTTTTCTCATACTCAGGCAATTTAACAATTATTTTATTTGTGTATTTGTTGTTTTACTTGATGTAATCGCATAGCATTTTTTTAGCTTTTTCCTTATTCCATTTCCTGAAATTAGGTAGACAAACACGATTATCATCATTAGCCAATTTATTAATCTTGAATTTGCATTGAGATATATTCATTTTTTATAAGGATGTCTATCTTTAGTGATTAGATACAATCACATCCTTCATTTTTATAACTCTTTCTGTGCATATATATTCTTAACTCCTTAATTTAGTTGATTACAGATTTCGAAGGACCATTCTAGGACTCTTTTAAACAATATCAGGCAGTGCAGAATTGTCTGTGTGGGTGTGAGTACCTATATTAAGTTTCAACTTTTATTGCAATGAATTCATTAATTTAATTAAAGTCAATGTATATTTCAATCAAAATCTTCTTAACCTCCACTAAAATCATATTCTATTCTTTCATGATTGGCTAATTTTCCATCTATAAACAGAAATGTATCGCTTTTGGTTTTCCATGGATTTATGAGCATCAGATCCTTTAAGTTTGCACCCAAAGCAGGCTAATCATACATGGATTCCCAAGTATTGGTGGAATGTGGTATGCAAAAAGGAAAGCAAAATTCGTACTCTTTTATGAGGTTGTTTTTAAAATAGAATCTAAATGGATGTTGTATTTTACCTATCAATGAGTAACAAGTTCTTTAAAGGCTTATCAAAGGTCTTGAAGATTTTGGTTGCTCCCAAAGTCTTGATATCAAAATATTGGGGTGTGAATTAATAACTCAAAACTTCCTATTGTTGATTTTCTTCATCATTCTCAAAGTCAAATAATATAAAGTTATCGTCAGCATCTCTGAGTATAAATTTAATAAATTTGATTTCCTCTGATGGTTTGCATAGAAATTTATCGCAAGGTTTGGTAAATGTTCTCACAATTTCAGGGGTTATCACTTTTTACATATTAAATTAAATAGAGAGATGTTAATTTAATAATTTAAATTTAATTACAAAATGTTTAGAAAAGCTAGATAAATAGAAACTCATTCACTACACTATTCCATTAGTTAANTATGGACGTAAGCATTTTACTATGAAATAGTTGGTTGTTTCTGCATGAGATTATATGATAATGCAGCCCATGACTTCTTTTATTTCACCGATTGAGATAATTACATAATAATACATAAATAGTATAAAACCAGAATTCATAGCAATCTTTCTAATAACATTTTTTCAAGCAATAAATTATTTCTCAAAATGCTTTCTTCACTAAACCCTAATTACTTTCTGAACTTTTGATTTTGAGGCAGTATTTTCTCAATGAATGAAAATTACTCTGTGATGAATGGAGCGCTTTTCTCATACTCAGGCAATTTAACAATTATTTTATTTGTGTATTTGTTGTTTTACTTGATGTAATCGCATAGCATTTTTTTAGCTTTTTCCTTATTCCATTTCCTGAAATTAGGTAGACAAACACGATTATCATCATTAGCCAATTTATTAATCTTGAATTTGCATTGAGATATATTCATTTTTTATAAGGATGTCTATCTTTAGTGATTAGATACAATCACATCCTTCATTTTTATAACTCTTTCTGTGCATATATATTCTTAACTCCTTAATTTAGTTGATTACAGATTTCGAAGGACCATTCTAGGACTCTTTTAAACAATATCAGGCAGTGCAGAATTGTCTGTGTGGGTGTGAGTACCTATATTAAGTTTCAACTTTTATTGCAATGAATTCATTAATTTAATTAAAGTCAATGTATATTTCAATCAAAATCTTCTTAACCTCCACTAAAATCATATTCTATTCTTTCATGATTGGCTAATTTTCCATCTATAAACAGAAATGTATCGCTTTTGGTTTTCCATGGATTTATGAGCATCAGATCCTTTAAGTTTGCACCCAAAGCAGGCTAATCATACATGGATTCCCAAGTATTGGTGGAATGTGGTATGCAAAAAGGAAAGCAAAATTCGTACTCTTTTATGAGGTTGTTTTTAAAATAGAATCTAAATGGATGTTGTATTTTACCTATCAATGAGTAACAAGTTCTTTAAAGGCTTATCAAAGGTCTTGAAGATTTTGGTTGCTCCCAAAGTCTTGATATCAAAATATTGGGGTGTGAATTAATAACTCAAAACTTCCTATTGTTGATTTTCTTCATCATTCTCAAAGTCAAATAATATAAAGTTATCGTCAGCATCTCTGAGTATAAATTTAATAAATTTGATTTCCTCTGATGGTTTGCATAGAAATTTATCGCAAGGTTTGGTAAATGTTCTCACAATTTCAGGGGTTATCACTTTTTACATATTAAATTAAATAGAGAGATGTTAATTTAATAATTTAAATTTAATTACAAAATGTTTAGAAAAGCTAGATAAATAGAAACTCATTCACTACACTATTCCATTAGTTAAAGCGATATTAAGAGAACTTCCTACTTTGCCAATCTATCCCATAGATACAGATCCTAGTCGATTGATCTCAGCAATCAAAAAATCAAATAACCCATTTAGCAGACAAAATCAAAATCGAAACCAAGAATGCAAATCAATCCAGTAAAATTCCAGATCTTTAAATCAAACAAGCCACTTACAGAGTTCAAAGAATTCAAATTAAGAACGGCTGACAGATGCAAAAGCAGAGAAAAAGTGAGGATAAGAGAGCAGAATAAAGAGAATAAAGAAAATATATTTATTTAATATAATAAAAAACTATGAAAATATGTTCAATCATCATACAAAACAAGAGAGGGCAAAATATCTTTGTTGTCTCATCCAACGATTATTCTCATGAATTGTCATTGCAACATTCTAAGGATATTTACAATTACATTCTTAGTCAAATTAGTATTCATCAATTAATCATTTAGAGGCAGGGAAAAAGATAGACAGATCAATTGTTTTAGATTCAAATTATGTTTGTATTTGCAATGTAAACAAAGATGTAATTACAATCAACCTAATGACTTTAGGCAATATTTTTAGTTATTGTACAACGAAATGAATTATTCTTGGGATATGAGGCAATCAAAAAATTGGCTGAATTCTATGCCACCTACTATAAGTAAGAAATCACTACCAGGAAATACTAAGAAGTAACTTTTTCAATTTTACTCCTAGATGTTGCTCTTATTGGAAGAATTCTTATACACTAAGGAATTTTTACCTCAGAAATTATAATTTAATTTAACTGTCAAAGCCCCTGCCTCCTCAAGATGCATTGCAGATTGCGATCATCTTTAAAAGTTTTCATCACTCTAAGCCACAATTGAAAAAAATCTCATTGCTAATATACCTTTAAAGTATGCAAAGAAATAATAGATTATCGAAAAGGAAGTAGATATCATCAACATATTTATTAAACCTTTAATCAATCTAGATGAATACAAGCCAAACCAAGAAGAACTTCAATGGAAACAAAAATAAAAAAAGAGTCTCTACGATTGTGCCTTTAAAATGAAGAGCAAACAAGTTCATAAGGAAAATATCTTTCAAAAATATAAGCCTTAAAAACCAAATACCCAGTATAAATAACATACCTAAAAATCGGCTTAATTGGTAAATCAGTATAAGGGCATAAGCAGTTCGGATATCTAAATAATGAAGCTCAATTTCTAGAGTTAGATGTAAAAGGCTGGTGGACAACAGGATCACTCTAATTAATAAAGCAAATAATAATCATTAAAACCAATCTAGCAGCAACACAGCAGGTAGATAAATTTATTAGATTATGGTGAAGGCTTTACAACTGTTGAACCCCCTAAAAGTTAGATTTAATAAGTCTAAAATTCCAATGAGGAATAACCAAGAACTAATCCTATCTAAGTGAAACCAAAGTAACAACAAAATGCTAATGACTTATTGGATTTAGATGATAGGCCAAATCATTAAGTGCAACCCCAGATTCAATCAACAGCTGGTCCTGATTTATCGTTTTTAAGTTTATCTCCAGTCAAATAAAATGAACCTTGCTTGAAAATGCTGGAGAAAATGGTTATTGCTTAGAAAGATGGGAGATTAAAAGAATTAAAAATATTTGGATAGATAGCTTTGGATGGAGACTTCACGTTTGATGATTAATCTAACCTTTAACTTTTGGGACAATATTGGCAAGATACATATGGATGTTAAAGAAGAATAACTCCGAATTCGTTAGACTTGCAACTGTTGAATGAGAGTAGTTATAAAATGATCATCAAGAATGCGAGTTACAAAACACCCAAAGGCATCATTGATTACATAATTCCGACGAAAGCATTTACTTAATAAAGGATTCCAGTTATATTTTTGTATAGGTTGGAATGTGTATAATCCTTCGCCAGTTATTGTCTTCAATACAAGGTGAATGATTAATGGCAGGTGCCATTGCAAGATATCGTAATTGAAGTGAATCTAGAGAAAGATGTAGAATTTGATGACTTAAAAACAATCCCAGTAGCCCAAAATATAAACGATAAATAGATAACTTGGAAAGTACAATATATATATTAAAGGTAGGCCAAACAATTGTTGCAACAGTAGAAAGGCAAATTGATATTGAATCTCACAGGCATTAAGAAGTAAGGATCGTAAATACTAAATCACATCAGAATTAGTTTGAAAGCTAATGTAAGCGATAATACTTAATTTTAGACATCTGTCATTGAGAATATGGATAGCATAATGTTTTACAATAGCTAGGAGTACAAATGCTAGAAAAAGCTAAGTGTTGAGTACAAAATATATCCGAATTCTTGATATTATTAAATATATAAATTAAAATTTTGAAGGATGAGTGAAGCTTAAGCAGACCGTATCTTATCAATTGCAAATCAAGAGACAGTTAATAGATTATTCAGAGTGTGCTACAAATAAATTACAGGTTAGAAATAATTTGAATAATTAGGACAAAGACCTGTAGGTAAATTTTAAGATAGCGATCATCAAGCTGTATTGAATTGCCACAGGAGATTGGTTGAAGTACTAAAAATTGTTGCACCTGCAATTGTACCCTTAAGAGAAGAATGATTTAATTATTCAAATCGTTATCATCAAAACCAGAATATTTAATAAATTAGCTACACAATTCATATTTATATATGTTATTTTAATATATGACCTTCATCTTCTCATTCCCATGGGTGGTCTACCTGGTTATCCTTTAGGTTTCATTTTTGTATCTTAATCAGATTTTGGATTTTTAACTGTTTCATCAATAGATAAAATTGCGCAAGCAGCCTTTCAAATAAATGTGAATAAAAACCTCGGTTGCTGAACAAAGAGCATTTCTTTTGACTAGACTGGGTTCCCAAACAAAAGAAGAGTGGGTGTCACAAACTCCAGATGCTCCATTGATATCGACTCCATACCATCTACCTTCCTCTCCACCTTGAGCATGTCTTTATCTAAGTTTATTCATAATTTCAATTGAGTTTAATCCTGCATTTTCAGCAATGGTTCTTGGAATAACCTCTAATGCTTTAGCATATGAATTCACAATGTATTAAGTCTTGCCAGTCACAGATCTAGCATAATGTCTAAGATATCTAGACAATTCCAATTCAATAGCACCACCTCCAGCTACAATTTTGTTGGCTTTGAAACATCTTCTGACAATCATAATAGCATCATTCAAGGATCTCTCAGCCTCTTAAATGAATTATTCAGCTCCACCTCTCAATACTATGGTTGCTGTTCTAGACTAAGTTTTATAGTTTTTGATTAAAATACTTATGGACAATTTTTAAATAAGTTATATCTTTCTGCACCAACTTAAACTTCTTCGAACAATCCACAAGTTCCAAAAGTCTCAGGATTTAGACCATTGACAGTTGTTTAGACTTGACCTCCAGTAGCCTGATTTGAATATATGATTTAATTACTTTTTAAACTCTAAGAAGATCTTCTTAAGGAACTCTTCCAGCGCAAAAGATGTTCCTGTCAGCAAAATATTGTGTAGCCAAATCTCCAATAGGAAGTTTAGATAATACGATTTGGGCTCCTGCTTTAACGATGATTTCTAATTTCTCATAGATCAATGCCCATTCAGCATCTACAATTTATTGATATTCTTCTGGTTTTTCAATTCTGATTTCTGCATTTTCCTTTTCACTTTTGAGTTCTAATTCCAAATTTAATAAACAGATCTTTGGATTTTCAAATCTCTTTGGCTATTGTTCAAATCCAGCATATGAAAAGGTCTTCTTGAATGCAACTCCATCAACCAAAAATGAATCAGTTACACTTCCTCCTGTGACATTCTTGATTCCAATCAAATCTCTATCCAAAATATTTGGGTCCAACTTCTCCACTGCTGATACCACCAATTCACTAAAGAATTATTTAGTATTGGCTAACTAATTAATATTAATTATTATTATACTAATTTTGAATTCAAAGCTGTCTGAGCACATTTCAATAAGGTGTCTCTCTTCTCTTATGGAGAATCTCGAGAAATATTTATTGAGAATCCCTCTAACTTTTCTAATGCCAATTCCAAAGCCTTTCTATATCCTTAGATCACTATTTGTGGATGGATTCCCTCTTCAATAAATGGCTTGGCTTCTTTTAACAATTCTGCAGCCAACAATGTAGTGGATGTTGTACCATCACCAACTTCATCATCTTGGGATTTGGCAATGTCGACCAACACTCTAGCAGCTGGATGGACAACCTCTAATAAATTTAGAATTGTTGCTCCATCATTAGAAATGGTCACCTTTGGACCTGTCTGAATCATTTTATCCATTCCTCTTGGGCCAAGAGTGCTTTTAACCACATCAGCCACAGCCTACACAGCATTGATGTTAGACACTATTTAAGCTCTACCTTATGAGGTGTCTGTGCCTTCTCTCAATAATAAGATGGTTGGTTGTAAGAATTGGGACATTTAATACACAATTTTATTTATTTAAATTTGAGGCATTTTCTTTTACAAACATTCATTTTCAAATATACTATTCAAAAAACCATTTAATTCAATAATTTCATCTGAATACTAAAATTCCAGTCTTTATAACTCCAATTATACTCATGTTTATTGCCATATTAATAAGAATACACATCATTAAATTATATTTTATAATGCAATATCACCTTTCCATAATATCAGCAGTTGCATATATCAAAAAATTAGGATTAATTGCACTTGCCGGAGAAAACATTAAAATTATAAATCTATAAAAGGATAAAGAATAATAGGAAATTAAAACAGAAAAATACATCAAAATTTTTCAATTGCTATTCAATGAGCAAGATTCCAACTTATACTAATTCAATCTAAATAAAACCATCATCAAATATAGATTGAAAGGTAGGATATTTGTATTGGATAAGCAATTTCAATTGGATTATGAATTCTTTCCTACACTTGCTACGGTAACTCATGATAATCAAACTATCATTATTGGAGGAATGCATTCAAATATACTTGTATTTTATAATATGGTTAATGACTGTTGCTTTAAATTAGAGCTACCTAATCCTGAAATTTAGAATTATTGCTTATTAAAAAATCCAGAAAATAGGTTAATTTTATCTTAAAATTGCTTGATTAATATTGAGAATAAAAAAGTTATCAAATCAGTCAATACTTTATCTTCAGAAGTAAAAAGCTGGTCTTAATCTGGTCTATTTTATTCTAGGGAATAGGAATATAAAATATATATTACTTCTGCCATTAAACATAAAATTTTGAGAAAATTTTCTGTTGATAGATATCATGTTTCTATTCGCTAAATATTTTCAGAAACAGGGAAATATTACTGCTTATAAAAAAAATATGAAGTTGTAGAACTCTATGATATATCAACAGGGATTGCTCATTAAATTAATTAAAAGTATTTAATGAATTGTAATGATTTATAATTTAATGAAAATGACAAAGTTTTTTTAATTGTAGCCAACAATAAATCATTTTATTTATGGAATTTGGATTAAATTTTAAAAGAAGCAACTTAATCTTGATGAATTATCAACAATTTTATGATAAATATACACTAATCTATGAAAATATGAAAATTATTGAAAGGATGAAAAATATTATTTGTGAATCTAAGAGTTCTTTCATTTCCCTCAAACCTACATTATGTAAGCATTTTTGTATGTTCTAATCCGAATAACAGAATGTTTCAATATTTCAAATAGTGATCTAATAAATTTAGTTTCCTTGTTAGGATTGATAATATATTAAAATAGCTTAGCGTGTTGAGTCTATAAAATATTACTTTATATTTATTTTATTTTAATAAGAAATCAATCGAAATCATCATCTTTTTAATTTTTCTTCATATGCAATTTAACCATGGCTTTGCCAATGGCTCCTATCCATGCTTCTTTCTCTTGATTATTATTTGACATTAGAAAGAAAGTGGTTTCTGGTGTATCAATTTTCTAATTTTATTTACAAATATACAAATGTGTTTTCTCTATTAGTTTCTTCCTAGCATGATTTAATTGTACTTATAGTTGATAAAGGAATAATCTCTGTTGGATTACTATATTATTTTTCTGCCTTGAATGTATACAAGGTTGTCGTTGTTAAAACAAACCATCGTCTAAAATGGATAAATAATATAGAATACTTTCTCCAAGTTTTAAATACTCGAGATTCTTTTTCTAACCACCCTTCTTTCATGATATTTTTGAGATCTTCAAGCATGTTGTTTTACATTAGATAAAAATCAATATTTTTTATATAATATATTATTTATGCTTCCTATATTTTTTGAAAATCAATTTAATTGGTTTTTCAGGGTTTTTCATACTCTTATATATCATCTTTATCTGATTAATTTGAGTCTTCCTCATTATCTTAATTAATATCAATGGAATTCTTTTCATTCTCAACATCTGTTGGTACATACATGCCATCTTGATCATAATAATGTTCATGATTATCATTACCAGGGTGTAAAACAAACCATCCATCTGGTTGTCCATCCTTATCATAATAACAACCATTCTCATCTCTCCATCTATGAATTTTAATTGAATAATACCCTCCATCTTCATAGAAAAAATATGATTATTAATTCACCAAAAATCCTACAACTTTTTCCTCATCTTTCAATTCGACATACTCGTTAAACTTCTCAGGCTAATGTTTTGGAGGATCCTTCAAAATTGGATTTTCAAGTGGATTTACTCTAAGCCAATTTTTCTAGATTTCTTTATCTAGTTGCATTTGTCAATTATTTTTTTTGTTTATTAATTATCAACCCCCCCTTCCCTTTCATATATATATATACAAATATATTCGAAGCAAATTTAATAGAAATATAATTAACAATATGAATGAATCCGATTATAAGTAATAACAAATAAATTAACATTTCTAGTGATGAAGATCATTAATTGATAAGAGAGATCGCTAAAGAGAAGAACATTTATTTCGAGTCTTATGAATATTAAGATTAAATAAGAGAATTCAATTAAAGAAATCCTACCTATGGAGTGACAGTGGATTTTAGATTTTTGAAAACAATTTAATAATGTGACTTTTTGGAAAACTCTTAATTGCAATTTTTCATAAATGTATTCAGAAAAGCATATTCAGAAGTCAAAGTAAAATGTTTATTTTTAAAATAGTTAGCTGCTGCCACATGTCACTTTTTTGCTGACTTTATAGTATCATTGTAGATACCTCCATCATAATAATAATAAAATCAGACTAATTAAACTGATAATTAAAGCCAAAAAGTTTAATAACAAAATAAGAATCAATCTCACAATAAAATAAGAGATGATCTTATAGATTCCAATGTCATGAAGAAAAATATCTTTAGTGAATAGTCAAACATAAACGATTTTCAAAGCAAATCCAATACTTCAATCATTACCGAAAATTCAAGGCTACCCAATGATTCCATCATATCTGTATAATAACAGCCCGCCGACTCTGCTGATAAGTTCAAAAATTAATATGCTCAATCTCAAATCATATCAAAAACTACATATGATGATAAAGTGAATTAACCTTATTAATCAGTTATTTAAAAAAATAACATAGCAAATAACTAATCTCAATCATAATTATTGTAGAGAGGTAGAGATGTATAAGTTTCTAAACAATCATAAGTTATTTAAGCAGAAAATCAATAATCATAAATAAACATAGGTAATTAAAAAAATCAATCGGATTCAAATATTAGTGATGCTAAATCTATTCCAGTCTAAGCTCCACTCAATGTATAATAAAATTCATCTAATTTGAATGATTAAATATTAATTGCAGATGAATCATAAATATTATCGAATTAATTTATAAACTCAAACGTCGGCTCATTAAATGTAAATAAGTAATAAACAAATTAAGAATAGTTTAAAAATACCTAATCAATAATAATAAATCCTCAGAACAACTAATAGGCACCTTTTGCATAGGCTTAGGTTGAGTAATAATAAGTATAACCTCCCCCTGAAAAAAAATACCATTTTCAGATTACAAATATGACTATACAAAAACCAGCTTAATAAGAAAATATTAATAAATCATATCTTCCTTAATTAATAAAATAATTGGCTGAAGTGAATTGCTTAACAGAAGAGCAATTAAAGGAGTAAGATTATTGGTACTTTCCCATAAATTAGCTCTAATCACATTGGATTAGTGTAGTGATTGATTTTAGAAAAAAGGAGATATGGTACTTTGATTCTTACTATAAAAAAACAGACCCTGTTATCATGCAAGGGATAAATTCTATATTAGAATACTTTAAAATAAATCCATCAAGTTTTTAGACAAAACCAGTGTATATTTAATAAATCAATGGGTATTATTTAATTCTAATTTAGATATGACTGCGGAGTTTTCATATTGCTTTCCCTTTTATATACTTTATAATAGAAAACATATAATTACAATTAAAGTATTGCAACCAAATTTAGAAAGAGAGTTCTCTATAATTTGGCTGTTATAGGGGCTTAATCGGATATTAGCTCAGATATTCTGGAAATTATAATCGAGCAAAGTTGAGCTTTAATAAATTTATATATAATTATTTCATTATTTTCTCGTCAGTATAGACAGTTTGAGTACAAAAGTCCTGAGTTAAAATTGAGAGCTCCATATTTGCACAATAAGATATCCTATTGAGAAATATTTTTATTTACATGTTTGTGAATTTGAACCATATTAATATAATCAAATGATATAGATTTGTTATCAAATTACAAATTTGAAAATGAAATAGGTTTTAAAAAAATACAGTTTTAAGTTAGAACTTCAAATCATATTATTAATTATTGTAGAATAATTGATACATATTTGAAAACAAATATATATATAAAACGGCTTTCCAAAATTTTATAAAATATTAAAGAATAATTAATTCCCTTAGTCAAATTTATAATATAGTTTAAACTGTAATATTTGAAATTAATAATGATTTATTATTCAGATCTTACCTTAAAATGAAAGAAACCTGTTTATTAGAATTAACAAAGGAGTGATTTATGAGAATTAAAGATAAGAATATGTTTAAAAAGAATTGGAATTCTCTGAAATTATTTAAACACAATTATTGATAAAGAATAAATACAAACTCACTTTTTCCAAGGTTTAGTTTTAAATTATTTTTAGACATAAGGATTTGCATTATATACTGCATTTGGTGAATGAGCTCTCTGCCTATTACCTATAGGTTTAAATTATGTGTTTGGTTAAATAGTTAAATCTTATCTTTAGTTTCCAGTGCTATTTTTTTTATACGGAGTAACCTGGAGTCTAGGTGCTCTTAATTAGTTCGGTGCAGTTTGAGGCCTACGGTCATTTTAGGCCATCCCTTGAGTTTATTCCTAATTGATTTTTTGTTGCGATTTCAAAAAGAATTATTCTCCTGAATCCATGTAAGTATTTGCTTGCTTCTTGGGCTTTAATGATTCTATAATTAAGACAATACTTACAAGTAGCTTCAGGTAATTATTATAATTTAGAACTATCACTCTTTGCAACAACTCTCTTAACGTCCTGAGATGAAGGCCTTTGATGCACAGGCTGAATGGGTTATAAGGGTTGGGTTTAAGACATTAAATTAGTTTCTGGTCGTGGAGATTATTAAATTTGCTATTCATATTAAAGTGTCTTTCCAGTCAGACAGGATTTGGTTTCTATAGGTTAGGATTGTTTCTTCTTATTGAATATTATCTTATCATATGGTGGTATATACATAGTGATTTTTTCAGCAAAACGCAATCTAATTTATAAAATTTGTATTTACTTTTAGGTTTTCGGTTTTTAATCGTGATCCTTAAATTCAGCCACTCCTTAAGGCTAAGCATTCAAATACGTGTTTCTTAATACCATTTCTTCAGGGTCTCCTTGAGAATACACTTCTTCCCAATTATAAGTTTTTGCACCCCATCCATTCTTTTAGAACTTACTTTCTATTGCCAATAGTTAATTAAAAAAATTAGCTCGGATCTCCAAATCTGGTCTTCTGCTATGCATAAATTGTAAGGTCTTGTATAGTGTCCATCTATATTTTTTCATAAAATAAACACAAAGAACAGCAATTGATCTATTGTGTCCTCTTATTGAATGTACAATGACACTTTCTCCGTTATTCAATGCATCATCCATAAATTTAATTACTTAATTAATCAGTTCCTCTTGTTAAAATATTACCTCATTATATAAAATATTACTTGAGTATCATTGTCAATCCATGGCAACGACATGTATACTATCCCAATCGATTCCCAATGGTTTGGAATTTGTTTGCAAGCACAATTAACAATTCTGGAAACCTTATTAGTTACAATAAATTCTAAGTCCTAAAAGGCTGAATCAACTATCTACCTATGAAGCAAATTAATCTCCTAAAAATAACCCATCCTTTATTTTGATAGCTCCGATGTAATCGTATTCCATTATATTGTTAGTATTATAATATATATATATAAGAAATAATTAATACAATAAATAAAAAGCTATCATATTTCAAATCACATTCCTTAGTTCATCAACTACATTCTTTTCATTTTTAATTGACAGTTCTTTTGAAAATCTATACTTTTTTCAAAAAGAACCTATTCCAAAGAATGCAAAAATTAGTTGATTTTATACAGATGTTAAAATTTTAATAGATTGTCCCTTTTAAGCGAAAATTCAAATACTAAGGAACCCTCTTATGATATGCTAACCCTTATAACAATAAAATCATGTTCACTATTTATGATAATCAATATTCTGCAGATCTAGAGAAAAAATACAGAAAACTAATTTTTACATCCTATCAAACTAAACCCTTCAGTTGATGATTCAGCACTTAATAGAATATTGTTTGCTCCGATAAATCTAATCACATTCTTTAAAATTTCAACAGGATAATAATGAACCTCTTTATTTCCATACAAGTAAAATCCTGAGATGAATTGAATGGAAATATCAAACAATAAGGATTTGTATTTCTACGGTTTTTTAATACATTTGAAAACTTCTCGAATCAATCGATAAAAATGATTAATTTTATCGATTGCAACCTTCTCTTATAAAGTTTATGATGTGCCTGTAAATTTAACTAAAAAATTAATTTTGTCAGTAATTGTGATTATCACATCAATTTAAGAGTAACATCGAAATGCAAATGAAAATTCTTCAATTGTGTTACCTGATTAAAATGAGCGTTTTATTTTGCCATATTTTTCCAATAAATAAGTTTCTAACGTTTAATTTTCAAAAGTAATGTATCTGATCAAACTCCTTAAATTACAACCATCGCAAAGATTTGGGTTCCACCTCTTAATCTTATTTTGTTTACTTAATATAATTGGTTAAAATTATTCTTATGAATATTCGAATAATATGAAAGGAACTGAAATAAATTTCGTTAAAAATTGTGCTATCATAAAAAACATTCTTACAATATATATCTTCTTTGACCGTCAATAAAAACTGTTATCTCTTGGCTTACCCAATCAAATAATAAGAAACAATTGAAATAATAGATATAAGTACACTAAACCAGACTGTAACCATACTCAAATGTTCTGAATAATATTGACTCATTATTATTAGCTTTAAAACTAATTGTATTACGATCTATGGGACTATTTAATAGAAGTCTAACGACATCATCAAAAGCATTTAAGATGCCATCACATTAGACCCGAGAAGAAAACTTCTTTATTAACCATATGCACTGTCAACCCAAAATTAAACTAGCGAAAATGAGTAATTCAATAAAATCATCATAGTTGAGGAGTATTAAGGGTATCTAAATATCACAACCAAAGCGATTATTGAAATTATCAATCCTGGAGTTTGTAATTCAATTCTTAAAGGGTTATTTTAAGTTGAATCTTAAATCAGCTTTCCTACATGCAGTACGATGGATGATATAGAAATAACTTTTAAAATAAAGGTTTTGTGGTAATCTTATTGTTTTGCTTAAAACTAATTCTCCAAAGCTTGATTCTCAAATTTAAGTGTCCATTTATTCATTTAATTTTATTAATTGATATAGCATCATTTAATGAGATTGACTTGAATACGAAAAAATAAACTATATATAATATTTTCATATTGTGACTAAATAAAATTCTTAAGTTCAGTTCAATTTCAAATTGATTCTTCATTATTTTCTTCAAATTACAAGTCCTCTTCATCTTAATTAAGCTTACCAGAACCGTCACTTTTATCTTTTATATTTTACTAAGAATTTGCTTCTTAATTTTCATTTATTTAAAATCCCTTAAATATTTCTTCAAACTCACAAGCTTTATCTACTTTATTTTGATCAGCTATAGGATTTTTATAAAAAATTGATGAAGGATCTCCAAACATCAAGGGTTCTTCTTCTTCTTCCTCCTACACCTCTTCTTCCAGAATCATCGCTTCATTTTAATTTTCAGGAGGTTAATTTATTTAAAATAAATTAGTTTATTATTATTCTTATGGCTGATCATTTTTCTTTGGTTAACCAAAAATATTATAATTTTATTCACTATCCTCAACAGATTATGCAGAATCATCAACAGCAAAGGGATTACTTTTTTTTTGGTTTTGTTAAATATTATTCTAAATTAATGAGGAATTACGGCTAGAATCATTTAATTAAGACTATTGTTATTCCCTGCAGGATTAATCATTCACCTTGGATTAGTCTTATTATTATTCATTTTTAGAACATATATCACTATCTTCCTAAATGTTGTTTAGTTTAAATGGTTATTAATTAAAAAGGGTTATAGTTTGTTGATGTATAGTTTATTCGATGTGAACAGGGAAAAGACTCTATGAATTTTAAACAAAAGCTTTTTCTATTTTCTCTGGTTACATTATAGAACCATCTTAACCTTCGATTTGATCTTTGATTTCAAATAAATTACTATCTTTTGAATATTTGTCTTATTGCTTCTCCAATAATAAGGACAGTTTCTCAACTTACAACCTCAAATCATTATTATTATTTTCCAACTTTTCAATTATCTTTGCTTGTTTTTCAACAATATCTTATAATCTCTCTAATTGGATTGTCTATTACTCTGAATCTTAACTTGTAAATTGATACTTAACCATTATATTTTTTAAATAATTTAAATTATTAATTAAAAATAATTTATTACTACTATCAACTATAAGCCTTGTAATTGAATTAATTGTAAAATTTATAATGTTCACTACTCAATCTTTATATTCTCCATTGTCTGTTTTCCTCATCATTTCTTTCAATTTCTTTCTCAATCTAAAATAGTTAAGATATTCTAACATTTTATCTCTGGGAGGTTCATTTTCACTATCTATACTTTAACTTCTGGATACTCGATACTAAGGACTACTTCTATTTTTAGGACTTCTACTCCTGCTTCTACTTTTAGAGCTAATTAATAAATAATTTAATATAAATTACTTTCTCCTTCTTTGTTTTCTTTCCTTTTCCCTCTCTCTTTCAAATCTATCATAATTTCCTCTTGATTATCTATAATTAATTTGCCATTATACCCTCTATCATCCCTTGGTCGATCTCTCCTGGGTTCTCTATTCTCATCATATCTGCCTGACTTTTTCGACCATTCAACATTTATCCTCAATCCTTTCAGAATTCATAAACCCTATATCTATACCCTATAAATCTCTTTAATGCAATGCATTTTTTGCAGCTTCTGCTTCTTATTCACTTTTATATTAAATGAATGCATACTAATATATTATTATATGTATTTACTCTGTCATTATTTTTTACTCTAAAATCTACAGTGCAATCCCCATGGACTTTAAATTCTCTTTCTATATCCTTCTACTCAACTAATCTTGAAATGTTGCCTACAAACAGACTCATTCTAGCATTCCTAAATTATTGTCTGCTCATTATAAATTATATGATTTTAATATAAATTGTATTTAACTGAAAACATTTAATAAAAAGTTAAAAAAATAAAAATCGTTCAAGAAATGAGTTAGTTAACGGAAAGCCCAAATAGATTAAATGAACAACAAAGCATTCCACAAGATGAAATAATTGACAAGTCACAAAAATTGGCAACATCCTCTCCCGATAAAGAGAACTCTTAAGAATTGTTTAGATTGTAGAAATAATAATTCATACAAAAGATGACTCAAGACAACTCAACAAGACGTTAAAAAAAAGTAATACTTTCCTTTGAATTTATTCATAGATAATAGGAGATATCAAAGATGTGGTGAATGTGAATAAGCAAATTGTGAATTTTGGATTGGTAATACCTGGAAATATTTGTGAAGATGATATATAATTTTAGAATCTCTCCAATGAGACTGTGATAATAGGCATATAGATAATATGCAATAACACAGAATTTGACGATCTAGATGAATATGTCTATTCAGCCAGAAAACTCAATGGATATGATTATAATGATCGATTCATGCTAGCCTGTCCAGCTCAAAAGCAGTTCTCTATGAAGATAGCCTTGAAAGTTCCTAATATCAAAGAATAGAAAGGACTTTTTGGCACCATCATCATTACAGCCTCTTATTCTAATCACTAAAAAATATAGGGTCAAATTAATGCTTAAATTTAAAGTCAAATTGCCCTTCCCTCGATTGAATGCCCAAAAACTCTCATGAATTGTAATATTTCTATCAATAAATTAGCTGCATATAATCTGCCTGTGATACAAATGGCTTTTAAATTGGGTAAGAAATTGGATTGCAAGATCCCCTTTAGGAATAATAGTTCGATTGGATTACCACTTGAAATGGAGTTTCTCAATAAAAATGACAATGAAATACTCATCAATCCTCCTTCACTTTCAGTGTAGGCGAATTCGCAATTCTTAGTTACAATCTATATCAAAAGCAAGCAAGAATAGATTATCAAGAATGTGTTAATAGTTAAAGTTAAAAATTCCAATGTTCATTTTAGTTATCCATTCATAATCAAAATATATTGATTTTACTAGATTATAAATAAAACTATGATTCAATCATTAAGATATAAATTCTTTATCATAAACTTTAAATAATTTAATAATTATTTGCTTCTACTATGTCATTTAACAAAAAAGGTAGAGATGATTTAATGCAAATAACAAATGATGAAGATGGAAGAGAAATTAATCCCCACATGCCTCAATATATTATTAATGCTCCATGTATGATTACTACCTGATATTTAGGGTATTTAAAGGAAAGTACACCATCATTGAAGCATCAAAGAATAAGAAAATAATAGAACACAAGTACATTTGATAACTGGTATCAAAGGGGATCAAAAGTATATTCTTAAGTGATTTAATAATAGGGAACAACTAATTTAAAATTTAAAAAAGGAGCTTGCACTAATTGTGGTTCTACAACTCATTAAAGTAAGGATTGTTGTGAGAGACCCAGACAAATAGGAGCTAAATTCTCTAATACAGATATTCAACCAGATGACATTTTATCAAATGTCTAGGGTCTTAATTATGATGCAAAAAGAGATAGATGGAATGGCTATGATCCAGAGACTTATAAGTCATAAATCCAAGAATATGAGATCCTAGAAGAGAAGCGAAAAGAAACTAGACTACAAGAAGGATAATAAACAGAATCTGGAAATTTAGATGATGAATTTAAAGATAATGGAACTGGTGAACACTAAACTCAGATGACCACCAGAGATCCAAGAACTAAAACTATGACTAGGAATTTACGTATCAGAGAAGATAAAGCCAATTATTTATTGAATTTGGATGTCAATTCAGCATATTTTGATCCTAAGTCTAGATCTTTAAGAGAAAATCCAAATCCTCATTTGCCTCCAGAAAAATAAGTGTTTAAAGGGTTAAATTAAATAAGATTGACTGGAGAAACCCTATAAATGTATGAATAAGAAAGATTTGCATGGTAGTATGCAGAACAACACAATTTAAATCTGAATACTGTATCTCTGCCAACATTAACCGAAAAGACTGTATGATATTTGCATTTATTAGACTAGTATAAACAAATCAAGGCTAAGAAGGAGGAATAGAAAATTGGAAGAGCAGAGAGTTTGTTTGATAGATATGGTGGAGAAGAACACTTGAATCCACAAATAGATTTACTATTGGGATAAACAGAAAGGTTTGTTGAGTATGAAGAGGATGGCTTACCAAAGAATCCTTTAAAAAAGAAGGACTTAACTAAAAGCAAATACTTAGAAGATTTCTTTTATGGGGATCATACTAGTGTTTGGGGTAGTTGGTGGAGTGATGTCCTTGGATGGGGATATGATTGTTGTTATTCAAATGAAAAACATTCAGTCTGTCTAGGAGAAAAGGGGAGAAGATTATAATTGAATAAAGAAGCTCGATTAAAAAGAGAAATAGAAGAAGATCTATAAAAGGCACAATCTTAAGATTAAAAATCTAGTCCTCAACATTAACATTAGCAACCTCAACAATAAATAATCCAATAAGTTTAATAACAATGAGTTTATTTATAATTATTGTTATTTTAAGTATTTAAATAAAAGAATGCTAAATACTTAACAGACATAGTTAATAATAATAATCTATTGTAGATAATTATTTATTTATTTAAACTTCTAATTTTAATATGATAAATAAAATAATTGTAATTAACCATCTATCATTATAAAATACTCAATTCTTTTTTTAAAGTTATTTCATTATATATTGTATTCTAAAATAAATTAAATATTTGTATACTTTAAATAAGAGTAGAGGCTCCAAATCATGGGATGTTTCAATATAACTAGATAAGAAATTTAAAACTTCTGATCTCAACTCTTAATCCATTCCAATATTGTAAAACTGGAAAGGAATCTTTTTCTCTGTCAGGATCTTAGCTATTTCACAATTTAAATCTGGTTGTCCGTCTATTAATATGATGTATTTTGAAATTAGCTGAATCTACTCTAACTTGGAAGTCTTATTCATGAAAGCTTCCTTTGGTATCAATTCAGAAAATTTCTTTTAATCAATTAATTCAACTGTTGCCTGATTCATAAATAATAAGAAATACATCTGCTCCTCCGATTAATTTCCCATTCACAAATACCTAAGGGAAGGTCTACCATTTTGAATAGAGCTTCAAATAGCCAACCATTAGTTTATCAATTTCTATATCAAAGAATCCAAATTGAACACCAAAAGGTTGTAGTTTTTAAATCAGCTTTGATGTAAATCTACACATGGGTTTTTCTGGAGTACCTACAATAAAAAGCATTATTGGATTTTCTTTGATCATTGATTCTATCTTTTAAAAATATTGTTATTATTGCTTTTAAAATTCAGCTTCGAATTGCTCGTATATGCTCTATAACTATACTAAAACCTATGCAGGTTCCAGACACAATATTTAGTTATTAATTAGTTTAGGATATGATGAAATCAAAACAGAGGGCAATTGTTAAATCTAAAATTGATGTTTCATTTACATTATGACTTCTTGCTATTTATTCATCATTGCAATAGGACAAAGCATACTTCTCAACTTCAAGAGGCATTATTTATAATAATTTGTCTAATCTTGTTTTATAATCTTCATTATGATAAAATACAGTGATTATTACCTAAATCATATTGAGATAAAATATACTTTATGAAAATTAGATGATTGGAATACATCTAAAGAATATTCTTATGTAATTGTAGTCATAATTAAATTTTAATTATTATTTTATTATAAAATGTAGAATGAGATGAAACCTATCAAATAAAACTAATTAGATCAAATTTTGGTGGATACTTTTACATTTTTTGAGGTACTTATTGGTAATACTTTAACTTATTCTTATTTTTCTCATTTATATATATAAATAGGTATAAATTCATATTCCTAAAATTATTAAGTTCTTTTTTTTCTTTGTAATTTATATTCATTCTCCAAAGGAGTTGTGTAATATATTGTTTTTGATAAATTAATATAAGTAGTAGTTCAAAAATTTTATAAGCCTAGTAATTTCTCTCTTCGTTTTATGATTTTTCTTCTTAGTTCCTATTTATAAATTTATTCTGATGTAATTTATCAATTTAAATCTGAATTTAAAGACCTAAAAACTTTGAACTGCTATTTCTTTAGTGTACAGTATAAGAAATATAATTTTTGAAAGAGAGCAATTATTTATGAGTATAAGCAATATGGATGAAATATCACCATTTATTTGAAACATAATTTGTCCTTATAATAGATTATTTATTAAATAATATGTGATATTTTCAACATATTCTAAATTTATCTCCACAATTATAGCATTCAAAAAACTTAGTTGTTGGTTCATCGGATGCTCTTGTTTACTTCTCATCAACTAAATACACCTTTTTTTAACCACATCCTTTACACATTTTCCCTTCTACACCTTCCATTTCTCTTTTGCTTAAGTCTTTGTAAAATCCTATCTGTTCAGCCTCCATTTTTTCTCTAATAATTCTACTCTACTCTTATTTGGTTTCATCATCAACCCAATCAGCAGCTCTAAATTATATTTAAAATACTTTAATTAAGCAGCATTTACCGGGTCAAATTACTTCGTGAAAATACTATAGGTCAATGAACCATTTTTATCCTTCTTTAAAAACCCCGCTAAAACTTTTAGATCCTACTCATAAGCCTTTTTAGGAGTATAGTCTTGTGATCTCTTATAATAAATTGTGCTTTCCATTTTTTCTACACAGTCTTTAATTGTTTATCTATCAGAAGCATTTAAATCATTTTGATTTTTAAATTTTTAGATATTAAGAATAAACAAATTACTAATTGCATTTAAGTACTTGACGCGATCAACATAAGATGGATAAGGGGTTTTGAAATTTTCAAATAGATCATTAGCAGGCAAAGATTTGCTACTTTAGATACTCTATACACTGTTCTGTTTTTCAACTTTTATTTCCTCACTTTTCTCTCTTTTTTTTTCAATTATTTCATTTTAATTTGGTTTATTTTGAGACAGTTTTTTAAGTTTGTCTTGAACAATCGAAGCTTTTGATTTAAGTGTTGAAGCTAAAATATCACTTTTATCGTCAATTGTAGTCAGAGTGTGTAGAGTTTTGTATATTTTTGATTTATTTACAGCCTCTTAATCAAGTGGAGTTTACTCTAATTATTTTAAGATATTAATAGTTTCTTTAGGATTCTTTTTCCAATCTGCAAGCTTTTTGCGCAATTCATATAATTCTTAATAATCCATAAAATAATTTAATTTATATCAAACATTATTAAATTTCTTAAATGTGTCTATTAAATGTTATCAAATTATCAATTTATAAGATGAAATAAATATTCGTTATGCCACTAAAGAGAAAATGCTAATCAGACAACTATTTCACATATCTTCAATTATAAATCTTCATTCATTTATTTATTAAATAAATATATTTTAATAAATAAGCAATTATGCTATTCAAACCAATAGACTGCAACAAAATATGAGAAAACAATTTATTTCACTATATGATAACCAAAAGCTTTGATATAAAGAATGATATAAAATTAAAATTACTTATGCTTAATTTTAAGAGAATAAAATAATTGAATGGAAGTATAATTAGAATTGAAATTAAATTAAAGAGGATAATGTTTGAATAAAATAAAAAATCATTATTAGTTCAGATAGGAAAAAGGAGATAAGAACTTTGTAATTTTGTTACTACTTACCTTTGTAGTTAAAAATTTATATTTCAATTCAAAATTGAAATTGTATTTCTTAACAATCTTCAACATCAGATATTTCTGATTGATTTTCATAATCTATATATAGCACTAAAATTCATTATCTTTAGAATATAGTTTCAATTATTAAATTATTTGTGTTATTTATTATATGTAGTATAAAAAATTAGAAGGTTAATCAAATTATTGGAAGGCTGCCATGCTTGGCACGATTTTCCTTTTCATGTTTTCTTCATTTAATTCAGCAGCAAACTTAATAGGTTTTCTCTATAAGGAGGCAAATTATGATGATTTAGGAGTGATTTCATTATTTTCATTATATGCAGCATTTGGCATCAGTTCCTTATTTGCGCCTAATATTAGCGCAATGTTCAATCCAAAATACGTACATAATCTATATTAATCAGTTAGGTAATGTTCTTTTCCTCATTTGGATATACTTTATATATGTCATGTGGAATAATTGTCTATTAATGCAAAGAACATGGCACTCAAGATGGAGTTTGCAGTAAAGGGATATTGTATACAATTGTTAATCTTTGTGCGGTAGTAAATGGTATATGCGCAAGTACCTTATGGGTTTCATAGCCATGGTACATCACAAGCATTAGTACAAATGAAACTAGAGGTAAGTACTTTGGTATATTCTGGGCTTTGATGTAATCATCATAGATTGTTGGTAATGTGATGGGATTGGTTTTAGTACAACTATCACCATTACTATATTTTTTAGTGATGACGATTGTTTGTGGTATAAGTGGATGTTGCTTTTTATTTTTGCCTTCTAAATTTGAGAAAGCACAAGAAGTGAAGAGTGTGAAGGAGAAGCTTAGAGGAATTTGTATTATCATAAGTTCTAGAAAGATGAGACCCATGTTGTTATATTACTATTTTGCAGGAACCATTGTAGCATTTTATACTGGGTTTTTATATAAACTTATAGCTGCATCTCAACCAGAAGATCAAAGCTAAGATGAGACAACCAAAAGGTAAGCATATGTTTTCATAATGCTTGGTGTTTTTGAATTCATTAGCGGAATTTGTTCTGGATACATATCAGATAGAGTTAATCGTTACATGGTGGCTACGACAAGCACAATAATAGTTGAATTGGCCTTAATTGTTAGCATAATTAGTTATTATACAGACAGCTATACATTGTGTTTCATATCTGGGGCTCTTTGGGGAACTTCTGATTGTCTGGTGTCTAATATGACTATGGTTATCACTACAACTCTTTTTCCAGATTAAATTGAAGCCTTTGCAATCAGAGCCATAATGACCTCATTTGCCACCAGTGTTATGCTAATATTTAGTATTCTAATTCCTAATCAGATCATTTATTTATTAATTGTTGTATTAGTTGAGTTATTGACCAACATCAGCACAAGTAAACTGGGAATTATCAATGAAAAGCCAGAAGAAATAAAGTTGTGAATTTTTATAAGAATATTTAAAGGTAAGTTGTATAATAATTTTCTATGAGATAATTTATTATAAATCTGGTTATTCATTCATATAAGGTTATAAAAATGCTATCTATCTTATAATCATCAATAAATCAGCCCATGCTTTTGGGTTTTCCTCATTGTCAAGCTATAAAAAATACCAATACAATTCCTACAACTATTAGTAATCTTCTTACATTTTTTTGGCTTAAATAGATACCAATAAAAGTTACTATTTTATTTAAGATAAATAAATTTAACATATTATAATTACATATTTAACTTATCATGCAGATTTAAAAAATATTTTATCATTAATATGCAATTAAATTGGAACTGAGTTTTGGACCATAAACGATTGATTTTGATCAGTCGACCATTAAGGAGTGAAATTAAATCCATTCTTTTGAATATTAGCTATAATTTATAGATAATATATACTCCAGGAATCTTCTCTGTGTGTGAAGTCTCTCAAAACATAATCCCAATTGAATTGATGATAGATTCTTGTATCAAATATCCGAATCAGAACATCATCAATTCTTAAATAACTACGGATTAACCCAAAAAAACAATCACCCATAACCCGGAATCTGTATTCACAATTGGACAATCCATTGTCTCCCAATTCATCTTCAAATAATGATATATGAGATGCCCATTTTATTGGATTGGCCTTTTAAAAATTAATATTATTGAATACTTGTGTTAAATTATTTAATGGAATCTCCTCCTCTGTATGTTCACAATGGAATGTCTTCGATTTTATATTAAACACTTGATTTAGATAGTCAACTTCATTTTTAATTACATTCTCATTCAATTACTTCTCAAATATTGATTTACCTTAAATTCCTGCAATTTATTTGAATCTTTAAAATTAATAATTCATCTAATCTCCATCAACTATCGTTCCCTTATAAGGGGATGAATAAAATGTATCAGATATTTTATTTAAGACTTTGATATCTGCATTTTATTTCTGATTCCACACATTTGCATACTTAAGTTAAGCTTGTTCTGGGATCACTGAAATATGGTTGAGTTTATTTGATTTTAATTCCTTCTTAATATCTATGTAATTTGCATCTCTAGCCTGATAATTACAGAGATATAAGGCATCTTTGGGATCCACCAAAATCCCAAAGTTAAATTGCTTATTGTAGATCAATCCGCAATTATTACCATTGGTGATGTCTGGGATGCCTTACAACGTCAATGCATCTTATAACATATCCAAATCTGATGTATTATACATTCCAGCCTTTGTAAATATGAAATTCCAGCCATTTTATTCATATTCTTCAATATTTACATCATTATATGTTTTATGTGAGATAATATTCATTTTTAATAATAAATTATTAGAGAAATATCATAAAAAATATCAGAGAATATTAAAATTGTGCATCAATGAAAATCAGAGAGATTCCCAATTTTATCATCATTAATTATAATATAATTATATTATTATTAAAAATTAACTAATTTTAATTGGCTTAAATACCTAAGTCTTAAATAATATTTATATTTGTGTTAATTAACTCATTTAATTAATCTTATATATAAAAAATGAAAAAATCACATTTCTAATTTATTAATATAGCAACCATTCTTTAATGTATCATTAAGCTTAAGACTCAGATTAAATATTATTATTTTGAATGGATAATTTAATATAAAAGAGGTAGGTTGATAAAATAGAATTTACAAAAGTAATTCTTCTTTATTTATTCTGGGGTTAATTGACTCTTAAATTTCTTTAAAGAATCTCATTTTTAACCAATTTCATAAAGGTACACTATTTTACAAAGACCTTATTTTAAGAAATGAATCTTTATTTATCTCTAATCTTATAAATATTGCCAATATTGGAAAATTTAAAGTTTGAACCTGAGTATATTAAGAATCGCACTATTAAATCAATATATTGTTATTATTCAAATTAATAAATGGATTATCCTATATTGTAATAGATATTAAAACGTAAATATATAATATAATATCATAAATATTGTAATGACTCAAATATAAAACTATTGTAAAATCTCACATATCCAAATTTAGCGATCACATAATTTTTTTCTACAATTTGCTTTAAATCCGAATATTGATAGGTTCTATGATAGATTGGATAATGTTACAAATCATCTATTTTAACATTTTAATTTTCGCATTTGGTTTTGCAAATTAACTTTCTAATGTTATCCATTAATTATTTTTCTGTTTCAGTCAAACTAATCGCAAACTCCTTTTGTTTTTACAAGACAACATCTTGAATAAGAGGATAGCAATACCATCATATCTCTTTCCGTATTAAATGGATTGTTAATTCCAGTCATATCTAAAATGTAATTATTTTCCATTATTAAATTCTCTAATTTCCATGACATTGACACTATAGTCATCTAACATATAATTTAAATTGTGTAATTCCTTGGCACTAATGAGAAGTGTTGTAGTGTTAAATTTATGGAGATTACTCAATATTGAACAGATAAAACATTGTTTTTTGCTGAGTGATAAATGCAAATTGTCAATAGCAATTGTGGTTGGTTTTTACTAAGTAAAATGAATGAGTTCATGTAAGTTGTTGGTGCCGAATTGCTACAAGGCTTGCTCTTAAGTTTAAATCTCAGATTAGATATTAATGTATATAGCTTATTGTCCTTCCTTAATTGACTTATTGATGATGAATTAAAGGAATGTGGAAATTCCATCCTATTTCATGCCGTAAAATAGCTGATATGAGTGGATATGCAGTTGATTTTTGAGAAGGAGTTCATCCAATTAATGTTCAATTGGGTATTATTTTGAAAATGCAGCCTATAACTGCTCTGTAAAATCACCTAACTTATGCGTGGTTTCGCTATAGATTGCCATTGCACTTAGAAGGATAAGAAATAGGTCCAGAAGATATAACTTTTTTTTGGGAGTGACTTTTGTTAGTTGGATAGTAAAACTGATAGCAAGAATAATGGCAGATGCAATTATTATATACATTAAAATAATTTATTTGGATGTCTTATAAAAATAAAATATGAAATGAATTCTAGTTATTAGTGAATAAGAGCAGAGGGATTTATTTAATTGTGAATAAATTTAAAATATATTTAAATCTTTTTTATTATGGGAAAGAATTATAGAAATAGATCAAAGACATCAGCCACCCCAAGAAAACCCTTTGAAAAGGAACGTCTTGACAACGAGTAATTAATTATATTTATTTTCAGATTACAAATTATTGGTAAGTATGGACTCAAGAACAAGAGAGAGGTCTGGAGAGTTCAACTCACTTTAGCAAGAATCAGAAAGGCAGCAAGAGAATTATTGACACTTGATCCAAAGGACCCAAGAAGATTATTTGAGGGAGAAGCTTTAATTAGAAGAATGGTTCGTTTTGGTTTGTTATCAGAACAAGAAAGAAAGTTGGATTATGTCTTGGGTCTTACTACATAAAAAATGATGGAAAGAAGACTCCAAACTTTCGTATTTAAAAGCAATTAAGCATCCTCCATTCATCATGCCAGAACTTTGATTAGATAGCGACATTTCAGGTAAAATTATCATTTATTATATCAGAGTTGGAAAGAGATTAGTCAACTCTCCATCATTCTTAGTCAGAGTCGAATCTGAAAAGTTGGTTGATTTTGCTGTCACTTCACCATTTGGATAAGGCAGAGAAGGAAGAAGAAAGAGAAAGAATGCCAAGAGAGTAAAGCCAAACAAAGAGGAATGAAAACAATTTATTTTAAGCATAAGTACAATATTATCTATTTATATATCTTTATTTTCAATCTGCCTAAACATCTATTGCATATAATCCTGGGTGAATACTCTTAGGATTCCCCAATTTCCTCATTACCCAACTTTGTGATGGCTTCAGAACACATATCATACTACATTAATTTATAACTAAATTTTACCCTGAAAATAACTTAGTCTATGAAGCATTGCAAGAATTTGGGCACTCCGCTTCCCTATTCCATTACTCAACCGTCAATACCATTCCACATTACTAACAAGCTTTAAGATCTTTGGTCGATTTTGGTAATACAAACTTCTTTTCATCATATTCAGACATATCAGATTCAGACTACATATTTAGTGTATTATTATTATAAATTATTCAAAGTAAAATTATTCAAAGTAAAATTATTTATAATCAACTTATCATTCTTAATTTATTATTCTTCCTAACTTTAGTCTGTATTTTAAAATATAAACATCCTCATAATCCTTTGCTCGTATATGATCCAAATTATTCGATAAACTCAAATTCTAAAAAATATCGAGATTATTCATTTTAATATAAAAAAACAAATAGCAACTTAAATTTCTCAAGATATAGAATTCATTTCTTTCTATATTTTGATCAAAATAAATCATTTTCTTAAATTCAGAATCAATTATTTTGATAAATTGGTTAACTATAATTTAATACCTCAATACAAAGGTTAATCCTGAAATAATTAATTTCAACTAAAAGTCAAGCCAATTTTAATCCAGTATCTGAAATGTAGGGAAATAAATTTAAAAAATCCAACAATTATTTATAACTCTAACATTTAGAATTAAGTTTCTAACAAATATGAAAAATTAATAAATCGACTTTATCAAATATGTTAAAATTCTAATAATTATAATTATTTAATAATTTTTTATTATAAAACTTCATTTAGGATTTGACTAAAGAGTCTGATTTATATTTAACGCTGTTGGTTTTTAACCATTTTAAATTGGGTTATTCAAGATTTATAATGCATTTCGATCTAGGTCTTGAGTTACAAAATTCGTTTTCTATTGCAAACCCGTTTGGGGTCCGATTATTTATGGTGGTGTAAATCCTTGTGATCCGGGTGGTGGTGTAAATCCTTGTGATCCGGGTGGTGGTGTAAATCCTTGTGATCCGGGNCATCATTCTTAGTCAGAGTCGAATCTGAAAAGTTGGTTGATTTTGCTGTCACTTCACCATTTGGATAAGGCAGAGAAGGAAGAAGAAAGAGAAAGAATGCCAAGAGAGTAAAGCCAAACAAAGAGGAATGAAAACAATTTATTTTAAGCATAAGTACAATATTATCTATTTATATATCTTTATTTTCAATCTGCCTAAACATCTATTGCATATAATCCTGGGTGAATACTCTTAGGATTCCCCAATTTCCTCATTACCCAACTTTGTGATGGCTTCAGAACACATATCATACTACATTAATTTATAACTAAATTTTACCCTGAAAATAACTTAGTCTATGAAGCATTGCAAGAATTTGGGCACTCCGCTTCCCTATTCCATTACTCAACCGTCAATACCATTCCACATTACTAACAAGCTTTAAGATCTTTGGTCGATTTTGGTAATACAAACTTCTTTTCATCATATTCAGACATATCAGATTCAGACTACATATTTAGTGTATTATTATTATAAATTATTCAAAGTAAAATTATTCAAAGTAAAATTATTTATAATCAACTTATCATTCTTAATTTATTATTCTTCCTAACTTTAGTCTGTATTTTAAAATATAAACATCCTCATAATCCTTTGCTCGTATATGATCCAAATTATTCGATAAACTCAAATTCTAAAAAATATCGAGATTATTCATTTTAATATAAAAAAACAAATAGCAACTTAAATTTCTCAAGATATAGAATTCATTTCTTTCTATATTTTGATCAAAATAAATCATTTTCTTAAATTCAGAATCAATTATTTTGATAAATTGGTTAACTATAATTTAATACCTCAATACAAAGGTTAATCCTGAAATAATTAATTTCAACTAAAAGTCAAGCCAATTTTAATCCAGTATCTGAAATGTAGGGAAATAAATTTAAAAAATCCAACAATTATTTATAACTCTAACATTTAGAATTAAGTTTCTAACAAATATGAAAAATTAATAAATCGACTTTATCAAATATGTTAAAATTCTAATAATTATAATTATTTAATAATTTTTTATTATAAAACTTCATTTAGGATTTGACTAAAGAGTCTGATTTATATTTAACGCTGTTGGTTTTTAACCATTTTAAATTGGGTTATTCAAGATTTATAATGCATTTCGATCTAGGTCTTGAGTTACAAAATTCGTTTTCTATTGCAAACCCGTTTGGGGTCCGATTATTTATGGTGGTGTAAATCCTTGTGATCCGGGTGGTGGTGTAAATCCTTGTGATCCGGGTGGTGGTGTAAATCCTTGTGATCCGGGTGGTGGTGTAAATCCTTGTGATCCGGTTGGGGGTGTAGATCCTTGTGATCCGGATAGGGGTGTAAATCCTTGTGATCCGAGTGGGGGTATTGATATCAGTGAGGTTCCTTGAGAGGGTATTTGTTAGGTTCCTTGAGAGGTTCTTTGAGGGATTTGGTTCTGAATGATTAGAGGTGGGGTTATTCGGATGGGTATTGGCTAAGAAGTTTAGAAAATTTCGATATCATAAACATCAAATTTTTTAGAATTTGCAAGATATTCTTCTGAATTGGAAATTTCAGATCCACTAATATCAAAACCATTTCCTAATTTAGATACACATTGTGTAAATGTAGAATTTATAACAATATCCTCATCTCCAAATTTCAAAATCCAATTTTCCTTATTCGCCTATAAATTTAATTGAAGAGGTTTCTTGTTTTTTTTGATCTAAAAAAATTGTTCTTTATTCATTTAAAATAGAATTGATTTTTCAGGATTTGCAATACAAGTATAAACTCCAAATATGCAATTGTTCTTTGTTTAAATTATAGTAATTGTATTGGCTTTTTATAATAAATCTATTTTTTATAATGTTTAATAATTTGATCCATGTTGAGTCATCCTATAAATTCTTATCATATTTTTTGAGAATTTTTCTTCCTCTCCTGGTGCAATTTTTTTAACTATAGTTTCAAAATATGGAGTGGCTAAAGTAGATGTCTAAAATTTATAATCTGAAAATGTTCTTTCTTCTATTTTTTAGATTGATTGCATTATATCTTTAAAACCAGCATTGAATCTATCTAGGTTAAAACTATTTAAATATTATAAAGGCTTACAAATGTTTTTATTTGCTAACAATTTCATCTATTTTGAAAATACCTTCTTCATCAATTTTCTAATCAACCTTATTTATTTTCTCAACATAAATTTCAGCCTTTTCATTTAATTCTTTAAACATTTCTGGACTTCTTTCAAATTTTTCATTAAGTAAGACCTCCTTTAATTCATCACAATTAAAATAGTTAGTGATTCTTGGATTTTCAGTCCATTTATTTACTTCATTTAGATATACCTCAATTTATTTCTTAAATAAATCTATCAGATCTTGAATCTTTGATAGTATTTCTTCCTCTAAAGATGAAATCATCTAGGTATAATAAAATTGTTATACATTTTAAATAAATTCAGTGTCTAAATAAGGATGGTGATTTCTAGCGTAATTGAAATATTATTGTTTATAATCGCTATCAAATTTAGTGTATTTAAAAGCCTCATAATTTCTGCCTTTTATAAGCTTTAATTAATTATTAAGGATTGTACCTCCTCAAGATTACAGCAATGTTATTGTAAAGAGTTATACTGTCCGAAGAAACATTCGTCACAGAATAACCTTTTTTGAATCGAACCCTTATCTTTTTTGACCATCAAGTATTTTATTTTCCGCCCTCTATGGAAATGTTAGTCATCTTGACAATATATTCCAATCTATTTTTCCATTTACATCATTTTAATAGAATTAGTTAAATAATAAATTTGATTTTTAATAATTATTCTGTTAAATATGTTAAACAACTTTATAATAGAATTATGTAAATTCAAATTTTTAATATCAATACTCAATTTCAAATTGCAGTTCATTTTCCTCCTATAGGCTATAATCATCATTTAAATAAAAAGATCTCTTAAAAACAAACAAAAAAATGGACACTACCTTTTTTCTACCAATTTCATCAAAACGAACAATAACCCAATTTATATTAAAAGTATATTTATTAGATATTCAATAAGATTATATATAATTCTTGATTAATTTTGAGTGTTTAATCCTTAGTTGTCCATGCTGATATTTAGTATCAAGGAATATTATGTTTATTTATATATATCCCTTAATCAAATTTTAATTTTGAATTTAATAGACTCATTAAAATAGGCTTAAAAAAACTGGAAGAAAATCAAGAAACAATCAATAATGGCATTTATTCATTAACATAAGACCTTAGTATAAAGAATTTATATTTATTTTGAACCACCTCCTTCAAGTGATGACTAAAATTGAATAAAGTTATCTATAAAAAATGCATTTAAGATTGTGCAAAATGATAGAGTTCAATGAATTAGAATAAGTAATTGGCATTTACTGAATTTGTAATTTGACTATGGTAAAAATTACAGCCAAATCACTCATAAGAAATTAAGTATTGATATCATTTAGAGTAGAATATGCGCAATTCAATATTTTAAAGATTTTTTTTAAATAAAAGCGAAATTTATACCAGATATTCCTTTATATAAGAGAGTGTTACTCTTGTTACACCATTAGCTTTTAAACTATAAAAATAATGAGAATAAATAAAGTTTTATTTAATAGGAGAGTTTATAAAGGAAGAAAAGTTTTTTGAGTTATTAAAAGAATTGAACCTGCATTTATAATTGTCTCATAATAATTGACATTGTATATAGTCAATAGACCTATTACAACAATGCAATTAAGATCGACATATTTAGTCAAGAAAGTCTTGGTCAAGTTTATTCTAATTTAAATTATCCAACACCTTCACAAGAATAATAATATATCAAGAAATCAGAAATCAAGATAATAATATTGGATTCATAAAATTGAAATTGAATATCTATATTTAATATGAATTCAATATAACTCACTTTAGCAAATTTTGTCAAATAGTAACTTTTTTAAATTAATAAAATAATTTTGTAGGGAAGCTTTACTTTTATAAGTTTAAACTTATTATTTTGCATCTTCAATCACCTTTTACTTTTAATAATAGTTTCTTCTCTGTTAAAATATATATTCCATTTTCTCCTTTGATAAAGTGCCTCTTAATTCTGGATTATTTTCAATTTCATCTTAAACTTTTTATCTTAATTGTTTGTCCTCCTCTGATTCCTTAACAAGATCAGTACTTTGAGTTTCAACTTATTCATATTAATTAGTTTAATCCAAATTAGCAGAAGGGCTTAATTCAATATTAGTTTCTCTGATGCTATTTAAATTAACTTATCTTGTCAATACTGACCACTCCTTTTGATTAACCCCAATTGCCAAATGAATAGATTAACTTAAGGAAACCGATAAAGCCCTAAAAACGTTTTATTAAATTATACATTAATGCTCCTGGTAAAGTAACAATCACAAATATTAGACTACAAAAATAGTTTTCATAATATTTCTTATCAAAATCGTAATTGCCATATAAAAAAACTACAATGCAACTGATGATTAACAAACTCAAACAAGATTAAAACAACCCATGTAAACTGTAAAATAAATAAAATATTTACTAAAAAGTACAACTACAACAAAGTGACATTATGAAAACCAAAGCTGAATATTGTATATAATCTGACTTATATAATTTATCGATTGCTTCTTACAAACTAAACATTTGATATGTATGTTGAAACAGGACAATATACCACACAATACATTAAAGGACAAGAGTATACATCCATCCAATGAAATATCTGTAATTTCTTAATCCTATGCAATTACTCATAAATGTGCAATGACTTATATTTTATATTCATATCATACTGATCGTACATCTTCACGCAATTATTACAATTATAACAATGACTTGTTTTTGGAGGCCTCATGACTTTACACCTTGAGCAAAACCTTTCGTGGAAGTATTCCCCAATCTTTTCATTTTTTTCTTTTCTATTTGATTTCATTGATCCAAAAGATTCTTCATCATCAGGTTAAGGTCTTCTTACCACTCCAGGTTCTGTAAAAGTTCCGCATAAATAACTATACAAAAACAGGAGCACACACGTCCAACTCACCCATGAATTCGTAAGCTAGAAATCTTCAGAAAAAAAATAGAGAAAATAACCTATTTGGAGCAATTAACATATAGATTACATTGAAGCATAGCATAAGAGCCTAAGACGAATACTATCATAAAGGAATCAGATAGTGATCCTATCCAAAACTTTCCAATCAGGAGAGAATTATCAAAGTGCTATATTCTCATTATTTTTACGATATAAATTATATTTATTTATATATTAATATCCTCTAATTTATATTTTTATTCTATGCCAGATTTTAGATTCAAAATTTGTTAATATTTAAGTGGATTGTCGTAGCAAGATTTATCTATGATAAATTTACAATGCTAATCAATATTTACATGAGTTAAGTAAATAAATATTTATTTCACCTTAACTTATTGGTAAATTAAATCTTCCTAATTTGATCTGTTCAAAATTTTAATTAAAAATAACTCTGTACACATATTTTGTTTGATTTATAAGGGTATCAGTAATTAAAGTAGTAAATAGCCTCGGTAGATAATATTTGAATATGCTGCAAAATTTACTTTGTAACCTGTAAATTTTAGAAACAGGAGAAAGGAAATCTGACTTTGCTCTAGCTGAAAATAACAGGAACTCTTTAATAAAATGCTTAGAGAACATTAAAAGAATAGACAGATTTTTTTACGTTTATAGTAACTAAAATGTTTAAATAGGTGGTTTGAAACAATGAAAAATTCTGGATAATTATTTCAACTTAACATTAACATATATGTAAACTATATTAGAAAATTGAAGAATCAAATCAAACAAAATTTTTTAAGAACCTTCAAATCTTATATTTTGATTATTAATTTATATACAAGTGATGATTTTTGTCTATTTATTTTAAACAAATGATTTATTGGTAATTTTAATTGGTTAATGAATGAAAAAATACAAAGTCTGCTAAAATTTATTAATAAATAATAAATTTAATTTGTAATGTTAATTGTTTTGCTTTTATTTTCATTTTCAGTTTAATTAACATCTTAGAAAAATGATTAATCAAATGAAGACTATAAACTTATAATATTCTCAGAAATTTGCTATGATTAATTTTTTGGTGATTAAGAACTGAAAAATGAATGCATTTCGGATGTATATTATAAATGCATAATAGACAATAAGTAGAACAATTAGCATTTTAATGGTAGCATTTGCTATTATGAATTAATTACCTTAAATTCTTAAGATATTTAAATATTAATCAACGCAAGGAATATCTTTTAATGCTTACTACACAGAAGTATGAATTTCAAATATAAATAGTTATACCTATTTTCATTTATAACCGCTTATAATATATATAAACAGACAAAATTTATTTTGTATGGTGAAAATGTAATAGTAGGTTTAGAATATTGCGTTGTTTTAAGTTTATTCTTGTTTTACGATAAAGATTTGTCTTTTCATTAATGGCTGTTTAAGGCAGCCTTTTTCATAACTATCAATACTCCTCTATATGTGGGTCTAGGACCATAATGGATCTTCGATATGACTATATACATTAACATGAGTTTATGTAAGTTGATAATTTAATGAAAAAATAGTGTTTATGGCTAGATTTTTATAAATAAGACTAAATTGTAGGAATAGAAATACAGGATAATTGTCATTGCTTACATAATTGTAAAACTATGCAGGAAGCGTAGCAAGATTATTTACTTTGTTTAATGATAATGCAGATTTCTCATATATGGTATTTATAAAAGAGAATATAGATATATATTTTAGAAGACAATATCATGGGTACAATATTGCTAATTTAAATTTTTAAAACATGGAGAGCGGAAAGAAAAAGAAAAAGGAATAATCATGATAATATTACAGAGCTAACAGGCAAAGAAATAAAATATGATTAAATCTGATAAATAATTGAATCATATATAGTTTTCTTGATTTAAAAATTAATGTAAAATTTTGGTTGGAAGGTTTATTTGGTTTAGATATTGTTTGGAAGACCTAAAATAATTTATAAAATATTCTTGATGTTATTAGAACGAGAGTTAAGACTACTTGAAGCTATTAGTGTGAGTTTATTAATAAAAGGAAGAAGGATCCTTATAACTGAATTCTAACTCAAAGGTTTATATAATAAAAGTTTTTATGAATTTGGTTATAATAATTATAATTAGAAATGAATCCAATTTCTATGCCTCAATTTAAAGGGGATCCACTGTTATTCCATGCGGTGGCACATGGAAATGTTTAGGAAGTCATTTCACTAATAGAAGATAAGGAAGCCAGCGTTGATGCTCGTAATATTAATGGTGCAACTCCTCTAATATATGCTGTCTAAGCAAATCATCCTTAGATTACAGAACTTCTCTTGAAATTTAAAGCAAATCCGAACTTAAAAGAATACTATGATGTAGGAGAAAAGACTGCTTTGCACTATGCAGTTGAAAAAAATTAATTTAAATTATGTTAGTTACTTTTAGATTACGGAGCCAATCCAAGTTTGTAGGATAAAAGAGGTCTCACTTGTTTACATTATGCAGCCAGATAAGGATTCAAATAAATAGTTGTGTTACTACTAAATTATGGAGTTGATATCAATTTAAGAGATGAGAATGGATTCAATGCTTCCTATTGGGCTTAAGTTAATAAGTTTAATGAAATTTTGATTTTATTACCTCCACCAAAAGTCATTCCCTCAAACGATTTATTAGAATTTAAGACTCAAATGAGAGAAATCCATAAAATAGAAATAGGTAAAAAAAAAAAGAAGAAGAAGAAATGAACAGATTTAATACATATAAAATAATATTTTTTCAAGTTAACGCTTTTAGTTCAAATTTTGTTATCTTCTTAGTTATATGTATTCAAATCAATTTAGAGTAGAATGTTGAATTATTATATAGAGTCTCTTGATACAACTTTTTTTGGATTGAAAAATTTATACTCTCAAAAATTGCTATTTGTTTTCAATTAAAGATCAAATAAATTTCATTCTATAGCAAAGAGACTTTAGTCCAAACGATTTCTGATTATTAGTGTCACAAAATACCGAGGTCGCTCTTCTGTTAAATAGTATACTCAAAGCATGGCTTAATCTAAATTTAAAATTTAGATTGGTATACTATATATAGACATTAAATATATTTATTAGAAGGAATTATATTTGTTTAAATTCCATCATGCAGATAAATATGTAAAAATTAGTACTTTAACTGCTAATTATCCTTCAAATCAAAGTAATGAAAAATGAAAATTAAAGTAACACTTTCTTAAGGAGGATTCTTTTTAATAACAAACAAAATCAAATATATTTTAAATGATATTAATCCTTATTATGATAAGAGCTTCAGATGTTTTTTAAGGACTCTTTGTTTTTATATAAACACTTTTTGCAAATTTTTTATCATAGTATATTTAAAAGAATTACTTCAAATAGCGTCCCTTATAATAAATATCCTTGTTTATCTACTTAGAGGATCTTGATTATTCATATTTATAGCTAAACTAGTCTCCTTATTTAAATTTTATTAATAGTATTATATAAAATATTATCTTTTGATAATCTGGAATAAATTCACTTATGAATAAATTAGAAAATCAATATTAAATAATCCTGTTATTAATTTTATATTTAAAAGTTAAATAATATCTTTTATATATTAATAGTAAATGCTAATCAATTTTTTAGATAGAAATCAGGAGCTCTTGTTGAAAAAGATCTGACTCTAGTTTTAAATTGGGATGATTGGATTGGCTTTTTATTTGATGTTTAGTACTAGGATATATCACCTAGAGGTTTGAGTTTTGATGGAAGAAATGACTTTTTAGTTGTTGTAGTTGTTGCAATGGATAGATTATTTTCATTTCCTGTGTTGATAGTTGTTAATTTTCTCTTAATAATTCTTTTTTTATTTTAAGTATTTTCATCAAAAGAGTGACATGATTCAGAATCTGAAATATCCATTTATTATTAGAATTTTGGGAATTCCTTGATAAGTTAAGGAGCTGTTGTTAGATCAATAGCTTTGCAAATATCAATGCCAATCTATTAAAGGGTTTTTATTTAAATATCTTTACCATTCCCGTCTTGATTTGAAATTCTCATTTAAAATATGCAACCCATTTTTACAATAGATCTAATAAAATAATATAAATTACCCTAAAGCGAATGGAAGAGTATTTTCCATTTTTGTTGATTTTCCAAATTTACTTTAATTCAAATTAACGTATTTGCAAGTTTGTTAAAAGGCTGCAATAAATGGTTGATCTTGATGATATTTACCGACAAAAGTTATTCCATATCTAATTAATATTTTTTAATTTTTTACTTATTAAATGTTTGATGTAAGTCTAAAACCAAATGTAAATTTTCGGATTTTTTTAAGATTGCTTTTACATGCTGAGCACTAGGGATTAATTTATTAACTTTATGCCATTTTTAGTTGATGTCTATTCCCTACAGTGTAGTAGTACTGTTTCCATGGATAACACCATCTGGATTCATCATTGGTAAAATTTTGAAATAAAATTACTCTCTCAGATTTTGACCGTCTTCGTTTGTTAAATATTAAATTATGCCTTCAACCACATACGAAGATATCACTTCTGAAGGGTGTTATCTTGCCAGTATAACTATTAAAGGCTTAGATGAATCTCCCATAGTGATCACAGGGCATTAATTACCTGGATTAATAGTTATTGATTTCAATTTAAAAAAAGATCTAAATTAGGATAAAATAAATACAAGTTCGACAATGGTTTCAAGAAGGATTGGAGACTTGTTACTCCGTAGGGTGGATACAAGGCAAAGTAGGTGATATCTTCTTTTTCAAAGAGATAACTAAATGATAAGGTGTAATAGTTAGCGTCTTGATGTTTTTTATAGTTGTTCTTATAATATTACACATTATCTCCACCTCTATACCATCCAGTACGAGCAGTGTAAATGTAGGGGTTGACACTTAAATATGATGCTGATTTACTCAAATTGATAATATTCAATTGAAGCATCATTCTTTCTGGAGTTCTGACACTAAAGAAATACCATCTTGTGCAACCATTAGTTTGGGTATCATTATGCAATATCAAATTATATTTTTTATTGGCAACTCTATGTACAGTGTACAGATTGCCACATTCATAGTTAGAGTCAAAATGAATGGGTCCCTTTGAAAATAGTTAAGTTCCAGAGTATTTCGGAGATGCAAAATTCTATCCTTTAGGAGTTTAGATAACAAATCTTTAATAAACCAAGGCTGAATTGTTATGCAATTCGTGAAATGTCTTAAACTAGGTTTATTCTCTTTAAAAAAAGTCGATATCGCAGCATTCGAAGTTAAGAACATCTTTTGGAGGCTTATATTAATGATGAAAATAAGGCAAGGGACTAATTACTAAATAAAATACCCAATCTAGCCAGGATAATCAAATTTAGGGTTTGTAAATTCAAACGGAGTTTAAAGAATTGGGTTTGCAGTCGGTAACAAATTTTCCATTCAATAAGAATTTTTCTGTTAATTATAAAATAATTCTAAAACTAAGAATATAGTACAACGTATTATACTCTAAATAACTTTATTGAAAAAAAATGTATATAAAAATTAATGTAAAAGAAGTAACCGATCTTAGTTAGATTTGAATATATGGTAGTTATTATGATGGAAAGGAAGTTATATCTAGTAATTTTGATGTTTTAAATAAATAAATTAATAAAATTAAATGAGAAGGCCAAATGAAGTTGAGTATGGCAAAACAGCTTTAATGGGTATTTATGATAATTAATTTCAGCTAATTGGTACGAAGATAGGTTGGCTCCTTAATAATTATAGAGAGATCCAAATGCATAGAAATCAGTATTGAATGAGAATATAACTAGTTAAGAACTGTGGAAGAGGGAATATCCATACCTGGAGATAATGGGTGCTTACTTCCATTACCTAGAGTGAATCGCAATCCACCTTACATTACAAAAGAAATAATAGTCCCAGATGATGGATATGTATGATGATATGAATAATACATAGAGAGAATTCAGGACAGAATTCTAGACAAAATTTGATGCAAAGAACATTTAGAATATGCAATTAGGTGATTGTAGAGCACTTGTAAAAACAAATGGAGAAAAAGTAAATTTTCCTGAATGTAATCCAACAGTTGCACAAACTGCTGGAGCTAGATCAATAAAGCAATTAGATTAAACAAATATGCAATAAATTTTGGTTGACAGAGCTGTACATTAGAATTACACAGACTTTGGTTCAACTTTCAGAAATCATCCAGAGTAGCATAATAAATTTTATTCAATTACTACCTACTAATAATCATTTCAGCCTCCTGAAAATAATGTCAAAGAAGTCCTTACTGACAAGAAGGTTAAACCTTTAGCTGCTGGATGCAGAGAAAGAGATCCCTTTGATTAGGGATTGAAAATGACTTCGGTGATTACAGGTGAAAAATATAGAGATTGTATGATCTATATATATCTATCCAATAGCTGTTGATCCAAAAGAAAACACTGAGGTATAGAGATAATGGGTTCATTGTGGGGATTCTGGATTGAAAACTGCTTAAAATAATTTGAGATCTAGTAGCATTTAGAATTATAAGAAAACTGCCTATTAAGTTCATCCATATGACATAGCAACTAGCTTGCCTATGGGAGGTATGTCATTAATATATGTAGATGGTGTTTACACTCTGCATTCTAAATATACAGATCCTGGCCAATTTAGACATATAAGAAGCGATGTCACTAGAATTATGAACAAACCAATCACAAGAAAATGATATTCTATTCTAATGATAATCCAGTCAATTAAATAATTGCAAGACTTCTTTAATAAGAGTAATTCTTTCTATAATAATCTTTATCTTATTAATATAATTTCATTTGGCTAAATGTAATAATGCACCCAAAGCACCAAACAAAACAGTTGAGCCCAATGCTTATTATTTGGCTCTCTACCAATCCCATGGCATATGGTTCTTATGATATAAAATACCAGAATTGCTCTTCAAATATGGGTAATCCAAGTGATGATCAGCATCCAAGTCATAAGTTCTAAATAAGTCTCAAATATATTGTGATACCTCATATTTCTCTCATCCAAAGGAGTATTGAAGTTGGCTCTTTCCAAAACGACCTTACCAATCTTGTCTGCATTCTTGAATCCTGTGAATTATCCCATCAATTGGAGGTCTGCGTAAGTCCACTCTGAATTTCTGCGATTAGCCACATTTCCAAATGAATTGTCTTATAACTCTGGCAATTAGGATAGGAAACAATCAAATGATTATACTGAAGAATCTTCTAATTTATGTCTGTCTGGTACTTCCTTATATTCATAGGGCACAAATCCTAAAGATACAAGAAGCTATTATTAAAACAATTTGTGATACTCCTTCCTATACTGTTTAATCTGCATTCTCCTTTGTAACAAATGGAACTACGCATTCATATCCTGGCTTCTAAAATTCTGTTCTTGGCACCATCATCTATAAGTAATGGAGTGGTCTTCCCGTTACTCTTACTCTTCTGTATAACCACTCATTTAAATTCGAACTATTCCATGGTGGACTGACAAGCTCCTCTTCTCTGAGCTCATAAATTGGTTTCTTCAACTATTCCTTTCTGAATTAAATTTCTGATTCTCTCCATTATTTTTGTACTTGAGCATAAAATGCATAAAGCAATGATCCACCACTCAAACCGGCACAAATACTAATATATAGCTTATATTTGCTTTACTATTTGTAAGTTGGGCATTGAGCATTCACTCTGCTGAATCCACATAATTACTTAAGGGCAAGTGCCATTTTTATTAATTATATTAATATAAATAAAAACCTTTTTAGATATGAAATTAAAAATAAAATGTTTATTAATAAGTTCAATAATCATTATTATTCGATTTTTCTTATTCAACAACACAGTCCTTGAATTATGAACCGCATATTATAACTATAACATACTCTAATTATATCACTGATTATAAAAGGTGATAAAATAGATATGAAATCTATAAAATGTTTAAAAATAAAGTACGATTGTTACTATCAATTTATAAGCTATTTGAAACCCTATGAATCATGTATAGTAGGTGATACCATATAAAAATGAATATTCTTTGACATTTAACTAGATTTATAAGCTAATACTAAAGTATTTCACAATGAGATCAAAAACATCTAGTTATATTATGAAAGATATAGATAGAGAGGACTTAATAAATCTAGTGGTTCAACAAACAGATCAAATTTATTATTTATAAATCTCTAAAGATTGGCAAAATGTAGATTTGATTATTATTTCAGGTTAAGATAGAATTATGATTAATAATTAACTTTTGTATCATATGAAAATAATTGATCTTTCACACAAAACAGATTATGTATGAATAACAATTTACCAAAAAATAATTGATTCTAGTTTAATCCTAGAATATAGTCATATTAATTGTAATATTGTACTTGGAATCTAATTTTCCAAAATGCAATAAAATCCTTGTAAATAATGTATTAAAAGTCTAATCATCATTGTTTTCTTAATTCAATAAGTCAACTCGAACAAATCTGATAAAAAATACTTTTTATTTAAAAAGTAATGTTTCAAAAGCTGTCAAACAAATATTTTAGCAAAATATAATTTATTTAATTATTGCAATTATTCTTTTCTATCCTTCTAAATTTATTAAACTTGATTAACTGTATTTAAATCAGCTATAAATGTCTCAAAACAATAAATAATTTGATTTTATAGCAACATTCTCTCTTATTAAATTCTAAATTTCAAACAGAACCTTCACCATAACAATTACATTTTGATTATATCCAAAATTTTGCTAATTTTATTTAACTACTGTTGGAAACTGATCAGGGAATGATATTTTAAGAAATATGAAAGAATTAATTTATTAATTTATTTAAAATGGATTAAGAATAAAAGTATCACTTTCATATCCCTTTTGTTAACAATTAGTAAGAGAAAAAGGCCGAAATAAAGCTTACAATAATAGGTTTGATTGATGTTTCTGCTTCAATGTATACCAGATGGGAGTGGGTAGCTAACTTTTGGAATAAATCGATACCAAAAGACAATTTAATTACACTAACATTTGATCATAGAGCAAAAAAGGTGCATAATAATGTTTTGTCTTAAAATATAGAAGATCATGGTGAAGGAACTACTGAGATAGTTCCTGCATTTGAGCTTTTAGAGAACGAAATAGTAAAGGTTCCCAAGGATCATAACATTACTGTAATATTCATAAGTGATGGTTAAGACAACCATGTTAATACGATAGAATAAAGAATGAAATAAAAATTAAAGGGAAATGTTTAAAAAAGAAATATCAACTTTATTTGTTTAGGAATTGAAGATGAGTTTCCCACATTTTTAGCAATGTAGTTAAGATAATTGTATCACAAAGGAGATCCTTAAATTCCTGCATTGTATTTAATTGAACATGCATCTGAATAAGCTTTTCATAATAAATTTGAAATAATGAAAAGATATTTTTACACAACAAAAATGTTACAGGTTAATAATGTGGTTAATTTATTCCCTTATGATGAGGAAGTTACAGATGAAGTTTATGAAGGATAATGGGTTTATAGTTTGAAATCAGACTTAAAATTTATTAATTATCCTGGTGTTTAGATCATTCCAATCGAATAAAGTTAACTTGAGATTGATGATGTTGTTGATCTCTTTAGATCATGGGTTCAAAACATTCAAATTAGAATTATGGGTAAGCATGAGGACAGCAGAGAAAAGGCTAAGAAATGCTTATAAATTGTTAATTCAATTACAAATAGATTAACAGAATACTTTTAGATGGACGTGTTGAATTTTAAGATGGAGGAAATCAATGATCCAAATTAACCATTTAAAATAAGAGCAAAAAGAAATTATGCTTATAAATATGGAAATAAATTATTATTTTTTGTGAAAGAATTAGCATAATTATCAGAAGGATCCAATCCAAATGAAGTAGATGATTTTGAGGCAGCTAAAAGGTTGAATATAGGTACTATTGTTGGAAAGCATCATTAAAAGGCTTTGGCATTAAAGGGCATTACTGTACAGGAATTTAAATAAATAAGAGAAGAATTTTAATAAATCATTCAAAATTGCAAAATTAATCCTTAGAATGAATAAGGTTAAGAGAGATCAGTCATTTCATTAGAAAATTTCAGAGACATCATCTCTTAAAAACAAGATATTTTAGAAGGATTAAAATTCGTAAAAACATAATATGACTTTGCTGAGACATTCCCTTTAGTTGGTCATGGATTGAAGGTTAAGAGAAATGATGGATCTTTTGTTAATCCATGGTTAATTCAGGTTTAATCATTTGCAAAACATAATAAAGTAATTGATTCTGCCTATTTAATCAAAAATAATTTTAATGTCCAATTGTAAATTGGTGACAATTAAACAGAAGAAATCAATTGTATTTTGCCTTTGTTCCCATAATCTGACAATGATTTATAAGCTGTTCTTAGATCAAGGATAATCAAGTTGCTATTGACTTTTATGGTTTAATAAAATGTAGACACTCTTTATGAAGAAACTTATTTGGCATTGTTATCAAATTCACTAATAAATGTATTGAAAAAGTAAAAATCGCAATGGTAGACTGAAATAATGGAGTAAATCTTTGAAACTACAAAGTTAGTTTATTCAGGAACTAAAAATTTCGAAAATTATTTATAAAAGCTATTACATAATCCAAATTAAGCTTACTTGGAAAAAGAAGCAGAATATGAAGATTATGTATCAACAGCAAAACCCTTCATTCATCTGTTTTATTTATCTAAACTAGGGAATGTTGTCAAAGATTTTGAATTGGAATTCGAAAGATTGATCATATATTATTTCATTAGGGAACAATATAAACATCAGTAATAGCTATCTTACTATCTGAAATTGAAATTAGAGAAACAGGACGAAAATTTGGTTTAAGAATAGTTGAAGGCAACTTTCGAGAAACATGTTAGCATCAAACACTTTAGAAATTCAATTACTAAAGAAATTGAGGAAACGTTACTAAATAAATATTAAAAGGATTCTACCCTGATTGGATTGAATGAGGAGAAAGTTTTCAATCATGATTTAAAGTTAACTTTAGATGCCATTGAAGCTTTCTATGAATAATTTAAGGGTGTTAAATTTGATCAATAAAGATATGTACATATCATTTATCATGCTCTCAAATTGTAAGAGAAGGATGTTTTCTTAACAAGAGTCAACTATAATAATTTAAAAGAAATTCAAAAGGCTATGATTTAAGAAAATAAAGGTAATTTAACTAAAGGAACTTCAGCGATCAAATAAGCTTTAGAAAAAGAATACTAAGTTTGGTTTATTAAGAATCATATGTTGGTTCAACCATTAACATATGAATAATTGCAGATTGAATGTCAATAAAAAGGAATTAATATCAATACTATAGCTTATAATGTAAAATCCGGATTAAGTAGCAATTGTTGTATGGCGAAATAGTGTCCATACTATTTAATTGTAAATGGTTTAGATTTTAAAAGACATGTCTAAACATGGGGAAGAAAGGTTCCTTAAGGTTTTCATTAATATGTAAGATCAGAAATTTTGAAAGGATAAAATATTGAATAGATTATTTAATCTTCAACTCAAAAATGGAAGAAATTTCCAAATCTATACTTAGGTAATGAAGATATTGTTCATCAATATATCAAATTAATTTCAGAGTCCTTACCCATAGAATATTAAATAAAGGAATTACCAAAGGAACAACTCTTGCATCATTAAGTTAAATTAACATTCCCCTAAAAATAAAAGGTGAAGAAATATGGAAACAAGAGAGGGTAAAATAGATAAAATTAAAGAGGTGGCTTTATTAGAGGTCGTGGAAGAGGAAGAGGAAGAGGAAGAAAACATTGAATTAATTGTTGTTATAATTTTTAAATTATTATCTTATTGTATATTATAATGAATAAAAATTGAATTGAGTTTTTATTATCATCTATGTTTAATTTAACTTGATACACAATATCTATTTCCAAAAATTTATTTGTATGTAAAATCAAATATTAGCATTTCAGATATTTCTAAATAAATCAAATGAAATTAATATAATAAAATGATCTGACAATTTTAATTTAAGGTTCATTTTGACCTATTTCAATTACAATAAAATAATATCCTGTTTGGATTGAGATTATGATAACATGTATGATATATTTTCTAATAGTACTGTGTTACAATATGATATTGTATAAATTTGTCTAATTGTCATAAAAAAATAGTATATAATAAAATGTAATCAGGAGTAGAGGAAGATAAATTTTTAATTTCATGAATACTTAATTATTTTTATAATAATAAGAGAATTAGCTGTTGCTTACTATGTAATTGAAGCACAAGTACATTTAAATAATAAATTAATAAATAATTTATTATATAAAATATGGCAACTTGGAGAGCCTTAATGTCACCTTCTAGGAATGTTTCAATATAAGAATCGAATTAGGAATCTAGTGACAATAGGATTCACACTTAACTTAAGGGAAGACATGCTAAAACTATTACATAGAGTACTAATATTTCACATCAGAAGCAGACCACAAAAAGATTGCACTCAAAATCGATAGATGTCGATAAAGCATTTATCTAATCATCGTCAGATAATTTGTTGGAAGTAATAAAATTGGCTATTTGTAGGAAATTAATGTAGTAGACGAATAATCTCATTTGGGTGAGATAAAAGAGCTGTTGATGATGAATTAAATTTAATTACAAAATCTAAATGAGGAAATTGATAAATTTGATTATAATTAAAGACAAATTAAAGCATTATAAAAATAAATTTTGTTTTAGAGAAGGAAGTATAATTTATTAATAAATTCAAAAATAAATGATTGTAATAAGAAGTTGTAATATATTTAATGCAAATTACAACCAAATTGTTGATTGAGAGGGATTGATATTAGTAAGTATGTATTTATCTTTTATGTTAATATTATATTTATAATTTTTAGAGTATTCTATTTAATATAAAAGTTAAAATAGAATGTCTATTTATGTTGCTTAAGTTTTTAACAAAATATAAAAATTAGAATATTAATTAATTTATATAATAATGGAAACTTAAATCACATTAAAGATAAAAACACTAGATAATCAAATCACTTCTTTTTCCATTGATCCAAACAACACTGTTTAATAATTGAAAAATGTAATTTAAAATAAACTAAACATACCTTTTGATAAGTAAAGACTGATTTACCAAGGGAGAGTTTTAGAGAACAATAAAACTTTATAAGATTATAAAGTAATTAGTAAATGAATCGACATAGTTATAAAATGATCATGTAGTTTTATTGCCAGGATAGCCGATATAGGAGGATCAAATAATCTAGAATTAAACTCAATAATCATAATAATAATAATAGTAGTAGTAATAAGCATAAGGTGTAAATGAATTCCTTGAAATGGATATCTTGAGCAACATTCTGAGAACACTAAGTAAAAGAAACTTTGTATTTTAGGGCAGCATTAATATAATAGATAAAATGTAAGAAGAATGGTACAGTAATAGAGGAGCAATGGTAAGAACTTCAAAGATTTCCATTAGGTTTCAATGTTGACAAATAAGTATCATTGGAGGGCATAAGATAAAATTACCAAACCATCAAGTAGTTATTAGATTCCTAGGTCAAACCTGAAGAATTAAAGCAAGAAGATATTTAAGGTATATAAATTAAATTAGACATCTAGGTGAATATGTGAACCCATTTGATCCAAAGAAACGGACCTTCTAAGTTGGATAGTGGATTGACGTGAAGGATACGATTGATCAGTGGGTATTTATGTTGTTTTTAATATTTCTATTTTAGCTTGAAGCATAAGTATAAATAGTTGAATAAAATAGAATTTTTATTCATTATAATGGGTGGGGTAACAGATGGGATGAATGGCTCGACATACAATCTCCTCGAATTGCTACTTTTCGAACTTATACTGTAGGTAGTGCTAATCAAGACTTCTTATCTCCACATCCAGTTAGTGATCCTGATTGTGATGTAGAAAAGTAAGAAATTGATATGCATAAATTCATTTTTGATGTAGGACATATGATGAATTAAGTTACTTAATTGCTAATAGAATTTGGAAGATTCGAAAATAACAAAAGAATTGCTGAGAAATAGATTTAATTACAATAACAATACTAATAAATGTTAATGAATAAAAATAAGGAAATTAATCCTGAGGAAAATCAATTTGAAATGAGAAAGAAGGAAAAAGAATTAAATGAATACGAAATTAAATCAAGTTTAATTGGTTCTTAATTGGCCCCTATATTTGATAGGATGGGTCGAATGATGACAGATTTGGCTCCTCATTTAGCTTTGATGGGATCTAAAACACAAAGAGTCAATAATAATAATTAATAATAATTGCTATTTTAGGTTCCTGTGACATTAACACCAAATGAAATTTACTAGTCATAATAAAATGCTCCCACTCTTCACAGTCGTCTAGAAATTATTAACAATAGACTCGCTATACTAAGAATGACTGAGTTCATTCAATAGGAAGATAGTGATGATGATCATTTTACTATCTGATTTTATACATAATTTGTATAATTATATTTCATAAATTTTAAGTTTGTTCCACAAAAATCAACATATTCAAATAATTTCTAAATCTCCATTAAGGAGTTTATTTTCTTAGATCCATTTATTTCACTTAGATATAAATTGTATATATTCTATTTAAATCAAATATAATTATATGATTAATCATAAAAATTTGAACAATATAAATGAAACAACTCATCAATCATAATAATCATACTCGTCTTCAAATTATTTTTCATCTTCCAAACAATCATCGAATCCCCAAATTCCAATTCCATTAGCTTTTGCTTCTATCTCATAATTTTTTAACTCTTTCAAAGGATTGTATAAGACTCTAGTATCTATTCTTCCTAATCTAATTCATTAGAAATAAAATTATACCCTTTTTCTAATGCAATTTTATTAATTGTGAACTGTAATTCATCTGGTTAGTCTTATGGTTAAAGAGTTACAAACTATCTATTGGATGATTTCTCAGTATAGGCAACTTTTGAATCAAATTATTAATCAAGTAGCAATTCCCTAAGTAAATCAGATGCTTCTTCTGCATATTCATGTGTTGATGGAGGAACTCTCAAATATGCTAAAGAGCATAATTTAGCCTATTGAGGAACATTTGTAAATTAAGCAGGCAATACTCCCATATCTTGATAGCTGACTTCATCATTATTTCCATAATCTATGAATTTAATTAAGAATTTATCATTCTTAAAGGCTTGCATTACTTAAGCTCTGTAAATTCTATTATCTTCAGAAAATCTTGCTAAACACAAGGTTCCTTTCTTTACTGGTTTCTTGAGAGGCTAAAAATATATAACATCTAAATATTTACAATCAATGCTGCTTTTTCAATTTGAACTTCTAGTTCTTCAAATTCAGGATTATTTTCTTATCTGACATAAAATTCATGGCAATCATTAACAGCAGTGACAGTGACTTTTTAGATTTGTTAATTTTCATTTTTTTATATGTTTCCCTAATTACTTATTTGTTTTTTTAAAGTTTATTTATTTTGTGAAAAGTCTATTATAAATTAAGCGTAGGATTCATTCCAGAATCCCTTCTTAAGCTTTTCTGCCTCTTTTTATGCATCCTCATATTTACTATAAAAATCAGTATTATTTTTGATAAATGTTAACCCTTCTTTAAGCAATTATAAAGTGAAATCGGAATCCTTATTATTTTTCTTCTCATAAATCTTTCCATAAAACATATTCTCCAAAATATTAAAACTTTCAAAATTAATCCAAGCATTTCTTTGCATTAAAATATTATAAAGAAACTATTATTTTTTCTCTTCATATTTGGTAACATTTGGAAAACTTGTTGCAAATTCTGATAGCTTGGCTATTCCAGATATGGTAAAGTTAACCATTGAATGATACTTTAATATAGTTATAACAAATTTTCCATTAGGCAATATTTTATCTATCAATACTTCAAGTTAATTATCATCTTTGATTGTGATACCAGTACTCATGCCTGATTATTTTGAACTTTATTTATCTCTCTGAACACTAGACCAAATTATTTCATTAACACTCTTTCCTTATTTCTAATCTGTTTAATCTTCAATTCTCCAAGTCAGTGCTGGACTATACTACCCTAGTTTCTTCTATTTAGCCAAATTATTCATTTATTAAAATTGCTGAAATTTAAACTTTGATAACTAAGGATGGTTCTCCTTAGGTGTTGCCCATCCATTAGCAATAAGTTCATCCTCTATATCTAAATTGTTATCGCACAATTATATGGTTTGGAGTGGAATATTATCTCCTACTTATAGAATATGAACTTGCTTTCCTATTAATAATTTTCTAGCAAATTCTTTGGCTTCTAGTCCTTCGATGAAAATCCTATCTAATTTTATCGTCAATATTTCCTTATCTGTTTTAACTAAATATTGATTAGCCTCTACAATTTCGACAATTTATCCAATAGTTTAAGAACTAACTGAATTGAGCATCCTTCTATCCAATTCCCCATTCTTCCAAAGCCCCAAATTATTTTTTTTAGCTTCCTCTTAGCTCTAAAACAATAATTGAAAAGAATTTTAAGACAAATTCAATTTTCTAACTATAAATATATCAATACCCCCAGTCAGTAATAAATGCATATCCATTTGAAGTTAAGGAAATGTAGAATTCATTACTTAATTCATTATTTTGTTAACTTAAAGGATATAAATCAGCTTTTAAAATGGGAAAGTTAATTGAATTTCTTTCATGAATGACAGTCATAATTTAAGTTCCTTTGAAAGTAATGACAAACTCTTTATTAAGCCATTCCTTCTAAATAATTTTGGAGTATCCTGAATCTTAAATTGCAAATTCTTTAATAAATTATAAAATTTACCATCTATATAAATAGCGCTAGGAATTAAACTAATCAATGTCTCCTTATTATAGATGAAATTTAAAATGTTTCCTTCAAAAGAGACTAGGATGGCATTTAAAGTTTTATTCCTATGTTATTTGATAAAATCTTGAACTGATTGTGTTTAATTTGGATTCTCATTTTAAACACCAATGAGTTTTAAATGAATTTCTGTTTCCTCTGGAATGTCCTATTATAATTCTGCTCCATTTATTTANTCAAAATTAATCCAAGCATTTCTTTGCATTAAAATATTATAAAGAAACTATTATTTTTTCTCTTCATATTTGGTAACATTTGGAAAACTTGTTGCAAATTCTGATAGCTTGGCTATTCCAGATATGGTAAAGTTAACCATTGAATGATACTTTAATATAGTTATAACAAATTTTCCATTAGGCAATATTTTATCTATCAATACTTCAAGTTAATTATCATCTTTGATTGTGATACCAGTACTCATGCCTGATTATTTTGAACTTTATTTATCTCTCTGAACACTAGACCAAATTATTTCATTAACACTCTTTCCTTATTTCTAATCTGTTTAATCTTCAATTCTCCAAGTCAGTGCTGGACTATACTACCCTAGTTTCTTCTATTTAGCCAAATTATTCATTTATTAAAATTGCTGAAATTTAAACTTTGATAACTAAGGATGGTTCTCCTTAGGTGTTGCCCATCCATTAGCAATAAGTTCATCCTCTATATCTAAATTGTTATCGCACAATTATATGGTTTGGAGTGGAATATTATCTCCTACTTATAGAATATGAACTTGCTTTCCTATTAATAATTTTCTAGCAAATTCTTTGGCTTCTAGTCCTTCGATGAAAATCCTATCTAATTTTATCGTCAATATTTCCTTATCTGTTTTAACTAAATATTGATTAGCCTCTACAATTTCGACAATTTATCCAATAGTTTAAGAACTAACTGAATTGAGCATCCTTCTATCCAATTCCCCATTCTTCCAAAGCCCCAAATTATTTTTTTTAGCTTCCTCTTAGCTCTAAAACAATAATTGAAAAGAATTTTAAGACAAATTCAATTTTCTAACTATAAATATATCAATACCCCCAGTCAGTAATAAATGCATATCCATTTGAAGTTAAGGAAATGTAGAATTCATTACTTAATTCATTATTTTGTTAACTTAAAGGATATAAATCAGCTTTTAAAATGGGAAAGTTAATTGAATTTCTTTCATGAATGACAGTCATAATTTAAGTTCCTTTGAAAGTAATGACAAACTCTTTATTAAGCCATTCCTTCTAAATAATTTTGGAGTATCCTGAATCTTAAATTGCAAATTCTTTAATAAATTATAAAATTTACCATCTATATAAATAGCGCTAGGAATTAAACTAATCAATGTCTCCTTATTATAGATGAAATTTAAAATGTTTCCTTCAAAAGAGACTAGGATGGCATTTAAAGTTTTATTCCTATGTTATTTGATAAAATCTTGAACTGATTGTGTTTAATTTGGATTCTCATTTTAAACACCAATGAGTTTTAAATGAATTTCTGTTTCCTCTGGAATGTCCTATTATAATTCTGCTCCATTTATTTATAATTAGTTAGTTTTTGTAATGTACAATGCTTCCTTATTAACAAATTTCAATTATTAAAAGTACACATCTAGTGCCTTTTGATTAATATTTAATTTGCTTCTTGTTAAAAAGTTGGGAATTCCGTTTCCAACAATAATTGTCTTTTGTTATTAGGTTTGTATTAAAAACTAATTGGGGGAAATCAAAGATAATATTTTGCATGGTTGGAGTGCCATCTGATATAAAAATTAATGAAATTCTTTTATTATTTGGGTTCTAAAAATTAATAAAAATTTGATTCTTATAAAAAATAAAAATGCCTATTCTCAGACTTTTAATATAAAAAGATGATAAATAATATTATGTTTTTAATTTTCATAATTTGCGATCACCATATTTTTAATTCTAAATTTCACCTTTCTTTTATTCCTTTTCTTTGTACATTTCCAAATACCTTAATTTCCTCTTCTTTTTGGTTTCTTCAATATTATGTTTAGCCCTTAAGAATTTATATGCAACATAAGCCAAATAAACACCCATGGACTTAAAATATTCGATATTGCCTTACCCTAAACACAAAATAAATGCCCATTATCAAAAACCAAATATAATATAAAATATATTGTGATTAACAAGCGTCTTCTGATTGCATTGTATGTAATCCATAGACTTTAATCATCTAACATAATGTATCAATCAATTGATAACAATCTTTATCAAGAATATTATTACCTTTAGACTGTGAAATAGATTGGAGCTATTTCTATCAAGACTATAATGATCGTCAATATTGTGAACTTAATATTTGATATTATTATTACATATTAAAAGTATTAGTAATTATTGCCTATTCTTATCATACAATTAATTAGAATGGTGATGCAAATTAAGATTGTAAAAAATATAACGGGCAATTATTACTTTGTAGCACTGAATACAACATTAACTAAAATTATTTGCACCACTTCTAAAATCTAAATATTACATTTTCAATCTTACACACCAATAACTGTTATAAATTCTTGAATAGTTAAGACTTTTATGAACCTTTGGGTTATAAGTAAAGAAAACAAGCAAATTGTTCTTTATGAAACTAAACATTAAACTTCATTTTTACTTCTTAAATGTTTATTCTTCTTAATCCTTCTAATCCATTTATTAATTAATATAATAAACAAAAAACTTTGAATTATTAAATCAACACAATTAAACAATCATTATTATTTTAATAACTATTACTTTCCAGTAAATTAAAGATATCATTGAATGATGATTATATAAATTATAAGCAATCATTCCAAAATGAAATTTGTTATAATCATTGATTTATTTGGATATTGACGGAACTACGAATTTTTATCAGAATTTATAACCCTCCTTCTAATTGAATTGCTTGACGATCGTTTCAGCTAACTTGATAACAGATTCACTGTTTTATACTATTGAATCATTGCTAATTCATTCAGACTTATCAAATTAAAACTGCTATCAATTTATGATGCACTATTTCTCTTCAGACTTATTGAACTTATCGGCCTTGAAATAGAAAACTTTCTGGATTTGAGTTGATCCATTGAATGAATAGCTGACCCTTCATTTTCTCTTCTCCCAATGAATAATTCACTCTTATTATTAAGATTTTTTCTTCTATTGTTTATTTGCTAATAATAATCATAGTAAAATCTTTTCATTTATATTAAATTTATTGTTCAATAAATACATTTTCATTAATATTTAAGTTCAAAATAACAATATTTATTCTTAAGCATTTCACGTTAATAAATGCTAAAGAGCCATTTGAAAAATAAATTATTATTATTAATTATTATCAATTTATGCACTTTATTTTGTGAAATCTTCACTAAAATAAACCAGAATGCAATAAAGCTGGGTTTTACTTTTTAATTCCCTTCTATAATTAACACACTCAACTATTTTAATTGTTTATTTATAAGACATTGAGATTTGTAAAAAAGATTATTTGAAACAAATTAGAAATAAATAAAACAATTTTATTTTAATTTGACTCCATAATATAATAAAAATGCTGAACTATTACTACTATTAATATAAAAAATAATGATTGAATTATCATCAGATATAATCTTCTGCAGGTTATGTTCAATTGGATTGATGATTAATTGAACAATAAAGGGCTATATATTATATAGATTTCTATATCATTACAAAATTTACATAATATTATGATTAAAAACGGATTATTGTTTCCCTTTAGATGTATGACTATTCACGTTCTAAAATAATAAGGTATAACTAATTTCTACTAGTTCACTTTATATACAGTATCAATGGAAAATTGATTACAAGCAAGGGATTTAGTACTTAAAAATACTTGGATAATAAAAAAATACTTCTCATATTTTGATTATTTAAATCTTCTTTTTAATCTAACATCAAAACTAGAGTCTCTAAAACTAATGAACTTTAACCTCCCTTGCTTTATTCCTTCATACCCTATTTAATAAACAGCCTTTGTTTATGTCCCATTCTTTTAATCTTACCCTACATTTACTTACTAGGTACAAGCAGAACAAATTTAAACATTTGTTCCTCAAATCGAGTCAATGCATTAGCTTCCATAATTTGAATCTCAAGAGCTCAATTAGAGAAGAATAGAATAACCAAAATAAAAGGAAACAGAAAATTGTTCTAATTCTTCTGATTTATTGGCAATAATAAGTGCAAATGTCACATAGGATAAGCCAACACAACAAAAAGAAAAAATATCAAAGTCTACACATCATCTCAATTAGGTTTAATTTGAAAAAGAATCAAAAAATATCTAAAAGAATTACGCCAAAGCCATTGCTAGCTTTATCTATAAAAATAAATAATTAACTTCTAAAATCCTTAACACTACAGAAGTTGATGAATTTATAAAATTAATAAAGCTAATAAAAAACTAAATCTAAAATGTTAGTCATATTTCTTAATATACAAACAAATAGGATTTTATTAGGGCTTTTAGAATTTTAGGGTATGAAATATTAAATATTATTTTAGAAATTATTTCTTAAAAACAAAAAGTAATTCCTATATATTCAACTCCAGAATATAAAAAAAGAATAGCCATCTTAGACATAAAAAATTAATCCATCATAGTCTGCTAAGATGTTGAAATAAATAAATCAATAATAATATTCCAAAATATATTTTTGAATTTTAATTATAGAAAATAGAAGATCGAATTCCTACAGCAATATATTTAAGGAAAGAAGTTCTAAAAAGGTTAAAATTCTAGTATATCTATAAGTTTCATTTTTGAAAATATTTATATAATTATAAAATTCTTACAATTGAACATACACCTCTCACATGATATATGAATTTGATTCAAACTTTATTCTAAACCTTATAGTGTTATTTGCTTTTGACTAATTTTATTCATATCTCAATTAATTTGCATTAACAAATATATGAAATTAAAATTTGTTAATATTTTCTTTAAGTATCTTACAAATGGCTGTTGACTCAAAAAATAATTCAATAAAATAGAAAACTAAAGAATAGACTATTTGCAAATGGTTTTCAATAGGATGTTTGAACAATAACAAAATGCTTTCAAGAATAAACAATAACTTAAACATAACAATATAATAATTGGTATAAATCAATAGAGTTTGTTAAAATACTTTCAATTGCAATTTTTAAGATAATATTGAAGCGATATTTATTCAGCATCAAACTAGAATTTATGCTAAGAGATGAATATATTAAGTTCTATTGTTTTTATTCATCAACTGAAAAAATGTATGAAAATAAAGTTAAGAATTGTTTGAGGATGCCTATAGGTTCATTTATATATAATTTAAATTTTCTGGGACTTTTAGAATAAAAGAAATCCCTTAGTAAGTTAGTGTTAAATTTAGTTCTTAATAAACAGAAAATCTAGTAATTGAGATTAAATTCAGTGAAATTAAAATGGTGATAACTAATTCAAACCTACCCTACTTTTATTCAAAAAATCATAATAAACCTCTTTTTCTTGGTATTTTTGAAAAATAATATCAAAATTACTTCGTTTTTGGGGATTTTAATTAAAATCAAAAGAAAATTTCCAAATATTAATTGCAGAAATAAAGCAAATAAACCGAAATAATATGTTTATAAATTAACATATTAGTTGATGTTATTATTTATTAAATCTAATGTGGAATCAATAATTCCAGCCAGCTTATAATCTATATGCATAACCTTAATAACCTTTATTTTATCCTATATACTTCGTTCCTGTAATAAATGGGAATTAGGGGTATCCCGATGGAAATTTAAGCAATTCTTTAACAACCTAACTAACCTAATAACCTCCTTAAGTTGCTTCACAAGATGTACCTTTTTAACCTTCTTGTTCACTTTTTAATAATAAATAAACTTAAGAATCTCTAGAAAGTGTTGATTCGGTAGTTTTAAACAAAAAAACCAAAAACTCTTCTCAATCAAAAAATCTTTCATAAAAGTCTACAAATATTTAAAAAAATTATGCTAAAGCTATTGTATAGTACGTTTTAAGACAAAGGGTAGAAATACTCAAGTATTTGGGAGAAAAGCAAGGCATTGAATTTTTAAAATTACTCACTTAATTAAAAAATAACATTAAAAATGTTAAACATTTAATTAGGTATACCAACGATGAAAAGCAATTAAAATTATTTAGAATCTTATCAAATCGATTTCTTAAGAAAGAGGCGATAGGATATGCTTACAATTCGAATATTAAATCGGCAAGTTAACACATTTAGTATAGACATCTAATTTAACTTAATTTACAGAAATTTTGAGTTAAATATACAACACAACCTTGATTCTTATCAATCATATATATATAATATATCTAATTTACATATCTAATCACGATCTCTAAATACATAAATGCTTAATTATAATAATTATGATTTTAGTATTTTACAATACTCAATTTTTGTATTATTCAGCTCTTATAATATTGATTCATATCAATATTCAAAATAGTACTAAATAACTATTATTTTGAATATTGTCTATAATCTTCTAATATGGGGATGGACCAAGTTTTCTTATTCATAGAGGTTCAATATTTGACATTATCGCTTGCTACAAAGTTCTAATACCTTGACTATTACATTATTATCAATTGATCAAGAAAATTTAATGATCACAATATAAATAATTAAATATATTACAAAACTATGAAGATATTTCTTCTTAATACTAATTAATTAGAAATAATTTTTTTATTATTAATAAATATTAATTCTTATCAGAATTTATTAACTTCTCAATAAAATTATTATAATTTATTTACATTGTATTATTTATAATCACGATCTTACATTTTATCATTTATAAACCAAACTTAAATATTGAATTAGAACTTCAATTACAATATAAATGGATCTATACTACTTGTTTGTTTAAATTTAGTTGATTAATAAGGTATTTACAATAAAATTATAGTTTTTCTATAATTAATAATAATATAGGATCTTATATTAATAATCAAGCGAAATCAAAAACTATCCTAAGATCTACAAAATCTATTATAACTTAAGTTTATAATCTTTTATTTTTGTATAATCTATATTCTCCCTATCTAAGTATTAAAATATTTTTGTTTTTATTTAATTTTAAACTTTAGGTTTCTCATCAAAAGAGAAGTTGAAATATAAGAGAATTATATATGAAAATTGTTTTTTTATTGGAAAAAACAAATAATTCGCTATTTCTCGAGTTTTATGAAAATATCTTAATTCTAAACAATAAAAATTCTTGTTTTTTTTTCATATTGAATTTTTTAAGATTCTATCTTATGATTACTATCTAATTTCATTTATTTTTATTTATTAGAATTTTATTCACATCCTAAATATATTAATTTATTTACTAAACAATGCTATCTAATGTATATTTAAATCAGGAATTTCATGTTTGCTACCATTCGTTCGAATATATAATAGGTTTAACACTTGAGAGATCCAAAGCACTGAAATTTTCAGTAATATTCATTAAATTAATTTTTTCATTACAAAGCATTTGCTATTAAATTTCCACTTATTATATAGGAGGGCTTTTAAGTAGAATAATATTGCAACTCATAGTCTAAATCCTCGATTAATTCTATTCAAAGAGAAAAATAGTTGCTTGGCTATTCATTGATTATTATTTCTTTTTTTAATTAAGTTTATTATTCATTCAAAAATATATTACAGAGGTACAAATAATAATTTTAGAAATATTAAGCACTAGTAAAGGGAGCCAAATAAGGGATTCTCTGAATAGTCTTCTAAGCAAATTGACTTAATGGTGCTATTGAAAATTGAAATAATAAAATCATTAATATTAAATATTTTTAGTCAGTCATAATTTTCTAAATCCACATCTCTTTTAATACTCAAGCTCATTAGTGTCTTCGTTGTTACTTACTGATTTTCTATTGAAATAATCTAAGCTATTTTCTTCTATCTACTTCATATTTATCCACCTCTGGTCAACTTCATAAAAATAATAAATGTATTCTGTATAAGAGTTGTCATCCTCGTTGAATAAATAAAAGTTTTAGGATTTCATAAAGACAGGAAACCTTTACCCTTAATAATTCACAAGCATTAATTGTCCAAACATCATGGCAGCATTACATTTAAAAATTTGGGCTAAAGTTTAACTCCATCTTGAATTCCCGTCTCCAGCAAAGGATTAAGGGAGCATTCCTGTCTAGAATACATAATCCTTAATTATTTCTTCATTGACTCCTATCATTTAGAGGTAGGCATCATTCATCACTCTAGCTGATGTCGTAATGATTCCATTTTTATTCTTTTAGATATATAATGTAAATGGGCCTTAGATGTTTAGTTCAAACTCAATAAGTTTTGTTTCATTTACGATCTTGTATTTAGAGATGTCAGTATTTTTTTTATGAAATTATTCAAAGCTCTCGAACAAATCTGTTTCCTCTTTCAATAAGGCCTCTTTAAGTATTTCAAAAGATGTGTATGTTCTTTGAATTGGTTCTAAGTTAAAAATGTGATAGCTATTGTATTTGTCGTACCTAGCTACTTTGTAATTATAAGAATGGGGATCAATGTTCAAAAATCCTAACTAATATTGAGATTCAACAATCTTAGGGAATTAAATGTTAGAATTCAATCTGAAGATGATATTTTGCGGAATGCATTGAGGTATATTTTAATTTATAACTATAATTTCTTTAAGTTAAGTAACATCTATGCTACTGCCAAACTTAAATTCTACAGTGTATTGATTTTTACGCTTTTTTTTTTATATTTACTTAGATAACGCCACGTTTTTTTCTTAATTTATTGTTTTCTATACATTCAGAAAAGAAGACATCCCTGTATTATAAAAGTTATAATAATTATTTGTTTTTTAAAATGAAGAATAAATCTTTATAAATATGCATCAAATATGTAATTAATTACAGCAAAAATTTAAATTATTTAAAAATAATTAATAAGTTATCCTAATACATTATGTTATGAAAGTTCAATTTCTAAGTAATTAACTATTGTCTCAATTAAAGCTAATCAATGTAAGCTCAGAGATGGAATATTTAAAAGTTATGATATTTAAATTAATTAATTTTAGACATTCGAATGGCTTTATTTTACAGAAAAGAAAGTATCAAGTAATTTAAGAATATCTAGTAATTCTAAAATGTAGGAATATATTTATTTATGTATAAATGTAAACAATAATTATTTCATTCTTTTCACTATTGAGCTCCACCAGCTTGTTTGCCAGCTCTCATAATCTAAAATAATTATATAAAAGGTTACTTCATCAACTAACAAAAGTTATTAAGCTAATGTGGGTGCAATGTTCAGCCATGATCTTTTGGAACAATAATTATCAAAAATACCATTGGCAATCGGAGCAATGAAACCTTATTCATTAATACTTACTCCAACTGGAATGTTATGTTTGATAAACTCATCTGTAACTTAAATGAGTGTTTCTTAAACATCATATCCACAATTTTCTGCTAAGGCTTTTGGAATAACTAATAATGACTCAGCAAATGCTTAGACTCCCAATTTAGCCTTTCCAGCAACAGAATCCTTAAACTTTTAAAGATGAACACTGGTAGCAATTTCAAAGGCACCAGCTCCAGGAATAACACATTTATCTTCAACAGCATTTTTAACAGCTCTTAATCCATCTCTAATAGCATCCTTGATTTAGGCAATAGTATGTTCATTTGGTCCTCTAATCAAAATTGTACATGAAGTAGGATTTTACACTCCTTCAATAAAAGTGTACTTCTCTTCTCCTAAGGTATATTCTCTTAACTAATTATAAAGTAAAATGGTTACCACTTCACAGTATCCGAGGTCACTTTCAGTCAAATCCTCAACTGCATTAACTGAATTACCACCACAGGCCTTTGCAATTCTTTCCATATTTCTTTTTTTTGCTCTTCTGATACCAACAATTCCTTCTTTGGCAAACATTTCTAAACAGACTGGATCTATTCCTTTTTAATTGATAACTGCAAATCCATAACCATTCTTCTCACAAACCTTTCTCTTGAAATCAATAATTTATTGACATTTGTCATCTGTCAATTTTCTTTCAGATCTAGCTAATTTCTCTCTGTCTTCAGCTGTATTATAAAAGAATCCGCTGTGAACCTATTAATTTATTTTTAATTTACTTCAGTCTTCTCATATTCCAAAGAGACATTCAAATTTAAGATGTAGCACTTCTTAACAAATTTAGGCATGTCTGGATGTCTTGCACCATGGTCTAACACTAATCCTCGAATCAATTCTGTTTCTGCCCCCATCTTATGTTACATATGCATAATCTCAACCATAAATAAGTCTATAGGCTTTTCAGGCACTTACACAATTTAAACTGCATCGACAACTATCTCGATAATTCTAAATATTTTCTTTATATAGTATATACTAATTTGCAACATCGGGTGTCAATTTGCTATTTAATGAAGTTCTGGCCACATTTATTAACACAGCTTTATCTATTTATTAGTATTTAAAGGTATCTAAAAATGATAAGGCCTCCTTTCTTGCAAGCTCAAAACCTTCTGTAATTACTCTTGGATGAATTCCTTCAGCCAATAATCTTTCTGCTTATTTCATTAATGCGCCAATCAATAAAACATTGCTGGTTGTACCATCACCAATTATATCATCCTAAGCTGTTGCACTTCTAGCTATCATAGCTGCTGTTGGATGCTATATCTACATCTCTGATAATAGAACAGCACCATCCTTCGTAAGTTTTATTTATCCAGCACCTCCCACAAGCATTTTTAAGGTACCCTTAGGTCCTAAATTTGATTTCATGACCTCCATCAAACCAGCTGCTGCATTTATGTTCATTGCTAATGCTTAATATTTACGAAGCACTTCAGCTTTAGAATTGACAAATTAGACACTACTCATTTTTTAATTAAAAAAGAAATTTAATTTTTATTTTTAAGATTTGTAATATGAAATCATTTATCTTAACAATATTTGCAATTCTTAAATTTTCAAATCTTTTATTTTCTTTTATTAATTTAAGATTTCTCAATATAATTATTTATTGCTTTATTAATTTTCAATATTAGAATAGAAGAAACTTTTTATTACATTGCTAGTTGCAAAATACTAAAGCAAATAGTCCATTTTGTAATTCCCTTGTACTTACATAAATAGTATAAAATTAAGTCTGGATGCTTTATAATTCTTAACCATTTTATTTTCTTCAAATATAATAATTGCATCTATCCAATTATTTATTCTTTCTTGAATGTTCTTAAAATATTTACTTTGAGTTTTTTTAACTCTTATTATGGTTAGTATATTATGTGCTTTATAAAACAAATATTTGCTTTTCTTTCATTTATAGATATATATTATACTAATTAATTAAATTATGATATAAAAGTTTGCATAATTAGCATAAAGAAAATCTATTCAAAGATTCTCTAACATCTTTGTTGCACATAGAAATAGAGATGACAATAGTGATTCTGTACCATTTGATTTCACAGATGAGAATTACAAAAAAATTGAAGCAATATTGGCAAAATTTCCATCAAATGAGAAAAAATCAGGTACTATACCTTTACTTATGCTTGCATAAAAATAGAATAATAACTTTTTGAGTTTATCAGCAATGAAAAAGGTTTACTAAGATTTTAACTTAATAGATAGCTAAAATTTTAGAGATCCCCGAAATGGATGTCTATGAAACAGCGTCATTTTATTCTATGTTTAATAGAGAAAGAGTTGGAAAGTTTCATCTTTAAGTTTGTGGAACTACTCCATGCTAACTATGCGGATCTAAAGATATTATTAAAACAATTGAGTAAAAGCTGAACATTAAAAATGGAGAGACAACTACTGATGGATTGTTTACACTTCAAGAAGTTGAATGTTTAGGAGCATGTGCAAATGCACCAATGATGCAAGTTAATAACGAATGGGTTTATGAAGATTTAACACCTGAAAACACTGTATATTATATCATAAATTATTAATAGTTAAAGCTATTAGAAGACCTCAAAAATGGAACAGATAAAAAAGGACCTTAGAATGGAAGAAAAAATGCTGAAGGCCCTTAGGGAAGAACAACTTTATAAAATATAGCAACTCAATAAGATATCAAATACGATAGAAATTTCGAAGCAGCAAAAAAAGAATGGTTAGATCAAAAAGAGAAAGAAAGACTTGAGGCTGAGAAGAAGAAGTAAGCAGCTTAATAAGCAAAAAAATGATGTTTAATTATTATAAACATATGAGAAGAAGAAAATTGTTATATTTATAGTTTTCTTATTTACTAAATAGCATTTTATTCAATATCTTTTACTCACAAATTAATAAAATATTACACACATTGAATTACCTTATAATAATTATTTTATAATTCAGGAAAACAGGTTAATGAATATTCACAAAATGACAATTTCCCTCTACTCCTTTTAAAACTTTATGTTTTTAATAAAAATATAAAAATTCTATGTTATTTTTTTAAGATATAAATCAAGGCTGTTTATGAAAAGCCATAACCTGGTTTAAATATTTCATGGTATTGAATTTTATTTTATATCATCCATCATTCGCATAATTATTTTGATTGTTATTATATAAACTCATTTAATATAAAAAAATTAAAAAACGGCATGAAGAGCCTTTTATTATTGTTATTTGTTGGTGTCTTGTGTCAGAATGAAGTTGATACAGTAGAAAAATTGTTGGCTGAACTAAAGGGAGCTTCAGCTGTTGAACTTACAGCACTCAATACAGATTACACGGTTTCCAAAAATGTATTGAATGTAATAGAACTTTTAGCTGAAAGAGAATATCATTTTTAATTTGGGCAAAGCCATTCAAGAATAAAACTTTTTATGCGCAAGTCGTGATAAATCAGTTTCTGATAGAGAATCTGACATTGATAAAACAAATAAATTCATTGCTTATTTACAAAGGAGACTTGTTGATAATGCAAAAAGAGTAGAAACCCTTGACAATAACAGGTAGTTGATACAAATATGAATTAGATGCACTCATTCAACCAACTATATTGAGAGAGTTAAAAATGATAATATGACATTGAGACTTATAATATTTTTGAGAAATTCCTTATAAAACTTAGACAACAATTAATTAAATAGATATGGAGCATACGTAGAGAAATTCTTAACAATGTATAAATCTGCAAAAATGTCAGAACTTGTAGAACTAGCTCATGAGTTTGCTGATACAATGTTCATAGATTGGACTTAAGTGACCCCATCATCCTAAGGAAATATCAACACAGTTAAAGGATAATTGATTGAGATGCTTGATGACATGGAGAGGTACATTAGAGAATAAATTAAAAATTCTTAAAATTTAGAAATCACAACTGGAGTCACATTGGCTGACTTTAAGGGAGCAATTGATATTGAGAACGAATAAATCAATTACGACCTTGCATCTGAAGAGAAAAATATCATTAAACTATAAGAACAATTAGTCTAAGCTAGATTAGCTGCAGTAAATTGCAGAGAAAGAGGCGTTGCTTTACAACAATAATAATAAAGAGCAATTGAAGTATCTCTAACATAAAATATGGATAGGATTTAAAAATAGAAGAGACCTAATATAATAAAAATAAAGCTAGATTACAAGAAGAACTTAATTTATTCACTGATGTATACAGAATCTATTCCACCTAAGTTGGAACATCTGAAGACAAGTTTAAATAAAGAGTTGATGACTATGTAAATGACAAAGTAATATATTAGTTTTATTTTAGTAAGTACAATCATATGAGAGATCAGAATATTCATTAAGCGATGCAGTAAGAAAACAAGTCTAACATGAATGATTTATCAATTCAATTTAATAATATATAGATGAATAACACAGTTCAATAATAATTTTATAATATAAAAATGAGCCTAATCCGTTTTAATTTGTTGATTTTGACTATAGGAGTATGCTTTTCAGCCATGACACCTTAAGCCTCGTTATTGATGAAGTCATTCCACTAAGTATGAACAAGTATTGAGTCTTGTAGTTTGGCTAAAGTCCCTATAGTGATTAATTAAAAGAATTGGTGTAAATCAAATTGGAGACAGGAGCTTAAGTTGATGAAGTTCTGAAACTCATACAAGAATTGTTAGATTCATTGAAATCTGATTAAGTTGATGATGATGTTGAACACTCAAGATAAATGACAGTTTTCGATTAAAATATTAGTGAATTGGAAGACGATCTCTCAAAATTAAATACAGATTTGGCAAATGCAAATGTTCTCATTTAAACCTTAGCTGAATTATTGGTCATTTTAAGAGAAACTATTATTACATATGAAAAACAATTGTCTATTCTAAATGAGCAAGAATAGTTCATTAGAAATGCCAGAGCTGCTGATGTCAAAGCATATAACAGAAGAGTTGAATCTGCAAATAAAGTTATTAATGCATTAAATCTCATTATTCAAAAACTAAGCAAAGCTGTTGACGAATAAACTACTGATGAAAATAGATAAGCCATTTTAGCTTAAATACACAGTGAATGTCATGAACAATTCGGACCAAATCATCCAATCACAATTTTGGTGAAATTAACAACTAGATTTGACGTTCCCACGGTTTAAAGAATTTTAGAGAAATTAGAGTAAATTAGAGATGCAGCTACTAAAAGTTTGAATGAAGATATTGAAGCTGAAGCAGTGGCATCTACTAATTTTGATAACTCCATGTCTGAAATTGAAACTTTGAGAAAGAGATTATCTACAGATCTTGAGAACTTAAATCAATAATTCAATGACAAATTTAATTAGCAAGTAAGAACCATAAGAATTATAAATAGAAAATTGTTTTGGCTTAAAAAGAACAACTTTTAATCGATATTCCTATCACAGAAGAATTACTTCGATTAACAAAGGAATAATAGGAATAATATCATTAAGCATATATTAGCAGATAAACTTAAAGGTATTGTTTTAGTTGTAATTTTAATAAAGACTTTCTGAAATTGATGTTGTTTAAAAAGCTTACAATCTAGTATTCGACCATGTAGATTCAGTAAAAAAATCAGAAGACCTAACAGCTAAACTAAGTAGTTGATATATATAATAATCAATAATAAATTACAGAAGATAGTCAATTGTTTTACCTTTCGCACTCCTCTTTTTCTTATATATATTAGGAATATAATTCATTTTCGTTAACTTAGAATTTAATACTAAGTTTTTATATATTAATTAGAATATTAATGTTGATATCAGATAATAGTTAATAATAGATTAAATTGAAGAAACAAGGTTGAAATCTGAAGCAACTAAATATTAAATAATTTAGTTTTGTTATAAATCTAACTTTAATATTTGGTAATTGCAAAATTATATTTATTTGCTTAAATTCGTTTTATATTAATTAATAAAATATGTAATAATAGAATGATGACCAGATTCCGTTGAACATACCATAAGAACAATATAAATTGCCAGAATAACTTGATGGTATGGAAATTATGATTATGCAAAGAATTTGGTTAGCCAGTGATGTTCAAGTGCAGCACTTGTGGAGTTTAGGCTGTTTCTATATTGTAACATAAACCGGGAACTCATACATGGTTATGCTGTGTCACCCTTTGCATTTTTGGTGCATTTTTAGCATTCCTGCCATTTTATATAAAAGATTGCCAGGATGTTACACATGTATGTCCTGCCTGTAGTCAACCTGTATTATCATTGAGTTTATATTATAGAAAGGAGTTAAACAATTTAAAGCGTGTTGATGAAATAAGACATATTATTATCCAAATCATTTATATTAAATTATAAAACCTATGTCCACATATTCATTATATCCTGTAATGCATGAGGCAAATACCTTTGAAATATTTTCGATGCTTTTATAGATAGGGCTTGATAGAGCCAACAATACTAAGGCAATTTAGCAAAGACTTAATCAAACAGAGCATATTAAAACTCCAACCGATTTCTTGTCATTTGTCAATGTTAATGAGAAATGTCTATCTCAATCACTTAAATAAGAGAAATAAAGAGTTGAATAGGAATTTGCACTGATTGAAATGTTGGTGCCAAATAAATCGAAAACACATTTGATGTATGAGGTTTGTAATGATGAAGGTCTTTCTATCATTTATCACTAAAACTAATAACTTAGTGGTTACCTCAATTCCAAGTGAAGGTGAACTTATCTGGGGAATTTTTAGATATTGCAGAGCTGTATGGACAGTTTTTTATTGCATCTGGAATGAATCATAGATTATAATAAATACAGGCGATTAAGAAGAATAATTTATATGATAAAGTAATTAAAGGATGATTAAGTTTAGATTCCCTTTATGCCTCTCCTGATGAAGTGGCTACATGAATTTTGCAGATCATAATTTAATAAGTTGTTTGCTTCCCTCTATGAAACAATCTCATAAATGAAATCCAACTATGTACTAAATAATATTTTGATGTTATGTAGAGACAAATTGTGAGTAAACCAAAAGAAGAGATTTTTTCTCCTAGAGTAAATAAAATGCCAATAAATAGACCTGCTTCATGTATTATTAACAAAACAAGAAGCATTAGTAATTACAGTATTCGTAAAACTTCATAAGTTGTCACTAAACGCAACAATAATTAAGCAGTCTCCAAATTAATAAATTTAATTTCTGATGTCATTGATATTGATCTTACTCACTATGACTAACAAACTCATAAAAAAAAAGAATAAATCTTTAATAGTCTTTGGAGCAAAAATTTTCATGTGAGAAGTACTCATGAGAAATTCTAATAATAAACATATGGGATTCAAAAACCTTAAATATAATCCCATTTTTTCAGTGCTCAAAACAAAAGACCAAGTAGTTTTTTTAAGCATTCATTTCACATAGATAATAATAATCTTAGTTTATTTTGATAAATAGTTTTGTTTTATGTTTTTTCGTATTTATTTAATATTATAATCATTATTTAAGTTGTGCTCTTAGAATCTGATTTTCCTATAAAACTTAGTCTAATTTATCCTTTCTTTGCTGTTATTCTTAGAAGTACCTGATCTACTCTTTGAGTGTTCCAATTTAATTAGCTTAAATGCCTGCTTCTACTTATAACTTTATTAATCAATATTATACATTCTATCTTTTTTCAATTTCATCTCTACATAGCGCCTAAACATCCTTATATTATTATTGGATATGATGAATTTCTTATTTTAAGTTATCATTGATTTCTAATAATTTCTCCAGATCTTCCTTCTATGATTAATATTTTATTTGTTGATTTTGTAACTATTTTATTTCTTCCTCCAGCAGATGAATATTTTACTATGATGAAATTTATTCACTCTTAAACACCTTACTCATTTTATCCTTTTCTTCTAACATTTCATTAATCAGCATTTTCTTATCCTACAATTAACTCTTAAGGACTCTGATTTCCATGACTTATTAATCAACTAATTTCTTTATCTAAGATTAATCTTCCTATTTTTAATATTTAACACTATACCTATTTTTATTTAATATCCTAATACTCCAAATTGATGATTTCCAATTCTTTTTTTTGGATATTAATCTATTCAATCTATGAAGCAATTTATTTTTCTAACTAATTAATTTATTCTTATCTGCTATCTAAAGAGTTTTAGAATCTGATCTTCATGTTCTCAAGAATCTATTCTGATTACTTCTTTTATTAATCGATTTGTTTTGTCAAGAAATCATCTAATTTAATATATTCTAATTATGCCCGTTCTAATTACTCTCCTAATCTTCTGCATTCTTTTATTAATTATTCCTTAGTCAATTACTCATCAGAAACGTTAGGAGTTTTCTTCATCTTCTCCAATTACAATTGATTCTTTATGTCTTTCTCTTGATTCAAAAGTTCGTTATTCATTAACTAATACATTTTCATTTCTTCACTTATTCTAGTATTCTCTTTGATTAATTCTTATATTTTAAAGTCATATTAGCTTAATTAATCCTTTATGGAATCATTGTCCTTCAATAAAGTATTAAATTTAATTTATAAACTTTCAAGTTCAATTTCCTTTTGGTTAACTTAATCGAAAGCATTCTTCTGAACAATATTAATTTTATTAGAAATCAACATGATTTAATTTCTTAGCTCATGATTGTTGTCCTCATAACTGCTTAATTAGGAGGATAGTTCAACAATCTTCTCTAAAGCTTCTTTATATTATGAGTTCATTTTAACAAGTTCTCTACTAATATCGTATTCTCTTTCTTAACATTATTTGAAATTCTATTGCTATTACTCAAACAAATCTCTAGCATTGCTCAATTCAGTTTCTAAATTGTTGATCACATCATCATTTTGATTTCTTCTCAAATCCTCCAAATGTGTAATCAATAGATTATTCTCATCCTACAACGATTATAGTTAAAATTTGAGATCCTAGATTTCATCATTAATTTATGTTTTTTAATTCTAAAGAAAGTGCTGCATTTCATTAGTCTTCAAATCTAAGTGTTTTTTAATAACTAAATTGTCATCGATTAATCTTTCAACCATTGTAGTTAATTCAACAATATCATTGGATTATTTGAAACATTCATGTTTTAATAGTTTATTTTCATCTGTAAGTGCAGATAACAAAGGTGATATTTTAGCAGGATCAATTAATAGATTTACATTCTCGAATTAGTATTATTTCCATTAAGCTAATTTCGTAAATGCAGTTATTGGAGCCTTTTGAGAACCCAAATAAGCGATATATTCAGCATATTTTTAATTGGTCTTAAAAACATGTTCAGGGGCTTTGTTTGGATCCTCAATTAAGAGCTTCGATAGATATTATGCTGAAGGTCCTTTAGATTACATTATTTTTATTTTAAATTTAACATACAAAACATTTTCATTTAACAGATTAATTTTCTCCAAACTTTTCTTCAATCCATCTCATAGTTATAGATCCTGGTCTTTCAATTGGTAATCCAAAGGCTCTAGCCCAAACTAAGTTTGCAGTGCATCCAAGTGCTCTTGAGACAGCAAACACTACAGTGTAATATTCAAACTCTTTCAATCCATAATGATTTAAGAGAACTCCTGAATGAGCGTCAACATTGGGCCATGGATTTTAAATCTTTCCTATTGTCTTAAGAACAGGTGGAATAACATGGTAACATTATTTAACAAGTTCAACAAGTGGATCATCTTTAATCAATCTTTCAGCAAAATTCTTTTAGTGAATATATCTTGGATCAGTATATCTTAACACAGCATGTCCATATCCTGGTACTACTCTTCCTTCTCTAATGGTATTTAAGACATATTCTTAAATCTTTTCATTTGAAACTTTATCTCCTAATTTTTCCTATTATGATAATTATATAATTTTACTCTAATTTCAATCAACCATTTAAGAACTTCCTAATTTGCTAAGCCATGAAGAGGTCCAGCCAAACCATTAATACCAGCTGAATATGACAAGTATTGATCAGCCAAAGCAGAACCAACCAAATGAGTAGCATGGGCACTCACATTTCCTCCTTCGTGATCTGCATGAATGCTTAAGTACATTCTAAATAATTCATATGCATTAAATTGATCGAAACCCATCATATGAGAGTAATTGGCAGCCCAATCTAATGAATTATCACTGCTAATCAAATTTCCATTCTTTTTATATATTATTTTTATTTACTTTATATTTATGTCTATAAATTAAAGCTGCAACTCTTGGGATTTTGGCAACCAAGTCCATTGCATCTTCATAATAGTATTCCCAATATTATGGTTTAGTGGCTTTTCCGCTTTCATAAGCCTATTAGAATGTTGAATTCTTTTATAAGTATAAGACACTCTGTGACAACATTGTCATTGGATGTAATTATTTTGGAAGACTTGTGATGAATTTTACTGTCTCTTAGTCTAATTCTCCTCTTCTCTTCCATTCTTCTTAAACAAATTTAAATTCTTGATCTGAAGGGAAGTCACCTGTCAACAATAACCAAAATAAAGCTTCAGGCAATGGCTCATTACCATTTTTAGCTTTCTAGAGGTATTCCTAAATTTCTGGAATGTTGTAATCTCTGAATGTGATACCCTATCAGTAACTATAAAAAATTACGGTTTTTGAATCCAACAATGAAATATCATAAAACAAACCAAACACATTTCTCATTCCTCCTATTGCTTAATCTACAGTAACTTTGCAGATTTCCTTCTGTCCATATTACTTTCTAATGTCTCTTAATAAAGCTTATTTAATTGGTATAATCTCTCTCAACCTTTCTTTCAAGAGGTTGGATGAATGGAAAATGCTTTTGCTATTGAATGATCTATAAATATGCTACATTTAATATCAATATTTAATTTGTTACTAAATCTATTTAAATTATATCTTATGCTAATATTCTTAAAGTGTGCAATTAATAAGCGCATTATTAATTAACATCAATTAAATAACAGTTTATTTATAATATGTATTTAATTTTAATTTATTTCTTCTAAAACTTCATCTATTATTAACTATCAAATTTTTCAGGATCTCTATAATTTAAATTATTATTATCCCCATTATTGATATTATTAAGCATAAAAATAAAGATTTATACTTGGTATTTAGAATACAAATTATTAATTCATTTGCTATATATATTTAATCTGATAAGAAATATTAAATAATGTGGGTAAATTTGTAAAAGAGAATTTATATATCCAAAATTTAGATAATCAAGTCATCTCTGTCAAATCACACTTATCTGGTTTAATTAGACATTGAACTTATTGAATATAACTTGAAATTTGCATTTTTCATCCGAATTATAAGATAGTTCTTTATTCTCATATTCTTAATCTGATTTGAGCAGCAAAATTGAAATTAGTAAAAAATTACTTAAAATTCAATTCCAAATTTGCTAAAATTGATAAAGTTAATGAGGGTGTTATATTAATTCTATGAAAATATCTTCTAATCTTTAAAGTTTTTGAGTATGAAATAGATTAGTATATTAATTTGAATAACAAAAAATAAATGAACTGCATTCAAGGAATTTTGTAAGTGACATTTATTGTATGTTTAGCTTTATAACAATCTCTTTAATTTTTATCTATTCTAATAACTAATATTTGGACCTAAATATTAATTTACTAATTAATTATCTTTCGAATAGAATACTTGTACAGTATTCTCATCATACTATTGATTTTGTTTTAATTTTTCATAAAGTTCTAACTTTCATATATAATTAAAGAACTATCTTAGTCAAAATGCAATTAGTATTGTCGACAGCTGTTATTTTATCTTACAATTATTATCTCTTAAAAATAGGTTTAAATTTGTTAAAATAACTGGATCACTTCCAATTGTACTTTGACTATTTAGAATTCATCAAATATTAAAACAATATGAAGCTATCTTTAACTATGGTGTATCAAAATATTTTTAGATCACATTTTATTATTTGATGTCACTTAATTGAATATAAAGAGCTTCTCCAATTTGTATCATTGTAGCAAAATCTCTTTTATCATTACATTCAATATAAACAAATTATCCATTCCAATCGCTTAGAATGATTTTCTACTTTTAATTACAATGATATTTTGTTCTTCATCTAGTTTTAGTACTGGAGTAGATTAGGAATTCCTATGTTTAAGCTAATGAATTGCTCATAGTTTTTGTTTCATTTCTATGTTCTTTTGTTTAATTTTTTTTAAGGCTCTTGATCTAATATATGCTTTGCATTTTCTTGGAAATAAGTAGATTTATATATATATCAATATCCTTTTATTATTTAATCATATATCTGAGGTAATGTTGAAGGCTTTGGCATAATTTGGACTATTTAATTATAAAATATATAATTATTTATTAAGATGACGAGATATTAAATTTGTAATATATATTTTTATAATAATTATTTTAGGATATATATCTTAAAAAATATTAAAATCTGCTTTTAATTAATTATAATAAAAAATCAAATGGATACACAAGCCTACTCCAAGATTTCAAATGCTGCTTTAATTTAAGAACTGTATAGGAGATATAGATGCCAAGAGGAAGCATTGAGAAAAAGAATTGTATTGTTAGGAATGCCAGGAGCAGGTACTTAATACAATTAATTTATCTTAGGTAAGGGAACACATTCAGCTAAAATGTTGGCTCGATTCTGTATGTGTCATTTGTCTACTGGAGATTTATTGAGAGAGGAAGTAAGATCAGGAAGTGAATTCGGAAAGAAACTAAAAGGAATCATGGAAAGAGGAGAATTAATTGAGGATGAAGTTATGTGCAATCTCATCAAATAGCAATTAGCCAAGTATTATACTTTTCTTATGTAAGACCTGCTTGTGCTAATGGTGCCATTTTAGATGGATTTCCTCGTACCATTCCTTAAGCTGAAAAACTTGATTAGATTCTGAAACAAAGTGGATAATCAATTGATTAAGCAATATTTATGAATGTGCAAGAGCAGATTGTTGTTGATCGTCTTGGAGGGCGATGGACTCATTTGAATTCAGGAAGAACTTATCATTATAAATTCAACCCTCCAAAGGTTCATGGAGTCGATGATGTTACTGGGGAACCTCTGGTATAAAGGGAAGATGATAAAGAGGCCACGATCAGAAATAGACTACATGTGTATTAGACTAAGACATCTCCTATTATTGATTATTACAGAAAGTAACTAAAAATAAATATTAATTTTAGAAAAGGAATTTTATTTGAAGTAAATGCAGAAAGACCTGTAAATGATATTTGGAAGGACATCAAAACCATTGTCAAAACCAAATGATTTCAGCTAATTTAACTTATTTTTTTTAATGCTTTGCAATTTCTAATTAATAATTAATTATATAATAATATATGGTTAAAATCGTATAATCAGCCAAATTGCTCAAATCAAGACGTCTAATTAGGCTAAAACTAAGTAAACTATCTTTGTAATCAAAATAAATTGGTGCTGATAAAAAAGAATAAGAAACAAAATAGGTTCAAATTATAAATGAGGATTAATTTATTTCGCACATTGAACCAATTAAATAGTTATTGCCTTTTTATTAAGGTGGCAAGATACAAATAACAAATAATGTGATATATACCTGCTTCAATTTTTGTGTATAATACCTTGATAAGAAAATTTAACACAATCAGGAAGAAATAGCAAATTTTTGTGTGAGCAATCTAAACGATTATATTGCAACATTTACAAAGAATTATATGCTTAGATATGTTAGATTGAATGATCACATCACATAATTTACAATTAAAACAGAACCTCTATTTGCCATTGATATGCAATTTAGTCCAGAAGATGTTTACTTGGCTTTAGGTGGTACAAATTGCATGGTCAAAATTATAAATGTTAAAAAGAATTAGCAAAGCACTGAATTTAGAGTAAGTGGAAGTGTTCTTAAATTATAATGGATTCCTATTATGAGGAAATTGTAAGTGGCTATTGCTACAGATGACAGACGCATCTCGTTATTTGATTTGGTGGCTAACAGAATACTTTGTGGTTTTGTTGACTTCAATAGTAGGATCACTCATATTTAATTTAATCAACACATGTTGGTATCAAGTTGTAATAAATATATTAAATTTTGGGATACAAGTGTATAAAAATTGACTGAAACTGTAGAATTTGATATTGAAATTGAAACATTCATTTATTTCAAAAATACCTTAATTATTGGTACTGAGTCTGGAGATCTGCATATTAAATAGTAAAACAAAAAAATTGTGGTTGATTAACAATTTAATGGGTAATAAATATTGAAGTTTATGAATTGCAATGAGAAATTGTATATTGTTACAAGTGAACTTCATATTTATATAACTGAATTAGTTTCTGGACAAATTTAATAACAAAAACTATTATTAGGATATAATGATGAAATATTACATGTTAAGTTTATCAAAAATAATCACTTACTCTTGGCAACAAATTCACCATTTATGAAGTAATATTAAATATCTAACTTATTAGAATATTAAATTTAGATAACCTAGAAGTCATTGCTTGGAAGGCTCATTATAGTGTAATCATGTGTTGCGAATTTATTGATGACCTAATAGTAACAGCCTCCAAAGATAATTGTGTCATTATATTCAAATACAAAGGGTTCAAGCAACCAATAGAATTGCACAAATATAGTGGTCATTCCGATGATGTCATCTCTATCGATGTTAATTCCAAATATATTGCTTCTGTTTCAAAAGATAAAACACTTAAATTATGGGATTTAAAGAATTATCAATCTGAATAATCTCTAAAAACTGTTGTGGCTCATGAAAAAGAAATGAATTGTGTTCGATTCTCACCAAATAACAAGCTTATTGCCACATCCTCTTAAGATAGACTTATTAAACTATGGGATGAAAATCTAATGAATAAAATGATACTTAAAGGTCATAAAAGAGGAGTTTGGGATATATAGTTTTCACCAATAGAAAAAATATTGGCTTCAGCAAGTGGAGACAACACTATTAAGCTCTGGAATCTCAGTGATGGCTCCATCATTAAATCCTTCTAAGGAGTAGCTCCTCAACTAAAAGTTTCATGGTTTGCTAGAGGATCTGAATTAATAAGTACTGATTCAATTGGTAATATTAAGCTATGGAATGTAAAAAAATAAACATGCATTAATACTTTCTCACAACACACTGGTAAAATTTATGCTTTGGATATCAAGAGAGAAAATCAAGATATCTTCATAGTAACTGGAGCAAATGATTCAAATCTAATTTTATGGAAAGATAAGACAGAACAAGTAACTTAGCAATAATAACTATAATAACATGATATTAAAATAAAATTGCAGACATTCCAAGATTTTATGAGAGATAAATTATATTTAGATGCAGCCTTTATTGCTTTTCAGAATAATTATATTAAACATTTCATTTAAGCAGTCACGGAAATTTATAAGTAAATATTATATTTATTTAAGGCAAGATGATTATGACAATGTTGTGCCTATGTTATCATAAAAAATGGTCAAAGAGGATATATTAAAATTTTTATAATTGTTGATAACCCTTAATTAAAGCAAGAAGACTTATTAGGCAGCATAACATTTATTCTATTATTCAATTAAATTGATAAATGTCAATGAATTTAAAGATGAAAAAAGAGAGTTAGTAAAAAAACTGCTTTAATAATTAAAATATTTGACATCCAAATGTTTTGATAGATTGGAAAATAATTATTCTTCTTAGTTTCTAATAAAATTCATGATAGATAAGTCCAAAATTGTTGTTTGATTAATGATGTTTATTATAAAGTATTATTTTCAAATTTTCTTTATTTCTTTGATGATTTGCTGTAGACAAAGTATTGTTTCATTTTAATTAAAAGTAGTTTTAAAGTTATTCTTACCCTCTCCTTTTAAAATCATTTGTTACAACACTTGAAGATAGTTCAATAAAGTATCCTTTAAATTACTTTAATACTTAATTGAACTAACATAAGAATCTAAATCTATTGCAGGATATCTCATTTTGATTTGGTTGATTTATTTTTTCTATAATTTCAATAACATTTAAAGTTAATTGATAGATTTCTGTAGGCCATCATTACGTTTGCTATACATAACATATTCATTTTAAACCTCTAAAATTTCTTTTAATAAGCTTTTATAATAATGAATGCTTACTTCTCGGATTCCTATTGCAATTCCTCTTACCTACTATTGAATTATTGAGTCTGTTCTTATAACTATTTTGTCTTTTCTTATAGGCATTTCCAACTTTCTTTTGGAGACAAGCTTCGATACGTCACATTAGATTAAGTCTCCTTCATTAACTTAATTGTTTGATTGAGTCTCTTTTTAATTTCCTAGGTTTTTCTAACTATTGAATATTGCTTTTGATTCTGAATTTGACTTAAATTCAAATTAGGGACTGGAGTGTATATTCTATTTTAAAACCCTTGATTTTCTGTAATTAAAATTCCACCACTTTACCCATACCAGTATAATTCTTCAGTATTTCTAATCTCAATTCGTTTATCTTAGGAAAAAACATAAAATGTGCCTATTTGAATATTGAAGACCTGACTAACTTCTTGAATGAATTAATCTAAAGGCATAAGTTACCACTAATATGTTTCATTAGTTTTTTCATAAACAAGTTTAATTTCTTTTTATTTCATAATATGAATGAATTGATTAGCATTAAAAGTTTAGACAAAATACTCTATCAAAGACAACCTTAAAAACAGAATTCATGTACCCCAACAACTCTTTTTACGCCAAACACCTCTCCGAATTCTAGATTAAGAATACTAAGTCCAACAAATAAACTCGATTCAAGGAATAAATTCAACCAACCTTAAACTCCTTCTCAATAATTTAAAACTATGATTAAAAGAGATGCTTTGAAAAAGAAAATGAACCTATTAACAGCAAAGTTATAAACAAATAAGACTGAAATCATCAAGGAGGAGAATGCTTTTAGCGACAGATTACTGATAACTAGTTTCGAGAATTTCGTTAATGAAACTGATTAAAAATTATAGAATTTATGTACTTGGATTAGTAAATCGCCTTAAAATATTTCTAATTCACAACCTAAAATACCCATAAATGAGGAGCAAATAGAAAATTTTGAGAAGAAAATCATAAAGTATTATATAATATTAATATAGAACTAAGTAAATTTTATAAGAAAAGAGAGACTAATTGAAATATGCCAAATAACAATATTAGTCTAATAAATAATTATTGCAATAACTGAAATTCGAATTAGATCAACTCAATGAAGATTAAAAAATACTTGAAATCAGTACTACTAATAGATCTTTGAAGGATGAAATAGTTTAACATAGATAAAATCTAATCAAACACAAGCAGATGTTATTGAAAGTGGATTAGTTCATTTCTAAGAATTTAAAAGAACAATTGTTAACAGAAGATTGCGAATTTGGAAAATACATCAACAAATTCAATAATATCTTTATGTAAATGCTCATAACACTTGATAAATAAATCTGAATATATAATTTAAAGTTTACTATATTTATAAATAATGAGTTTAAATTTTGATATAAATTTTAAGGCATAGCAGCAGCATTCAAAGGCTGAAAGAGGCACAATAACTTTCGAGAATAATAAGGAGAGGCAATTTATAATTTAAACATGGAAAGGAAAGGTTGTTAAAAAATCAAAGTTAAGTTGTCCAAAGGATAGTTTATAAACTCCAAGTATAAATGCGACAAAATAAATCCTTTTTGGTCATCAGAAATCTATCAACCTCACTTCTTAACGTTCTACTCAAGTATCAACTGAGAAAGGTTTATTTAATGACAAATTCATCAATTAAAATCAAGAAAGAGCTAAAATTTTGCAAAAATTATAGGACATACGTCTGTAAAATGTATTAACGATGTAAAAAAATAAATCATCAAATGATCTATACGTGGAGTACTTATAGGAATAAAATAAAAGTGTTGATACTTAAAAAGTAAATATAAGTGAGAAATTAAGATAGTATTCATATAATTTATAAGCAAAGCTGCCAAAATGAAATAGATTAACAAAAATAATGCTTAATTAAAGATGAGATAAACTTATAAGAGAGGCAAAAGGAATTAGAAGTTTTGAAAGAACAGTTAAAAATTGTGAAAGATTCGATATTATAAATAAAAAATTAAAATGTAGACCGAACGAAAGAAATAACTTGTAAAATGTAAATAAACCAGGTCAAAGAAAAATAATTACTTACTTAAATTGTACACTATATTGAGTCTTTGCAAGAATAATATAGCAATCATTTGTATGAATTTAAAGATTACTTACTATAATTAAGAAATGATGTTAATTAAATAAGAATGGATTAAGATAATGATATATATTAATGAAATATTATTACACTAATATCAATTGTTAAAATACATCTCATATAATAACAATTACTCTTTTATTTTGTGATTCCATTTTTTTTATAAATAAGTATCAAAGTAATGGTTAGTTTGTTCATCATAGTCTTTTTCAATTTTTAGAAAAGTTTTTAAATTGGTGTGAAAAATGGATTGGATTTCATTTGAATGGTTATCTGATTTCATAATTCCAAGTTGTTCAATTTGTCTTTTAAATTCCAAAGCACATAAGCATCCAATCAAATAATGTCCCGTTTCATGTTCTAACAATTCATCATCGGAAGTAGATTTAGCCCAAGATTTTTCTGAGAATTTGCAAAAGACTTATAATTTAACCTTCTAACGAGCTGGTGATTACCTTTTTAGACTTGAACTAGAGTTGCTTCGAGCAACTTTTTATAAAGGAGAAGAATTCTTGGGTGTCGACAAGCGAGTAATTCTTTAAACACTTGAAACTCTTGTGGAAGGCGTTGGAGGTTTATTGAATAGTCGATTATTAATTCTTGGCAATTGATCGTTCTATTGGAGAGGTAATTTGGGTGGTAATTTAGGGGATGACTGTCTTATACCTTATTATTCTGAGGGCTCAGTTATTTTTCTAAGAGGAATTAAAGGCGATTTCTTAATATCTTGAGGAATATCTTTAGCTTCGGCTTCATTCTGCTTTTTTATTGGCAATATTGGGGATTGTTATTGTTTAATTAAGGGTTCTTCTTTTTCTTCAACCATTTAGTAATCGTACAGAATATTCCAATAACAATGAGCAATCCATGGCATTTCCTCATTTGGTTTGCCCACGAAATCCACCCATTCTAATCGTTTGATTTCAAAATTTTAAATTTTGAGTGGTAATATATCTCTTACATATTTATCATTTTATGGATCTAGTAAATATTCCATTTCGTATTAAGGATTTTTAATATTTTTCAAAGAAATAAATCCTCCAAATGAGATATCTGTCATGATGTACGCAATTATTTAATTAAAATATAGTATTATGTTTAAATAAAAAGTAAAGGAGATTATTCATAAAAAATATTTAAATCGATTTTATTATTAATGATTATAATAAATCAAATCTCTGGAAAGGTAATTTTCTTAATTTTATCGTTGCAGTTCTCTTCCCCATTCTTTTAAATCTAAAAGAATCCTTCCATACCCCATTGTTGCCCCCAAGAATTTTTAACAAACCATGTTTATGTATCATAAGCTACAAAGACCACTACATGTTGATAATTGGAGACTTTAGGATAATTACAAGTGTTAATAATTCCAGATTTATATCTTAACCAACTTTCATCTGCATACATTAATGCTGCTACAGGTCCATCTTACATAGCAGTTTCAATATCATCATTTGTAAATTTGGACAATCCTTCAATTGATTTAAATTGCTTATATCCAATACTTCCCTTTGGTTTTGTACATTCATCTTCTTTTTAATCATATTCTCTATAATCTTTCTCATAAACTGTTCCATAATTGTTGATAAATTCAAATGCATCTCCAACTGATCCTCCATCGCATCCTGCAGTATTTCCATCAGCACAATCGATCAGATGAGTCTTTGATAGTTAATCGAGCTTATTTTTATTTGCTATCGATAGCCTACTGATAGTGACATCAGATACAGCAAATGCCCAACAACTACCACATCTTCCTTATTGTTGAACTTCAGTGATCTTAATATAATTGAAAGTGTAATTACTTATTTTAACCAATCTAAACTAGGAGGGTTCTTAACCACTTCGTTAACTTTTGATGCTGTATCACTTGTTGCTTTGACAACTTTTTTAACAACAACAACAGTTTTATCAGCTTGTAAAAAAGAATTGTGAGTCAAAGCGTCAGAGCGGATTGCATCGAGGTCGTCTTCATTAAATAAATCATAATGAGTTTCAAAATCTCTCTTCATAAATATCTTTTCCACTAACTCTTCATTGGTCTCATCTGCAAAATTGTTTAATCCCCAAACATCCTTTGGCAATTACTCATTGTGGTGCTAAAAGAATAATCTGAGTTATCAAATACCTTCATGGCTCTATAGTTCTTTACGAAAACTTCCATTCTATAGATCATTTCAAATTCGTTATTATATGTTCTCTAATTTTCTTTCACCCAATTTTAAAAGGTCTTCTATTCATCTTCCCTCCACCCATAAACAGACCCGTTCTCATGTAAGGCTGATTCCAAGTTCATAGTTGAAAAATCAGAACAAAACACAATAGCACTGACACATAAAATAACGATTATTTTCATTTTATTTAATACAAATATTTTGCCGTTGACACCAATATCAGAATCCAGTTCGAATTAAGTAAAAAAACGATATTTATATTCAATTATCAAATAATTTACAACTAAAGCCACAATTAATAGAATTTGACATTAGATATTTATCATCTGAATGTTGTTGATAAATTTCAATAAATATAAAAAAAATAAAGTAGAAAATAAAAATTTTAATATTTTTAATATAATTATGGATATTCATAATAGGAATAAATTATTGCTTGATCTTAAAACGAGTTTATTTCTCCCTCCCTTTAATGAAGAATTGTATTCAACCTGCACCACAGATCATCAGAAATCGATAAAAGAAATCTAAGAAATTTATAAGTAATTACATTCTATCAAGACTTAGACTTCGTAATGATCCCGAATTAGCCGATAAAATTAAACCCATCATCCAATTAAAAATAAAGGATGTGGAAAGAACTAAAAGGGTTCAATTGGCATATTTAATGCATAGAGTATTTTGATAATTAAAAATAGATTAACAAAATATAGTCGTAATACTTTGTGGATTCTGGTCAATTGAGTAGTGATCACATCGATCAGCTATCCAAAAATGAAAAGGATTACTATAAATTTTTTGACCAATTAGTCAAAAAGTATGAAAATGACATTGAGACCAAAGTTAGTTAAGTAAATATGAATTGTTTACAAATATTAGAATATATTGCCGCCATCAGAAGTATTTATTGAAGTGAGAGTGATAAAATAAATTGGAAATATCATTACACAAGATGGCGATGAACTTGATTTAGAAGAAGGAACACAATAATTAGTGAAGAAATCAGATGTTATCAAATTTCTTTAAGAAGGCTCTCTTGTTTAAATATGAATATTAAGTTATATTAATATTTTTATTATGAAAGTTATTATTTCTCTTAATTCTGAACAACATGAAATATAATTGTCAGATCCAACCATTGATGCTTTAATTCATGTTATTTAAGCCCAATTTAATGTAACTCATTCAGATTATGAATTAGATATCTTTTTAATTTGAATTGCTTACAACTGACAATCACACATTGAATGAAATATAAGAAGGAATGTAAATCATAGTCTAAAAAGTCGAAAAAGACAAAGTGAATATAACAAAGTTTAAATCTTTCTTTGCAATAGCAGGATCAATTATTAAATCTAAAACAATAAGTCATAAATTCTCTCTATCAAAAATAAATCAAGTATCTAAATAGAAATCTTCTGTTTAAATTTCAGACTCAAAAATTAAAATACCAGATCAATAACCTTAATAGATAGATATAAATAATTAATCGGTTGATGAGTAAAATATTTAAAAGTGTGAATTATCAGGGATTTTATAACAAGATTCAGCTATGATTTTGGATGAAAAATAATCTGATAGATAATTATTAAATGAATTACAAGAGGAATCAGAGAAAATGCATAAACCTCACAATTCTCAAGAATAAAAGAAAAGACCGAAAAATACTTCCATAAAACAATAGTCTTAAACAACCAAAGACTAAGCTTTTGCTTATGCAGAAGAAATAGCTAGTATTCCCAGACTTAATAAGCGATAACAAATATTATAGAGAATGGAGGAGGACAAAGCAGAAAAAGAAAGAATTGCGAGGTAATAATAAGAAGCCAATAGAATAATTAAGTAGATTTAAGAAAAAATCAAGCAGAAAGAATTATAGCTTAAATAAAAAGAAGAGGCTTTATAGATGCCTGAATTAGAGAAACGAAAAGTATTTATTTATGCAAATTAAGGCTGTTCTAGCTTAAAAAAGAGAGTTGAGTTAACCTATCAAATTAAGTGACCTGACAGAGCATCAAAAAAAGTACGAAGAAGACAGAAAAATTAAAGAATATGAAAGAGAACATCATAAGTAGGAACTGGAGTTTGAAAGCAAACAAAAGTCACTAAAATTTCCGAAGAGTCAAGCTTAGATAAGAGTTGAAGAAGAACAAAAATAACAAAAATTGATAAGGGAACAAGAAATGGAATAAAAAAAATTGGCCAGATTGAAATAATTAAAATATGCAGATGTTGCTTAAGAGATATATTTCAAAGAACATCCTTTTAAACCTAAATAATCACCACCTCCTAAAGAAGAATAATCTAAACAAATTAAAGAAATTCAAATTACAGAATAAAACATAAGAAAAATTAAAAAGTTTATTCCTAAATAAAGGCATATAAGCTAAGATTCAAAAGATTCTATTACAGATTTAAGTAATCATTAAGAGAATCGACCCCCTAAACCTATGGCCAAAAAACTATAAAAGGTTGTAGAAAAGATTGAAAAGCCTTCAGAACTTCCACCTAAACCTAAAACGACTGATTATCTATAATAGTTGAGATAATAAAGAAAAGTTCAAGTAAGCATGGAAGATCAATGGGAAAAGTATATCTATTATATTATATTCATAGGATAATTGATAATAAAGGCTTAGAAAATGAATAGAAAGTCTAAAATGTTTTGAATAATGTATAAAAACTAGAGTAAAAGGCAAAAGAAAGAGAAAAATTAGCCCTAATAAACCGAGATATTTAAGCAGAAGAAGAAGCTAATAATTTATATATTGCCAGCATTAGAGCTAAACTAGCAATACTGGAGAAAAATTGATGTTTTTTTCACTATATTATAAATTTTGTTGTAACTAAATAATAACCTAAATTTATTCTAAAAACATAAACCTTTATTGAAGGTATAAATAGGAAATAGCCAATATGATATTTAATAGTCTAGAATATAGTAAAAAGGAGGAATAAAATATTTTAAAGAAAAGCATGAAAATTTAATGAAATCTCAACCAACAGATATTGTGACTGAATTTAGATGTTCTAATCTACAGAATAGAATCAACCAATAATTTGTGAGACTTTCAAAAATATCAAAAAAATAAGGCCTCAAGTTCTTTATAATTAAGTAGTTTTAAAATGGTAAAAAGAATGAACAGTAATAGTTATTTTTTTCGATAATTAATAATACAATTAGAAAAAATGGATTACAATGATGAAAGCGTTGGGCTATGCTATTGTTGCGTGTTCTTTCGTTATAAATAGTATACTTATTTGATGATGATAACCAATGCCATTTAGGGGATAATTTTAATGGGAATAGGAATTTTAGGTCTATTAGAAGAAGTGTAGTTGCTTGTATTTTCAACACCAATAACATTGAGTTTTTTATGTTTAGGTAATGAAATTTTAATATAAAGATAGGTAGTTTGGTTGTTTTTGGACTCATATTATAATTAATATTCTTGATGAGAAATTCAGTCCTATATGTAGGGAGAATGATGGTAGTGGTAAACTTTTTAACTTCTCTCTTTGATTTAAGTTCAGGAATAATATTACTTTTGTCTTGTTTCATGGAATTAAATTTCATAGAATTCAATGATATACAGTAATCTTTCAGCGCGTCCTAAAGAACCATTTTATTAATAATCTCAATACTAATAATTGTTGTATCTTTATATGGATTTTGGATGACTTTTCTTCAATACCAGACTATTATACCATTATAAGAGTAATTGTAGAAAGAGTTCAAAGTTGTACCAGTAATTTCATTAAGACAAGCAGTAGCTAGAAAGTTATCAAAGAATTTCATTGGAGAACTCACTCCCAATGACAATGGGAAGGTGAATAGACAAGCGAGAGGAGATTCAACATCTGAGCAGTCTCAACCTTTATAGAGAATGCAAGTATGAGATTATAATCAATTAATAGTCAAAGCAATTTAAGTAGATTGAATAAAATGAACCTTATGCAAATCAAAGAAGTGAAAAACTAATAAAAGTTAGTGATAATTTGGCTCCATACAACGAATTTTATACTATCTCCACTAATACTATGAGACATCCTCAATAAACAGATGAATTATAGACATTAAGAAGATAAAAGACTCCAAGAGCTACTTATATTAAATAATAATAAGAAAGTTGATTTATTATCTCATTTTTTAAATTATTAAATATTGTCATAGTTCAATGAAGATGTCTCTGATTTTAGCGGTAGCGATCATTTAGTTAACTTATGGGGATCAGTGTTCTGAAGTAACTGATATAGGTTTATGTTTGAAAACATCGAATTTTTGTATTAAATCACTAATAATATTAGGTTATATTTTGGAAGCAGATGTACCATATTTATCAGCTGATAATCCAAACAGTGGTGTAGTGTTGGATCAGGTGAATGATAGATGCATGGTAATGAATTTATAAGATTTAAGAGTCTTAACTATTTTACAAGATGTGATTAACTAATAACCAAAGAGTCATGTAAATTAGGAAGCTGCTTGTGGGATCCCATTAATGTTGAATGCTATGTATTTGATTGAATTATCCAAAGGAATGGGATTTGGCTCCTTGTGAAAGTTATTCCAAATAAATTTGTTAATGGAATTCGTAATGCGAATTGGTCAATTTAACTTAAACTTTAGACTTGCTCACTGATTATACAATGATGAACAGCGCAGATAATTCATAGAGAGACGGAAGAGCTCTAGGTACTTGGCTTTATGAGTTCGGATAAATAATTTAAGTCCTAGAAAAATAAAAAGATTAAGAAACGTATCTCTTCACAAAATGTTAATTAAAAAACCTTTGTGAATTAATTCAGATTACTGACGCTAGTTAAGGAATTACTATATGTCATGAATCTGAGTTAGGATGTTATTTTGATTCCCAATATAAGATGTGCAGAACTATAAGTCATACTACAAGTTGTGCAGATATTAAATGGAAATCTAGATGTGAGAGTGGAGCATCTCCTTGTGTATGGTTAGGAGTGAAATGTGTATAATATAATGATCCTGATGTTCCATGTAGTTTTCTAAGCACGACTGCTTGTTTGAATAATGAGAAATGCTATTTAGAAGGTGCTAATTGTAAATCCTATTTACGATGCAGTGATTATAAGTTAAAAACAACGTGTGATGGTGATCATGGATTCAAATGTTATTTTGATGATTACGAGAATTAATGCAAATTATTAACTACTGATATTCCATGCAAAAAGAGAGGACAAAATAATTGCAATTGGTTAGGCATGTGTGAAAGTATTGATAACAAATGTCAAGTGAAATTACCTGATTTTTATTGTCAATCTTATTCATAAACGGATTGCGAATCTGATACTGCTTCTCCAGCTGAATGCAAATGGGACGGAAACCTTTAACTATGCAAAGCTGCTCTTGCTTACGATTGTTAAAGCCAAACATCTCAAGATTGTGATAAAACAGGAAATTGCTTTTTTGATGTAGTTCTTAACCAATGCACAGTGATATAGAGAAATACAAAATGTGAATTGTTAGGTTAGATCTCATGTCAAAAGAAGATCAATTAAACCAATAATCTTTGTTAATGGTCGACTACCAGAAATCTTTGCATTTCGATTTTTGACTTAGCTTGTGAAGATATATAGGCCGAATTTTGTTAAAATAGGGAAAAATGTTTCAAGACTGGGAATGTTTGTTAAACTAGGAAATAGTGTTAAGATAACATCTAGATTGTGGATTGTTGGGATGATGCATCATAATTCTGTTATTTTAATTTCGATTTATAAATTTGCACTAGAGTTACTACTTATTCTCCATGTGAATAAATATTTAGGGAGGCTTCTTGTAATCAAGCTATCTGTGCTTGGTAAAATGGAAAATGCTTAAAATTAGAAAATGTTAGCTGCAGTGAACTGACAGTTTAAAATTGTAAATACTCAAGTTAATGCTAATATTACAATTCTGAATGCATTCCTCTTGATCAATGTGGTTTAAACGATGGAAATCAAGATGCCTGTGAATTAGATTCCCATCATTGCCTCTACAATTCGGAAACCATGAAATGTTCTTAAATAGACGGATCTTCTGATTGCTCATCTATTATTGGAGCAGATAACTGCAATTATGGAGCATGTAATATTAATATATATATATTTAGGTGTACTCTAACCTGGACAAAATAGAAAACTATAATGTGTTGAATATCAAAATGCTGATTGTTCATACTTGAAATAAGAATACTGTAACTTTGGACAATGTACATGGAATGTTTCATAGTGTGTCTCTTATCCGTACAAAATACAAAAAACTACTATAATTGACAATGCAAATGCCACAAATACCTCTTCACCAACAAATGGCACTGTCTAAAATGAAAATAACACAACTACATCCAGCTCTGGTTATGGAATCTTAGTCATTTCTATTCTAGCATTTTTTATAGAATGAAATCTGATAACATATTACAACAATCAAAACCAAAAATAAATATACAAAACCTATTTCATTTCATTTATTATAATAATTCTCTTTCTAATTTGTCAAAACCAAAACTTAATTATTAATTCTCTTTTAATAATAATTCTTAAACTTGCATTGACACTTTATTTATAAAATCTTTTTGTTTCTCTCTAAATAGACTAGCACTTTTATTATTCTAAATCTTTAGGTCATCATTTTCTAAGCTACTTTTTTGCTTCCTTTCCTAATTTTGTTTTTTGTATCCATATTTCAACCTAAAATTCAATCTCAAGTATGGAATTGCTAACCGTTCCTCCTCCAAAGGTTCTATTTAAATTTTGTACTATTTCTTCTATCCTTAATGAAGGTAAGGTTAAGAGCTATTCTTTGTTACCCTGTGTCCGTTCTGAATATCTGGTAAATTTCTTGAATTGTTTTAGGAACGATGTAGTTTCTATAGTACTAATCCATCGCCTGCTTTTAAACTACTTCGATTCGAAATATTATTCTTTGGACTTAAAATGCTCGGAACAAAATAATTTTAATGATTTAATTTTTCCAAAGGGGTCTTTTTTAAAGATCTCACAGAATAAAGTTAGTTTAAGTTTAATTCTTTATAGTAATTATCGAGCAAAGCCTATTTCATAATAAATAATATTGTTTTTTATTTCTTAAATAATTCTAAATTAACGAAGTACTAGCATTCTCAAACAAATTGATTCACACGATTACACTTAATTAGAAACTAACATAATTTCATTTTGATTTGTTTTCTTTTTATGATTAACGAAACCTAATATGATATAGTACCTATTACAAACTATTTATAAAATCTTTAAGAAATTAGTAAGAACAAAAAAGAATGTGTAATCTGATAAAATAAATAACTTTAAGATTTGCATTAATATTAATGTGAGTTATAAACTAACTGTGATTTTTAATTGGCATAATGACATATAATGAAAAACGAAATTTAGTTATATTGATAGCGACAAGTTATACTTATTGTAAGTTGAAATATTAAGAAATAAAATGAAATTGAAAGTATGATTGAACTTAGTCTAATGATTATTTAAGTTAGTTTAATATAACTGTCTATATATTTAGATTGTATGACGAATATATGAGAAATATAATCAAATTCTTAATTCACTCTTTTTCATATTCTATATCATCTAAATTTAGATCATGCTTTAATTTATCGAATAATAAGCAAAGTTTCTGATCCCTTGATGAATTAGCATATTCAATTAGAGATTAGATATTTTTAACTAATTTTTGTTGTTTATCTTTAACTTTTTGAATTGTAAAATGATTCGAAATTTTATAAATTTATTGTTAAGTGCCATCACTTATCTCTGTTTTATATCTTCTAGCAGAAGGTAGAATCTTGCTTGTCAAAATTGGAGGATATTTTTATGGTGTTTTTAGGATTAAATGGGGTATTTATATCGGAGTTTGATTTTCAATGGCATCAAGATGAATTTTAAATCTCTCAGTTTTTGGATCAACATTACTAATAGACATACTCTTTTTATTCAAATCTGGGAACTATTTGATATCTGTTGAATGATCATTTATAGTATGAGTAACTTTTCCTACATGATGATTACTTGATTTATCACTAAAGCTAAGTTTGTTTGAGATTTTTTTGGAATCGTATTTTTGTAGTTGTTGTTTTGAAGAACTAATTTCTTTGAGTGCACTTTGACATTGTTTCTCCAATAAATTAATGGGTCTAGCTTATATTTTAGGAAATAAAAAATTCATTATATAATATTTAATACTTTTTATCTTCGTTTGATTTTTAATTTAAAAATATTTTAATCATCTATTAAATATATGACTATAAGTTTGACATCATTTTAGAAGAAAATATAAGATATCATTCATTTTGGAAATTATTTAATATAAGAGTGAAAAAAAGGGCAATTAAAATGACATCCAAAACTAGTATATTAGTTATGGTATAGGTATAATAGAACAAAAGCAATTCGCAAGTAACGCAAAGATTATAAATTAAGATTCAGGATTAGATAATATTAAATTATAAAACCAATATAATCTAAACTGATTTGACTGAATGATTTAGAATAGAATTAAAAATTAGCATCCAGCATTTAATAAAGGGGCTAGAAATATAGTAAAGAATAACATATTGAAAAAAAATGAAAATAGAATTGACCTTATACAGTACACTTAGTGAAATTGTTATGATGAGAATGATAGCTAAGTTGTTAACCAATTTTGAGCAATCATTTATGTTACTAAAGAGAGAGTTTAAAGTTGTCTAATTATTTTGAAATTTAAATTTTAATATAATATATTTAACAATTATGTAGAAGAAAAGGTTATCATCTGTTGACCGAAACTTTATGTCTTCACTTCGGAAATACGAAGAATATCCCACATCAAAGTAAATGAATGCTTAAAAAAGAGAAGCATAATTATAGGAGCAATAATTATTGATTTAGGATATTCAAGCAAATATTTCAGACTTGGAACAAGGAAATTTTGTGAAATGTTTTACAAGTATAAATCTGATGTTTAATGATCCAAATTATTGCCTTAGAAAGCATATTACTTTTTAATTGTTTGTACCTGAAGAAAAAGATTTCATTGGATTTACAATATTGAACTAAAAGGAAATTTGGATTTTATTGTTGCTATATTTTGATATAGTGAATTAGGATAAGAATTAATATGCCAGATATCTTTGGTAAAGCGTAATTAAGAAAATGACTGAATTTTTAAATTATGAACTAAGAGAAGAGGTTATAAATAAAGTCAAACTGTATAAATAATAGTCTAAAATAGCAATTAATTTAAATAAATAAGTTAATTAGCTAACAAATCATCGTTACTCTTTCCAGGAGCACGATGATTAGAACAAAGAAGAGAAGGAGATTAGCGATAATCTTAAGGAAATTGTATTTGATAAATCTAATATGGCAACATTGTCTGATAATTCAATAATTGAAAGAAGTTAAGTTTTAGAACAGAACATAATAATAATGTATGATCAAGTTGATTCTGCAACAAATGAGGATGCATCTAATTATGGCCCAAATAATAGTTCACTTGATTTGAATAACGATTTTGTAGAAATCACTTACCATAATTAGAATCCACATGATTTTCAAATACCCGATATTTCATTCCAATAACAATCATAGACAGAAGATTTAATAAAGAATACTATGTTAACTGATTAAGCTAGCAACTAAGTTGAGGCCTCTTTAATAGCCTAAATGGAACAATTAGGTTTATAAGATAACTAATAATGTGATCAATTGAATAATGCTATCATTGTAGATAATGACAATGATATTCAGGATAGCTGTCAAAATTTAGAAATAGATTCAATCAGTTAAACTTCACTTGAAAATGTCAAAATTCAAGAATCATCAATATATTATTAGAAATTCTAGGAAGAAAATAAATCAACTGAGTATCTTGAAGACAATAAAATTATCAAGAATTCGTAAGTAAATATTACAGATTTTGAAAAAAATGAAGAAGATTCGATATCAAATCCTGATTAATTTTGTAAGAGATCCCATCATACTCCTCAATTCTCTATGAATTAATATATTATTAATTAAGAAGTAAATGAAGAGTAGAAGAATTCAACATAATAGGATGAACATTAAGAAATTTAATTTTTAAATTATGATGAACTATTAGCACATGATTAAGCTAAACAGATTTTGAAAGAAGACTTAGAACAATTGGAGAATGATTCAGGGGAGGAAGATAATTAAATTGAAACTAAACAATAAGGGTCTGATAGAAAAAGGAGTTAATCATATCTTGAAAAAAGGGATATTATTAAAGTTGAATTATAATAATCTCCAGATAAGGTTAATTCTAAGAAAAAGACTATTGAAGATTACTTTAAACCAAAAAGCAAAAATGAGACAAAGGATTGCAATGCATTGGAAGAAGAATATGTTTAACAGGAGGAATTTCAACATTCTTCATATAATGAGAAAAGGAGAAAGAGTAGAATTAGCAAAATTATGTAATAATCAAATGCAAATTTACAACCAGATAATGAATATGATTTGTCTTCACAATAGCCATTAAGACAGGAACAATCTCAAGATCTTGAATCTTAATAATTATCATATCATAAAAAGAGAAAATAATCATAAGTTGATAAACAATATGACCAAAATTTTATGGAGAAACATGGATCAGGATATAGATTCGAAATTCAAAAGGCACCCAAAAGATTAAAAGAAAAATATTAAGTTGAAGAAATACTAGTTCCAAAGAGATCAAGCAAAAGAATTTAATATCCTTAGAGAAGTGACCTAGAAATATCTAAAATGATCATTGCTAATAATGAAATCTTGAATTATTTTACTCCTGCAGATCGTTAGTCCTAACAGATATCAGAAGAAATTAATAATAGAGTTCATCCTTTAACATATTTTCATTCTCTTCATAAGAATGATAAAAATCAGATAATCGTTGTAAGTTATTGAACAATTACCTTTTAGTTATCAAATAATTAAGAGCATTTTATTGATGACATAGTTGAGGTAGAGATTAGTATGCAAAACATAAATGATAATGAGAGTCATCATATAGTTAAGGTAATATGAATTATTAATTAGATTGTAAGTGGATAATTAAATGGTTAAATAGCAATTGCACAAATAAAGAAATAGAGTTCTGAACAAATCATATTTGAGGATTACAATTTCTACAATAATTATCTCCACTTTCATCATTAACAACCATAAACTATCTACTTACCATTAGGCAGCTATTTAATTAATTAAAATTGACTATATTATATTTAGTATTAAAATATTGGCCAGAAATATTTTCTATAATAATAATGAGACTAGCTAAATCAAAATCTTTTCCAGATTTTAAATGAACATATATGTATTGAATGTAGACATCAAATACAATTTGAAATTCAATCCAAATGCGTTAGAGCAATTTCCGATAAACAAAAATTATCAGAATTAAAACATATTTAAATATTTCTATATTATAATGGTTAGATTCATTAAATTAGATTAAAAATGGAATCTTATTTTAAATAGATGATTATGACTTTGCTGGCTATGTCAATTTTCAATAGAGTCAATTCAGAAGTGACATATGAGAAAGTAACCTATTATCTAGACACAACTACATCTGCTTAAAACTTGACTTGCCAAGGTCAAACAAGAGTTTATCAATCAGCAATTACTGGAACATAGAGTGTTATGCAATTCAAAATAAATACTGGTTATGGTTATCTCAGGTTATTTTATACTTTTGAATTACATGCACCTCCTACTTTTACAAATGATGTTATCCTTTATGAAAGTGGCTAAATTGTTTATACAGTAAAAAGAAGTTTACCTGCATCAACTTTGACTAATTTCTGTTCTTCCACAAGTTTAGTTCAATTTATTACATTTACTTCAAGCACTTTGATGAATCAACAGTAAGCTACACTTTATGTTTAAACTAATAGTGCAATCACATTGTAGATTAAGAACTTAAATATTTATGCTGAGAGGTGTTAGTTGCATTGTAAAATATGTGAGGAATTTACAAATTGCTTAGAATGTATGCCTAATTTTACATTGGGTTAATGGGGACGATGCGAATGCGAATCGTCTTATCTTACTTATTACTAAGGATAATGTATTACTTCATGTCCTGCTAATTATATTTTTGATGGTGATACATGTAGTCAATACAACCAATTAATCAATTTATTATATGATGATACAGCATCAAAATTTACAATGTATCCAGACTACAATACAACTTGGAGAGAATGTAAAACTACTTTAGAAGGTAAATAAGTAGCAGGCCTCTTTATTTAGAATGAAATTGTAGAATATAAAATTAGTAATCCAACAGCTACACCCATCAATATTTAAATTGAAGCAGAATTTTATCTTTTCAATCTCCAATTAGAATAGTCCTTATTTTTGCTTCTTAAGTTTAATGATTATATAGTATCTTAAACCTTAATAATGAATAATAAATCAAACAAACTATCAACTTTAAGAGGAATAAATCAACATTTATGCAATATAGTTGGATTTCATACTTGTCTAAGGTTTACTATAATATAAAAAATCGACAATGTTTTAGATCCTTAAACAATCTAATTTTACATTAATATTCCATTAGAAAGAAAAGAAATCACTTGGGCAATTTCGTTTATTAATGTTAATGCTGTTTACTTAAATCCAATTACTTGTCCTTTAAAAAGATTCTAGAATTAATGCGTTGATGAATGTCCAATAACATCAAGGACTTCAGGAAATGAATGTATTAGCATAATTAACGATTACAAATTTTCAAAAATATTGTGGATTCAAAACACGGACAATTTTGATATAAAATAAAAATTCAAAATTGAGGATCCTTGTTATTTATTAGAAAATTTAAAAACTATGAATTGTAAATTTTATTAAAAACGATATATCTAAGGAGGTGACTTGATTTGGAGAGATTAATAAATTAAATTCAATCTTAAAAACCTTTCTCCTCACTATAAGCTGAAACTATTTTTAAAAGCCATACTTATAGATCCTGTAGATAATCAATAGAGTTTAATAGTGAATATAGATGAAAACAAATATGCATTAAACAAGAATTCGCCAAATTCTTATTGTTTCAGTAGTTTAGTTACAGCAGGTTGTATAATTTAGGAAGATCTTGGTACAACAGCTGCGGATTACTTAATTAACTTTGAACAAGAATTTGATCATTTGAATACTGATTTAGAGATTTTGTTTAATTGTAACATAAAGTCAAATATTAACTCTTATTGTGCTATGTATGACATAATAATTCTTTAAGCTAATTGTCCTTAAAATTGTCATTATTGTACATCGGATTCTGTTTGCATATCATCATAACCATAACTTCAAGTATTTTATGATTGCCCAAGTGAAGGCTATTACTATTCTGAAGGTGCTTGCCAGAGTTGTTAAAGCGTTTGCAAAACATGCACCAATGGTTATTACTGTACGACTTGCAAGGATTAATATGTTCAATATGGAAACTTATGTTTTTGCAAATATAATTTCGTCTTGGCTACATTGACTGATTGTTCAGAGGAAGATTGCCATCCATCATGTTCAAAATGCTAAAGAAGACCTAACTCAAGTTATATTCGTGCAATTTAAAAGGTGTCTTAGCTATGTGCTAGTTGTGATAGAAATGAACATAAAGTGCTCGATTTTGATACCTGTGAATGTTTCTTAGGCTATTATATGGATCGAGCTAGTTATCCAAGCAATTGCAAATAATGTAGTGAAATATGTAAAACTTGTTCTGATGCAACAACTTGTGTGACATGTTTTCCAGAATAAAATAGAATACTACAAGAATATCAATGTTAATGCATATAAGGTTATTTTGAAAATGGATTTGACTCTGTTTGTATCTAATGTAAACAGACTTGTAAACACTGTTTATACAAGGAGGAATATTGCACTTAATGTTATCCAGAATAATATCGGTAGTTATCAACAGAAAACACATGTAAATGCCAAGATGGATATTATGAAGACGCTACTAGAGAAAACTGTTTAAGTAATTTATTAATTTTATTTATTTAGAATGTAGCGATTATTGCAACACTTGTTCAAATTTTTAAACCTGCACTTCATGCAATGATTTCCAATTCAGGATATTGGATTTACATACTAATTAGTGTATCTGCTAATCAGGATATTACCATATCTAATAACTAGATTGTTTACCATGTTATTATGCCTGCAGCAAGTGTAATAATTCAGATCTAATATCCTAATGTACTGCATGTCCTAATTCAAGGTAGAAATCAGCTCATAATATTGAAACTTTTGAATGTAAATGTAAGAAAGGATATTTTGATGATGGATATTTGGAATGTCTACCTTGCAATAATTTGAACAATCCACCAATTACACATTATTGTTACTCTCATTGTGGAGATCAGATCATCTAATGGAATGAAGAATGTGATGATGGCAACTTAGATCCTAGAGATGGATGCAATCAGTGTTTTCTTTAAAATTCTAATTGCATCGATAATATCTGTTTATAATGTTAAAACAACAAATGTCTTTAATGTATAGATGGATATTATCTAAATAATGATTATGCATGTATTCAATGTTCTGATGAATGTTCAACGTGTGAATCATCATAGAATAATTGTACATCATGTAAGTTTGATAATCTAAGCACTGATAAATGCTTAAGCTGTTCTTAAGAGTAAGGCTTTGTCCAAATAGAAGGTGAGTGCTTTAGTATATGTGGAGATGGTATTCGAACATTTTAGGAATTATGCGATGATGGGAATTAACTAATAGGAGACGGCTGCGATTAGTTCTGCAATGTAGAAGATGGTTATATTTGCAATCTCCAATGCGAAAAGATTAACTATCTTGAAATTCAATTGAAGGAGTATCATTTAGACACTATTTATGATTCCATAAGAACAATTGAATTAAAACTCAATCAAGAAGTTAAGATTGCTACTAATAATTCAATAATAGATTTTATCAAAATTACTTCATCTACTCCTAATCTTATATTAACTGTAATTAACATTAAGGACTATTCATCTCTTAAAAATGATTACTTTAATATCGGTTTAGATTTGACTATAGAATTAAATTCATCAGCATTGTCACCAACCATAATAGTTGCTATTTAAAATTATACCCTTTTTACTAATAATCAGGGTTATACCTTTAAAACCAACAGTGCCACAATATAATTAATTGATTTCATCAAGCAGGATCAATTTGTCCTTCAAAATAGTCAAAACTTAATTACAATGAGTTCGTATTTCCTTTACATATTATTAGGACTAGCACTTTTAGCTATGATTTTTGGAGGTTTGGACATATTTTGGAATCTTTTGGATACTTTGTAACTAATTTGTTATCTAAAATATTTTAATGTAACCTATCCTTACAATCTTCAATACTATTTTACTATTTTTGGGTTTGCTGAATTTGATTTTATTAAGTCTTAATTTGATTTTGAATACTTGATTACTCAATATGTAGAAACTCCAGAAGCCGATCCAAAATTTAATTCGGAAGGATATTCTACTGTTTTTCTTATAAATATAATTTCTGTCCTTGTTGTGTTTCTAACGACTAGTGCTACTTTCATGATCATTAAAGTCATATTGTATTTCATACATAAAATTACAAAGGACTTTTCTGAAGATATGATATTGAAGGAAAGAGAAAAAATAAATATATTGACTTTTCTATTTTACAAAATAGCTAATAGTTGCTAAAAATATTTCCTAAAAATTGTGTTGGAGTTTAAAAGTGCAATCATTAGAACCTTTATGGCTTCTGCCTATGATTTAAATATAGCAATATTTTTGTAGTTTAAAGATGTACATTTTCATCACCCCATATTGAGATTTAGTAGTATTTGTGCAATTTTAGTGTTTTTTTTGGAAGTGTATTTTATCTATAATGGTTTCATATTGATGAGTAAGGATAAAGCAATATACAAGTTACAGAATACCAAATCAAATTATGGATCACTTTTTGAAGGTTTAAGTTTAGAAAGAAATCGTTTCAATTATTATTTTAATTTGTTCATTGTAATTAAAAAGGCTGCATTCATAGCCTTGCTAGTGTTCCTGTATAATTCTCCCTGTTTATAAATTAGTTTAGTTTCCCTATTAAGTTTAGCTCAAGGTTTATTTTTATTCTTTAATCAATCATTGGAAGATTATCATGAGCTTACTAAATAAATTACTTGTGAAATAATTTTATGGGTAGCAGAAATTTTAATTTTGACCTTAGGGTTTAATGAGTAAAGTAATATTTTGAATCATATTTAAATTCTAAATATTGGATGGATTGTAATGGGATTTTTGTCCTTAATTATATTTGTTTAATTAATAATTGATTGCAAGCAACATTTTTAGTACCTTAATGAAAAATATCTATTGTTCAAAAAATTAAGACTTTGGTTTCAACATTATTTTGAGTAGGAAGAAGCTTAATCATCTTTAAATACAGATTCTAGCTAGTTTTCGATAATATTTCATAAAAAGCAAAAACAATTACCAAACATTCCATCAGCTTAAGGCTCAGAGAAGTAAATAAATCAACGTCGTATTGTCTCTTTTAAAATGAGTTGAATTATGGATCATTTAAACTATTTAATTAGTTATATTGCATTAATCTAATAATTATTAATTTCTGAATTTGATTTTATGTATCTAAGATCATAAAATATATCTTTGGTTTTATAAATTCACAATATGCTTAAAATTTAATAAATTATATTTTATAGATGTAGTTTAATTATCATAAAGGAAGAGTGTAATATTATGATTTGAGATTAAGAATAAAATAATTTAAAACTAGCAGATGACAAAAATTATAAAATCAATATCATGATGTTAATTTAATAAATGTAGGTAAACGTCTCCATTTGGTTTCCGTACAAGTTAAATTCTCATCTAAAATAAATTTAAAGTGGGGAAAATAAGAAGTCTCAGGAATTCTATTATAATAAAGATAGTCATACAATTCAATCGCATTGAATTCTTCTTCTAAATTTTTGTTAATGAACAAATTTGATGGATTAAGTAAATCAACAACTTCAGTATAACTAATATTTTGAGGACGATTAGTCTTTTTGGAAGTAGCATTGCTCTTCTTTTTTTTTCTAGTCTGCCCTTCTAAAGAATCATTGGTTGACAAAGATCTCAAAGAGTCATTCATGAAATTAGCAGTTAGATATATAATAAAAATATTAATCAAATTAAAAGTCTCAACGATAATTTCTTTACTTTCATAGCAATTTATTAATGACACAAAATAATATATAATTTCAATCTCATACAAAAGAAATTCATTTAATGGCATAATTAGAGGTTTGTATTCAGCTGAAGGAGTTCTACAAATAAATTTCAAAGAGAGACACTTCCAATCGATTTTTCAACTTTGACACTTTATAGAAAATAATATTAAAATGGTATATCTGCATAATAGGCTATTAATATCTATGTAATTTCAATAAAGAATTACCATTTTCTTTGAACTCAAGTTCTTAAAATAACTTTAAGAAAATGAATATTATGATAATATTTGGAACTATATCTGAAAATATCTTATATTACGCTAAATTATTCAGAAATTATGCTAATGTATCATTTTTAATCTTTTTAATAAATCAGCAAATACAATTCCTTCAAATAATAAATAATCATCTTTTATTCCATTCATAACACTATGAAATACATATATTATCGCATAGTCACTTAAATTTGAAACCAGAATTTTTAAATTAATCTAATGAAATCCACAAGTATGATGATATTGAAAATTCTTTATATATGTAATTAAGGAAATTGAAAATTATAATTAAATTTTAACAAATAAATACTTAAAATTAAAATTTATTTAAATTAAAATGTATATTGATGAATTGCCGGTTGGATAATAAAAGCAAAATTTTATGGTGGAAGAGTTCCCTCCAGGTAAGTTACATCAAATAAATTAGATTTCGATCCTTAGTAATTTGATAAAGTGGATTTGCCTTTGAAATAAAGAATAAAATCAAAAGTTTGGAAAGTAAGACTTCAAGCATACGAGGAATTGGCAAATGAGTAAGAAATTGAGTATGAGTGCATTTTATAAATAACACAGGATATACATGTTTAATGCTAAGAGAAGGCTCTCCAAATAGCTCTCAAATATTTTGAATAGCATCACTAACTAGAATCTTCATAATAGAAAGAAATAATTAAAGTGTTGATAGAAAAAGTGTTAATATAATAGAAATTAAAACAAAATGGTTATTAATTGGCCATCATACTCTTTCCATATTGTAAATAAGCTATTTTTGAAATTATAATTGCAGAGTTAACTCATAAAAATCCTAAAATCGTGTAAGCAACGATCAGCCTGTTATTGGAGTTGCTTCAATAATATGGTGTCAAGAAATTAGACAATTTAAAACCTTTTTTCCCCATCCTATCAAAATTAACTGAGGCATAGCAAACTACAATAAAGGCTGATGCAATATCCTTTTATAAAGAGGTGACAAGATGGTTTGGAAAGAACATTGAAGCATTTTTTAGTGGATTGAATGAGAAACTCCAATAAGAACTAAAGAAAATTGCAGAAACTATAACAGAAGTTCAAAAAGCACCTAGTCAGGATGGGGATTTTGAAACAGGAAATCAATAACTGTATGATTTGGCAGAAGCAGTTGAAGTATTCCCTAAATTTACAGATTCTTGGTGTGAAAAAGTCTTTTAACTTGAGAAATGGCAAGAGAAAAAGGAATAATTGGAAAATTTATAAAAAGCATGCTCAGTAACTAAAATGATACCATCTCCAAATGTGTATTCAATTGTATAACTTTTAAAGAAATTAATTAATGAATAAAACATAGCCATATGTTTAATGAGCATAAAGATAGCTGGACTTTTGGCAAATGGATTAAGAAAGAATTTTGGATAATATGTTAAAATACTAATACAGCCACTGTTTGCACGACTTAAGGATAAAAAGTAAAGTATAGTTGATGATACAATAACATCGTTAAAGAAGTTTTTCTATTGTTGTACACTTGATGATCTATTCGAAGAAATTAAGGCCTTAATAGAAGATAAAGCATCTAGCCCAAAACTTAATGCCTTTTTACTTGTAGAGTATTGTTTAGATGAAATTGCAAAGGATAAACTAGTTAAACTCCAATGCATTAAATAATTGGTTCCAATTTGTAAGAAGTTAAGCGACGATGGAAATGCAGAAGTCAGAAGCAAAGCCATTATGCTATTGGCGAAAGTATCTGTTTAACTCTACAATGGTTCAATGGCTGTAGATTTAAAGGGAGACAAATTTACAAAGTATCAAGCCCAAGTTAACAACTATCTTGAAGGAATTAAAGCTTTATAAGGCAATAATACAGAAAACTAATGTTCACAGAAATCAAATTAATAATAAAATAAAGAAAACATCTAATAAAATTAAACAGTCATCACTCCAAAACCAGAAGTTACTCACTAAACTAAACCATAACCCATTGTACAACCTTAAGGTATTTAGGAAAGCCAAGATTTAAAATATCAATCAACAATGACTACTAACTAAGTTGAAGTATTTCTAAAATAGTATAAAACAAAAAATAAGGATCTGAATGAACTTGGAAATATTTTACTAACTATTACTTAATAATCTAAGTAAATTTTAACAGTCATTACGGATTATATAGTTGAGAAATTAGGAGATTAAAAATCACTTTGTTATTAACTATTTGAAAAATGCTTCTAATAATATAAGCCTAATCATATGTCTCAACTTATTACAAGCTTTAAGAATGCTCCAAGTCAAGTATAATTAATTGAAGTTTTAACTTTATTACTTAAATACATTCCTTTGAGTGATAAAACAATAGATTAATAGTTGATTTCAGAATTTTTAAAAGGCTATCAAAATCAATCAAACTAAAAGGCAAGACAGCTTGTAATTGATTGTTAAAATGCATTAAAATCATTGTTTGAAATAAAAAAGGTTCCATCAGAAACAAAACCAGCGATTCCATTTTCATTGACATAATTTAGTGATCTATAAATTGAACGATTGAAAGAACAATTAAAAGTGCCTTAAATTCCTTAAAATTTATATGATAAATTGTTTAGTTACAATCCTTAATAAAATTTAGCTGCTGCATCCTATATCAGATAAAAAATTGCATAGCCAGCTGAATTCACAGAAATCTTTTTTAAATGGGGCTATTTAATATCATGGTTTAAGGAGAACATAGCTTTGTAAACAGAAATAATGATGTTATTTTAATATCTGACTTCTTAGCATAAACTCACATAACTGGAGCATTAGATTATAACTTATTACATTAAAATGATGATCTTATTGTATATAAGAAATGGAATGCCAAAATTAGCTCAAAGAACTTTGCCATTACTTATGAATTTAATAGCAGAATCACATAAATAAATTACTTAACTATAACATTTAGGTTAATTTGATGAATTTGATGAATTATCTAATTCGTAAGCTAATTAAATAATTAAATAAATGCAAGACAAAATCTCTGAATGGAATTGCAATTCTCAATTATAGTAAAAATCTATCTTAATTTACTTAATGTCATTTATAAATAAAGATGATATTTTAAAAGAAAAGATTCTAGAGTAGAGAAAGCCATCAATTAGACTAGAAGGCATCTTAACTTCAAATATTGATTGTTAAAACAAATAAGAATAAGTCTAAAGTTCTCAAAAACTTGTGTAAAAGTAGCTTTCTGATAAAATAATGACTTTTCCAAGTTGTTCATAAAAGAAATTGCTATAGTAATCAAATTTTAATTTACAATAAAATTAGAATATAAACAGTGGAAATAAGAACATCAGTTCTTCTTAAATTTTAAATGTGAAAGAAAAGGAGCATGATGTAATTTTGAGAAGCTTTAATTTGATGTATTATAAATTCAGAGAAACTAATTGTATTGAGAATTCTTAAAGCTTTGCGGAACAAATTATATTTCTTTTAGGCACTCTTTTTAATGATGAATGCTATGATAAAATGAATGAGTTCTTGGAGAAGTTGATTCATATCTTATCATCAAATCACTTTTACAAAAGCATTTCGTATCAACAATTTTATGTTATTTTTGATACTTTAATTTTTAAAATGGTCGAACAATCAACTAAAAACAATGTTAAAGATGGAGCATAAAAATGTTGTTACAATTTAATCAATTCAAATTTAATCAAGATATTAAACAATCAAGATTTATCCAATCTATACTTAGCTTTTCTGGATATATTAATAAAAGTAAAAGAATCTGATACTTAAACCAAATAATTTTATGTATTAGTTACCAAATGTTTGAGTAAATCTGCAGATCAATTAAAGGGATAATTTTAATGGTCATAAGTGTAAGCAATTTTGGAAAAAATTAATTAATATTTGAGTAAATCCCAAAAACCTTAAGTAAATCTAGAATTCACCCAATATCACAATTGTCTATTGAATGCTCTCAAAACTACAGTAGTGTTTTTCTTTAATTACAATGATGGTATTAAAGTGTATTAATTTATCATGCAAAACACAAATGAGACCTCCATTTTAAGGTAATGGATATAAGAGGTATAAGAAAAGAATAATACTCATCTAATAGTAGATTTAGCTAAATATCGAAGATCAAGAGACACAAATATTACTTAAATAGTCGAATTACTCAAAATAGATTTTGATAAAACTGTAGAACAATTCGTGCCCATTGTAAGAAGATAAAATATAAATTGGAAACCTCTAGTTTAATTTTTGAATTCTGACCAAATAAAATTTATAGAATAGAGATTAGAATAGACATCACACATGAATATTTTAGAAAAAAAAGTTGGTGAGTTAGAAAAGATGCTTAATTAATGAAGTTATAATTTTAAAGTAATATTTACTTTCTTGATAGAAGTAATTCTATGATCGTTTTTTGTTTAATTATAATTTAAGTATTTATAATAAATAGCTTCATAATTAATATATAAATCCAAGTAATTTTCAATAATATTAAGTATAATTAATATTGACATCTAAATTTAATGATTATTTGATTACAATTCTGTTATTATATACGCCATTTTTAATCTAAAACTTAATTGATGAGATGGAAACTATATATTTATAAAGAATAAAAAATATCTATTTTGGTAAATATTTTGAAAATTAAAGTTTATTTATTAATTAAAATTTTCATAATATCTTAGAATATTATTCCATTTTAGCACTAAAATAATTCAAATTTATCTATGTAAATTATGATAAACTTGGATTTAAGTATTTACATTGATAAATATTTATTTAAAGATTATCGCTTTTTTATTTAGTAATTTCAAATAGGAAATCTATATACATTTAGCGATCCTTAGAAGTGATTTTGAACTCTTATCATTTTCTCTATTTATTAGTAGTCATCAATGATTATCTGATTATCTCCATGTATGGCATAAATAATAATATTTGATAGATAGAAAGAAAGAAACTTAAAATCTATTGAAATGAGAATTAATTTATTATTAATCAATCAACTTTCATCATTATTTAATTACAGCCAACCACAAATAAATGGTTCTGTAGGTTCTGTTATTTATGGAAGTTCATCAAAATATTTTTTTGTGCTTCTCAATTTTTTTTGATAAATTTGATTTGACGAATTATCTAATGTGAAAGGTTTATCCTGTTTTTCGCTGATCAGCCCTGATCTTTGCGATTAGTTTTTTTATCCCATTGCTTTTATTTCTTAATTAGTTACTTTTCTAATTAATAAAGAGAGTCTCAATTCTTACTCTGTGGGATGTGAAATTTTAGGTTTTAACTTATAATTTTGTTTGATACTCTCCAAAACGTGATTATTTAAATTAGAGGGGTAATTAATTTATGTGTCATATCGAAATGAACGTGATTAATGCCTTTTATCTTCATTGATAGGTGGTAATTTTTGGACAATTTTGTTAACATACAATTTGCTAAATTCATTGGTATTGTCATTAAAGTGATTTCTATCTTAGTATTTCTATTATTGAAATTATTATTTGTTTCTTTGATATAGAAATCGACTTGTTAAACTCATAAATTAATATTTGCAATATTTAATTTTTATTCTTTTAAACTTAATTCATAACAATTAAAGAGAAAATAAAAACAACGGTAAAGTAATTACAACATCTCTAGAGCAAGATTTGATAAAAGCAAATTAGGGAGTATAGCTCAGAAGCAGAGCAACAGCCTACAAATCTGTGGGTCTCAGGTGAGAATGCTGACCCTCCCTTTATTTTATTTGAGATAAAATAATTATAATGAATAATTTATCAATTAAAATTATAATTAAAATTAAAAATTTTGCGAATTGTATTAATACGAATTTTTAATAGATAATCACTATTAAAGGTGGTCTTACATTTTTATGCTTTTGACGGTAGTTTTCTCCTCTTCTTGTTGGTTCTCTTTTAATGGATTTTTATGGACTGCTATAACAGCTCTTCCTGATTCATCATTATAGTTCTTGAAAGCCTCATCCCATTCTAAGGCCTAAAGATATATTGTAGATAAATACTTTTTCAGTAGAACAAGCAATTGACTTACTATATGGCACAGTTAAGGCAGCACTATCACATGGAAATGATTAGGAATAGACTTTTCTATACCAATATTATTCCTTATCTCTGGGAGTTGATATGGGATAAGTAACAGAGGCTTATGAGAATTATTAATCTGAGATTAATTGATTAGCCCTTTTTATGATTCCATCTCTCCAACCATAGCCTACTCCATCACTGAATTGTTCCTTTTATCTCCATAATACTTCTTATGGAACATATGGATTGTCTAGATCTTCAAATGCTTTTCTTAATATGTATTTTTCAATTTGTGGTTGGAAGGCATTGATCATTTTATATTTAGGATCAATAGACATAACATATTCAATCCATGACCTATTCAAAAATGGGGGTCGAGTTTCAATACCCCAAGCTAAACAAGCTTTATTAGTTCCTAGTAAATCGTATTTATATAGATCATTTAATTTCCTTATTAATTCTTAATGAAATTCAATTCTATTTGGAGCTTTATGGAAATATAAATAACCTCCAAATAATTCATCACTTCCTTCCCCAGTTAAACATATTTTAATCCCCAAAGCCTTAACTCTTCTACACATCATATACATAGGTGTTGCTGTTCTAATTGTATTTTTATTAAAGGTCTCCGTATGATAGATTACTTCTGGAATATAATCCAATGCTTCTTCTGCTGTATAAATAATTGACTGATGTTCAAATCCATGATAATCAGCAATTTTTTAAGCATAATGTAAATCTGGGGATCCTTCCAAACCAATACAGAATGAATGAACTTTACTCATTCCTCTCTTGCTCAAATCGATCTCTCCATTTTTAATCATTCTTGCTACAATACCAGCAACAATAGACGAATTGAGACTAAAATTATAAGGGAAGATGTGATTACCCTCCTGAAATAAACAAACCGAATTGTGCATCTCCTTTTATTTCTCTTCTTACAACGTCTATAAATTTCTCTCTGATTTCCTAAAAATTGATCTCTCCAGTTGGTATCCGATCAAAATTCTGCCAAGTTGGATTGTACCATTTCCTTATTTCATGGGTTTGATCTATAAAATGACCTATTATTTTTTAATTATGAATTCTAACCTGGGGGAAATTATCTTACGTCAACTACTTAATCATGAATTGCTTTTAATTCGGATGATAAAAATAGAGCCCCATCTTTGTTGTAACCATAATACAAAGGAATCATTCCAATGTGATCTCTTCCTGCATAAAATGTATTATTGTTCATATCCAAAAGAATGGTAGCATGCATCCCATCCATGTGACTCCAAAAATCATTTGGACCATACTTGTATTTATAAACACTTATATTACTTCTTTATAGAGCATTCCTACTATTTCTGAGTCAGAATTGCTGCTAAATTAATATTTTTTTTCAAGTTCTGGTTTGATCGACCAATAGTTGTAAAGCTCTCCATTTTGCATATAATAGATATTTTAATCATCCACTAATTAGAATGGTTGTCTTCCTCTATCACTCAAATCTACAATGTTCAATCTTTCATGAGCTAGTATATGATAAGTATCTGGGCCAGCTTCCTTAAAAATGTAAAATTGAAATTTACTATAATAATGATACGAGATTTATCAGGACCTCGATGTCTCTGTCTCTTTGATAAATTGTATGCAAGAGTTCGCACCTCATAATAAATCCCTTTGATGTTGAATATTGCCAAAATTCCACACATATTTAAAATAGAATACCAAAATCTTGAAAATAGTATGCTATAAACTCATAAATGCGCATTAATTAATACGAAACATTAATATTAATATTCAATTTGTCCATTAAAATCAATTGAGTTTAATAGAATTCAAATTGCACTTTATATTTGCCCACATTAATAAATATATTTTTTATTAATAATTTAAATATCAAATGCTAATCGCTGCCTGATTTATGTAATCTCACATTTAACTACTTTGAATGAATTTTAAATTTATAAATCTTCCAAAATTTAATCCCCTATAATTAATTTATTGATAGAATTCAATAACCATAATTAAGTGATCTTTTGTAATTTGTGTGAATTGTGAGGCATACTATTAATAATGCTATCCCTATCTTATCAGAAATAATTTAGATAATATCTACTTTAAAATTATTAAATTAATGTTTGATTTTTATGGATATAAGAGAAAACTCTAAATCCATCATCAAAGCTGAAATTTGATAAAATATATAATAAATTATTTATTATACAAAAATGTGATCACCAAATCTTTCTCATCTTCTTAAATAGTTATTGTATGTATTTTGAAATAGATTTTTCAGCTTCTGAGTTTTCCATATGACCATACTAAGGTTTATTTGAGTCTTCCTTTCCATTTTTTAGCTGATCCACTTTTTTACCAGAAACATTCAAACTTTAATTTTGTAACTAAAATTCAGTGAAATTCAAATTTTTAGGATCTTCAGTTTTACATTCATTTTCTTTTAAATCTTTTTCTGTTTCTGCATCAGAGGTGATTAAGGTTTATTGTTAATCGAATTCCTCAGGTTATTTCTCTTAATCCTAGGATCTCTGCTAATCTTTATTACTCTCTTCTTTATTAGACAAAGAAGTTTAGTCTTATATGGGTGCCTATTAGATAAATAAATAGAAAATACAAAATATTTTGCATATTGCAATGACAATTCATCTTAGATCCAATCTAAATTTACATTATTATATTTTGGATCTGGCTTATATGCAAAATCTTCTTCAGTCATTGGGATATTGCTCGTGCAATTCTATTCGTGAAAAGGCAACTATGAATATGGGTAAATGTGGAGATAATTATATTTGCAATGACCATAAAGTGAGTCATCTTACCTCCAGCATTTGGTTACATGTAGCAATAATTATTCTTCAACCAACTTTAATGTACAACCATAAGGGCATGTAATTGGCGCTCTATAATCATTATTCATATTGAAGGCTTGGTATTTGGGTATCGTCTCTACGCTCATTTCTTAGTTAAAAACTTAAATTTATAATGAATTATAATTTAAATCTCTCAGAGGATATATAAATATATTTGCACGTCATTTTGAAGCTAATTTTTATTAGAAATGACATTATTTCAAAATTATCATATTATAATTAGTTTTAATTCCATTAGTAAACCATTTTTATAATTAAGCATTTTATAATTGTTTTATATTTTACAATTAAGAATAATTTATCAATCAATTAGAATGGCATTTATTTCATTTCCACCTTAAGGTTGAAATTTGTCTTAAGAAATAATTTCATTATCGTTGTCGAATTGAGGCAAACTTCTTTCAAAGTGAGTATATCCATGTTGAATTAGATCACCATAACTGTTAATTTTAGTATTTTATATTATTGGATATAGAGGATCCTTAAAGTCTAAACTGCCCTTAATACTTAAATATATATTCTTTACATTTTAATCAACAATAATAGAATCAACTTTAATATTTAGCTACTAAATCTTCTTCAATATCTCCCACTAATATTGATCGATCCTCAAACTAATACAATTTTTTTTACAAATTGGACAAATCCACTTCATATGTTCTGCATGAATCATCATATCCAAATAATTGTTTAAACTAAAACATTGTTGATGTTAACAAAATTCTCCTCTAAATTATAAATTACAGAGTACCTTGCAGGTATTTTAATTAAATCGAAAGAGTATTAGCAAATTAGACTTACTTTAGATTTATCTACTTTAATTTCGTTTTTACAAAAATCAACCTTAATTTGAGACATGATACTTTGATTAACTATTGAATGAATTACTGAATCCAAACTTTAATTTTGAACTAAATACAATCCAAAAATATATATTTATTTTGGGATCTCTTATCTCATTTATGAATCTGGAATAATTTCTACACAAGTGAAAGTATACTTCTTATAGATTCCATAAGTTTTTTAAAGAAAATCAAGATTAATTGAAATACAATGATCTTTTCTTTTTTTTAGACATGATTTATCAATAAGAGGTCTAAACTCTTTTATGGTTTAACCATTAATTAGAATGATGCAACAATTAGGGAATGTGAAATCTGTTAATCCATTTTAGTTTAACGCAACACATCTAATTTCTAGTTATATCCCAGGTATAAGAAATTACTCTTGTGTGATCGTGAAATCTAGATGTATTTTACTTTATGACTTTTATTAATATTGATATTCAAGAAATCCCAAAGAATACATAATTTTTTTGAATGGATTCAGTTTTTCTAATAAGCAAGAAGAGCAGATTTTTATATCATCTTCTATATCTATCAATTTGACTTTTCCATCGATTTACTTGCAATAATTGCATTGTTTCCGATTGGTTTTGATTTAAAGAGGTTTATTTTATGTTGAAAGATATCCATTCCCATTGTTATTAACATCATAAGACTCTAATTTAGGTTTTTTTTCTTTTTAGAATTCTAAATTCTAACCACCTTCAAATATTCTATTAGATTAAGGGTAGATGTTGGGTTAAAAAAAGAGTTAGTTTGGAAGTTGATGATTTTGTAAATGATTTTACAATTAGTAGGGGAATTAATTATGTTAATTCCAGTATTAAATATTTTATTTTGGTTGCTGATTATCACTTTCTAGATTTACGCCTAAATAATGATTTTTCTTGATTTATAGGTTCTAAGGAAAATATTTTGAGGGTTCTTTTGGAATTTCACGTAAAGGATTCAAAAGAGGGGCAGAATCCATATTCTGCATTTCGCATAAAGAATTTTTTTATTACATTATACAATTACTTGTATTAGTTAAAGAACTATTTAAGTTGTTTTTTTCTACATTCATTTAATAATTATCTGGCCTTTGGTAGGCAGGTTAAGATTAGATAATGCTAAATTGATTTTCTAATAATTATTTTTGCTTTTGGATTTGAAGTTCAATTCCACCAATAGATTCAAATGAATTTTGATTCAATATTGGAACTTCAATTTATGGGGAAAAAATGGGTTTCTCAATTAATTTTTTTTAATTTAAATTCATATTTTTTTAATTTTGCTATGGATTTAATATTTTCTATCTTGAATGATTGTCACTTTGTTAAACTTTTTTATTTTAGATCAGATCATCCATTTAATACTTTCCTTATTTGTTTCTTAGTTCCTAAATATTTCTTTATTTTTAAGACTCAGAATCAGAAATTTGTATAACAATTTCACCCTCTTCTGGGGAAGTATCAATTATAGCTCTAGAGGGTTTTTTTTTAATTTGAATTTATCTACTTTTTCTAGAGTTTGAATCACTGGTTTTGTTGTTATCATTAAACCTATTATTTTCTCTTTCATCGTTTTTTTGTTAAACTTGTAACTACTTTTTAGTTTCAATTTTATCATTTGATTTGATTATTTAATGAGTTTAGTTTTAATTGTTGAAGTCATTTGTGCTATTGTTCTTTTGTTTTTGATTACATACTTAGTTATTTTCACTATCTTTTCTTTCATTCAAATATTCCATTTAAACTTATTCATTAGAAGTGCTTTTTTATGTTTTTTCTTTCGAAATATTTTTATCATGATGATTATCATTAAGAGAATCAAAACTATGCAGAGATAATTTTTGATCTTACGGTATTTTCAAATCCAAATTTGTCGAATTGTGACCACAAGGATTTTCTTCAATATCAAAGGGATTTGATTACTTTAATTTAACTTTTTTCTTATTCTTGGGAGTATCGATTTAATCCTTTTTCTCCTTGTTTGACTCTTAATTTGATTTAATTATACTATTACTTTACAACCCTTATTTGTTTTGATGAGAATAGTCTTCATTATTTTTCTTGGAATCAATTCTTTTTATGGACGATTATTCTAAAATATTTTCAATCTCATTTTCAGCTTCCAAATAATTTATAAAGAACTAAGCAAACTTTCTTTGAAAATCCTATTCTTTTATATTACTGAAATTTTGTAATTAGAGTTATTAGCATATGTTTGTTAATTGCCAATCTTAATACTATATATTATAATATAAAAATGTATTACCTGATAAAATGGACATGTTGGATCCTTGAGCAAATCAATCATCACATTTTCTAATAGTTTTTTATGCTCCATAAAATATTATAATTAATAAAGGGCTGTGATTTAATTTCAAAGAAAAATGCAATGCATATTAAATATCAAATATCATCATAAAAATTAGAAAGCAAACATATTCTAATATTGTTTATTATTTTGAATTTGAGTAATTTTAGATTAAAATGATTATTATATAAACTTCCTTTCTACATTAGTATCAGCCTAAAGAGTGGGTATTTGTAGGCTGAAGTATTTAAAGAGCAACATTGACTCAATTGATATAGAATGACACTACTTACAAATCATATCAATTTGGATTAAGAATGAACTATACTCTAATACTTGGATTGAATTTGTTGAATTTGCATTCCTTATTAAAGAAAAAGAATTAAAATAAATTGAGTAAAGAAATTTAAAAATTTAAAAGAAAGATCTAGGGAAGTTGTCAATCATTTAATGTTGTAAGAGACATTCAAATTTCATTAATGTTATAAAGATGTTTTATGACTATGGACTCTCACAAAAATGTATGATAGATGTTACTGATGAAGTCTTAATATATTATCTCAATTTATGTGTTTTAGAGAGTAGATAATTATTAAGAAAATTTCAATGAATTTTTGCATATCATTAATGTAAACCAAATCAAAATAAATTATTCAAAATTCTAGGATTGATTAATAATTTAAGAAAATCAGTAGATGTATTTTATTATTCCTTGATGATTTACAATATTTATAAATATAATTAAAAACATAAAATAGTTAAATTATGCTCATTTCATTTTTAAATTCAAAATACTGAACAAGATCTAGAACAACAAGAAAAAGAGGATGGTATTTCTTTTTCTCCTTCTAAAATTGTTTATTTTTAAGAATAAGTAGTAGTTTTAGTTGCTTCACCATATTTTTTAGTAATTTATTTTTTGCCTTTTCGCTTTTCCATATTTTCACTTTCCATTTCAATCAAATCATCTTCATCATCATCAATTTGTATAAATTATTAATCTTATTTTTTTGTTGTTGAACTTTGATAAGATTTAGATTTCTCTTCAAAATCTTCCTGTTGCTATTGTTATTATTGTTGTTATTATTAAAAATTGTTTTGTTATTATTATTACTCTTCTTATTAAGATTCTATTTAGTCTTCAAAGACTTCCACTTACTGGTTCAATAATGGATTTCCATTTTCTTCTAATACAGTAATTTTCATAAAGCTTGGCTTCTTGTTGATTGAACTTCCCATTGAATTAATTGATAAATGAGAGTTCTTTTTTAATAATCTATTTGTTCCAGTATGGGTTTCTCTTTTCAAAATTGGCCTAAAATAAATTTAACATTTTACCAAAATAATTCTATATTATTGAAATCACCCCCATATTTTATTTCCAATTATTCTTTTGGGATATACTGCAATATTTACTAATATTCTGTTATAATTTTTATTTTAACTTATAAATCTTTTATTTTTTCTATAGTTTAATCTATATTATAAATACCAGTGAATTGTTTGACAATGTCATCGATATCGTCTGGTCCATTAACTATTAAAATCTTATTTAAGTTTCCATAAAAGTGCAACTACAAATACAACAAGTCATCTAGTTCTATGACTGGTAAATCGGTATCTAAATCCAAGATGACTGTCCAATTTTCAACATAATAATCAATTAACAACTATCTTTTAACAGTTTCCAAAAAGTAAGCCATTATTTTTATATCGCAATATTGTCTAATTACAATGACAGGGCGAAATTAATTGTCAAATCCACAAACGTACAGATGCCCTTTCTTTAATTCATTAACACAATCTTGCTTTTAGTATTCTTATAGGAAATTTAAATGAGACTAGCAGTTCTAAAGTGCTTTTAGTATAAAAAATGACATACAATAATCGCTTTTTCAATATTATACTGGGCAGCCATTAACATTTTCAATAGAATGCTTCTTTTCAATTTTACCTGCAAGCCCTTCTCCTTCATTTTTGTTTTAATCTCCTCAATTAATTATTTCTCATAATCATCATAATCAACATTTTCAAAAATGTTCCTTTAAATAGATGTTCCATTTCCACTTTTTATGTAGAACTCTTAAATAACAATAACTAATACCGCTATGTACGATGGATGTAATCCCTTCATAAATCATTAATATTAATATTTTAAATATTATGTATTATCATTAATTATTAAATTATTTACTAAATAGATATCATTTTCAATCATTTAATTGATAACATCAAATAAGAGATAGTGACTATTATAAAATTATATTGGCTTTCTTCAGTAACACCATTGATAAAATACAAATAATCTTGTTAATTAACTTAATCTTGGATATCTTCTTGGCATACACCATATTATCAAAAACAATATCCAAATTTTCAAGTCTTTAAATCCTAACAAAAGACTAGATGTTAGCCCTGTTTGATTAATCAAATAAATTTAAATCTTTTTATTAAAAAAAATTTATTATGGGAAAACTTCACGGAACCTTAGCCAAAGCTGGTAAAGTTAGAAAGCAAACTCCAAAGATTGAAAAATAAGTCAGAAGACACAAAATCCCAAAAGGAAGAGCCTACAAAAGAATCTGCTTCAATAGAAGGTTTTTACCATATATATTCCTTAGATTCGGAGCCTAAGCAGCTTCAACAGGACCATAATAAAAGAGAAAAGGACCAAACTGGCATGCAGGAAGAAAGGATTTAATTGAAGAAGAAAGAAAGAAATAAGTCGAATAAAGAAGACAAAGAAAGAAGGATGTACCAAAATGATTAATAACATACAGTAGATTATTTTCATACATAAAACAATTTAAATTAGCAATTACTAAATGATGTAGCAATCTACTGTTTAACCCCATTTTCTATTGTCTACATCTTTCTCCACATTAATTTCATTTTGCTACCAATCACTAAATATTAATTATTATTTAAAAAACATTACGAAATAACATAGAAAATAATCATTTAGAAATATGTGTTCGATTACTCCTCCAACTTGTCTGATTTCAGCTCAAAATCTATCTACTTTGGAATCTATTCTTGATTAAAATAGAATACTATAGTGATTAAAATAGATTCTTCATTTTACAGCCTATTTTTCACTTTAATTATTATAGAATTTATTATATGACTTTGAAATTGATAGCTTATTTTATTGTATAGTTATTTTATACTTTATCTTATTTATTAGTGTCATTCTACAACAGCACCTGCATATATCCTTTAAATATTGGTAGGCACAGAAATTTCAATAAAATTATTAATCTCCATTAATAATACTTTTTAATAAATCATTAATTAAATGAAATTTAAATTTCTAGTTAGAAATGCATTGAAAAATAATCATATTAGACTTTTTGATGATTTTCTAGACCAACTAGAAAATTTACTAAAGTTATTATAATCAAAGAGACGTATTTAATCTCCTAAAATTGACGATTCTTTCACAGGAACAGTATCTTTAATCGTTATAGGTGATACTATAATTGTTTATTTAGAGTCAAAGCGGTGTGGAATGGTAGTAAATCTAGTATTCGAATTCAAACTTAATTATTGTTTATAAATTTTATCCTCATCATATGTCTTTTTCATTGTTATTTCTCTTTGTGTATTTCTTAGAGTTTCTAGTCTGAGACTTTAAGGGACACATTATTTACGTCTCGGCTTTGGAGATAATTTGGAAATCCAAGTATAATTAGCATCATATTCATTTGAGCATTGATTTCTAACTTCTTTCAATTTTATTTTCTATAACATATCTTAAACATAATTTTTATAATTGACAGTATTGAAGGAATTCTTCTAATTTTAACTGAAGATTTTTTCTATAATCCGATTTCTGTTATTTTTCCTTGTATCAAACCTTATAAATTTTTCATTCATAAAAATATTTAATTAAATAATATTAGCATTATATATCATATTAATCAATAATTCAGATAAGAGTTATGCATTCTATAAAGTATATAGTGCTTTAATTAAATAAACAGAATATATTTTTCTATTGTTGTTTTCGAACACTATGAAAAATATATGAGGATTTTTTCTATTAAATTCAAATATTGATCTTCATCTATCAATTCATTTTTCAAGTCTTAAATTTAATTAACTTAATTTAGTGTGAGCAAAGATTCAAGAGAATTAAATTCTTTATTTGAATTGATAGAAAAAAAAAGTTCATCCTTTTTGATTTGATCTTAAATAGACTTTGTTAATTACTATATATACATTTAATAAAATGTAAATCTTTTCATATTCTTCAATATGAGTAGTGCTTATAGAAGTGCGAACAGCCTTTGTCTGAAACTGTTAAGTGAGATAATCAGTAATTTCTAAATTCTTTACCCTTAAAGGTAGTGGTAAGTAAAAATATGAGTTAACTATGATAAAAGGCATGTTATAATTAAATAAAATCTTTTTTTTCCCTATTTTCTAATACTCGATCTATGGATGAATCTTAATCTGGTTAATATTATCCACATAATCAATGCATCCCTTGATTTAAATGCCTGCAAATTTGATATCCTTTAATCTCGATAACCTAAGAAAAGATAAATTGATTACGATGTCGAAATTAAATGTTTGATCATTTTGTAATTCATTTCGATCAATTAAAACTGTTGATGCAGTTTTAGGCCTTCCAAATACTCTTCCTTTACTAATTTTGCATCAGTGCAATAATAATTATATGGATAGTTGTGGATTATGTCAATTAATTGTAAATCAAATTCTTGAGAAAATACTATAACTCTACAAAATTAAGAGTTTATTGAAACGTAATCTCTAAAGGATTAGGGCTCTGTAGTACTTGTTGAATCACTTAAAACTAAAGAATCTTTTTGATCCTTCCAATCTGTAAAGTCAAAATACTTAGTTTCAAATGAATACTAAAATATTAGATATATCAAACCCTTGAGATTTCTGTTTTAATTTTTTATTTTAGCAATTCATCATTAAAGTTGACTATGATACAATAAAAATTATTTTGATTTTAAACATCAGATTCATTTATTATTTTTATTAAATTATGTTGATTTTTTGAAGTACCATAATTTTCAATTACTTCATAGCGTATTTAGACCTCCTCCATGATGAAGCTTTATAATTCTTCAAATGATAGTGCACTTGAGGATTTGATAGTTTTTGGTGAGCTTTATCGAGAATTCTCTGATTCAGCTAATTCTCCGAAATTTTGTTCTGGCAATGTTTTTGAAGATAACATAAATTTATTAAATATATTGAAATAATATATTTATACTTAGATGAATATTTAAAGGGGTATTCTAGATATCAAAGGCTTTTGATTTGAGAGATTATGAAAAGTAATCACAATTTGGAATGCATAATACTAATTATCAAAATATTATAAAAAATTTATACTTAAATGATAATTATATCTTAATTTGTTATAAAATAGTAGTTAGTTAAAATATATAGGTAATCAAGGATCGACTCCTTCTTTCATAAATCCAGAAAGGTCTTTCAGTTGTCCAAACATATGAATATTATTTTATAAATTTTTGAGGGCTTTTTCTAAACTGTCATTGAGATGTTCGAGTGCGACCTTGTAAAGTTAATTTATAATATACATTTTTAGCTTTTAAGAATTGAACTGACATTTCACTCTCAGAGTATACTCTCTTAATTAACTATCTCAAATCATGGATCTAAAATCTAATGATATAATACTTCATAAATCAACTCTTATTGCTTATTCTCTAAATGATTGACTTATTATTGCAGAACTTGATTCTCATTTCTTAATTTCTAGTTCTCTTGTTGAATTAGCTAGTCTTTCTGTTGTATCTGAGATGGGAATTAATTTAATGCTTGAAGCCAATATGATGATGATTAAGATGGTTGAATCTCATGAGATTAATTTACATTTAACATTGACAGACCAGATTATTAACTCGACGAAAGGTTACATGATTAAAATGCTAACATTTAAACTCTTAGATTATATTTATTTATTAATTTGTGTTTTAAGAATAGAGTTGTTTATATAGGCTGCGTAATTGCAATTATTTTCAATAAATAAAATTTAAATGACCCACTTATGGCTAATTCTTCGTAATATTATTCGATTACTAGAATTTCAGAATTTAGGTTTTCTTAGAAATTATTTTATCTTAGAATAAATTGGCTCTCCTAATAAAATTTGAATGATTAACGTATACCATAGTTCATTATTATAAAACACAGAGGATTTAAATTAAATTGTGTTATAATTAAAATCCTTATGGTTAGTCATTAACTTCAAAGAATATTGCAATAAATGTAATTGAGGGAGAATTTATACAATATAAAGTTAAAAATAATATGGAGATCAACAAGGATTGGTATTTGTCACCAATAAAGTGAATCCTTTTTTAGTGGAAACAAATTTTGTATTCTGATTAGTTTTACTGTATTTAAAGCTTAGGAATGATGTTTTTCTAGGCACAATTTTCGGAAGAGGATTAGTCAAGCGTTCAACAGATCTAGTAATCTTAGTATTGGAACCCGTTCTAGATCAATATGTCCACATTGTTTACCTCATTGAATTAGGGTCTACAGGATATTAAAACATTATTGATATGTTTTGACAGAATGGTGATTAGTAGAGAGTCATAGCTTCATCATTTATTTCTTCTGAGAATTCCTAAACAGCATTTAAAAATAATTTACAGTTAAGACCTTACTCTTCATTTTAATGGATCCAACCTATTCTCTTTATTTCTTTTTTCCAATGCAGCAGAACATTTATCGATGTCTCTTTGAAATATATTAATAATATCAATAAATAATCACTATTTTATTAATAAGAACTACTGTACTTATTTCTGGATGGCTTCTGCTTTGATATCAATAACAACTATTCAAAAATATATATCATGAACCCAATCTCTCCTCTCCTGTATTTAAAAATAAACTAAGCAAATTTTAGATAGATCATATTAGAAATATAATTATATTCTTGAAAATTAAAAATAAAAATAATTAATGCATGAGCAAGATTACTAATATAGAAGATAGGTCATCCTCAACCTTGCATTTCTATTTTATATGAAAATCAATAACTATTTATTGGTAAATACATTATTATAAAACATAATTGTATTGAATTCTGAAAAAAGTTCAATTTCTAAATTACAAAATAGTTAATTTAATGTGTATATAAATATTAACTTAAGAAAAATTCTATCAGAAAGGTATCTGTTTACAAATCTTTGAAACTCAGCATAAACTAATGAGAGTATTGTAAAGTAGATTTAGAGAAGAAATTAATTTCATTTCTTAAATATTAAATTTAGCTTCATCTAATATCCAGCAATTACAGTAAAGTAATATAAAAAGAAAAAGTTCTTTTTAATTACTTATGCTTTATACCATAATCGATAAGGGTTATATTATTAACAATTATCATAACCAAATAATGAGAATGGTAATCTTATGAATTAATATTCAGCGATTGTTGTTTTACTATGTACTTATTATAAGGAATTCATCTATGTATACAATAAAAGAATGAATATAATACATATTAAAAATTGAATGAATTAATTTTATTTTTATTGATTCATTAAAGTTGTTGGAATGAAATAAGGTAAATTTAATAGCTAAATAAGAGTAATTGACCTAAACATTTTACAGTAAAATACCTAATTCACCTGCATATACTATGGGATCTAGAAAAAAAGACAATTTTATATTGGATACTCCAGGTCCTGGCAAATATCACCCAATAATCCCTTTTAGATAAAGTCCAAGAGCAGTCATGTCAGGTTCAAAAGATTCCTTCTACAAAATAAGTGACTCTCCAGGACCTGGAAAATATAACTAATTGTCATACACCACCCATGGTTTTAAGTTTCCTTAAGAAAAGCGATAAGCGACGAATCACAATGACTCTCCAGGCCCAGCTAAATACAATCAAACTAATTTATCTTTTGCCCCTGCCTATGCCATTCCTAAAGCAGAAAGAGCAACTAAAATAAATTCATTTTCAACTGGACCTGGATGTTACAATATTCCTTCCCTTTTACGATCAGATATTGGCTTCAAAATGCCAAAAAGTCAAAGAAAAAACAAGCTGGATATTTTGCCTGGTCCTGGAGAGTATAGTTTTTCGGATAACAAAACAAAGGGTATAAAAATTGGAACTAGTCCGAGAATGGAAAAATCAATGCTCATAGGACCAGGACCAGCAGATTATTCCCCTAGAATTACAACTGACTCTTCTCCAAGAGCTGTTTTCGGCACAGCATCAAGAGCAAAGAATCATCAAGACAAGCTACCAGGACCAGGTGATTACGAATTACCTCAAAGCAGAAGTGTGAGCGTAAGAATAATTAATAATTAAGTTTTCATTTCCTAAATAAAATGTACAATAGCAATCCAAACCCTCTACTCCCTTCAGTTACATCAACGATTACACTAGCCTTAGAAAGACCTCGATGTCCTTTGGAAAGGCATAGAAAGGAAACCAAAAAGCTGAATTTATTCCAGTATGAATTAAGCTAGCATTTTAGGGTCCAGGGTAATATGACATAGAAGGCTTCTTCAGAAGGAGAATCAAGACGAGAGATGGGTCAAATATTTGATTTTTACTACCTTTAACTAAGTTTGTTATATATTCAAAAGATTATTTCTCATATAAATTATTGGAGAGAATGTAAAATTAATATTTATAATGTACATATATCTCACTGCGATTCCCTCAGTTATACTTAATAATTCTTAATGAATATATACTTTGTGGAAACCAATCAATTCATAGTTTTCTCTAAAACATCTTCTGCAAACATTCATGCCATATTTTCTGATCAAACCTTGTCTAGCACCGCAGACTCTGCATTCTTAATTAATATTATTTATAGATAACCTCTTGAATCTTTTCCGTAGGTTCTTGGGTGAGTTCTGAATAAATGGTTTGGCATTCTTACAATATTTTTTTTAATTTTAAATATTTATTAAAATCTTCTTAATGAATACAACTATCTAACAAAAGCGTGTGTAATTGTAAAATAAAAATTATGACTTCTTTTGAGAGAAACACAAATAATTTATTAAATAATCTTTCTAAAGATAATTGAGATTTTCAAAATTCATTTACTTTAGGTTCAACCCCTATTTCTCTAATTTATATAATTAATAAACATATCTATGCATACTTATTAAATATTATTCTTAATAACAATAAACCTCAAAGTATATTGAATTTTTGAGTAGACAAGTTATATTAAATAATAGGCAGGCAAAAGAAAAAATTATTATTTATCAAAATTGATGTTCCTAAAAGTTTTCAATGCTTCCTCAGAGATGGATGTTAAAAATCAATTTACAAAGACTTTGTTTTAAGTGAAAGAAGTATAAGATGAGAAGAGTTCTATCTTTAAGTAAAATAGCCCATGTAGATTATTATTATGAAATCGATTAAATTTTATCTGAGAAATTAATTTATCTCATGTCAAAACTATTTATTCTATGTTAAAATACTTTCATCTAAGAATACAATTAAAACTATAAAGGATGATCTTTACAAATCTTGCTATCTCAAGAAATTCTTTGTTGGTAAGGCTGATTATGTTTATAAGTTTACTTTTTATAAAATGAGAGATTATTTATGGTTTGATAACAGATGATTAACTTTATTTATTATCAAATCAGGAAATAAATGGATTATATGAAATTTACAAAATATATATGTATTAAATGTTAAACTTTTTATTAAATCCATTAAAGATTTCTAATATCTGACTTTATTGATTGAATGTATTTATGGTTTGAATGAATTAAAGAGCAAGAAAATCTTATTATACAATAGGTAATTTATAAAATTCATTATACAACAACCCTTCTCATACTGATATTTTACTTTCTTTTATAGTCTCATCACTAAATAGAATTTAAATAAAACTCTAAGTTGCTTCTTATAAAGTGATTATTTCAACTAAAATATTTATATTTCCAAAGGTATTTTTCATTTTTATTCTTTAATTTTAAGTATCCTGATTCTTAAGAAGTTACTTAAATAATTTTAATTTTTAACATTTATTAAATATAATAATAACTTATAATTAGTTCAACAATTCAATTGCCACTTAATTGGAAAATTTATTCAAGTATAAAGTGTAGATTTAAAATGATACTAAACACATTTATAAAATCTTATATGCATACTTTTTTCACAACTTTAGTATAATTTTGCTTTACTTATAATCCAATTTTAAACAATTCAATCTTATATTTGTATAATGTGTTTCATGATTCTCGGATATATAAATTATTCCAAAAAGATTCCAACTTTACATTCATAGACGTTGTAGTAATGCCCCTTACAATAATTATGAATTTTACTTCACATCATAGTTAATTTTAATGAGATTCTTGTTATTGTGCTAATTATTTCTTAAGTATTATCCTAATAGAAAACATTATATTTCCGAATCAAGTTGTAAAATATGAATATAGTTAATAATAATACTTAAGTGTAGAACTACTTTTATCCATTTTGTATGTTAATATAATAATTAATTAAATGAGTATACGTTCAACAACTCCAAATAAGATGTTTGGAATTACTGAATTAGAGGACTATAAAATTACTCAATTCAAACGCCCTTAAACTTCAATGAAGTTTTCACTATAAAAAATTCAAGAAATTGGTTAATCACTCAACAATATTTTATAGAAAAAGAAACCTCAGAATGATAAAAAAATATTGCAATTTTTCAATGATAGATTCAATCAAAACCTGTAAGATATTAATACATCAGCATTTTATGATTCTATAACTCAAGAGAAATAAACAATTTCTAAGAGAAAGTAGAATCATACAATTTTCGCTACCAATTACAGTCATTTGGGTGGAACTGAAACTGAAAGATCTCATAATAACATTAAAAATCAAAGGGAATCGTTTAAATATTTAAATAGCAACAGATAAAACAAAAATTAAAATATTTCGTAAAAGGTTAATAGTGGCCTTAGAAATTAGTCTTGGATATGGGCCAACGATAACAATCATATCAACCAATGCTCTTTAGATTATAGTAAATCTGAAAACATCACAACTAGAAACAACAGAATTCACTAATCTAGTTAATCAAATATATAAGATCTGGATTATTATTCTCTAATATCCATCGCTCTTCACATTCAAAATGATCCCAACCAAACAGATCTTATAGTATGCTGTCAAAATTACAAATTATATTAATTAAACTAATACTCGAAGATGGTCACATGCATAGGATAGCATTATCGACCAATTAAATAAATGACTAAAATTATCATCTTAGCTAATAACAAAACATTTTATACTAGTAGCAGTGACGGTTAGATAATCCAATGGATTTCTGATTCTATGCATGGACCTTTTAAATATTAATAGTCGATTAGAATAGAAGAGTCCCCTATTTAATTGCATATAGATTAATAAGGATCACTATATATTTTGACTGCCAATTTTTTGACTTTTCAAAGTTATAAAATACCATTAAGTGGAAATGTAAAATGCTTCAGTGTGACCCCTAAACAAATAATTATTGCCATCGATAATTAATTACATTAAATAATTGATGATATAACTAATATTTAAAAAATATAACTTGATAAACATATCAAAACAATCTTCTATGAAGATCAACAGTTATATATACTTACTACACAAAGATCATTAATTGTTTTTGATGATTAATAAAATAATTTAATATTTAATTCAGAAATCGAATTGGATGCTGATTGGATTTATGCTATGCCTAAAAATTAGATTATTATACAAAAGGATAAAAATGTCATTATATAGTCCTTTCAAAGAACTCGAAAGTTTTAATTTGCTGACAAAATTACTTGTTTACTACCCTTAACTTAATAGATATTAATAGGAGATTCAAATAAAACTATTAAAATTATTAAACTTTGAATATATTATTTACTCAATTCATATAAATTAAATTCAATACACACAATAATTAGATCAATATTTTTAAGATTTGGATAGAAGCTACTCTTCCATTACTTTCTCACCTTCCTTAATTTAATCAATTCTATCCTTAAATATATTTCTAACTTCTTATATACATCGATTGATGTCCTCTTAAACTTTTAATTCAGACTAAATAAACCCTATTAATTCTTCGTGATTAAAATCTGTTTTTTAAGATAAAATGCAGTTTTTCAATTCATTAGTAACTCGATGTTAATGAATGTCTATTTGTTTTAATTACGGGATCAATTTCTCCCTTATGCTTAACTTTTTCATTTTTTCGAATATTTTTGATTGAGAATCAGCAATTTCTAAATATAATTTATGAGATTTCGATCTTAATGCATTATACTCCTAAAATAGCAATTTTAAAACAAAATTAACTTGCTATTTTTATTTAGCTTCAAATTCAATTTATTATTATCGTGTTATTAATGGATCTTATTAAGTAATTTACTCTTGCTTACTTAAAATTTCCTAAAATTTATATCTCATCAAATTTGCCAAATGAGGATCCTTCATATTTGATATATCTTTATATCGGTTTCTTTTGTGGCTATCAAGAAAATCAGTAATTATATTACTCAAAGATAAATCAACATTTCCATCCAAATCCTAGATATCTGGGATATGGTTGAGAATGTATTAAAATTCCTCAATTTTCAATGATTGCTCTAAAATATGGTTCTCCTTTTATTTTTTTATTTCTAATTTGGATGACAAAATTTTTTAAAGTGCTTTGATTTCTTCTTCATCTTATTTTTCTGATTACATCTACTATTTTTTCAATGATGAATTCTCTCTTTTTTTTCTATCCTTTTCGATATCTTTCTCGGAATGTCCTATCTAATCTCCTTATTTAGCCCTCAGTTCATCTTAAACTCCAAAAGATTGAAAATGTTTTTAATGCTTAGTACTTCCCCCTGGTTTAGGTGTAGGATTTATAGATCTTGTATAATTATCAGGAGTTGCAGATTCCTATTTTTCTTATATTATGTCATCCACACAAAGGTGCTACTTTTTCGCTTTATTTGGTGGCCTTGCCTCAAAGTTATGCCTCCCTAGATGGGCATTATTATGATCTCTATCTTGAGCAACAAATTAGTTTATCATACTATCATCTGTTCTTCCTGTATCTAATTAATCTTCTCGATTATTTCTATTATATCCTTATATATTGTATAGATTAAGGGCCATTGAAAGACGAATGTTATTGATTTCAGAATCAAACTCTGATTTTTTAATTACAATTTATTTTTATGAACTAGAAAATTGTTCAATTCCATTCTCCATTTCTCTTTAGGTCTCACCAAATTCTTAAGTTCTTTAACTATTAATGTCATTACAATTAAATTCCAATTCAGTATCAATTTTATGAAATGAAGAGCTATTATTTATCATTTCTTAATTATTTGTTATTCTTGACTTCTTAGACCTTTAAGATTAAGCTGACCTTTTATCAGAATCACAAGATTAATTGTGATTTTCATTGCAACCATTAGATTACTAATCCTCCTCATTTACATGTTCTCTCTATTATTAATGATTATTATCCAATTTATGATTATTGATGTTTGTATTTTTATTTGGCACTTAATCTTCAAATTCATTTTGAGCATTTTAAATGATTTACATATATTCTTAATTTACTGACGAGTCTTCTTTGTTTATTTAAAATTGATCTTTTTAATCGTTAATTTCTTGGTTTTATTTTAATTTACTTAGATTTAAATGTAATTTTTTCTCTTTTACCTCTTAATTATTTAAAGTAATTTCATAGACTATGCACTATTATTCTTATATTATAGTATTTTATTATTAAACACTATATATGCTGCCAATATCTTATATTTTAGGTTCACTCAAATCAATATTATTAGATTATAAAGGTAATTAGTTATTATATCTTTAAAATTCTAATGTTTTTTATTCTTATTTATTTTAGAAATCTTTATCTTCTTTAATATGACTTCCATTTGATTTTTCATACTCTAGAATTTGAATATTATTTTCCGAATTGTTATGATAATTTCTAATCCCATTTTAATTTTAATGAATTTAATCATTTACTTCTTCAAAATTAGAGCAATTAATATTATCGATGCTTTCAGCATTCTATCCATAATAATTTCCTTTATTCAAACTAGAGGAAATTTCTTTTTTTTACTTCATATCCGTTGATATTTCTTCATTTTATATACAATGGGAATCTTCTTAATCAGGCTTGTTTATTTAATATTATTCTTATTCGTTTGATTTTATCTCTTGCTTTCTGTTTTTTGATTCATTCAATTAACATTGCTCTACCTCAATATCGGAAGTATTATCCTACTTTTATTATTAAGTATCTTCAATAGAGTATTTTTATTAAGTAATTTCTTTTTCTTATTAAACGAAGGGATTTTCATTAAAATAAAATGATTATTCACTCCCTATTCGCTTCTTTTATTGCAAATTAGACTGCGTTTTAACTTAATTACTATTTTTGATCTGATTCTAATTTATATTTGAGCTATCCTCTTAATTATGATTTAAATTCTAATTATTATTTTTAATCACATTATTAAAATATTATTCCCTAAAAATTTAATCATTATGTTAATCGTCAATTAATTCTTATTAACATCCATCTTCCTAATATTTTGGCATTTTTTCTACTTTCACTTCTTCATCTTCAATATTATAAATTTTCGTTGAGATTTCTTACCTTTTCTTACCAAAAAATTATTATTTTTCTTTTGTGTTTTAAATCTACTATGTCAGTTATCCATTCTGATTTACTTGTACTTCCTCTCTGTCATTTTAATTTTAAACTTTAAAATATTACGAGTTTAATTAAGCCTTAGCTGATTTAATTTATTAAAATTGAGATTGATCATCTTAGATAATAATTTCTAAAAATTTGGTGCTTGATGTATTCTAAGATTATTTCTATAGAAAATTGAAACTACTTTTTCTATATGGGTTATCTGTTTTATGCGTTAATATTATTTCATTATCCCCATCAACCATCTCATTAAATTATATTTAACTCATGGCTTCATTACTTTACAAGTCCTCCTAAATAGTGTGCAATCTTTCCCCTATCTAATTTGAATATGTTTAAATTTCTTTCAATATACGGAATTCTTTTGTTTCTTCTGCAGATGATAATAAATTCACTTAATAATTAGTTTTATCTATTTAAATAGATTGAATTTAAGACTAATTCTTTGCTTTCTAGTTATCAGAATCAATCAATAAGTTAATTTCTTAATTATCTACTTAATTGATATCTAAACCACTTGATTAATTATCATCATCATTATCTATTAGTTCTTGATTATGATCACTTAAATGTTGCAGTTTTTCACTTGCTTAAATTAATTACTGGTTTACTAATTCTTATTGTTCTTCATCATTTTCAGTATCATGTTGCTCTGACTAGTTATTCGATTATTGCATTTAATCAAATTAGTTTTAATCTTATTCAGACATGTCTTCCTTTAGTGTTCCATCTATCTATTATCCTTCAGATTAATCATTTACTAAATTTTCCTCAGTTTAATGACCATCTTCTTAAAGGTCTTGCTATTGTATCAGATCTTGTTATTCTTGATCATTCAATTTCACCTATTATTACAATTATTCTTGAGATTATTATTCTATTTAACTTTATGAGGAACTTAATTTTTACTTTGTTATTAGTACATCCTTGTTTGATGGAGATGGTTTACGACTTGATGAATTGGAATTTACTGACTTATTTAATTTATTAAAACTAGAAGAACGACATACCAACTAATTTATTCCCTTTTTTAAAACAGAAATCTATTTTTGTGACCCATCTTTTGGCTATTATGATTAATTTGTTATCAGAGATTATTTTACCTTAGTATCACTTGGATTTTGTGGCTTCCCATCATTTTATCTTTGAGTTTTCTATTTAAACGATATTTTATTAGTAATTTTGCTTGGAGCTTTTACTGCTTATTCAATAATTTTGGAGGGAGACGTTTCTGAACTTGTAATTCTCCTTTATGATAGATTGAGGATTTTCGAACTCGATGATGTTCTACTATTCTGTGTTGACTTATGCAAAGGTTTTATAAGAGTTGTAGTCGACCCCTTACTTACATTTTTAGTTGAATTTTCCCTACTTAATTTTAAAGGGTTAGAAGAATCATTAGATGGTTATGAAATCTTTTAATGTGATTCTGGTTTAGAACTTTTAGAGGAAGCCTTCAGCATTGTTAATAATTTTTATAAACTTTCAATATATTAATAATTTCTTCAATAATACCTTTAGGATGAATATCCTTGATTAGAAAACTGAGTATTAAAATTAGGATATGCTGCTTATAATTATTGATATGGCTATAGAGTTTAAGAATAACCTTAATATTTATTAGGTGAAATTAACTAAGCTTATTTGAATGGCTATTGTCCATAAACTTATTACGGGTATCCACTGTAAAATAATGGATTCTGAACTTACTGAGTAGGAACCTACTACAAAGGCATTTTTTATTATTATTAATAACCATATGGTAACTCTAATCCAGGCTATCGATACATCTTTGGAAGTTCTGATTTTTCTTTGAGTTAATTGAGTTAAATTTGTTCCTAAACTCTAGAAGTTTGTTGTGACAATTAGGCATTTTGTGATTTTACAGTCAAAACCCTGCTAGATATTATTTCAGGAGTGGCAAGCTTGTGAATATCAAGAAATTCTGGCAAATCTTTGTGGACTACATTGACTATCTAAGCTATTTACTAGCTTAAATTTGAACTAATGGTATATTTGATGAATAATTTACGATTCTATTGAATCAAAGGTTATCAAAGATTAAGCTTCTTTGAATCTGGATGAAAATTATTAAGCTGTCTATAGATATTATAGATTATCCTCTATAGTTGTGGATAGCAGATAGGGTAGTAGAGAATACATACAATCTGGTTATTTTAACTTGTCTAAGAAATTTACATGAGAAATCCATCTTGCATTTAAAACCTAAGAGAAGGATTTTCCATCACGATCGAAGTTATCAAAGTTCTTTCTTTATTTGTTCTCCAATTCGATTTCCAATGCATGGAAATACTGTTCCACTATATTCAATATTCTATTTTTGGCTTCCTTCAATTTTTACACTGTTTCCTAAGTGTAAGAATAGGCTTATGAGATTGACTTTTATATATCCAAGTATGCATGTACCAATTAATTTGCTTTAGTTATTCTTTCTAAAATTACCTTGTTAGCAGACTTCTTTGTGAACATCAGTTAAAATATTCTCCAAGCATTCCAATTTAGGATAAGACTTGTATTCTGAATGCTCATAAACGTGTTCTTTCACACACTCAGGACAAAGTGGCAGCAAGCATTCCCTGCATTTACAAAAATTAGTAAATGTCTATCCTTAATGATTAAAACAGTTTATCTAAGTCTTATTCCATATTTTACTTTTGGCATATTTTAAACTGTAAATGTAAAGGGAGTTGTTCTATCTTATTAATTATACTCATCTTATTATTGATATTGAGGATTCTATTGTTGTTGATTCTATTGTTTTTCTTATTGTTTTTCCTTATTTAGTTATTTTTTATGATACCTATTAAAATCTTGAGGATTCCATCAGTTCTGGCTCATAGTCTTGCTAGTTGTATAAAGCATTCTTTTAACCCAATGATGTTTCTGACATGACAGTTAAAATAATTAATAAAAGTTTTGAATAAATAAATTAATTGTCATCAACATACATGTTAAGGTGCTTATTCTATATACTTTGGTTTGAACTTATATGTCTCCTTTATTGCCTATTGAAATTGTTCCTAATTCAAAATCAAATCTGATGTTTTCTAAGCAAACGTGTCCTACTCTCTTAACACTTCCATTGGAATTGAGGCTCCTTCTTTGAAAAGTTACAAAGACAATTTCGAATTTCTAGCCTTGAAGAAAATCAAAAAATATTTCATTAGATCAGATTTTGATATCTTTTCCAAAGCCAAAATCGTGCATTCTCTCTAAGTAAAATAATATGAACCATCCCTAATTGAATTCCAGATAATCTCAGCCTACTACTCTAATGTGTTCGGAACCTACTGCAATTGCTTTTGGATTGCCTACTTGATGCTAATTTTATGTATCAATCATAAATACCCATCAAAATCCTTGTCAGGAAGTCTGTTCAAAAAGGATTCAAAATATCCCAATGACTCCTCTATATAAAAGTCTATTTCCTCTGGATCATAAGAATTACTTTGAACTATTATAACAATGGAGTCAATGTGGTTCACTTAAATCAAAGAAACATCCACTGCAAATCCTAATTACAATTAATTAAATAGATAATCTTCAATATGAAATTTCATCAGTCTTTGCAAAAGTCTCATATATACATACTATACTAAACTTGGATCAGATCCTTAATAAAGATTCAAAGTGACTATGCTCTCTGATTTTAACTTGGCTAACCTATATGTAATAGCTCTTTTTGATAATTTGTATGTTTCTTCAGTAAAAAATGATTTGCTCTTGCTCTATACTTTGGGTATAATTGATTCAAATAATTATTTTGAGTAATCAGTTTCTATGTTCCCATAAAGGAGGATATCAAATCGCTGATTATCCCATAATTTCTTTAGGGTTTCTTGTATTTTTTCAAATTTGACATCATATTTATGTTATTAAAATTCTTATGAATTCGTTAGAATTTATTTAGCATAAAACAAGGCTTTTTCAATAGTCGTAGTATTCTTCTCCCAATATCTATCTTAATATTCCAAGTTCTCCATATACCATTGGAAGTCATCCTTATTAATAGTGAAGGCTTCTTAATAATTTTTCATCACTTGCTTAGCAATTTCCTCTATTTATTAAGTGAAACATTATACAAGAATTTCAATTTATCCAACACCAATATCTATTTAGAATGAAGCAACATTAAATCCTTTAGGAATCTTGAAATTCAATTTGACAATCTCTTTTGCTATGAAATTTTCACCTAAACTTTCAAAATCTAAAAATCTAGCCAAAACCCTAAATTGCACTTTTGGAACACCATTAATTGTATCTTAGATATGCCACAAATTTCCTGTTTAAGTAGTTATCAATAATTCAGGATATTTAAAATTTTTCTTTTTTTTCTTTACACTTTAACTCTCAGGAGATTAAGGTAACAATTCAAATATTGTTGGGATATGAGAATCATCAACTATTTTTAGTGCTGTATCCTTGATGGCGAGAAGCTTTTGAACTGTATTTGCTGATATTCCAGCTTCAAATGAACGCAATCCAAAGAGTTGATGATAAGAGAAATTCTCGATTTCTGGTATTGAATATCCCTTATCAATATCATAATCTTATTCTGTTTAGATGACATCATCTGGCTCAACAATGAATTCTTCTTCTTCTGATAAGTCAACAGGGTGGTCTCTATCAATAATTGGATCACTTATTTCATCTTCGTAGACTCTATATCTTTTTTTGACTGTACCCTTGAATACTTTTTTCTTTTCCTCTACACAATGTGATTGTTCTGCAAACGAGTTGCCAAATTTCATGAATCCCATATCAGCTTAATAGGAATCATAAAAATTGTCCAACAATATTACAGTCATATTTTATGGTTCCATCTATTATAAAACATGTGAAATGGCAGCCTTATCATATTTCTTAAGTAATTTATTTTATAAAATATCCTTTGAAAAGTATTGCTTTAGATTTGAGGATAATTATATGATATTCTCAATATCATAATTCGAGTATTAAAAGTTAATTTCTTGCATCGACAGAAGATGATCCCAATATTATTCTAAGTTATCTTATTGCTTTAAGTAATTGATTCTCTTGTATAGGGAAGTGAGAATCTCATCAATCTTGGTTTATTTTGGTAGATGAAGAAATATTTTGAATATTGCAAATTCCTTGGGTATTTCCTTTAATGTGTAATAGCATTTAAAGGCTAGTTTCTTTTCATACATTTCATCACAGAAGTTTTTTTCGAATTGTTTCATCAACATGAGTATTACAAATTCCAATGATTTTGTTAAATGATTATTTTCAATATCAAAATCAAACTCAATCCTCAACTCCTTGACTTTGCTTTGAATATAAAAAAACCTTTAATTCTTCAAAGGCAATCCAAACTATTTATAAGTAATCTTTTGTAATTGTTTATCAACACATCCATTGAAATACTCAAATAATAATTCAGTGACTCTCTTTTTGAGTTCTTCATTGGTGTAAATCACAATGGATAATCTATTGGCTGAATATTTGGATCGATAAAATTTCTTAGCCTCTATATATGGATTTTTTCCTTCATCCTCAGGAATTTCAAATAGAGTCTTTAAATTCCCTGTGTAAAATTGACTGTATGGATGTCTGCTTTTGGAAATCAATTATTATGAATAATCAAATAATTCCATACTCTTCCATTAAGCATGAAGATTCTGTAACACTCTGTCCATTTACTGTTTAGTGAATAGTGGATCAATGAATAATCTAGAAATCACATCTAAAAGTGAGAAAAACGCATCATTCTAAACTTGCGCATAATAAATGCTTTCATGTTCATTGATAATTCTTGTTTATTTTCCTGCGTTTAACATGATAATCTTTCTCAATAAATCAGCTTATGGATATTTTTAAGAGGTTTACAATAATTATTAGATGTAATTACTCATTCCCTAAAAATCCTTAGGATCATTCATATAACCAGTTTCCTCCTTCAATGCAACAGCACTAAGTTCAGTTCTATTGGATGTTATAACCATAACATGAATTTAGTTTGGCAATGTAAATATTTTATAATTTCTATGATCACATTGGGCTTTGCTTACTTAAGGGTAAATATTTTATCTACTATATTGCTGATTAACAACAAATAACCCAATTCCAGTAGATATAGAGAGTGCTGCTACTGAAAGTAAATAAAATACTACAGGATGCATTATCTAATTATATGTTTAAAATAATAATAATAATGGAGACAAGAAAAACTATAATATCTGTATTTAGACACTTTAATGTTTACAATAATTTATCATATAATTGTAAACTACAACTCCTCGAAAGCCTTCTTGTGGCTTTCCTGCTTGATATGCTGATTGTAAGCCTGTTCATTACCTTCAAAATATCCTTTCTCATCATATCTTTGCTCTGCATAGCAACATTTGCATGTAAATGTCAAATTCTACACTTTTCGCTATTAAACTGCCTTAAAAATTAATATAAATTAAATACCTAATTTTCTTTCTTTTTGATCTCATCAATAGTTAACTTTCGAAATATAAATTTCTCCTCTTCCATACTAGTATATACTAACTTCAATTTTTAATCTATGATATAGAATTTCTAAATATCTCCGATCTGCACTATCTCTTTAAATTGCTTAATCTTTGGATAGAAACCAATGATATGCTTACCAGAATTACATGTAATGAACACATAATTGATTGGCTCAAAAATCAGTTTGAGTTTCTCAAAAATGCTCTAGATTCTTTGATCCGATAGAAACTCTTTGATTTAATCCACCTTCATTGAAATATTGAAATAATCACCAAATGAACTCACATCCAAAATCATAACCATTCTCTTAGCCCATTCCAAGGATTCATTATCCAATTGTCTTCTAATATCAGGGTCTTCAGATATGTATGATAATCCAATAGTTCTACCAACAGTCATGTAATCATTGCATTCCAAACAACAAATCTGAGTGGTGTTTCCCATTCTTAAAAAGAAATTCTACTTCTTTATAGTATTCACTATATTTTATTTCCAAGTCTGGTATAATTATTGAATTTGAACATATATTTTAATTCCCTCGTTGTCAAATTGCTTAGGTACTTCAGAATCATAATCTGTTCTTATGATTTAGATTGGATTCATGTAATCTAAACTATCAGCCTTCTGTTCTTCCTATTCAAAGTGTTAGATTCTCTTCCTCTTCTACTTATTTTCACTAGATTCTTAAAATGATAGGATATCATCTTTCAATTCAATATCGAATAATTATTTCCACCTTTCATCTGAAGTGTATAATATCTTCTATCTCACTTTATCCAACTACCTTATTTTTTGCCAAATTCCACTATCTGTATAACTCTACTCTAAAATCTATAGTTTTATTTATTGTCTTATTGAATTGATGGTTTACAAATCATCCTCAGTGATAAAATAATCAAATTAGTAGTCTCTGTCATCAACCTTTGCTTTTATGAAGTGTGTCTTAGTGTTGTTATGAAAGAGTTTCACCTGTACTCCAAAAAGCATAGCCAAAATCTACGACCATAACAAATACTTATTTTGATCTATTGAAATCACTTGTCTTGTGGAATTCCTTTTATTTGAATCCTTCTCCTATACTTCATAAGCTACTAGCATCTTGTTTTAGTCCAACGAAACAAAATTTATGCTATCAGGATCACAATTGATTTCTTTATGCTAATGAATCAATCTACAATAGCATCCATAGAAAATTAACGATTAAGTTGTCTCTACAAAATTAATGATATCCACTTGATTACTCATTGTGAATGTTTCCCATGGTATTCTTTAAGGTTATTTCCTAGTTGATTATCTTCTCATTAATTCGCATTCATGCATAAGCCTTTTTAATACATATTTCAGTTTTATCAAGTCCACCTCTTTGAATTCAATTATAATTGTATTATTTAATAGAATGACACTTTTGACCCAATTCTTAGTAAATTTTGATTTTGCTTTGATTTCAGTTAGCAATTACAAATCTGACCTAAAATGGAATCTGGGTAATCCCTATCTGCCTTGGGCTTATTCATCATGGTATGCTAATATATCTTTTAATTGATCTTCCAATCTTTTTTAAGATCTATCTAATTAATGAAAGTCGCAAAATTGTTCCATAATCATTGCAATCTTTTCTTTTATCATTTCTTTGTTCTATAATGAGACTCCATCAAATTTAATATTATCACTTTCGAACATAATTGTACGAGTGTAATCAAATCCTTAATCCTTCAAGTACTTAATTTTTTTATCAAATCTCTCATCTTTTTATAATCTAAAAGTATTTTATTTAAAGGCAGCACAAAAGGCACTCTTAATTTTAAGTTGATTTTCTGGGTTATTCAAATCAAGAGGTTCATTTTTAAATTACTAATCCAACCTCATAAATAATTCATATTTCACATTTAATATTTCTCTCATGTTCTTTGGATCAATTGATCTCTATTCACAATATAGTTTCTCCAAAGGTACAATATTTCTATTAGTAAATCTTTTCAATTCCCTCTTTAATTCATGCTGAGTAATTGTAGACTTAAGAATATTAAAAAATTTAATTTCCCATTCCTAATAAACTCTTAATTGTATTAGTAGATCATCTTCATTGCCTTTATCGTATAGATATAGGGAATTGAAGAACAACTTTTAGGATCTCATAAAATGATGTAAAAAGTAGTTTTTCCTTTGGCTCAATATGGCTGCTATTGTAACACCTTCATAAGCACATCCAATGATGTTACAATACATAATGAATCTTGTTAAAAAGATATCAATTGGCATGTCACTCATCATTTATCCTAACCTAGTTATATGGATAGTATAATCATGATTATTTGGGTAAGACAGAGCTCCTAGCATTTAAAGATTGGAAATTGCATTTTCAATTTATTTAGTACTTGGAGGGTCAATGGCAGTTTTGAGGGTTCGGCTGGGATCATAGAAAATCTACTTTAAATCAACCACTGTATTAAGCTCTAATTTTTCAGTTTTGTTTTGATTATCCGTGGATAGTTGATACAATTTTTTTAGTCTTAATATGATAATTTCCAAGGGACACCTCAACATTTCACATACAGAATATTGAGTCATTTTTTGTTTAAAGATGCTTTGAGGTATCAAACGAAAACAAGTTCCTGGGAATAAACGACCAGTTCTTCCCTTTCTTTAATCTGCAGATGCCTTAGAACAGTATTATAATGCTAGTTTTTCAGTGAGGTTTTTGGGATTGTATATAATTTCCTTGGTTAAACAGAAATCAATAACGAATCTGCAATCAGGAACAGTAATACTGCTTTCAGCCACATTTGTACTTAATATTAATCTTCTTTTTCTTTTATGGATATCATCAAAATCTTTAGGAATAGTGACAGTACTATGTAGTATGATGATGATAAATCTCTCTTCTCCAAACTTCTAGTAGATTTCTTCTCTGATATCCATAATTTCTTAATACCCAGGAAGGAAAATCAAGACAGCCCCACCTCCTTGCATGCCTTAACTATCTTTAATTTTGGTGGAATCTAGGAATTCTAGTATCTACAACATGGCTTAGACACTGTCTAATTGAATTTTAGGAGAATCTTAAAAGTATAATGATGTTTGAAATCTCAAAGGTTGATGAGGTTCTACTTTAGCTGTGTCAGTATCATTGAAATATGAATGTATTTCTTCCAAATAATAAGTTTCAATAGGATATTTCTATGACATAGGAACCTTAATAATAGGTGCAGGTTGATCTTCATCTCCATCCAAAAAATGTTACCCTACTTCTCTTAATTCGTTCTACTTCTACTCTAATTCTCTTTATTCTTAGGTTAATTTAACTTATCTCTCCATGTCTTTCCAAGCTTGACCCCATTATGTGAAAATATCATGGTCCTCTTCTCCTTCAAATTTGATGGCTATTTCTACATCATTTTCTTATGTCATGTCTACATACTTGTATTTCCTATCTACTCTTTGTATATATGTTAGATCATCAACCAAATTAATTGATTTTTAAGAGAAATAGTTTGCAAATTTGTCACTGCATATGGTTGCAGACATTAAAATCAATTTAGTGTCTTTGAAATGTTTCAATAGATTTTTGATAATGATCAGACAAAAATCTATATCGATGTCTCTTTCATGAACTTCATCCATAATAATGTGTGTGTAATCTCTTAGGACTCCTTCTCTATCATGCACTAATTTTTATAGAAATATTCCCGTGGTTACAAATTAGATTTAAGTTTGTCTTGAACTTATTTGTGAATCCATCCCAACCTAATAACCAACAAGAGTGCCCAATTGGCAATCTAATTCCAAGGCCACTCTCTTGGCCAGTGATTTGGCTGCCAATCTTCTGGGTTGAGTACATAGGATATTAACTGTTCTGGGAGTCTCAAATTCGGTATTAGTATGATGTCTCAAGATCATCTATGGAACTTGAGTTGACTTGCCACAACCTGTACCTCCTGTAATCACAATTACTTGATTATTCTACATCTCCTCCAAAATCTTATGACTCACATTATAGATTGGTAAATTCTTTCGTTCTTTTTCTGTCAATGGCTTAATTGTCCTTTTTCGTAAATGGGATATTTATTGTATTTGAATCTCCTGTTGTTATTGCAATGGAATGTAATCCCCAAGATCATCATTTTAGATTCTCACTTTTTTCTGTATAATGTCTTCTCCTTAGGCTTCCTTCTTTATTAACAGTTCCTCGTCCATTTACATCTATTATTATTTTTTTAATTGCTTATTTTTTGCTTCAAAAAAGGTATCAAATATTTATTTTATACCCAAATATTTAGTAATAAAATATTTTAAGATAATTCAATTCTCAAATACGTGAATAGCTGAATAAGATTTGTTGTTCCCTCCTTCCTTAAACTTGGCGTCCAAATCTTCCAACTTCAAATACTTCTCTTCCAAGGTCTATTGGTTCTCCATATTTTCTTCAATATCATCAAAATCAATGGTCTCAATCTATTTCAACACTTCAATATGAGGTTGACTAGCAATAATCTTTTGGGGAGCTGGTTTAGCCTAGATCGATATAGCCTCCTAGAAGGAAGGCACATACTTCACCGCATTTGAAGATTAAGAACCTAAAATCATTCATTCATACCCATATAGGATTGCTTCTTTGTATTTTGTCTTTGCTATTAATCTCCTAGTCCATTGGGGACAACCAAAAAAGAACTCTGTTATTTGTTCTCTCCAATTTTATCTTGCTATTGTTATGACTATTTTTCTGTCCATTCAAATTAATTATCATAGGTATTAATTTCCGAACATTTTCTCATAATTTTTTTCAGTAATTCATAATCTGGTTGATCTTCGTATTTCAAACCCTTTAGGTAACTAAATGTAATTTTACAACGCTTACTTCAAATATTCAGCAAATGCGGGAGGTAATTCTTTGCACAGAGTTTATATAGAAGTAGCAATCTTAACTTCTCCGACAGCAACAGTCCTGTCCTTGTCACCAATATTCTATAGGTTTTACCAAGGCAGTTTTCCTCAATCAGTTAATTTCTTTACCCAAGAATCAGATATATTATTACGTACATCAAGGATTCTAGATCATCCTTCCTTCCAATCTCAAATCCCTTATGAGCTGCAACCGAGGCATATCTAGCTGTACCTATAAACGATTTCTTGTCTTTGAACGGTCTATAACATAACAACTAATTAGTATTACATATGCTTTCCCTTGTCGAATATTTGTTTCGAAACCCCAAAATCAACTAAAAATGCCTATGATGTATTGGTTTTGCCCATCATAATATTTTCAGGTTTGAGATCCCTATGGACTATTCCCCTTTAATGCACACAATTAAAAATTGTTATCAATTATTCCAACAACTATAATCCGCTCTTAAGTGATAGTTATTTATATGTTTTTCCATAATAACCTAAGTCTTTTCCAAGTAATTCAATAACCATCACATTATAGCATTGCTCTCGACCAAACCAAAACAATTTTGTTACGCCAAGTATGCCTTGCAATTTTGTTAGCAAATAAACTTCTCTATCCAAGGTCTCTTATTGTCCTTTCTCCAATTTCACAGCCACTTCCTCTCTTGTCACCTTGTGAATTGCCAAATACACAACACCAAATGAACCTGAACTTAATTACTCTTTGACTATGTATTTGTTATCAAATATTTTGGGTTCTAAATAACTACTTGGTAATTTTGGTAATTTTTTCATTATAATAATAATTTTTATGCATTAAGGATCATTCATCACCAACTCTCCTCTCGAATAATTGGATGATTTTAGGAGGGAAGTCAGAGGCAAAATGAACCATATGATTGACTAACCGAAAAAAGTATATTCTCAATCATCCAACCTTTAACAATTGCTCAGACAGAGCATCTCTCCCAAACAAGTCAAAAATTATGAACTCAATAAATCCCAAGATCCCCCCCATCACATTAATCAAATCTCAAGCAGATTATCCTTTCAAAGATCCAGTCTAGACTTAGGAAAGCCAACATAAAAGTACATTCCTTACTATCCCATTAGCATACTCTACCCCAAAATATAATTATAAGAAATACTACCCTTAAATAAAATATTAGAATTGCAACGGGCTATCAACAACTATAATCACCCTACGAACAATAGGTATTTATTTTTTCAAGAGTTAGTTATTTTATAGAACTTAAAAAACTTGCCAAAATTGTTTTAAGGGAAACTTAAGGATGAGTTATATATAATGCATAATAATTACTTTGCCTTTTTTTATTAAATTTAACAGTAAAATGAATATTAATCAAAATTTACAAATCTCCCCATTTCAAACTTCAAATCAATATCCATCAAGAATGTAAAGCTCTTTTATGTATTAATCTCAAGGACTATCATCGATTAGATCTCCCCCATTAAAGATATCATACCGCAATTCCCAAATAGACCAAGTCAAAATTAAACAAGAAATAGTGCCAGAGAAAAACCTTAATTAATTACTACAAAATCACAAACTTGTATTTAAAGTGAAACTAACAAAATTAAGAAAAAATCCATCTTATTAGATGATGATGAAGAAGAACCAACCAATAATATTGCTAAAGCTATTAATCTCTTAGATTCATTGAAACTCAAATACGATAATGTTCTTGAATCAAAAATTGAAACTATTATCAGCATCCTCAGAGCATAAGTCTTCGATAAAGAAAACTGTCATCCTGACTAAGAATTAATTTAGTCAATAACCTCTTTATAATTGGCCAATAAAAAGCTTTAAAATGAATTACAATTCAAAAAAAATTCAATCTCTGAGTTAGAATCTACCATCAATAAACTAAATAATTAGATTAAGTAGCTATCGTAACACAACTAAGACTTAACCAATGATAATTAGAAGCTCATGTAACAATTAAAGTAAAAAGAATAAAAACAAGCAAAAATTCCTGTTTTTTAAGCATAAGAGCATTTATCTAATATCGAGATTGTTCCTCAATCTTAATATGATTAACAATTTTATTTAAAAAATAAAGGGCACACAATTCTCAAACAGAGAATAGAATCAATAAGTAAAATGTTAAAATTAAAGGTTAGTTATGCCCTATTCAAGAAGGGATTTACAATAACCCTTAAAAGTGAATGATAGCAAATAATTAAGAAAATAAAATGATAGTCTCATTTAGAGCAATAAATATTTGGAAATCAAGAACTAAAATACAAGTAAATTGTACGAAAAATAATTAATCTCAATTTGAAATTGTTATTATTTAATATGACATATCATTTCATATTATTAGCAGCCAATTATTATTCTGCTGATTTTAGCAATGTTTTTCCTTAGACATTATCTTGTTTAATTACAAAGTTATCTTTTCCTGTGTTCGAATTTATAAAATTAATTTCTTATTATGTAAACTAAAATAATTAAATCATAATTTACAGGTATTCCAATATCTTGTAATTAATTCAAACAATTCAGAGTTTCCTTCACATATTACGCTTAATTTATTCTTTAAAGCGTATAGTCTTAATCCAATTTCTTAATCTTCTCTCTTATCTAAGTGCCTTATGATGACGACATAAGATGCTTGATTTCTTCAGCATTAAATGAATTTTTAATTGCAGCTCTTAATTGTTCCTACTATTATTAAATTGCATTCTTCAATGTTAAATCACCCTATTCTATTTCTTATAACTTAGTTTAGAATATCTCCAACTCCTATAATGTGTCATTTTTCATTTATCTATAATTGTAATTGAGTGAAACATACTTGTATTCTTCTGGATCTAATTCATTTTTATATTCCTCTAAGTCTTTAAGTTATTCAAGCAACCTTTTTAATTGTTATTCAATATTTTCTAAAATCTTTTTATCCATTTGCTTAAAGAATATTAATCTTAAATATATAATTTTAATTCATAATTCATTTTTAAGGTTCTAAAGAAATAGATCGCTATTCCAATTATTCATCATTTTACTAATTTTCATCAGGATCTACCAATTCTCCTATTTCTCTGCCATCCGTGGATTACTATTGTTGCACTTCTTATTATGAATTCGAATCCAATTATTAATGAATTTCCACAGACTCTTAAATAAGAATAGTGTTTTTCTTTTCGCTATCCTATAAAGGACTGTGGTTCTTATCTGAGGATTCTGCATTTTAATTTGCAATGACTTTCTTACTGTCAGAGTGGGTAAAGTTAATGATTGTATTCTTACTTGATTATTAAATTGGAGAATCCGATTATTTTTATTCTTCAACAATTACATAACTGTGTTACTTGTTGGAATCCGAGTATTTAGGATTTCGTAGCAGAATTCTCTTAATCAATTGGGCTCTTTCTACATTGTCCTTTCCAGGAGCATAGAATTTAATATCTGTATTGTTTTCATGACCAACTATGCAACTTTCCAAGAAGTTCATAAAGAGTAAGGGAGCAGCCAATTTGAATTGATCGTATTAGTAGAAATCTGAAATAGGAACAACTCCATCTGCTCTAGGTTTCCATTTAACTTCAAACACACAATCTTCATTTGTTAACATCAAATGCACACTGTCTATTTCATCACATTTTTGAGGGTAAGAACTACAAAATTTTTATGCCATTTCTTTTTATTTGTTTAAGAGAAGTTCTTCAGAAAAACTAGGATGTTTGAGACTTTGTTGTACCTATTACAATATGGGTAATTGTGAAGCTGCATTTTTAAGATTTTTTTATTTTTACTCAGAACTGGATTGCTAATTTTAAAGGAATTCTTCTAAAATTGAACGTCTAACATTTTCTTCGTATTCCCAAGTAGTTTATTCAGACCCTTTCCATTTCATTAAGTACTATACTTAATTGTTTAGTATTCTTTTTTTAAGAATCCTTTCTGGAGATCGTGGAGTTATCAATTAATAATCCTATTATTTAGTTGGACGCATTTTGATAATTATTATTTAATCAATTGATTTCAAGCCACTAAAATTTAAATCCTAAAAGTGCCAAAAATTCGCATCCAATTCTCAAAATAAACTATACCATTATAAAATATTATATAAAAAAATAACTTTAATCTATAATTTTATATTTAATGATGTGATGTTATTATATTGCATTCGAAATATTCTAAGTATTAGAACACATGAAATCAATAAAATAATTAAATAGAAATAAAATCAACTATATTAAACAAATATACATTCTATCAATATTACAAATAAATATTTTATAAATGATTTCAGATCTTACCTAAAATCAACTCAATTGAAAAATGGGAAATACCTATAAAAAAACAATTCCAAGATATCTGAAAATTATACAGAATCAAAAAAAATAATTTTGGATTTTGATGAATATTTTAAGGAAAAAAAATTATTATTTCATGAATTATTTTCAGCATTTTCTTCTTTCATCTTTTCAATAAGTAAATTCCATTCCTCCAATTACTTTGGATCTGGCTATTTCTAATGCTCTATCATTTTAAAGCATTCATCTTTTGGCTTTGTTTGCTATTACTACTAGTGTTGTTGCTATGATTTCTATTGTTTTCTCTCCTACTTCTCCTGATCTGGAGATATTCCTAAATCTCCCAATCTATTAGCTTTCTTAGATCCACCTACTTTCTTACGGTGTTGATGCAATTTCATATACTCTTCCAATGCCTTTCTTTCCCTTATATAGGTGAGTTCCTATTATTTTCTTAGTTTACAAAACTCTTATAATTAATGTGTGTTCATCCATTGTCTTGTAATTATCTTTCTCTTATTTAAGCCTTTATCATCTAGAGGCTCCACTTAGACATTCTGATCCAAATCAAACACGTATTGTTTGTTATTTACATACATTATAATAAGAGGCTTCAATTATTTAAATTATTTTTACTTCTCCTTTGACCATCAAGTCTTCCAATTAATTTTAAATCACTTTTTCATATTGAATCCACGTTTACCCATTATAATAGGACCATTTGCCTTGCTATATTTTAATTTGTCTGGACACAATGGATGATTCTCTCCTAATTTTATAATAACTAATTTAATGATGCATGACCATGTGATCATAATCAACTATAAACTGCATGTCTTTGAAAATGATCTGGAACTCTCCTTAATTGCAGTAATGAAGCATATTCTCTAGGAGATTGCATCTTCTCCAATCAAATATTTTCCATTTCCCATCTTCATCCAGGTAAAACCAATCAACATCATGATGTGGGGGTGGGAATGTGCTGATGGTCGGCATTTGCTGGGGCCTATATAAATAAATAAATAATTGTGTTTGTAATAATACATATCAATAAGTGAAGGTGTAAATGTATATTAAGGCTATAAAAATAAGTATTATAATAATATACTTGGAAATCTATATAGCGTATAATATATAAATATAAACTTACATGATGGTTGCACTATTTGAGGAACATTGAATTAGTACATACTCATTCTTGCGCTCAATTATTTAATAAATTATTATTTGAATTATAGAGAAAGAATATATACATTAGTATATTAATAATATCAATATATTTACGATATAAATCTATTTGAAATATAATATATGCAATTTCAACATCTCGATCAATTTAATTAGTTATAAATATTGAATACGTGAAAGGCTTCAATCCTATCACACTTATTGATTTAGAACTTTTATTTATCCTTTCAATACACTATGACAAAGTACCATTTTATTACCGATTTGATAAATTGAGCCTATGATCTTTCAAGAGCGAAGCCAAATCTAAAGATAAATTATCATATTTATAATTTAATCATTTCCCTGATCTTTTCTCTAAAATTTCTGAGGAGAAATTACCTTTTGAAAATGTCATATTTTATTTCAAAAATAAATATTCTTTAAAAAATTTGTACAAAATTTATAATCTAATATTTTAGTTTAAATTAAGTTGTTTAATTCTATTAAATTCCTTACTTTAAATTAGATAAAATAAACCAAATATTAATATACTTCTTATTTATTGTTAAAATATTTAGATGAGAAACTTATTATTAACAAAATCTTAACTTACTTTTAAATGATAGTCATGATTTTTATTTATTTATTTTTTGAATAAAAAAAGAGAGAATAAATATGAATTAAATTAAAGAAGAAATCTCATTAGTATACTTTTGATATTATATATTAATTATTTAATTAATAACTTGCCAGAATTATAAACAATTAGTTTAAAATGTTGAACTTAAATGCAATTTGGATTAGTAATCCCTAATGAATGTACTAAAAATCAAATTAAGATAGTTCTCATTTCATTTGAGACTGGATTTAATAAAAGATATTATTTATTTTTTGTATTAAACATTAATCAACCTCCCAAAAGAAAGTTTGCTGCCTATTCTTCATCATATCCAAATCTAAGGAGAGCTTCCTATTTCACTTAATTACTATTTATTACCCTAACTTTGCCTACTTCAAAACCTAAATTGACTAAATTTTACACCTTCTCCTCTTACTTATTTTTTGAAGCATAATTTTATGTCCATTCTCTAAGAAATTATTAAATTCCTTACTTTGCCGTTTTAACAAATAAATCTTTTTAGGTTTTGTATTGATTGGCTACTACAGCATCTTATGGGGAATCTAATTTAAGTTTTAGAAAATTCATTACCTGGTTATGGATCACACAATAATGCCTAAAGTGATAACAAAGCTGTACGTATAGAAAGTGCAGGCGACCACTCATCTTTTAGTATATCCAAACAAATGGCCCCAGTTTAACTAGATATAGTGATGAAAATTACGAAGAGATATTGGGATGCCAAATACGAGTATCAAACTTCATTTTTGGAGGTTTGTATGGATATTCTTGAGGAATCACAATGTCAACCTAAAAGTAACCATTCGAATAAGGAGTATCAGAAGGTCCATTTATAAAGCCTTTCCAATGAGTGATATTTTAATCAACTAACAAAATTGAAATTCCAGAATCTTCTCCCTAAGAAAAATCAGTATTAACATATTACTTTTTTTTATCGTTCGTTGAAGTCCTGCAATTCTTTATTCAATCTATTTGTTTAAGTTTTTTACATTGAAAAATAATTAAATAATGAATTTAGTAAATAGAGTCATAAAATCCATTTAATTAATAGAAACCCCATTTTTTTGTGTTAACATTATTCTGAAAAATTAACATTTTACTGATTGTTGAATGTTTAGAGTTAAATTGTAATTCTAATAATAGTTAAATTTATAAAATGATCTTAGTAATTCTATAGTATAGGTTTAATATTTTAAATTTCTGCCCTAATTATATTAATTGTTTAGAATATATAATCATCTATTAAACGAACAAGGTTTTATATAATTTAAATCTTTTATAGATAAAATTTACATAACTTGGAGTAGAGCTTTATTAAATTAAGATAATACTCTAAAATTTAGAAGGATACCCTTCGATTTTTTATTTAATTTATTAAATTCTTTCGAATTCCTCAAATAATTCAAGATTTTTTAAGATAGTATATTTAGAATTAATTAAAATGTCTATTGAATATGTGCTTTTAGTGAAACAATAATAAGTTTGCCTCTTCAAGATTCCACCGGTCAGTAGTAGCAAGGGATACTATTTAGATGACTGGAAGGAGATGTTTTGGGAAGGTAAAATAAAGCTTATAATTAACAGGGGGGATCAAATTAACTGAAAAAGGTGGGTTGTTGACTTTATATTTCATCGACAAAAATACTTCAGCGGTCCAGACCTTCGTAAATCTACCAGATAATCCATATCAGGCAATTGAGAAAACAGTTGATAGTTAGAGGCAATATATTAATATTGATTATTAGAGGATATGCAATAAGGTTAGTAACTCCAACTGGAGGTCACTAATGGGTTGGATGTGTATTTAGAGATAGAAATGATGCTTTTGATTTCAACGAAAAGATATTGAAATTTATTTCAGATAGAGAGATGGAAAGAAATCCAGAGAAATTTAAAAATGAATTCCAACCTTCATAGGATTTTAGTTTGAAGTAAGGATAGAAAATCTAAATATCTTTGGGAGAAGGAAATCAATAAAAGAAGTAAATATAGTAAAAAGGGTAAACCAATTTGTCTGAATTTAAATTTGCACCTCCACCTGATGCAGGCGATTTTGGTTAATTTTCATAACCAGTTCAACAACAACCAACTTAAACAGTGTAAAATAGCTGGGGTAACTTTGATTTCAACTCTTGGAATCAACCAAGTGTACCATAGTAGAATGCATTCTAACAGGCTCCTCCACAATAGTAATAATAATTTGGATTCGGATAACAATATCAATCATAGCCTTAATAATAATTTAATCCCTAACCTTAGGCATTTACAAACTAATCATAACCATAATAATAAAATTAAGCAAAGACAAAGGAATTGAATTTATTGGATTTATGAATGCACATAATTAAACATAATTATTCTTATATCATTCTATAATTTCCATTTCCTATCCAACTTCAGTTAATTCTTATTTTTCAATATCAAACTAATATTTTTTAAGAGCAGCTAAAATAATTTATAAAAATGATACGTGTGTTGTTGATTGGGAAGTCATAAGGTACTTGCCTTTAATATGATTTTGCATTGTATTATCTAATGTTTCTTTTATAATCCACACCATCCTTAGTAATGGCAACCACATCGACATTGCTTCCAGATCTAGAAATCAATAGAAATATTAATATACCCCATATCATGGAAAATACCAGCTTCGATGGCTTCAATAGCAAGATCGATAGCTTACTATTTGGTAAGTCCATCCTAAAATTTGGCTTCTAAAATACCCAAAGCAGCAAGCGATCCACTTCCCATAGATTGAAAAGGATGATAAACATAACTACATTAATAAGTATGATTTACTTTCCGTGAGGAGAAACTGAGGCTAATTAAGGTCCATTGCAATCAATTCCTCCAATAATCAAAGCAACTCCAATATGGCCTCTATATGGAAAAAGCTTAGAAGTAAGTTTAGTGATGACTTCATTGACTCTGCTTTATCTATTTAAATTTAGTCTTTAGAGTTTAAGTTTAGCATTAAAATGTGCGCATTAATGATGTAAATCAGCAGCTGTACCAGCGCCAGCAGCCCAGATGTTTGGAGCTAGAGTGTGTAATTTCTCACAGTTTTTATCAGCAACAATAGATCCTGCTGTAGCTCTTGTATCAGCAGCCATCACAACTCCACCATCAAATAAAACACCTACAATTGTTGTTCCTGTTTTTGTGAATGGCATCTCCTTAAATCCTTAAGCTTTCATTAATTCATTTCTTTTACTATAAAATCATCTTTACCTTTTCACATTTGTATAATCATAGCCACCTTTGGATTGAAGATAATTGTCCAAGTATTACATATTTATAATATTTAAATTTAATTATTATTATTATTATTCAGATTGGGATTATGGAAGAACAATTATAATAAATATTCAATTCTAAATACAAAAACAAAACACTCTACAATCATTTTTGTGAATTGTACTATCAGATGCAAGAGAATAAATATTATAATGCGAAGAGTATATATATATAATAATTAAATTAGATCTAGCAGATTTTGAAGATTTGAGTAATTTTATTAAGGAGAACAGATTTTACCATGTACCACTCAAATCTGCTGATGAAGTTAATAATTTAAAAGATAAAGCATTCCCATGGCAAGAATATTGTGCAAAATTAATGTAACTTATGCAATTCAAAGCTAAATAAATAAATGCCAACATCTAAAACTTTTTAAAATTAAATACCTTATTGAATATAGTTGGGTATGGAGTCCATGATGAAGATGCATACGTAATATAGCAATGCCTCAAATAAATTGCATAGAGAGATCCAAATATTTAAAGCGTACGTTTTTGGGGAAAAATACTTGCACAACAAAAGGATTACTTTGTTATTGAAGTTACACTAAATAAATAAATAAAAGAACCCTAACCTCCTGATTGTGATGAAAAACTGAATGAATATGTCCATTATGTTACTTAAGATCGTAATATTTATAGCATAATAAATTAGTTTTGGAAGATTGGGCCTTGTTGCCACAAGTAACACGCAAGCAAATGGAAGCCAGCAGATACATTACTTATGTATTCAGTGGAGATCTAAATAAAAACATTACATAATATCCATATTTTGAAGGGAAGGAAAAACATCTATTGAAGGCTTAAATATTAAGAATAACACATGCCAATCTATTAGCTCCTCGTGGGTTGTATAAATATGAAGATGAAACAAAAACAATAGCATTTGAAGATGAATTTAAGATGCCTGAATCAGCTGAATTGATAACTATGGATGCATGGGTTCATTTGCCTGCTTATATTCTAAAATAAGGAAGAATAACATTCTATGAAGACCCTTCTTTAAAGGAAGAAGAATTGAATTAACTGAAGGAGTCCGATCCTGAATAAGAGAGATTAAAATCTATTAAGGATGACAAACGTAATAATTGATTATTATTATATAGCATTTGAATAGAACGAAGGAAATTGGTTGATTAAAATTTTTGGAGAAACATAATAATATACTTCTAATTAAGAGGATACAGGATTGAGTTATTAAGTAGTCTTGTTAAGAAACTTTTTGTGGCCTGGAGCAGTGACTGTTAGCAATGTATAGATATAACAGTATAACATCTTAGACAAATGAATACATAAGTGTTTATTTTGGTTATGGATTAAAGAATCAATAACATTCCTTTAATCCTTTAGCTCCAAAGGATGTACAAGAGGATCCTGAAGATATTGATGAAGTTCCTGAACCAAATCCCAGAGAATAACCAGATGAGTTGGAACCAGATAGTGATGATGAAAGAAGAAGGGAGTAGGAGAGAAGGGAAGCTGAATTGCAATAGTAATAAGAATGATATATTTATAATATATTGTTGTTTTTTATTTAAAAAAGCTCTTGGATTTACTGTTCTTTCAATGATTTTGTTGTTGTTATTGTTATTGTTGTTGTTATTATATTTATTATTATACTTATGTTTGGTCCTCTTGCTTTCCAAAATTCATGATGTAGAAATGTTCATTGCGTCTGAAAATAATAGTTCATAATTACTTAAGCCCAATGTTTCCTCCCAAGATCCACAATTATTCCCCATTGTAAATATCTGCCGCATGAAAATATCTTGGAGATGGCATTTAACCATATTAAGTAGGTGTGATCCATGTATTTGTTATGAAATCGAATAAATGTAGATCATTCAGTCGATTAGATTTGCTATTTCTACCACCGAAAATACAAATTTTAGATTTAATCAAATTGGTTGTATGGCCGTATCTTGGTTCAGGAGCAACCCCTTGAGTTTGGATCTATTACCATTAAACACTTTCGAAGTTCAACACCCATATATCATTAAAATATTCATCTTAATTTTTCCCACAGAATATGTACATCTTCTCATTAACTTAGATTGCACTATGTCCATATCTTGGTTATGGTTAATTGTTAACGTTCAGTTTCACCCATTGCATGTTCTAAATGTTCATATAATAGACATCATTGTATATCAACTCAACTTCAAGATCAGGGGATAAATAATATCCACCAAAAAGTATTACTAATTCTTCTTAAGCATAAAACGTTAGACTAGCTCTTTCTCTCTCGGTCCATTTCTTATCAGTTTTAGCCAAATACCAAGTTTTGGCTGATGTCACATACACAAAATGGTCATTCAAGATATTATGTTCATCCACGCCACCAAAGAATAATATCTTATCTCCATATGCTAATGCATTATGATAAGCTCTTGGTCTTGGCATTTCTCCTTCAGTTTCTTCTAAATTCAATTGATGATCTCCAAATGTTAGTTTATACATTTCATTTCTACTTGGAGCCCCACCAAAAATATAGAATGAATTCCCAATGCTTGTCATTGTGTGTCCATAGATGTGATCAAATGTATGATATAATAAATCATGTTTGGTCCAATAAACATTATTGAAATCTAGTTCTTACGATTCAGTTCTATTTATTAAAACAACCATGATGTTATTTTTCCTTCCAAAGGAGTTCATTATGGTTGGCTGGCAACTATCATGAAAGTATTGACTTCCCCTTTTAAATATGAATTCATATCGTCCTTCTTATAAATCGACATATGTGTAATATTCATCGCATAGTTTGAATTAGTTATATCGCTTTTATAATTTGATTGGTTAACTCCAATTATCCCATGATCCAATCACTTCATCAGCTACCTCAAACAGTCTTATCAAAGGTTTTGCGTTTGATTCAAAGATCTGATATGCTCTTTTAGGAAGCACTTATATCTGTAATCATTATAACTTTTACCATATTATTATATGATCCATGATTGTCATTCACAGTCTCTTGATTCTACAGATATCTCCATTAATTATCTACCAAGAACTTATATTCATATTGTCCAACTGCCAAATTTAAAGTGCATTTATTTCCAATTAATTTAGTCCCCACTTAGAAGAGATTCCATGATCCAAATAACAATACCTCTTTACCTTCTTATGGCCTATTGAATATTCACAATAATACCAAATAAATTTGACCGGTTAAGCAGCACAAGGTTATCTAGGGTGTATATTTCCACAATCTTCACATCTATTCATATTAATATTCATTAAATTATATAAATATATATAATCAAATGGACTGCCAAAAGTTTTATCGTAATTTCAAATTATTTAATTATATTTAGGCTAATCTATTAATCATCAATAGATACAATTGGTATCTTTCCTGAAAATAACTAAAAATATCATAATCTATTTTTACTTATCAATATAATAATTTGCATATGATTTTATTAGAATACTCCAAATGGATGAAATAGACTGAAATTAAGTTTTAGCAATAGCTTATTCCTCTTACTTAAGTTTTTAACTCATAATCTTCTATTCTAATTTATTCTTCTATTATTCAAGATCTTTGATATAATTCATGCATTAAGACATAGCATTAGCTTCTCTCTATTCAGTTACAAAATAATCGTAAACATCATTCATGGTATCAATTTACATTTATAAACCCCTATCAATAGAATTTGATTTTCTTCTCTAAATAACTTCTTCTTACTACAAATTAAGATGAATCAAATGCAACTCTGGAAGAATATACTTAGAAAGGTAATTTACATTCTTAGAATGCTATTCAAATAGCTTTTTGATATCTGAAAAATCACTAATCTTCAACTATTCTAATTTTGACATCAAAAGTGAAAAATCGTTACATTTTTATCTCTACTATTCATTTACTGATTCTTTAGTTTCAAATTCTTCAAAACTCTATTTGTACCTTAAATCAATCTAATCAATGCTCGTTTGTTGAGTCATTTCCTTCAATTTATTTTGTACATAATCCATTTCTTAATTGCTATCCTTATTTGTTTTAGTTATAAAAACATTGAATTCTATGGATTATGCAAAATACGTTATCTTAGATAATTTCATCAAAAAGTATTCGATAGCCTTCCTCATATTCTCTATATGTTCATTTGAGTAATCTTCGAAAGTTGATTTGTTCATCAATGGTGGAATATATACTCCAGGCCTAAACTTTAATTATTCTGCTTATTATACCATCTCAGCTGCAATATTTATCGTAATTACAATACATCCTAAAACCTTCTTATGACTTCTTGTTCTGTGCTATCCACTATGCGGAATTAAACAAATTTATTAGTCAGTCCTTATTATATGATTTATGGATCACACACTCTATATTACTTACCTACATATTCAAACTTGCTGTTTTTTTGGCTGCCTTCATTTTAGGACAGGTATAATTAATATAATTATGATTAATATTGAGTTTATTGTTCAACCAATGGAATTATTTGCCACTCCAAAAACTATAATTATTATTTGTATCCTCCCGCTATTGCCCCTAATTGATAATTTTATTCCACTTTAAATTCCTTCTTCTCTCCATCCTTTTATCCAATCTAAATCTATTGCTTATTTGTCTGTATTTCTAATCGATTTATGCCAATCTCATTTTAATACCATGTCAATTGAATTATGTATTCACTATTATCCAAAATTAATTTTTGTTCACTCACCCCAAACATTTTTGATGATCTATAATCAAATTACATATATACTTGTGCTCCTTGCATTTTATGATTGATTGAGAACTAAATGAATAATAATAATTTTGGATGCCTAAAATCCCTTAATTTGTAAAAAAGATCTTTATAGTGTGGATCTTATAAGGAATCAAGGTTTATAAGTCAATTGAATCATCAAAATACTTAAGATCTCCTTATTTGATTCCAAGAATTATGGATTCCATAGAAATTTAATTAATGATAATTTCAATGCAGTTAATTACTCAATTATTAGATATAGAAAATCATTTTGAGTGAGTCATTGTTTATTTACATCAACATGAAGATATACTTCTAAAAAGAAACTCTGTTTATAATGAAAATAAGCATAATATCTCAAATAATTCATATTAAAAAGATTAAATAAATATTTTCTTAAGCTATATTTATTATATGAAAATTATCATGGCAACTTTTTTAAGAAATTAGCTTTTGGTGCTTCTAAAGGATGTTAATTATATCTAATTTTAGGTTATTCATATTCCTATTATTATGGAGAGGTAGACTATAATTATTATAAAGTTGGGGAATTCTATGATATCTTTTATTATTATTATTATTACTATTATTATTATTATTATTATTATTATTATTATTATTATTATTATTATTACTATTATTATTATTATTATTATTATTACTATTATTAAGTTTACGTTGTTATTATAGTTATTGGTTATTATTATACAGTGGTTGTTTATTATTATGGAATGCTTGATTGAACTTAAGTTTGAGGTTAAATTACTTCCTTTTAAAGTGTTTCAGAACCAATATTAACTTAATTGTTACTTGGCTTTTAAACTTGAATATTAGAATTTGTTGACAATGGGTTTTTTTTATCAAACATAACTACTTTTGTTTAAACAATATTTCCTTATTGATTCAAATTTGTTTAAGGTTAATGATATAATGACTGCAAAACTGATAAAGAATTTACTTTCTGATTTGGTTCAATTTTACCATCATTTTCAGCAAACTTAATCAGTTCCTATGTCTATAGATCATATAGCTAAAATACTCTTGCATACTTCACTAGAACATTCTTTATCTCTTATTTATCTACTCTAAATTTTAATAATTATATCTACTTAAAATTGATCATATCGAGGGTTAATGTCAATAAATTATTATAAATAACATTTTTATCCTTCAATATCTATTCATTTTAAAATTGAACTGTATCTTTCGTTGTAGCTGATTTATCTATTTCTGTCTCAATTGTTGTATATATTAGCCCTTCCCATAAATCAATTTGTTTCCAAATTTACATTGATATTAAGCTATCCTATAAGAAAAATCTTTTCTCATGTTCATCAATTGTGTAGATAGTTGAAATCATAGTGATAATTCTTTTAACTAAAATTAATTCTCCCTCCTTTTATGATATTTCTAATAGTTTCTAAGTGAATATGTGCATATTTTTGAATCCATATGAACTTATATTGGAGCAACTTAATAAATACATCTAAAGAATACCCTGCTTGTCGAAATGATTCAAGAATGATGCAGCCCAATTCTCTAAAGAACTTTTACTCAAAAATTTCGTCTAAATTATTTTTTTGTAATTCAGGAATATTCTTCCAACCTTTGATCTATTGATCTTATGTTGATTAAATCACATATTTGATGAAACTATAAATATTAACTAACTATTATTCACCATATTAATCTTTATATTTATTTACCATTTATTGAACCCCAGCTGGTTGTTCATCAGCATTCTTTGGTTTGCTTTTATTGTAGACTTTTCCAATCAATTTAATTGTTACTACTTTTAAATCATCAATGAATTCAGGATTGGCTAGAAACAAATCAAAAGAATCTAGAGTTTCAACTTATGCTAAGGATTAAGCAGTTTCTCTTTTAATATTCAATCTATGATTGAGTGAGATTTTATCTGCAATACTCCTTAAAAATGAAGAATTTAATTGAGAATTCACTTTGTTATAATTCTCCTTAGAAATTCCTATCTAACTTGAGGGACCTGGAGCTATTGGATCATTTTGGGGATCTAAATATATCTCAGCCTATTTAAAGAACTGTTCACTATCATATTATAGATTTCTGGTTTTGGATATCTCATACACCAAGATCTTCATTACAATATCCTAATAACATATTGTTATACTTTAGCAATTGCAAATATCTGATTATATGAAGAAGTCAGTTACTAAATTCCATTCTACAAAGAAGTGCAATATGATTGAACAGCTTGATTATAAATTGATGCAGCCTATCTCAACACAGATTCATTCTCTTGTTTGTATTACAATTGAGAATTTAATCTGTGCTATGCTTTTGTTCTCTATTCCATATTGCATTCTTTGTTCCAACACAATGCTTCTAATGTAATTGCTGATTCTTCATAATCCTTGGATGCTCTGACTGTCTTATCCTTCTGACGATCGTACTTGTCACAGGTTATTTTGATTTCTTTATCCATTTTTAATACATCTTGGATAAGTGGTTTGAATTGACTTTGGATTTATCTAAGCTCATTGATGGCTTACTCTACATCATGCTTGTACGATTAATTGAATTGCTTAGTTACAAATACCCACATACCTTATAGTACTGGGCCCTTTGATTGAGATCTATTTTGACTCCTCTGACCAAATCGTCAATGTCTCCTCCTCCATTTTGCATTTATCCACTTATTTTCTCTAATGCTTTGTGATACTTCTCTTCGGCTTCTGATCTTTCGAAAAGCTGGCCCAACATCACTTCTGTTACTCTGCTTCTGTCATTTACCCTTCGATATAGAACATCGAAATTTGTAGCTAATTATTTAATATTCATTATTAATTATAAGTTGTTCCATTAAATTAATTTAATATATCAAATAAATTTAATGTATTATTAAGAAAATTTGAGAAAAGCTCGTGAGTACCTGAACAAAAGATAAAAACAAATCGATCATCTGACCCGTAAACCCATTTAGACTTAAGGCGTTAATATAAGACAAATATTTGCTATTTTGAGATCCAAAGACAGAAATGAAAAAAGTGAGAGTAGATAATTAAAAACAATATATTAAGACAAGAAAGAAGATAATAATGGTGCACCACTTATTGTTATCACATCTTAAAATCCAGACCAAAAAGACTCTAATCATTCTATAACAGCTAAACTTATAAGGCTTAATAAAATAACTCGAAATAAAACTGAAATTACTCCCACCCAATATAATTTTATAGATAGAATTGTTGAACCCACAAATAGAAAACCTGAAATCCATTCAGAATAAATTTCACCATTAAGAATGCGTAAAAATGCTCCTAGTAATTTAACAGACAGGAGATAAGTGATTTTAAAAAATAAAGAAACCATTCATCAAAAAGGTTATCATGTTTAAAATTAAAAATCCCAAGGTTGTATAATAACCCATCAATTCATTCATTCAGAACAAACTACTCCTAGCTTCAGAAGGTTAAATTAAACCTCTTACTAATGCGATAAAACTAAGATTTTCAACAAAATTAAAAATTAACCTTTAGAAAATGAAATCAAGCTCATTAGGTAAATTAGTGGTTGGACTATCTAAAGTTAAGAAAGTATTTAAACACCGAAATGAAAAAATTGTAATATATTTCTCCATCTTTAATTTCAATAAATGCCTATTTAATAAATCTATTTTTTATGCATTATTTTTATTCCAAAATAAAACACCTAAATACTATTTACTTATTTGTATATAAATCCATAGTAAGGACCATTTATAATTCAACATCTCTGTATACATTATAATTTTTCTCTTTTACATCTATATATTTTATAATTTTAAGTGCAATACATTAGATATTATTATCTAAAGATGAGGTACTAAATTATTATGCTTACAAATGAATTTTTAACTCTGCAAATATTATCTAAAATAATTATGATTCTCAATTAATTTATAATCAAATTTAAGAAAAATTAAATCTATTAATATATTATTATAAATATAGAATCACTATATTTATACTGCTATTTTAGTAACTTTAAAATAGAGCGCATAAAATTTTATCTAAAATGGATCCGTTTTATTTCGATCTAGTAATTTCTTCATGTGAATATCTCACATTTGAATTGGAGATATATTCATTCAAGTTTTAAGTTAATACAATTATTAGTGTAATAATTTATAATTTTTATAAATGTCTCAAATTCGAAAATAGACAGGTAAAATTAAGTTAAGTATTTGTAGAACTGTATGTTTGGGGAAGTAATATTTTTATTTAATATAAAAAGATTGCTAATTTGGCTAATTAGGATTAGGGGATGAGTATCTAAAATAAAATGTAAATAATCCAAAATGTTGTTCATATAAAATCATTGTGGTCAAAATTGCCTGCGGTTTTCAACATTCATGCCTATTAGTAAATAATGGAAGCTTATACACTATGGGTTTGAATGAACAAGGACAATTAGGTCTCAACACGTAATTGGAATTTAAATTTGAATTTAGGCAACTCTCGTACATCTCTACTCCTTAATTAATCGAACTTAAAGGACCATTTATAAGAGTCAAAGCAGCTGCTAATTATACTGTGGCTTAAAGAGACACAGGAGAACTTTACACATGGGGATAAAATTAAGCATTTAACATCCATACAAATTAACCATAGTTACTCAAAATTAAGAAGATCAATTAGTTTTCATGTGGAGAGCATCACATGGGATTAATAGATTTTAATTGTTAATTATATATGTGTGGCTCTAATGATTATGGTTAATTGGGTTTGAATTGTTATGAAAGCGTAAGAGAAATTAAGAATATTATAGTTTGTTCCTTAACAAGTGTTAAGTTTAGAGAAATATGATAAAGTCAAATGTGGTTTAACTCATACATTGGTTTTAAACAATGGACAAGTCTATTCCTTTGGATCGAATAAAACTGGTGAATTAGGAAATGGGAAATAGTAGCATTCGTATAACTAATTAAAACCTCTGAAAATTTAAAATGTAAATAAGATATATGCATCTAATTTCTCTGCAGCCATCACTTCGAAGAATGAATTATATTTATGGGGAGTATTATAATTAAAATAAATTAGTCTGGAATATTTGGAGAATTCCTTGTTCCTACCAAAATTGATTTTGCAAATTCAATAAAGAAAATTAAACTTGGGAATGGTTTTGGTTGTATATTAGATGATGATGGATAAATCTATTCTTGGGGAAAAAATTCATCAGGGGAATTAGCTCAAAAAGATTTCATTCCTAGAACAGATATTTAACATATAAAGCAGCTTAAAAATAAATAAATTAAGACCTTTGATTGTGGTTCAAATTTTGTTGTTTGCATAAGCTAAATCTAAGAGATATCCATAAATTATGATTAAATTATCAAAGAAAATGATCAACTCAAATAAAAACTATTATAAATGGAAACTATTTTTAAAAACTAAAAAATGAAATCTTAGGCTGATTTATAATATACCATGCAGCAAGAATGTAAAAGCTTTGATTTAGGAATTATTTAAGATTAATTGGAACAAAAATAAAAAATCATCTAAGAATAGGAAAAAATAATATAAAGCCAAAAGGATAGAATAATATTCTTGGAATCAGAACTTTATTATTATTAAAATAAAGAGAATCTTAATGAAAATTCAGTCACCTATCCGTTTAAAAAAGATGTAAAAAATTAAAACAAGCTAACTTATGATTTTTATAATTAATGAAAGAGTAATTATTAATTGACTTTGAGTCTTTTCTATTCCTTAACCCGTTTTGGTTGCTAACTTACTATGTATTTTTTTAAATAGAATATTTTTTGAAGCAAGAAAATTTGAAAAATTTATTATTTTTTTATTTATTTCTTTAAATATGAATAGAATAAGACCAGATAATAATAAAGCGCTCACTATAGAGTAGAGCAATATTGTTACAATTAATTGTGATGATTCTAATTTTAATTTTTGGAAAGTAGAAATAGACTTATCGAAAATAAAAACAAAAATCGAAGAAATCCAAGAGTTAACAGATGATCAAAAACTATAATATAAGGAGATAATAAATTGGTGCAAAAATTGTAATAGTAATTTTGTTTATAAAGTATAATAAATTTAATTTAGATCGAAATTTAAAGAGAAGCATCTTACAATTATCTTTTAAAACAATATAAAGTGACAGAAACAGAGACCATAATTATGGATACTGAAGGATGTTCTTAGGATAATATTAAACATTTTAAATTTAAGATTTATATGTAAAATACAAATTATAAATCTAATGACAATAGTGAAATGTAAAGGAATTACTTGAAATATTCATCATCCCCTTTGTTAATACTAAGTAATAAGAAAGATTATTAAATTGTGGTACCATTGAGCTTCGACCTCTCAACAGGAATCTCTAAACATAGAAAAAAAAATCTAGTCTTATAAAGAAGTTAAAACGATGTAATCCCTCTAAATATTAAATGGAAATATGATAAAGAAAATTCTACAATTAAATTAATCTTAAAAGCTAGCAATGGTATAAATAATGTTGCAATTAAGGCAGTATTATACTCAAGAATTATTATTAAAGAAAGTAAAGATTATGTTGCTTAAACTCATAAGATTTTAAAAGAAACCACAAGAGAAATAGGAAATGTTTCTGATACTTCAATTTCTCTTGATCTTGATAAAGGTGAGGAAAAATATCCACCTTTATTTTTTGAAAAAAATATTATATCTCATCATATTGTGATATTAACTATAGATTTTAAGATCAAGAGTTTTAGTGATTTATTTAAGAAAAATTTATTTTAAATTGAAATTCCTGTAGATTTAGACCCTAAAGAGGAAGCAGATATAAACCTAACTAAATTATATCAAGAAAAATATTTTGATAATATCAGGCTACTAAAAAAACCATACTAAGATTATTAAAAATACATCTGAAGAATGATTTTAATATATTTATAAGACTCATTAATTCCTCAATTTATAAGAAAATAAATTTGGACATCTTATTAGGGATTTTTTCAAAACAATATTAATTTATTCTCTAATATGTTAAACAATTACCTTATATAGAAGCTTCTTATGTAAACAGGATTTGGATAATTATATAAATTTAAAAGAAAATCACCGAAAATGGCATCTCTTGTTGTTATATACTATAATAATTATTAAAATGATATTTATGAATTATTTCTTTCAATATTGAGTTATCCAATATTCTTTAAATAGATTTTAACATTATGAAATAGATATTCTTTAGATTATTTTAGTATAATATGTTTAAATAATTATTACGAATATATGATATGTAATTTATTTCCAATTTAATTGATCTTGTATAATCTAACGTTATGATTGCTTATCACTTAACATTATATCCAGTATTAAAAATAACAAGGAAGATTTATTTTTTAACAATAAATATTTGAAACAATTTCAAGTATACTCGCGTATAGCTTCAATTCTAAAAGAGTAATCTACATCATATTGTTTATAATATTTGAGTGAATAATCATATGTACAGTACATAAACTTCTTAAAATATTATTAATGAATATCAAACACTTTTTTATTATATATGCAATTAACAGAAAAGAATTTTAGAATCTTTCAACTTGATATTGATTGGTCATCCACAACAAATAATTTAATGTTGATGCGGTTGATTATTTGCATTGATTATTTATTAAATAATTACAGATTAGTCAGGTAGCATGGGATCACAGTGTAACAATTGTAAATGTGAAAAGGAGAAATATATGGATATTGAAAAAGCAGTAATTGAAAATCTCTCATTATAAACTTTTAGGAATATGTAGTAGTTGTTGCTACATCTTCTCAAAAATCAACATCAAAAGCAATTGTAAAAAATAGAATGGCAACAACCATTTAAAAATATTGGCGAGGTTATTACGTTAGAAAAAAGCTGACTTACTAAAAAATAATAGAATCGATTCCGTAAAAAACTATGAACACTCATGAAGTTGATCATTAGGAATAATTTGAATCAGGGATAACGATAAACCAAGATGAATTCGAGAGATAAACACGCCCACCTTATAAGTATCCAAATAAAAAGTATAAGATTCAAAGGAGGAGCAGTCTATACAGGAGAATGGAAAGGATAAGCCAGGGATGGAGTAGGCATACAAGTCTGGTCAGATGGAGCAAAATATGAGGGGGAATGGAAACACAATAAAGCTTAAGGGAAAGGAAAATTCACTCACTCAAATGGAGACACCTATGATGGAGAGTGGGAGAATGATATGGCAAATGGATATGGAACCTATTAGCATATTGGAGGAGCGAAATACGAAGGATAATGGTTCAATGATAAACAGCATGGATACGGGCATGAGGTGTGGCCAGATGGATCATCTTACCAAGGATTCTTTCAAAATAGTGTTAAACATGGAAAAGGTAATTATATTTTCTAAGGAAGGCAAATATATATGGCCAAGTGGATAGTATTTTGAAGGGGATTGGGTTAATAATAAGTTATGTGGTTATGGTGTTCTAGTTTGGCCAGATGGTAGAAAATACGAAGGAGAGTTCTAGAATAATAATATGCATGGAAAGGGAACTTATACTTGGCCAGATGGGAGAAAATATTATGGCTAATACTTTAATGATTAGAAGCATGTATATCTTTAAGCATTTAATGAAAGGGTTATGGAATATATGAGTGGAGTGATGGAAGAAGATATGAAGGAGAGTGGGAAGATGGAAAATAACATGGAAAGGGATTGTATGTGGTTGGAGAACTTGAAAGAACAGGGGAATGGTTGAATGGGAAACGAATTAGATGGGATGATGAAAAGAGAACAGATTACAAAAAATGAATTTAAAATTACTAAATTTTTTCAATATTCTACCATATAATTATAATCATCTTGTATTTTTTATAAAGATTCAAAAGCATTATCGAAATCTTGATTCTCTAAGCCATACTTCCAATACCAATGCAAATATGCTCCACTTCGATATTTCTAATAGGCAATTTTACTGACATTCTTTAATATTGGAATGATTTTGGTTGAATTTATTAAAGTGACATTCATTTTTTAATCATGTCCTTTGACTGAAGATTTTTCATTTATAAAATGCAATTAAACTGCATCAGGATTCCACTGAACAGGATTAAAAACAGAATTAATTTTCCTTTCCAAAAATTTCATATGAGAATCTGAATCTTATAAAGTCTTTAAGACATTTTCTGATCTAAATACGGATTAAAGATTCAAAGTAGTTTCTCCTTTCTTTTAAACTGATTAAATTTATAAAGACTTTGCTACTGCCTCTCCAATTTATTGTTATTGATCACTGTCATCTTCAAATTTTTCAAATGCATACTATTCCAAAGAACTTTTAATCAAGTCTTCCCAAGTACACAATGGTCCCAAATTTGAATGGGCAAATAATGTAAATGGAGCTGAAACTACTTCAATGAATTTATGACCTTCAGTTATGCAACATTCAGATAATAGATCTTAATAATAACGAAGATTAGTGCAATTATCATTTATCCAAAATAAGTTCATTAGACAAGATCCTATATATTCATTTACATTTGATAAATCCACACTTTTATCAATTTGCTTTGATCCAATTTAACTTAGCATTTAATATATCCTGTCATTCTCAAAATAAATAATTGAATCTGCATACTATTAAATGTGTGCTGATGATAAAAGTGTATTATAATGTTAAAGTGGTGTTTCACCAGTCTTATTGGGAAATATTGCTATTACATTCTAATGAACTTCTTAAAATATATCAGAAAATTCTTAGATTACTCTACTACCTAAACCGGATCCAGTGCCACCAGCTAGACTCATTATTGTAGAAATGCTTAAAAAATAATCGGTTTTTTCTATTTCTTTTCTTGCTTAATTAATAATTTGTTCAACTATTTGCTCATTTTCTTAGCAATATTACTGGATTGAAACTTCATTAGTTGAAGACTTAAAAACTGAAATAGCTTGCTACTAATTAGATTTAGATAGTTTAGACTTCTATTTAAAATTAAGATAACCTAAGCCCCAATTATTACCTCGACCATATTAATAGTAAAGAACATTTTTGACATCAATATGAGAGTACAACTTTCTATCCTTTTTTATTATGTTATCTATAACATACTTCAACAATGGGTTTCAGTATTTTTGGTTCTGTATCAACTAGAATAGTGTGATATATATTTGATTCTCTTCTTCTCAAAAACATGTTTCCCTCATGCATTGAAGATTTATCAATTAGATTAAACATTTGTAATGCAAGTTGATTTCCACATTATCCTAAATTCAATAGTAAAGTTCCCATTGAAGTTTATTATTTTAATTTAATATTAATCGAATAAAAAATTTAAAAAATCACAACACTGATTTAGAATAAAATCATTTGTGCTATTTTGTAGCCACATTTTCTTCTTCTAGCGCTTTTTAATGTCCGTTCTCATCATCTAGTCCTTATTCCACATCCATATCTCCAGAAATTCCTTAGGGTTTTGGACCAAGTTTTCCAAAATTTGATTCCCCTGGGGCAGTATTCTCTCTCTGTAAGTCCTGTATGGGTAGATTTGTATCTTCCTAATCTTTTGCTCCTATTTCAGTTTCCATGTTATCTTTCTTCCCCTACTGAATACCTTCCAAAGTATCTTGATTATTTTAAGCTTGTATGTCGGTTTTTTATTCTTCCATCTATTTGTCTTCCTCTATTTAAACTTTATCATCATTATCTTCTTTAGATTGTCCTACATCTTAATTTGAATTAGATTGAATCGGGTTCTTCAATTTGAAGTTCTTTATCAACTATTCTTCACAAAATTTTTTCCTTTCCCTAATCTTTAATATAAAGTTTTTACTATATTTTTTTCTTAAGTTCTTCAGCAGTAGGTATTGGATATGGTTTTTCATAAGTGTCATTGAATTGTTAGTCAACCGCTCGAATTCCCCCAATCACTTTATCCAAACAATTTTCATTGAATTAAGCCTTCCTATCTACTTTTTAAAGAGGTAGCTATTAAAATTCTTTGTTATTTTTAAAATCCTTTTTCTTATAAAATTAACAGATTTCCGAAATAATTGGGTGTGCATGAACTTTTTTTTATCCATCTTCATTTGTTTCAAAAACCTCTTCAAAAATTTTAATTGCATCTTTGCTACATTCTTCAAAAACCATTGCATGAGTATTTTTATTTGTATTATATTAATCATAATTAATCCCATAAGATAAATTCGCTTACAGAATCACTTTATTGCAAGCTATAGGTAGGTAAGATTTACCCTCTTCCTCAGCGTATTTGAAGGTTTCTATGGTTTGTTCAAGTTCTCCTAGCATTATCAATGTATTTTCCAAATCTTTATATATATAGTGTTGGATCTCTCTTTGGATTTAATCAACTTTCTGTAATTATTCTTATTTTAGTTTTTATCCTGCTTCTTGTGTGTTTGGCTTATCTTTATGATTCCGACTCATTAATTAAATTATCCTAAAGGATCAGATTGCTTAAATTGAAAAAATTTATTCTATTATAAAATATCCTTAATAATAGAATAAAATGGTACATAATTTATTGGAAATGATACTTAATAGGCAATAATTATTACAGGTAATGATTTTAGATTAACATCAATCAAGTAATTATAGCTAGATATAATCCTAACAATATCATAGTAAATCAAGGCAGATTGAGACGGAGGAATAAATAGTTAAGTTTACAATAAGATAAGATTTTTTAAATCTTCTTGCCATAGCTGCTGATTATCAAGCAGGCTTAAATCTTTAAGGAAGCTAGAAAAACATGGAATAAATTATCACTATGTTGCACAACAAATTAATATTGTAGGTTAATCTTTCGAGTTCAATTCATTTGGATTAATAATAATAATGCAAAAATTCTCCTCAACTGAATGAAACATTAATAAAAGAAAAACGTGATGTAGAGAACTTTCTAAAATCTATAATAAAGGAAAAAAAATTTGCTCCTTAAATTGAAAAACATCTCAAAAGTTACTTAGATAATTGCCTAAATGACTATCCTAGATTAGTAAATGACCCATTAAATCCTGTTAAAAATAAGGCTGAATTCAATCAAGAAACTATTTAAAAACTCTTTTGTTCTATTAGTTAAACTGATTAAAAATACAGTGATATTTAAAGAGGGAAAGTTTAAGCAAAAGAATTATCATAGAGTGATATTGACAAGCATATAGAGTAAAAAAATTATGTTATAAATTTAGGGAAAGACTGCATGCTGCCCATCATAAATTGTAAGATCGCTAGGAAAGAGGATGCAATATTTGCTAATTAATCTGAACAAGAAAGAATGAAAATTTTTTTATTATACACCTTTTTTCATAAATTCTTCTATTTATAAATAAATAGAATATCTTTAAATATATGACTTTATATTTCTTTGCACATCATTAAATTACTTTCGTATTATTTTATTGGATGTAAACATTGCAAAAGCGAAACCACTTAACAAAAAAAAATTAATATTTTATTCTATTTACCATTCAATTAAAAAATGTTTCTTTGTTTTATAATTATTCAATAACTGTTAGACTATATGATTATAAAGTACTCGACCATATAATTAAGAATTTAATTCTTTTTAATATTATGACAAGCATACTTTGAGATCATTTTTTTTTAAGTATGTTATTTATAAAACCCTTTTATTCTTTAAGGAATATAAATTTTAAACCTGCATAAAAATTACTTGATCTTTAACATAGAGTTAGATCCAATGGAAATCCTATCAAGAATAATGGAATTAATAAGAATAATACATATAGAATAATTTCAGAAATAAATTTGATAATAAAATGTAATTTAATTTTATAATTATATAGTTCACATTTTGTTATAAATTCTCAGAAACATTTTCTGTGAACAATTTATGGACCTGTTTCATCATATTCAGATCTTGTAACCCATTAGGATTGGAATGTTGATAGAGTAGATTAAATAGATCCTCCAATCCAAACTGAAAACTTTCTTTCTGGGGGAGCGATTACTTTAATCTTCATTGATGTAGGTGCCAAATTAGTCATTTCCTTACTTAGTCTCTCCGGTATTCCTGGGAAGAGAGTGGTTCCTCCAGACATTACGATATTATTATATAGATCCCTCCTAACATCAATATCACACTTCATAATTGAAGAAAATGATAATTAATGTATTCCTGGTACTTCTAATCCTATTAATTCAGGTGAAAATAGAATTTCAGAGCATCTGAATCTTTGATCCTTAACTATCACTATGTTCCCATCTGGTAGTTCGTAGGGTCTATTTTAAGAGTTACTTTCTTTATATTTTTTCTCCTCTTCCTTTGGATCTAATGCAGTGTAACAAAGTCTCTCTTTGATGTCTTTAACAATTTCTCTTTCAGCTGATGAAGTAAAGGAGTATCCCAATTCATTGAGTATTTTTGATAAATAGTCTGTGCATGCCCTTCCAGCCAAATCTATTCTTTAAATAGCATGTGGCATTTGATAACCTTCAAAAATTGGTACACAATGAGTAACACCATCTCCTGAATCGACTACTAATCCTGTTGTTCTTCCAGATGAATAGAGTGACAAAACAGCTTGAATAGAAACATAAAAGGATGGAACATTAAAAGTTTCAAACATTATCTAAATCATTCTTTCCCTATTGAATTTTGGATTCATCGGAGCTTCTGTCAATAAAACTGGCTAATCTTCAGGAGATACTCTCAATTCATTATAAAAGGCATGATGCCAAATTCTTTCCATATCATCCCAACTATTTATTATTCCATTCTCAATAGGGTATTTTAAGTATAGGATTCCTCTTTTAGCTTATGCATCATCTCCAACATACACTTCTTTGTTATCCATACTACACATTGCAACCTTCTACTTTGTTCTTCCTACAATAGCAGGAAAACAACATCTAGGAGCATCCTCACCTGCTATGCCTGCTTTACATTATCCTGAACCATTATCTATTATAACTGCTGGTAATTAGTCTGACATTAAATATTTTCACTTATTAAATTGAATGAACTTCCCCAGTTTTTTATGTTTTAAATTGCGACTTCTAAAATATTTCTGATTGGTTCTGACTTTTTTATAAACTTATGGCTATTATAAGAATTAATTATAATAATAGCCATAAATTTACTGAATATAAATTTATTTATTATAACTTAATTTAAATTTAATTCTAAATCTTTATAATAACAATAAGAATTATGTCTTAAAGAGTTTTTTTAATTATTTTAGATTTACTTATTACATTATAGAAATCAAAAGTTAAAAATCTAGGTTTAAATAATTGCAAACAATTCTCATAAATATCTTACAAAACTATCAATGGCAAACTCAAAAATTCAAAAAAACTATGGATAAAAAAGATAGATAGGTTGATAGTTGGAATGTGTATTAACTGTATTATTCTATATGTTACAATCTATATATTATTGTAATCACTCTTTAACGGTTGCCTTCTTCAAATTCTCGACAAATAATTTATTGTAATTGACAACCTTATTGGCCAAGCTATTCAACAAATCTTTTGGAGCATCTCCCTTTGGATCAAAAGATTACACCATTGTCACTAAGGTTTATCCATTTGCAATTGGTTTGAATCCAAAGAAACTTATGATTATCTCTGCTCTAACATACTCTTCTTTTACGGGTGCTTCAGGTAATTCAATGGATTTAGCTAGAAAATATCAAAATATTATATACCAACAATAAAGTTTGTACCATCAGGTAAGGATGAGGCTTTAGACACAGTGACTATATCTCTTTATTATTACAAGACTTAGTTAGGTTTGGTTAGAATATATTGAATAGAAATGTTATCATCGATCTTCTTGATGAGATTAATCTAAAATTATATGATTATGAATATACTTCCTGAGCTGTGTGGTTGTATTCTTAAAATCTTGTCTAGTCTTTAAGCACTTCAACAGCTTTTTTTGGGTCTATCTCAGCTACAATTTCGGATCTTGAGATCTTCCATCCTGTAGAGCCAGGTTTGGAATAGAATACAACTCCATCCTGTTCAATTTCCTTTTCCCATTTGCCTTCCTCAATAGTTTAATATGCCAATTCAATAGCCTTAGCTTGCAATTCTGGGATATTAAGTTAATGACTTACATTCTAACTCTGCTTAATAATTTGCTTGCATGCTTGTTATATACTTAATTTATTGGAATAATCAACTAAGATTTACCATTAAATAGCCTAAAATTATACTATGTTCTATATGGTAATTAAAACAGAATATTAGAAATTCCTATTAAATTGGAATATAATTTAATTTATTAAGTTTTTGGTTTAAATGTTATTTTATTTAATTACAATAATTCCATATAGGTATTAAATAGTGATAATATCTATGTCCCCATATTTTATGCAGATTAATTTGTTATATATATTCTATAAATACTTTAATTGCTATTATTTCAGCTGAACCCCAATTGAATTCAAATTCAACAACTTGATTTTCACTATAATGTTTAAACATAAATTCGCATTATGAATTCCAGATCAATAAAACATATTAACTTAATTTTAAATAACATCTAACTTAAAATGTTATAATCAAATTTTACAAATAAAATTATGATAGAATCTCATCCCCCTATAGTAATTGAAAATGCTTCTTGCAATATAAGAGCTGGAATAGTTGGAGAAGCAGCTCCTAGATGTTGTTTTCCAACCCAAGTTCTCAAATTGCAGGATTCTTAATAAAACAAAATCTTAATTGGAAGTCAGATTCAAAAACACCAATTAAATTGTTAACCTTGTTATCCAATTTAATATGGGTACATAATGGATTGGGAGGCTATGGAATAGATTTGGCAATATATTTTTGAGGTCTAATTATAAATTTCACCTTCTAATCATCCTGTATTATTAACAGAAGCACCAAGAAATCCTAAATTGAATCAAGAAAAGATGACATAAATCATGTTTGAAAAGTTTGACATTCCCCTTCTTCATATATCCAACTAGACTGTGCTTTCATTATATTCATTAGGCAAAACTACAGGTGTGATATTAGATTCCGGTGAAGGCACCACACATTGTGTACCAATATATGAAGGATTCCAATTGAGACATTAGCTATCGAGATTGGACGTGGCTGGGACTGCCTGCACTAATTAAATGTCATAATTGTTGAAAGATTAAATTCTGAAAATGTATACCCCATTATAAAAGAATCGGATTGCAAAGACTATTAAAGAATCATTATGCTATGTAGCATTGGATCCGATTTCAGAAGAGAATAAATATCAAGGAAATACATAGCACTCAAGCTAATACATTTTACCTGATGGAAATAAGTTAGCCATAAAAGAACAGAAATATCAATGTCCAGAAATTTTATTCAATCCGAATATGGCTGGATATGAATTACCAGGAATTCATTAAATAACTTATCAGTCAATTTTTAAATCTGATAGAGATTTATAGTAATAACTTTATAATAATATTGTGATTACTGGAGGAACAACTTTATTCCCTGGCCTTTAAGAAAGACTGCTTAAGGAAATTGAAAATCTAGTTAAGGAACCCTATCGAACTAGGATTATTGTACCTCCAAATAGATTGAATTCAACTTGGATTGGAGGATCTATTTTGTCTACCTTAACGAACTTTAAACCGTTTTGGATCACAAAGCATGAATATGAAGAGTTTGGACCTTAAATTGCTCACATTAAATGCTTCTGACTTGTAAAAATTAATAATGATCTAACATTTGTAGAACTTATTATTAATTCAAATATATCATAATTATTTCTTTATGCTAGAACTATTTAGTCTTTATTCAAAAGATGGTGAGGTTCAACCATCCATCTCCTATTCTAGATGAAATTTATATGAGATGATAATCAACTAAAAAATAATAAGTTTGGAATAACTAATAATTAATTTATTGATATGATTCATATTCCATCATCAATAACATCCTCTTCTTAGAAATCATCATCATTTTACTCTTGTTACCTTCCATATGGTTGTTTCTTATTTTATTATTATTATTGTTATTATTATTGACTACCTACTTTTTATTTCATGTAATTCATAACTTTTTAAATCTAAAAATCAATAGAAATATTACTAATTCTTGATCCAAATACGGATTGAGTACAATAGATTTCTTCTACATCTTTTACATCTCTTCATAAGCCTTCTCATATTGACCTTGAGCATAGTAGTATTCAATTAATTCTGCAAATATATCTCCCTGTCTAACTGCATATTCAATATTACTCTAAATATATACTATAACTAAATACATCGTTTAATAACTTATAGTAGATTTGTAACATCTCCTAAGGAGACTTCTATTTGGCTTGAACAAAATCTAAGATCAATTTTAATTTTTATTATAATTATTGTGTTTTCTATTGGCTAGTTGATTTCTCTGAATATTTAATTGCTTCTTTCAATGCAGCACAAGCTTTCTCATAATCCCTATATTCATCGATTTCAACTGAAGAACACGCTTCAAAGAAATTGGCCAAGTGATCAAATGCTTTGGCTTTATTATAGAATTGTATAATGTGCTTCATAAGATCTGGTGTTTTATGCCAATCACCAGTTTAAAGGTAATTACCGGCCAGTATATAGATTTCAGCCATTCTAGCATTATTTGCAAAAGCAATTATTTTTTCAACATCACCCAATTTACAAAGTGCTTTCATGGCTTTCACTCTTTCTCCCATTTAAATGTACATCTTAGAAGCTTATTCGAAATTGCCCATTTTTTTTGATTTCTCAGCAATCAGCAATTACACTTCTTTTTTTCTTTTGTCATCAAGACCATCCAACATTTGTTTAACCAAATCATCACTTATTTATATACCTTAATTTTCACACATCTCCAATACTTTTTCAAACTATTTCTTATTAATTAAGTCCTGTATTGAACCTGGAGGTGGTGCTCTATCCTTTGATTAAGTAGATTGTTATTATGGTTATTATTGATTAACTATTTTCTATTGTGATGGAGCTTCCTTCAATGAACCAGTATTAGTAAAGGTCAAATCAACAGTCTCTTGTTTTTGAAGTGCGATTTCTTGATTGATCTTCTTCACATAATCTGTCAATTTTTCCTTTTAAGCTAAATACAAGGCTTTTTGCAATTATCCTCCTCTCATGTAGAGTAAAACAGCTTTATCAATAATTTTCTTTTATTCAAAGTAGATGGCTGATTAAATCATAATCAATTTAGGTGCTTGCAATGATATTGCAGTGACATCAGAAATCAAATTAGCTTCTTTAGCCAATCTTATTGCTTCACTATAATATTAGGCCTTTGCATAATATTATATGGCTTCAGGGATAATGTTCTTGGCTTCTAAATATTTGGCTAAGAAGTAATGAGCAGCTGGATCATTCTTATCATTACAAGTCTCTTTGGCATGTCTCACATTATCCTGGTGTAATAACACTCTGACAATTCCCAATGCATCATTTGCATCTCTGTAGAATTTCATTGCTTCTTCGTATTGTTCCTATGACTCCAGATGATTACCCCACCATTTATAAAGAACTGGGTCTTTCTTTTATAAGACATAGCCTTCCAAATATTGTAATTCATCAGCTTCATAAAACATTCTAGGTATTTCTTTTTGTGCATTGCCTGATTTCTCGTAATATTAGATGGCCTTATCCCACTCCTTGGAAATTTCATACTGTTTGGCCAATTTGTAATATGTTGATAAGAGATTGATTCTGTCGTGTTTCTCTGCAATTTCCAGTGCCTTTTCCCATTGTCCTTATGCCTAATACAATTTATTGAGTAAATCATATCTCTTGCACTAATAATATAGTTTTTCAGCTTCTGAGATCATATTTAATTGAATAGCAACCATAGCTAATTAAGCTTCAAATTCAGGTTCTTTCTTGGTCTCTCTAATTGCCTTAGCACCTCTGGCGAATCTCATGTTTCCTATACAAATTTCAGCAACATCCAATCTTCTGGTTTTGACACTCATCTAAGCCATTTTTTCCCAGACTGTTGGATTTTGAATAGCCTTAACAGATTTATAGGCCTCATCCAAATTTCCACAAGATAAATGATAAGAGAAATTGATGACAGCTCTTTTGGTTGGTTCATCTGCTCTTTCTAAGCCAGTGAAATCATTCATTAGGATCTCCTAAATTCTATATGATTGTTCCTTCTTCTGAATAACATTGATATGTGGGATACGAATAGACAACACTCCTTCGTATTTTTCATCAAGTACATAGCAATCTTATTCTTTGATTCCTGTCTATGGATTGAAGAAGAAAGTGAAAAACTTTTTAGCTCTGAAATCAGCCTATTCCTCTTCGACATCGTTTTCACTATTTGTTTTAATTTTAGTGCAAATAGTAGTAACTCCAAAGAATCTTGGGTCTGAAAAGTCCCACATTATCTAAGTAGCTTTTCTGTATTATGGCAATTCAAATGATTAAAAGTTGTTGTTCTCTGGATTATAAACAAAAAACAAATCATTTTGATTTCCATGATTATCTGCTATAATGGCCACATTGGATCCATCGCAATTGACAGCACATTATTTAATTGTACCTAAAGAACCCTTGTCATTTTCAAACTTGCAATTAAATCCTGAGAGTTGTGCCTCTCTTCTACTAAAATCATATAATCTGAAATAATTGTTATGTGTCCAAATGACCATGGTTTTATTATTGAATTCATAATTTGCTATGATTCCATCACTCTCTGAAAAATCAACAAAGTATTTTTAAACTCCTTTAAAGTTTGTCACTTCAAATTTGTATTCATAAAACAATATAAGATCCTCTTAGAATAGAGCAGCCTTCACACATTTCTTTTCAAAGGACGATTTAGCTAGAATTTAAGAATTATCTAAATAGATTTATTTGTTTATTACTTGTAAATTCGCTGATCTCAATCCTATTTGCACTTTGAACCAAAAGATGTTACTGCGTACAGTCAATTGACTTAATAGGATATTTGCTATCCCATAAAAACATTGACCAAGGTCCTTTGTCTTTGTCTTGATTTTAAGAGTCATTTTTAAAGTAGATTAAGACTTTATTATGTTCTACTTACAAAACTCTAACATTTTCATATATTTTTCCATGAACCAAAGTCTCTTATACTATTTTGACTGAATCTGCTGATCTTGCAGCAATAACCCCACTATTTTTACCAATAGCAATTTCATTGACAGGCTTATTAAGTGCAATTATCTGTAATGCCTTCCATTATTCACTTTCAACTGGAGATTCATCTGTCAAGGCATAGTTTTTCCAAAATACCAATCTACCATCTTTAGTTCCTGCCACTAAATTCTTAGATTTCTTGCTGTATTGAACACATGTAATCTTGTCATTCAATATCTTCTCCTTAGGATATAACTCTTAAAACTCATGCAGAGTGATAACATAATTTTCATCAGCTTCCAACTAAAACATTCTGATCATATTTTCATTTGATGATATTGCTATCAAACATTAACCTATCCAAACCGATTGTAATGATTCTGGCTCTCCCGCTATTGATAATTTAACCTTTTTGTCCGGCTATGTCTTTTCACTTGTGCTGATTTTAAATTAAACCAATAGCAGACCACTTGTGATTATGATGACTGAATTATATTTCTCGTATATCATCAAGCATTTAATGCTACCCACTACTTTACAGACTTCTGAACAATGTTTACTATCATCAGCCAAACATACCAATCCTGATTTTCCACCAAAAAAGAATAAATTCTGGGCCTTGATAATATTATTTAAATCGGCGAATATGCAAATTGTCATTATACCTTCCTTTTGATATGTACTCATGGGGGTTATTCCTCTCCATACGACTACTAAACCCGATATATCTGCACTCACCATCCTAGATCCACTTGTGTTATATTGTATTAAATTAATTTCTTCTTTATGCACAGCTGATTCCTCCTTTGCAGTACGTGTATCCTCTTACCATATTGTTATTGTACCTAGATGTTATATAGTAGATTCTACCATTCTGCCATCCTATTGCTAATTGTGGCTGAATAGGATGCCATGCAATTGCAGTAGGTTTCTAATTACGAGCTAATTCATAATCGAATTTCTCCCCTTAATCATTATACAGCATCACTCTAGATATCGTACAGATCGCTATAGATGGACTTATAGCACTGTTTGAGACAGACATCATAGTAATGGTTTCATTTTTTATTAAAATCGTATGTTCACTCAAAATTGACATTTTTAATATTAAATTCAAAATTGAATTTTCTTGTTAACAAACCACTTCAACCCATTACCTCTTTGAATCTACGAGATCAGCCACTCTACCATTTAATAGTCACTATTGATAAGCACCAACTTCCACTCAAATTTTATCAATTTTAGCAACGCAAAGCATTTAATATTAAATTACTTCCTATATAAATCATTTCCTAGAATACTTTTCAACAATTTAGGATTAATATAAATAGAAATAATATTTTGAAAAAGATTAATTATGTATATCATAATCAATCTTATCCTTAAGGAAGACTGTAGGAAATTACAATTTAATTTAGATCCCTAATATTAAATTTAAAAATATATTCTACTAAGTTAAGTTATATATATATATACAAATTTAAAAGCTGTTAGATGTTCATTTAAAAAGCACTAATGTTCTATATTTGATATCAATTAAGAAGTGTAGAAATAATTGGCTATTGATGATAATAATTATGTTAATATTCAATTCAATTCGCTTATGAGATCTGATTAAAATATGTGACTGCCTAGTTATAGAGATTTGTATATTTAAGTATTTCTTCTTGAGTACGCTCTGGAGCATGAATAATACTTTTTATACACTCCGCAACAGCGATAAGATTACCAACTCTTGCCTATTCCTAGGCTATCTTTAATTTTTATATAATATCCTATATATTTTATTTGTATATCTCACATCTTGTGGAAATATGTATTGCATCTCAAATGAAATGTGCTAAAAGACTAATTGCATGGGATCTTCTTGCTTCACCTAAGGGGAAGGCGAGGGCATCTGGGGTTATGGTTGGAATGGGATGGTCTGTTGTTGATTTGCCTCGGAGTCTAAAATTAAAAATGGGGAAATACCATGGATGTATTGACAATTTTAGCCATTTTTACAATAATTTTGGGCATGGTATTTGCAAGGAACAAAATAATAATAATTTAAGCAATACTTTAAAATATGGGAGGTTGAGGTTTATTAAGTGGCTATTCAATAACTGTGGCCATGGCTGATAGAGCAGAGGCAGGTAGAGGATCTGAAAAAGATAAGATATTATTGAATACCATTGATTTGTCTTTATTCTTGAGTTCCATGAGCAAATTAACATTTGTTTCCAATGGCACATTGTTTAGTAGCTTGAATTGATTCTAGGTATTACCTTAGTAATGACGACAAAGCATGGTTTTGTACTTGGCATTAGGCACATTTTATTGTTGCAATTGGCTACCCCCAAATTAATACGACATTTATATTTATAATATAAATTATCGTTTTAGTATGCATTTAATATTGATGATCTTAACAATTCTGGGACAGTGCAAACTAAGCACGAAGCCTCATCAGAATCATTTCGAGAATATTTTCTATTACGATGACGAATATTACTAAGTAAACCACAATAAAAGATTAGAACCATCTGCATGTATCCAAAGTTTATTGGAATGCCAATTTCAATAAGCGTCTAAAAGACGTGGACCCCAGATATCTGTATTACAAAGATGGAGACATCAAAAGATACACAAAATACGATAAAATAGGACAAGGAGCCTTCTCTCAAGTTTTCCTTGGACTTCGAGATGACAATGAGATGGTGGTAATGAAGGAACTAAAACCTATGAAATGGTAGGCAATCAACAGAGAAATTCAAGTGTTGAAAGCTATCAAGGGGACAACTAATACACTATAGTTGATTGATGCTATTAGAAATTAAAATAAGAAACAAAATGCTACTTTTATTTATTAATATTTGAGCAGTGTGAATTTACTGCATCTATTTGGGAAACTGGAATTACCAAAGATTAAATTATACATGTACTAATTGCTAAAAGTATTTACAATACTTAAAAGGCTCTAAATTAAGTACATAGCAAGGGAGTAATGCATAGGGATGTCAAAATGGCGAATATCATTATTAAAGAAGATGATACACTCTACCTAATTGATTGGGGTTTGGGAGAGTTCTACCATCCAAAAAAGAGATATAACACTAGAGTGGGAACTCGTTATTACAAAGCTCCAGAATTGTTAGTCAATAATAAACAATACGATTACAGTGTTGATATGTGGGCCTTTGGTTGTACATTAGCAAGCATGATATTTCAAAAGTAACCTCTATTCAAAGGAAAAGATGTCTATGATTAACTAGATAAGATTGTTGCCGTTTTGGGAACTGAAGATCTCTTAAAATACTTGGACAAGTATGATCTCATCTATCCCGATCCACCCATGTATAGATATATACATTTATTAGTCATTCCTAAAAGCCTTTCACTATTTATATAGATCCTGAGAATGCTCATTTAGTTACAAAGGAGGGCTTGGATCTGATAAGCAAATTGTTGGTTTATGATCATAAATTAAGACTCACTGCAGAAGAAGCTATGGCACATTCTTTTTTTGATGGCTATCGAATATGAATTAATTTAAATAAATGTAAAAAATTATTGTTCCTCTTTTAACCTTGAATAATGGCAACAAAATTCCATAGGTAGGTTATGGTACTTACCAATCTAAGGGTAATGAATTAGTGGATGGAATCAAATATGCCTTATAAGCGTAATAATATTTATGATTATTACTCTTAGCGGGTACACCCATATAGATTCTGCCTCTTGTTATAGAAATGGCAAGGATATTAGAGTTCCTAGGAGAGAAGACATTTTCATCACTTCTAAGATCGCCCCATAAGAACAAGGATATGAGAATACCATTAATGCCTGCAAGAAAATCCTCTAAGATTTGGATACAACATACCTTGATTTATTGCTAATTCATTGGCCAGGTTCTGCAGGTAATAAACCTAATAGTCCTGAAAATGCCACTGTGAGACTTTAGACCTATAAAGCTTTAGAGTAATTATTTTAAGAAGGAAAAATTAAAAATATTGGAGTCAGCAATTTTCTAAAACATCATCTTGAACATCTTCTGTAACATTGTAAAATCAAACCTGTTATCAACTAAATTGAAGTACATCCCTTGTGTTGGGATTAAGCTACTGTGTAATTTTGTCAATAACAAAGTAATAATTAGTAATTAATAATTAGGCATCTTAATTGAAGCATACTCTCCTATTGCTAGAAATGATCCCAAATTGATCTAGAACTAAATAATGATTGAACTTTCAAAGAAATACAATAAAACTGTTGCTTAAGTAAGTCTAAGGTGGGCTGTACAAAAGGGATTTATTATATTACCAAAATCAAAGACTCCAAAATACATCAAAGAAAATATTGAGATTTTTGATTTCGAAATTTCTTAAAATGACATGAATACTATTGATACTCTTAATCAAAATTATCACACATGTTGGGATCCTAGCACAGTCATTTATTGAGCTATTATTTATGTCTTAAAAAAGTTGAGTGATATTGTATTGATAATGTTCATTTATACATATTTTTTGAAAAATTTGTTTGAAAAGAACTAAATTCTTGGAATAACGAATACTATTAATAATTAAATTAAATGGTAAGACGTGTGATTGTGTTATTACTATTAGGAATAGTGCTTGGATTACAACCATATGAAGCTGATTTCTTAATGTTTGATTAGGATGGGGATAAAGTGCTTAAATATGATGAATTAAGAGCTCAATTTCCTACTTAGAACCCATATAACACAGCTGATTTTGTTGCTTAATTCTTTCTAGATTATGATTCCAATGGAGGTATATTACAATAATCATATGTTAATTAGATAAAATCATTGAATTCAAAGAATATTCAACCAAAAGAGAATAATAAAAATTAGAATTAGAATAATAATAGCAATCCATAAGTTCTATGTATCATGACGATTTATGATTTTTAAACAGTATTTTAGTTTACGCAAACCTTCTAAACCATTCTATTTCATTGTTAATAAAGTCATATCACTTTTTAGTATTTTTAATTTTTAACATTTATATATATATCATTAGCTTACTTTACGTATCTATCTCAATTATATCCATAAAAATACAAAAATATTTAATTTATCTCAGCATGTGCTAGCACTCCAAATGAGGCAAGTTTAATATCTCTTGTAGTAGCCTTTAATTCTACATCTCTTTTCAGTTTTATTTAAGCTGAATTTATCGACTGTTACATAAAAGTACTTAAAGAATAAGTAACAAGTAGTTAGTGATAAAACAGATAGATTCTTGAAAGGCACAAAGAAGTCAGGATATGATTAATAGAGATGATGTAAAGTTTCAGTAGCTTCCTTTACAAGTGTACTTTATTTACTTTGAATATATAATCAAATCACAAAAGGAATATATGATTATTTCGATAAAATAATTAATAGCACTCCTGATCATATTCTATTTTGCAATTCTAAACTTTCAAATACCTTCTTTTTAGCAATTATTTAATTACGATTTCATTTGGAAGTATCAAAACCCTATGTTTGGAGGTATTTAGTTCACCTGTCATACCTTGGATAGAGTTGAGAATAACACTCTTAAGCTTTGCTATTCGCACTTAGATTTACTAAATACAAACTAGAAAATTACAGAAAGGATGGCGTAATTTTAAGAAATCTATTTCAATCATGTTTATCGTTGTGAGTTATTCTATGGATTTAATACTACTAAGCTAATTTGAATGCAATTTCAATGCAAATTCTGCTATAATATAAATTAAGAAAAGTATTAAAATTAATTAATTTTTCTGTGTAATATAGTTACTTAAGTAAATTTATGAATAGAATAAACTGAGTAAATCTAAGGATTGTTCCATTTTATTAAAAATGAGTATATAGTTTTAAACAATTTATGCTGAAAATACAAAATTTAATGTAAGGGGTTGCATATCTTTATAAAATGTATGGAGAATTTAATTGTCGTTGTGAAGGAGAACTTCATAACTTAGATTGAGCTTAAGGAGATAAAATCAATCATTTATATACCCCAACATCTTTCTGAATTAATAAAATTATAAAGATTTTTATGTTTAACCTTACCCTCAGCTTTTCTTAATTTGGTATTTAAAAGACTCACTTTTAATTATATGATTGTTAAAATGAGGGTCTAAAATCAAAACAATTGTAAAGAGATAAATAACCAATTCATCTTGTCACAATAAAAATTAGATAGTTGTTATAGTTCAATTAAACAATTTCTGTGATTCCGAGAATTCTTACTCAGCCAAGTGCAGGTATTAAATGAGATATACGTAGCTGTATACAATGATGGGTTAGATAATGAAAATTATGATTTAATAGTGAGATTGGATGATGTAATAATAAATGAAAAGACAGGCAATTAATATATTGCTAAAGAATTGTTAGGTGCCGGTACTTTTGGAAGTGTTTATAGATGTGTGAAGAATAATTCAAACTTTGCTATCAAAATAATAAAAAATATTAATGCATACAATATACAATCCATGAAAGAAATTAAATTGATTAGGTTCCTTAATAAAAAATAAGAGCATGAAAGCATAATTAAATTGATTGATTATTTTCTTTTTAAAAATCACGTGTGCATAGTTTTTCCATTATTAGGATTCAATTTGGAAGAATTGCTACAAGAAACTAAATATCAGGGCCTGTCATTGCACATGATAAAGAATATTTTGAAATAATTAATAGCAGGATTGGAATTCTTGCACTCATTACATTGGGTACATTGTGATATCAAACCTGAAAATATTTTATTCACAGAGTAACTTTGTATATAATATCATAGTAATACAGCCAAATAAATTTAGATAATTGATTTTGGATCTGCAACTGAATTAAATATCAATTTGTATTATTACATATAGAGCTTGTATTATAGAGCACCTGAGGTATGTCGAATTGCATATATGTATTTAGATTATTCTCGGCTATAAAAAGACTTGTGCCATTGACATGTGGTCAGTAGGATGTGTGGCAGCCTAGTTGTACCTAGGATACCCTTTATTCCAAGGGACGTCATCTTTTGATCAATTATCAAAGATCCTTGGCCTAATTTCTATGTATTTTATAATGAATCACTAAATTTAGTACCAACTAAGAATTGATCCAAAATAGTCCAAAATGCTAGGATTATTTTATTAAAGAGAACCAAAACTATGTGCTTAAAAATTTGAAGAAGTATCAGAATGAATATAATCTAAATCTACATGATCCTGGAATATAAAATATAACTAATATTTAGGAGTTGTATTTGGAATTCAATAAATCAAGTTTAAGAACAATCCAAGGTTCAAATTGGTAAGAAACTTATAATTAGAGATGGCCACTATGGAAGACTTCTTAGATTTACTAAAGAAGTTACTAGAATTTGATCCCGCTTTACGAATTACAGCTAGCCAATGTTTGCAACATCCGTTTTTAAGAGACTTTTAATTTAATATTAATGACATTCTTAAGTAGGACCTCTAATATCAATGATAAATAGATAAACTACAAATTGTTGTGTGACAATATATATATATATATATAAATGGGTGTCATTCAATTTCATCTAGTAATTCCTGAATAGATTTAGAATTTTCAGAAATTGCCTAGTCAATTAACACGAAAGGGTTTTTGCAAAACTACTACCGCCCCTTACTTACTTTTTTAATTGTTTCAATTTGCTCTAGAGTAGCTGGAGCAGAGGCAGCTTTCCATATTAAATTTAAAGGATCATTGAATTCTATATTTTTTTGTGGCAACCCTATTATCTTTCTCTTTATAGGTAAAGGCTGCAGAACATCACTTTTAATATTAATCTGCATTTTAATTTTATTAATATAATTAATAAATGTAGGCATGTAGTTAAAAACATGAAATTTTAAATATTTTGTATTACTAAAATCCAAAGCTATTCATCTAAATTACTTAATCCACTTCTCAACGTCCATCAAATCCTTATCCTTGGAGAATTTATGAAGAAAATTAATGATCTTAGAATTATTTTTAGAGGATAAAATTATTCGACTGAATTAAGTAAGTCAATATTAATAACAAATGAATTAATTGCTCAAATTATTTTGCATCCTTCCAAATCAATGGTTGCTTTGAAAGTGTTGTAATCCTATAATTTTAATTTCAAATATTCAGATTCTTATTCATCCTTTGGGAATGCAATACAAAATCCACCATCTCCAGCCCCTGTCATTTTTGCAGGAATATTTTCATTTTTACAAATTCTCTACACTTAATTTAAATGTATACTATGATATCATTTATTCTATCAGTGCAAATGCCTAATCTATTCAAAAGATCATGATTTTCATAAATCAACTCCTTCACAAGTCCTTCTTTAATTATTTACTCAGTTACTTCTGAAATTCTATTCAAAATTTATCTCCCATCCTTATGCTCAACACAATTTCTAACTTTGGCTATTGATCCCTCAGTACCTTTTTATTTTCTATCTCCAGAATCAATTAATAACAAGTTTTGAATAGGAAGATTAACTTACTAAATGGGTTTTCCTATCTGAAATACACATATGCCTCCATGATTGGTTACTTAAACATCTAATCCACTTCCTCTCTTACCATGAAATATATTCTCAATGTCAATGGCTTAATCAATGGATCCATTCATGGCTTTGGTTAATGCAACAGCATATGATGCTGAAGATCCTAGACCAGAACTAATGGGTACTTCAGATTCAACTTCTATGATTTATGGTCTCATATTCAAGATGCGTGCGACTTGAGCTAACTAAGAATTTGAATTATTTGAATTTAGATCCAAGACTTCATGCCAATCGTTTCCCCATTTAATCTCGATTGAATTGGTTTGGTTAGGGTGTATTTTTATTGTAGTGTATTTGTTAATGGCTGCACATAATGCTTTATGACCATACACAACAGAATGCTCACCTGAAATGATGATCTTAGCAGGTGCTCTTATAAACATAATTAAAATGGAATATTTAGAAATTATTGAAACAATAATTCCTTATGTTATAAACCAAATTTTGATGGGAGTCGAAGATAAGATCGTTCAGAAGTTAGAGATTGACTCAAGTGCCTCTTATTCCTTAGACTTGGCTTTTAAAATATTAAAGCATGTTGCCTTTGATCCAACATCCTAAAACTATTCTGAATAGGAAGAAGGGGAACCAAAAAATGTGTCAAAAGAAAGACATAGAGCTTACAACCTCAAATATATATAACCTCCTAAGGGTTAAGTGACTCCCAGAGTAGAAGAACCTCCGAAACACATATTTATGATGCCCACTCAATTGTGGGAAGATTATGAACCCTAATTGATAAGACAAAAGACCAAGGAATATGTTGAGGAGTATCCTGATGAGAGGAGGATCATGGAATAAAAATGCTTAGAAAAACAGTACAAAGAATAAAAACTGAGACAATAATCAAGAGAAAAGAGATAAGTTAAAGAGTTGCATACTCAACTGATAATGAAGATAGGTTCTAAAGAATACACTTATGATTATAATTGCAATCCACTTGCTCGATCCAATAATTAAGTCAAGAAGGATGTTATAACAACATTACCATATGAAATTCCATTAACTGATAACAATTCTATAATTTCTTAACCCAAGTTGATAGAATAAGTTAAATAGAAAAGGAGACAGGTTGAAAATATCGAAACCATAATGGAATTCGAAGAAGAACAAGTACAAGAGATTAAATTACAACCTGGAGTTAGACTCAGTCTGAAACCCATCCAACTCCAAGAATAATCTGTTAGATTGTAAACCTAAAAGTCCAAACAGCCAGATGCAAGTTCAATCTCTTAAAAAATACCCAAAAAGTACAAAAATGTGGTTAAGCTTAACAATATCAATTTGGTAGGTTACTTATAACAGTAGGAGGGTGATAGTTACATTAAGGTGGGGTCGATTGCTACAAATTAAACCTAACAAATTTCACCTACAAATCAAAGTTTTATTGATTAAGAGACCATTAAGCAGGACTTACTCAGATTGCCAAAACTGAGGTCGCACTCTATAAATCCCAAAACCAAAAGAAAAAGTAGATTGTACCCTTCTTATTCAATTGTGACTTATAGAGATTGATTATATTAAATATATATATTTAAATTTCTAGAAATAGAGTATCAGAAATTTTAAGGTTTAAACTATTTATAGATAAATAAATATACTATTATATTCATAAATAAATTATTAAACAGCGAATTAAATATTTAAAATGGGTTGGTGGAATGGAAACAACAATGATGACGATGCAAATAAGAATTATAGCTAAAATGTCAATTCAACTTTTAAATCTTCAACTACTACAAGATAATGCAGACCTGATCCTTAAGATTAAAATTTTATGATCTGCAAAAATATCGTAAAGGAGAGTTCGACAATTAATGGCTAGAGGAATGATGAAACAAAAGAATATGAAGAAAGACTTCCCATATCTCAAAATTATGTAAGAAGGAACCAAAACTACAATTAGAATAATCCAGAATTTGATTTTAATTAAATGGATGAAGAAATTGGGTAAATGTTTGAGAATTTCACAAATAACTTCTTTAAAAATCTACCAACCGTTGTATTTGGACCCATGAGAGTCGATTTTTAAAATCCCAATTACGAAACAAAAGGAAATAACAACTATTCTAATCAGCCAAAACCTTAACAACAACAACAGCAATATCAATAATAACCTAGGGTCCAAAAGAAGAAGGATGACATCTATGATTGTTGAGTTTTATATATTATATTTATTATTATTAAATCGAATGAAGATTGTAATTAATTTAAAAAATTTAATTAAAATCTTTTATTCATGGGAGTAGGTAAACCCAGAGGTATGAGAGCCGGAAGAAAGCTCAAAGATCACAGAAGAGTTAACAGATGGGCTGATAAGGAATATAACAAAGCTATGATTGGATCAAGATATAAGAATCCATTCATGGGCGCATCACATGCTAAAGGTTTGGTTGTTGAAAAGATCGGAGTGTAATATACTTTTATAATGTGTATCTAGTGAATCCAAATAACCAAACTCTGCCGTCAGAAAGTGTGTTAGAGTCTTATTGAAAAAGAATGGTAAAAAAATATCAGCCTTCGTTCCCAAGGATGGTTGCTTAAACTTTTTAAATGAAAATGATGAAGTCACAGTAGCTGGATTCGGAAGAAAGGGACATGCAGTCGGTGATATTCCAGGGGTCAGATTTAAGATTATTGCAGTTAAAGGAAAGTCACTTTTGGCTTTATGGCTTGGAAAAGTTGAAAAATGAACAACTTATATTCCTTTTTGTCAGTATATTAAGAATATTTATTAAATTTTATTATATTGGTTTTATAATCAGCAAAACTTCATCCCTTCAGCTGTTTCTCTCTCTATTTGCTATATAATTAACTAATTTTAGATGCTTACCATTTTTTATATGCATAATCAAATTCAATTTTCTATTTAATCAGTCCTTTCAAACTAAGAAATATTTTAATATTATTATATAATCAATTAATTAATAGTGGAACTTAATTACAAAATTGTTATCCCATTTAATAGTCATTTGTTTCATGTTTAAATTGTACTTCTAAAATCCAAAATATCAATACTCTTTTAAATTATTCAATGAATTTAATTTTAGAGATTAAATTGCTATGAAGTTTGTTAATTTTCATCAAGAAAAGCTAAAGATTGCATTAAATCAAACTAATATAGTCTCTATATGATATTTATATTAGAATATTGCAGGATTTTAAATTATTAATGTGAAATTGCCAACTTATGAGAAAGTGTAAAAGCTAATTAAAAGAATTTTTCACATAGAGGAATCTAAATTAAATAAAGAATCAAGCATATAATTTGTATATATTCTTGATCAAACTATGGTATATTTCTTTTTACAAAATTAAATACCTAAACGACTAATTAAGTATCTATTTTAAGAAACAAAGAAATTGATAAATTAATGAATTAATTAATTGTTGATAAATAGAATTAATTATTCATAGTAAAATCAAACTCTTTTGTCAAAATTGAAGCTTTAATTAATGTTAGCCTTTGTAGTGTTACTATTTGCTTTTTTAGTCTTTTAGCCTCCTCCGCTATGATCCCTTGATCCTTTTCTACTATTTATTTTCAACCAAAGTTGATATGGCATTGATTGAGGTTTTGTGCTTGCTGGCATAGAAAGATCCTAAAAGTTAAATTAAATTATTTTACCCCATCTATATGTAATGATCTCTTTTTACATTCAATATTGGTAGTATCCATTAAGTTAATTGGTTTGTTTTCCTTTTTCTTATCTTAAGCAGAACAAGTATCAAAATTTTAATAAGAATTCTTTTGATTTTTAGTTGTCTTACTATTATATGGTATTTTAGGTTATGAACTACCCCTATGAGCAGTTGGAGTCCCATTCTTAGTAGAGGATTCTAGAATGACATAAAATTATACTCAAATATTAAAGTAATATATTCTAATGTGCAGGAGATACAGTTGATGTATTGGAAGATCTTTTGCAAGTGGCCAAATATGTGGTTTTATTTAGAGTATCGTTAATTTATATATCAGTTGTCATCTTCTTGTTATTAGTCTATTAAAACGATTAAGATTTATTTCTTTCTATGTGGAAGGATTAATCCTATTTGGATTATTTAAATTATTGTACTTCTATGGATAATGATGAAGTTTAATAATTTTTAGATCCATTATAGTTGGATCTAGTATCTTCAGTAGTAGGAATAGAAAGTCCTCTGGTTTGAGTGTTGGACTTCTTATTTGTCTGACATGATCCAGATCTATTATGTGTAAGCGTTTTCATGATTGATCCATCTAAAAGAGTGCTGATGGGTGCTAAAAATAAATGTAAAGTCTACGTTTCTAAGGACGAGTTGCAGGTTCCAATAGTTTTTCATTAAAATTGCTTGAATTAATATCTGCAACAGATTATCCACCATTCATGAGATGCTTCTTTAAAATTAGAAAGTAAGCTGTAGTTAGATTGTTATGCTTGTTAGCATCAAGACATTTCTTTATATAATCTGAACTAAATCCTTTGGTTGCTAATTAATCAACGATCGCATCATCTATAGGGATTCTGCTATATCCAATAATAATTCCTTAGGGAATAGACTGAACTCTATTATACAGCCTAAACCAGGGGTGTTATTTAATTTATTCCAGATTAAAACGTTTGGCAGGATCTGTGTTTAGTAGTCCTTTCAGAAATTATTGTCCATCTTAGGACACATGAGAAGGTATTGTATATTAACCACCCAGTATTTTCTTATATAAGTCACTGGTGTGCTTATCTTCAAAGGGTAATTGACCACAAATAGTAGCAAATAAGATAACGCCACATGACCAAATGTCAACTAAGATACTTTGGTATCTATGACCAGCTATCATCTCTGGAGCAGCATAACAAGGACTTCCACAAGCAGTTTTCAGCAATTCACCTTATTTATAAGTGTTTGATAGTCCAAAATCTACTATTTTAATTTGGTTTTAATGATCTAATAGTAAATTTTCTGGTTTTAAATCTCTATGAACAATATTCAGTTTGTGAATATATTCTATGCCTGAAATCAGCTCTTAGAATATGCGACAAGCCTCTATTTCATCTAATCTAAGAAATTATCTTTGACTATTTACTTCTCGTTCTTTACAATATAATCAAAGAGTTCGCCATTATCACAAAATTCCATAACTAAAAAGATGTGCTTCTTTGTTTCTATAATCTTCTGTTAATATGAGTATTACCTCATATAATTAAATCACATGTCTATGTCGAATCAATTTTAAAATATGTATTTCCCTTGAAACTCTCTCTACATCTGCCACCTCTATTATTCGTTCCTTTTCCAAAATCTTTATGGCCACCTTCTCTCCAGTGATTTGATGCAAACCCAATTTAACTAGACCAAATGTGCCAACCCCAAGAGTTTTAACTCAAATACAAATAACTCCAAACCTAATTAATAATCTCCTATGATTCGTGGCTTTGATATATCTGTATTATTTTAACAAGCATTCTCTTTATCCGAGTTTTTCTTTTGCAACATAAACAATATCGTTAAATTATTAATATTTAGAACTTATTATAAATAAATATTTCAAAAGCTTTTAATCTAAGAGCCTCAAACCTTTCATTTCATATTCAATATTGATTTACAAACGAACAATAATGAAAGAGCTTATGTGTATCCATCAGAATCTGTTTAATTAGATGTAAATTTAAAATTTTGGCATTCCCACTATAAACTAGGTACTGTTTCAAAGCCTTGCAACTCTTTTATTTAAATTGAATCTTTCTCAAAATTCTAATAGTAAGCCATATTAATAGTATAAAATCAACATTAAATTTATATATTACGAATTAAATTGTGTAATTCATAAAGAAATGCTATTTTCCAATTTTATTTCTAATCCATTTATTATTTAGGCTTCGAATAATTTAGTTCTTCTTATTTTGTTTAGTTGAAAGAATAAGATTTTATATAAATAATAATTATCCCTAATACATCTTTAGGATATATAATCTTGATGCATAAGGTTATTAAAATAATTAGTTAATTTAAGTTAAATAGTAAATACAAATTGAATAATTTCTATTACCAGAAACTGTATGATATAAAACATATTATTTAATCTAAAATTATCAAGCAATTCTTAATTGATTGGTATGAAGATTCAATTCAGTCAGAAACTCATTACACAATATAGTTCAGCATAAATATTCTATTAAAGTGTATGATTGTGAGAAAGACCAGCAATTTGAATAGATAATATTCAAATATTATAATAAAATAAAGTATAATTATATAAATTTTAACTTCAAAATCGAGACCTAAAGGGATAATATAAAATTGATGAGTTAACTATTTTAATTTTAAATTTTAAATATTATCAATGCCTCATTATCCTGAAGAAATTGAATATTCTGATAAGTACTTCGATGACTACTATGAANATTCAGTTTGTGAATATATTCTATGCCTGAAATCAGCTCTTAGAATATGCGACAAGCCTCTATTTCATCTAATCTAAGAAATTATCTTTGACTATTTACTTCTCGTTCTTTACAATATAATCAAAGAGTTCGCCATTATCACAAAATTCCATAACTAAAAAGATGTGCTTCTTTGTTTCTATAATCTTCTGTTAATATGAGTATTACCTCATATAATTAAATCACATGTCTATGTCGAATCAATTTTAAAATATGTATTTCCCTTGAAACTCTCTCTACATCTGCCACCTCTATTATTCGTTCCTTTTCCAAAATCTTTATGGCCACCTTCTCTCCAGTGATTTGATGCAAACCCAATTTAACTAGACCAAATGTGCCAACCCCAAGAGTTTTAACTCAAATACAAATAACTCCAAACCTAATTAATAATCTCCTATGATTCGTGGCTTTGATATATCTGTATTATTTTAACAAGCATTCTCTTTATCCGAGTTTTTCTTTTGCAACATAAACAATATCGTTAAATTATTAATATTTAGAACTTATTATAAATAAATATTTCAAAAGCTTTTAATCTAAGAGCCTCAAACCTTTCATTTCATATTCAATATTGATTTACAAACGAACAATAATGAAAGAGCTTATGTGTATCCATCAGAATCTGTTTAATTAGATGTAAATTTAAAATTTTGGCATTCCCACTATAAACTAGGTACTGTTTCAAAGCCTTGCAACTCTTTTATTTAAATTGAATCTTTCTCAAAATTCTAATAGTAAGCCATATTAATAGTATAAAATCAACATTAAATTTATATATTACGAATTAAATTGTGTAATTCATAAAGAAATGCTATTTTCCAATTTTATTTCTAATCCATTTATTATTTAGGCTTCGAATAATTTAGTTCTTCTTATTTTGTTTAGTTGAAAGAATAAGATTTTATATAAATAATAATTATCCCTAATACATCTTTAGGATATATAATCTTGATGCATAAGGTTATTAAAATAATTAGTTAATTTAAGTTAAATAGTAAATACAAATTGAATAATTTCTATTACCAGAAACTGTATGATATAAAACATATTATTTAATCTAAAATTATCAAGCAATTCTTAATTGATTGGTATGAAGATTCAATTCAGTCAGAAACTCATTACACAATATAGTTCAGCATAAATATTCTATTAAAGTGTATGATTGTGAGAAAGACCAGCAATTTGAATAGATAATATTCAAATATTATAATAAAATAAAGTATAATTATATAAATTTTAACTTCAAAATCGAGACCTAAAGGGATAATATAAAATTGATGAGTTAACTATTTTAATTTTAAATTTTAAATATTATCAATGCCTCATTATCCTGAAGAAATTGAATATTCTGATAAGTACTTCGATGACTACTATGAATACAGACATGTCATTCTACCTAAACATATTTTCAAAAAAATCACAAAAGGTACATTTTGAATTTGAAAATGATAGGTAAATTATTAAACGAAATGGAATGGAGAGCCTTGGGAGTGTAGCAATCTAGAGGGTGGTCTCACTATGAAACTCATAGACCAGAACCTCACATTCTTCTCTTTAGAAGAGCAAAAAACACAGATCCCAATACTGGATTGCCTCCTCCAGGATTTAGCGCTCCTTATTGAATATGCATTAGTTAAATCATCAGATAAAATGTATAAACTTTAATTTAAATCATAACAATGGCATTTTAGGATCATATAACTTTGCAAACAAATCTATTCCACCTACAATGTTACATACATTGGGTATTTTATCCTTTAAAAATTCACATGCCAACCTGGAATTGTTGCCTCTTCTGCACATAATGTAAACCTCCTTATCCTTGTTCTCCTCCACCTAAAATTAATCAATCTGTTAATATGGAAGATTTTTGAATCCATCCAATTTAATTATATTATACTACGAACTTGGTCTGACATCTAAAAGTACTACATTATCATTTTTTTAGATCTGGAGAAAGTCCTTCCATTCTATTTCTTTATATCCTCCTCTAAAAGGAATAGGAGTACTGCAAATAGTCTATGCAAATGAGGCATAATCATATTCGCTTATTTTTATTTACTTCTAACAAGCAATACAATCCCTAAGTATTAATTAATAATGGTACTTTTATTGTCCTCTAAGTTTGACTACTTTATACACATCTCTTAATCCATCAATCAATATCATCTTCTATGATAAAGTTTACTGTCCAATAATTATTTTCACTGCTTATAATGCTTCTATGAGTCCAATCAACCCAGGCATAACTCCAAATACTCCCGCTTCATTGCAATTCTAAACAGTCTTAGGACATTGTGGAAATAAACATCTATAACAAGGTCCCTACATTCCATAAACTGTTATTTGTCCCTCCCAACCAACCGAAGAACCTGATACCAAAGGCTTATCTAAGTAAATTGCCGTATCATTTATTAAATATCTTGTAGCAGGATTATCGGTTGCATCTAAAATTAAATCATAATTTTTAAATATTTCAATTGCATTTTCTGATGATAAATTATGCTTATAGGTAATAACATTCACTAAAGGATTAAACTAATTAATTTATTTTTTTGCTGATTCGCACTACAATAGATGTTGAAGTATACCTTATTCATTCCTTGTCTATCATTATTATGAATTATTTGACGATGTAAATTAGAAACATCTACACTGTCACCATCAACTAATCCTATTGTTCCAACTCCTGCTCCTGCCAAGTAATAAATTGCAGGAGCTCCTATACCTCCAGCACCTACAATCAATACCTTTGCAAGATGAATCTTCTACTATCCAGTTAATCCTATTTCAGAAAGGATCATTTATCTTTTGTATCTGTTTATGTGTTCGTAACCAAATTCATTATTTATTTGATTCAGTTTACCCTATGCAAAATCCTCCTCCTATTCAAACTAGATGTTATTTTGTTGAAGAAGACCCTATAAATACTCGATATATTCTTTCATATTTTTATTAATAAATAAATCAACTCTTTCTTTGTTATTTAAATTATACATTTAGATCATTTAAAAATTTGCTTTTTGGATCAATTTTTTAAATTTCTAAATATTAACTTTCAGCTAATTTCTATTAATTTGTATATAAGTATGCCAGACCTATTATTAAGTAATAAATTGAATACACAAATAGTACTTTGCTTAAATGTTTTATTTTTCCAACCTAAGCACATGTAATAAATATTTTGTTGCCAATTCATACTCACCTTTTTTTATCAATATCAATCCTTTAATAACAATTAAATTCACCTGCCAAAATCCATCCCTTAAAATTGCGAGGTAGTAATCTCAAGTACTTTAAAATACATTATTGTGCATCATTCGAATGACGTAGCCCAATCACGCTCATGGCTACATTAAATATTACATACTTGTGATGTACCAGAAAAATGGGTTTTATTTATATTCTTCATCTTATTATCCTAATTGCTTTATCATCTTAATAGAGTCCTCATATTATTTCGAAACGTAAGCACAATAAGCTAAAATAAAGAATTGAAATTAACCTAACCAAAGTTAAACATCCTACATATTTTGGGGTTAATTTGAAAGAGTTTTGAATATAATCTATGCTTTTTCATTTTCCCTTTCCATTAAGTATTCAATCCCTAATATTGAATATGAGTGATACCATCATAGAATGTTGCATCAGTTGTTAAATCAATTTTATTATTGATATTATCATCATATATTTAGGACAAAGACTACATGAACGATTAGAAGGTATCTTAGACATTATTATTGATTTAATTTTAGCTACAAATTCCATACAAATTAGTTTAAGGGTAGTTGTTATTTCCTATTGATTATAATTAAATAGAATTAATTGATCCTGTTTTTGAAAATGGACTAATTTAAACAAACAAATACATCACTATGGAACTTAATCTCTTCTAGCATGTACTAAAAGTTATATTCTGCTCTGTCATGAGTTCTCTCACACGATCTAGCATTCCTCCAAGTATATCAAACCATTTCGTAAGACAACTCTTGGAAAATAGATCCATAATGATTCCCAAGTTAACTTAAATTCGGATTGCATCATTAAGACTAGTATACGTTAGGTTTTTTAAATTTTATTCAGAAAGTATTTCTAGTTAAGAATCTATTGTCTTTTCAATCATCTATATTGGCTTAAGTATTTTTTCTAGTATAGAATCTAATATATTTTTAAATTTCGATGTAGCTTCTTATTATTTATTTAACCAATTTGGCAATTTGTTAAATTCTATTACTCCATCTTCCTATGCTTTGTGATCATCATGGGTAGTTTATGTCATACAATTGAAGCATAATAATTTTTATTTGCTTTTACATCTAAAATGCGTACAAAATCCTATGATTTTATTTTTGTTATGATCTGCAATAGTGCATTCAGGCCAATCGTCCATTTTTCAAATTAGAATAGATTTTTAAATATTGATGAAATAAATTAGAAAATACAGTAAATCATTTATTCATTGATTTTATCAAAGATTTTACAAATCTACGTATGCTCTTATTCTCCTTAACTACTTCCAATGGAATCATATTGAGCATCTCTATGGTTTAATTAATTTAAGTATTCAGTCCATTCAAGAACGGAATCCAAATAAATAAGAAAATGGCTACTAAAAGCACTATAAATATTATTAATAGGATAAGTTGAATATTTGAGATGTTATCCATTCCACTAGTAATTAGATCCCGTTCATAAGTGATGATGTTGGTAATAGCATCATAAACGTAATTATATAATGCTCTATCAATTTCAAAGAATTGAGTTGCATTCAATAAAGGAGAATTCTAAGTAGTATTCTAATAAAAATTTTGAATATTGATTCTAAAATATTCCAAAAAATAAGATTCAGTGTTGTAAATTCCCTAAAATAGATATTATAAATAACATTACTAATTATAAATTTGAATTAATAATTTTCTAGCATTAATCAACTTCAGCGGTCTTGATTATTTATTCACAAAGATTGCCATAATAAATATTAATGTATTTGTCTCTAAATGCTTATAATTCAGATAAGATTTCAAAATTAAACTAAATAATTTCATACTAATATATACGGCATTCATTTTTTCAGCATTTCCAGTAAAAATAGTGAGGTTATTGATTGCAAATTCAGAAACCTGAACGCCTTTTATTTGGTTTGTGTAATCAAGCATCATTAATTTCTGTATATTTATATAATAGCCATAATTATTTATTGTGAATAGGCTTTAATAATATTGAGGCAAGAGGAAGTTTATCTACGATTACTAAGACTAGCTTCCAAGTATGTTATAAACAGTGAACACTAGGGTAAAAACAGAAATAACAAAAAATCTATAATATGAATGTAGAAATACTGAATAATAATGCCTTAATTTCCTTTTAGCCTATTTTATCTATATTTCTTGATAATTTTTTTTCTATTTTATGTTTACCTCAATAAGATATCAGATTCATCCTCATCTGGTGCTTTTAAGACTTCAATTTTTTCCTCCTGAAATTCATTTTCATCATCCGAACTTTCGTAACCTTGTTATTCTTATTTATTTTACATTTCCTCAATACTTACATAGTTTTTGAGAAACCTGTCACATTTTTTATACAGGACATCTAAATGATAGGTTGGAATATCCAAAAATAGAAATAGAATATTTTCTCTTTTGGTTTTGATCGCAAACATTAGAAATATAAATTTCATCATAGCCATTACTGATACAAATATTGAAGCTGATAATAAAATCAATAAATCCACTTGTGGGTTATCCATAATATCTTTGATATTATAATAGGTTGAGCCAGAGATGTCGCATAATTTTTGATAAAGAACATCAAAATAATTGTGGACCACTCCTTAATAATAAATGTTATCAAAGGTAATAGATTGAAAATTGGCTATTGAAGAATTTAAAGCTAAGGAACAAAAAACTACTAAGGCTGTTTCAAGTCTTAAAGCATCATCTTAATAAGCATTATCAGTATAAAATCTAAATGATATTTCATCTTCAAATTATGATTAGAAACTTAAATAGTCTATTGAATTCATAGCAGAATTGAAATCAATTACAGAGGCAGCTGATATTGATATGTCATTTGCTATTTCAGTAATATTGTATGTATACAGATTGGCGGAATAAACAGCCAAATCTAAAACTCTAGAAGTTAATCTATTGATTTCAATTAGCTAATTGTTTATCTATTATAAGATATTGACATCTATTCTATAATTATTGAATTATTGAGAGCAAAAATATTGTTGCAAACTTGTCATAGCCAATATGAATACAATCCAGAAAGATGAATAGAACTTAAAAGTTGTTATTTCAGTATGTTTATGATGAGTCTTTAAAGCAATTTGAATTAGATTAGCAGAATTATTATAAGTAAATAATTTGTAGTCATCCTCATCCTCAAAATCGTTTCCTTAATTTCTAAATAATGAATTATATTCCTCTTCCTCCTCTAGGATTTATAAAAATAACTATTCCTACTCCTCATTAATACTTACTATTTATCCATTAATATATCTCTTTGTGATAATGCTTTCAGCTAAATCAATTGAAGGCACACTCTCAGTTTCTTCATTACATTATTTAAATAAATCTCTAATTTCATCTATTTGTGGATTTTCGTACAATTCTTGCATATACCTCAATAAATTAGTATCAATATCTTAATGATCTTAATTTCTAAGAGGGACTTAACTGTCTGAACTCATATTACCTAAATTTTGTATTTTTTGTTAAGAAGCTGCTTTCATTATTAATTCTGATTCTGGATTACTAATACTTCCTGTACGTTATACTCCTTTCTTTAACATATATTTAAGATTAGCTTCATTTTTTTCAATCTTATCAAGTCGAACTACATAAAATCCAGTGCGTTCACTTTTCTTCTATTCTTCGTCACTATCATTTGGATTGAATATTGGTAAACTAATTTCTTTTACTTGGCAATTGAAATAATAGAAGCCATCTTTATTTGGGATTTTAGAGAAGACATCTTTAGCATTTTTAGTCAAAACATCAGGGATAAAATCATTCAATTTTATTTTGTCTACCAAATTTTTCTATTCTAATTCAAAGTAAGTTATAGCACCTGAAGACATTTCTATTATCTGAGTAAATTTGTCAACCACAAAATAGATTTAAGTCTTTAGTGTTGCTTCTGATTTGAAGGTTGCAATATATACAAGGGAATCTAAATGTAATGTAACCTAATATGTTAATGGTAAAAGGTATCCATTTTTGTGTTTAAATAATCGATTCTAATCTACATCTAGATATTCGCTTTATATCCCTATTTCTTATCTTAAATTCAGTACAAAATTATCAAAGAAATTACTCATGTATTTGTCGTGATTCTCTGCATATTTTTGAGGCATTAAAACATTTATCTTCTTTCCTATAATCTCTTCTTTAGAGTATCCAAAATAAACTGTGAATAATGAATTCATTTATAAAATGTTCCCTGTGTCTGACTTTTTAGCACTTGCATATATGAATGGTATTTAATCAGTTTCAAAATTTGTCATATCTTTATGACCTTATTAGCTCTTCTTTAGATGCTCTTTCAATTATTTTGCTTTATTTAATAAATTGATTCCTCCCTTAGAATCATTCATTACATGAATCATAAAATTACCAAATACTTACATTGTATATGGCATATTTGAATTTATTTTTTACATATTTTCATAATTCTCTTTTGCTTCATTAGTTACTCTACTAATTCTAGCACCAATATTCATCAATCTCCCTAAATCAGGTTGTTCTTCTTTTAATTCTATCCAAAATTCCTTATGCAAATTTGCAGAAAACTTCATTTTCTCTTCACATAACGACAAGTAATTTTTAAATGCTATTGCATTTACAATATCATCATCTTCCTCTTATTATGAATTTATTCCTTTACTCTTAATGTCTTTTTGATATCGATAAATAATAAACTACTAATAAAGAGCTGGTTTAGTATATTGAGCGAGCTCAAATTATTCTAAAGCTTTCTATTTATTGTTTCTTCTTTCAATCAAAAATAACCCATAAAATATTCTTAAATAAGTCGAATTTGGAAACTTTTTTAAACCTTATACAAACATTCTATCCAATTCTTGAATTAATCCTCTAATTATTTCATTAATATCATTTTAATTTCCAGATTTTCTTTGTTTTAATTTAGTTTTTAAAGGGCAGTCATCATAATTACAAGTCTCTTTGTGTTTTTCTATATAACCAACAAGCAACATATAAGAATTTCTATCTTTCTCTTAATTTTATATCAGCTGCAATACATATCTGATATGACTCCAAATTTACTCTCCACTCCTGAATTTTGTTTAAGATTTAATTAGAGTTTCGATCTTAGATTTTTTAGTCAGCAACATAATACTAATTATAAAGGGAACGCCAATCAACCAGGCAATAAATCCTCCAGTAAAATCAGTAGATTCTAATATTTTACAAACTAACAACATAAAGCAAGCCCATAAATATAGTGTGCTGCATATAAAATAGAATAACCCTACCTGAAAATCATAGTAAGGATCGTTAAAATTATATTGCTTAAATAACCAAAGAGACAAAATAAAAGAAGTTATAACCATAATCCATGCTTATTCAGGATAGTTCGGTCTAAGTAAACTAAACATCAATTAGCAAGTAATTTTATTTGTAATAAAGGCCACTTCACCATTGGAATCCTGTCTTGCAGATCTATCATTAGTATTCATAGCTGGTTCAAAAAATGCATATGCAACAATACTGCATATTATTGAAAATATTACGATGAATGTCAGATCTATTATTGCATGAAAAGTGTGCCAATTTTACCAACATTCAACGAAGATATTATTGTAACCATATATTATATACTTTCCTGTATCTGGATCTACATAGCATTACAAAATGGAAGTTAAGGTCTCTGTGATAGGTAAAAATCCTACAGTTACCACAAAGGAAGTTATCTGCTTTAATAATAATAAGGGCCACAGCCAATAAAATCGATTACGAGAAAACGAATAGGAAACATAAATAATGTCTAGAATGATCAACAAAATAAAAAATAACAATATGTAAACAGTCATTAAAAGAGAATCATAGGTTAAACTTGGTATGTAATTACTTATTTGAAATAGGTTTTATACTTGAGTGACGAACGCCATAAAAGTGTCTTACTTCCAAAGGTAATAGATTGTAACATAAAATGGAAATTAATGCATCTGAAAATAATCAAGAGCATTAAAAAAATAGAATCCAAACATTCCCCCTTCTTCATCTTCACTATTACGAATAACAAATAGAACTTGAAAGGTGGTTAATTTTAGTTATTCTAAATAATAATCAATACCTCTCTTTTAGTTGCCCAACAATATAGCATCGTCTAATCCCTATTTTTCTTAATCTTACATATATCAATA